TGGACTGGATTGGACTCTATTTTAGAGGCTGATCACACCTGTCTAGTCCCGCATGCCCACTCGAGACAACTGAAAATCGTTCCCTGCCGAGACAGAAGTTCCCGCCAAGGAATGAGATGACTGGTCAGAGAGCAAAAATAGGCTTTGCCTCTATGCAGACAGGCAACAGGTACCTATCCGTTCTGCCAGCGACACGCAAGCTGCAGGTGGCGTTATTAGGCTGCCAGTTTTTACTGAGCAGATGAATAACAAGTATGTGGTACAGAGTAGTAGTTCAAAACGAACAAGGTTGTAAGGGTAGCCTGCCAACCTGCCCAGGGTTCTCTGCTAGGGCCAGGAGCAAGGAAGCCCGCCTGCGCCACGGCCGCCGCATCATCCCAACGAGAGGCTGTGACGAGCATCGGCTCGCGAATGCAACTCTGGTAGCACAGCCCCCGAAACAGTTTCGCTTGTTGATGATGCCGTTTTTTTCTTCGACTTTGGAACCTCCGGAGCCGCTCATTTTCTCTCTCTCTTCCCTGCTTCTTCTTACTCTGTCTTTACCTACTGCTTTGCCGCAAACGTCTTTTGACAGCCACTTACTTGTCGCACATCTCAAGCCCGTCACTCTTGAGCTGACAGAGGACTCTCGCGTTGTGAATTCAGGCACATCGATTTCTGCGCCGAGGAAATTATTTCACAAAAATGAATTCCGTGTATATACAAACATTATCCATGAATCCTCATTCAACCATCTCGACAAGTGCAAGTTGACGTCATAGCACAGCCACTCCCAGTGCTCCGTACAGCCCGTCCCATTGATAGATATCTCGGTGCCTGGTACGAGGAGCGGCCCTGGTCCAACAACGGTAACCACGACGCAAAAAGATCATCTTCATCGAAATCTGGCAGCCTGGAGCGGGTCTCCCCACACAAAGTCCGTGGCATCAAGGGCCAATGCATTGCTCTTCCTCTCAAACCCGGGTATACTAGATTCAGACCGGCTGCTCTGCTGTCTATCTCGCACGCGCCTCTCACAGATAATTCTTCTTCTTCGCCGTCCGCGTATACTGCGACAGATGCCACTCCACATCGCCATCTTTATTCTCCAACGTGCCTGCGCGAATCTCGAAAGGTCGCATCGTCATCCGGGGACCAACCTCTGCCAGCTCCACGCTGTCGAACCCAGTCCGCACAAACACGTGGTGTCGTACCTCGATACTGTCGTCAATGTTCTTAAACGTCACGACGCGGCTGCCCATTTTATTTCTGCTCGTAATCGCTTCCCGCGGCGGGAACATATGCTTTAGTACCTTGACAATGCGCTTGCCCAGCGGCGTCGTGAACCCATCAAAGATAAGATGGGGGTAGGACTCGCTGACGGTGCCGCGTACGCTGCCCGGGATATCGTGTCGCAAAACGACGTTGTGGAGGGAAAAGGACACCGTCGGCCCGTGAGGCATGTGTGACAGCGTCATGGCCGTGGGCGTGCCTCTGTGCTCGTGCAGTAAAATCACATCCGACAGCCCAGACGACTTGGCGGAGCGTACCAGCTCGGGCAGGATCAGGTTACCACGGTTCAAGCGAATCGCGGTTGGCAGCAAAAGTCGAATCTCTTTGGCAAAGGCGCCCAGTCTAGCCGACGGGTCGCGCGAGGTCGTTACGAGGATGCGCGGGTCGACAATGCCTGACAGCTGGGCGTACTCGTCGTCCAGGTCCAGCTCCTCGGCCGTCGTCTTCTCGGCCGACTCGTCGTACTGGTAGTTTTTGCGCAGGGATTTATCGTTTGCAATGGTGGGATCCAGAGGCTGGCCTGACGCAAGCGACGACCTCATCTTGGCTCTTTTTTCGCTAATTTCGGCATCGCGTAGTAGCATGGCACGACGGTAGAGATAATCTCTCCGTTGCCTGGCTTGCTTGCGCTGCGCAACCACGAATTAGAAGACTGCGTAGGAGAGATTTCACACATAAAAATCACAAACACTTACGATCATCATCTTGAAAGATTTTGCTGGCTTCTATGCCTTGATCATTCAATCTGCTGTAAAAACGAGCTGCCAGAAAAAGCAGGCTGAGACCAAAAACTTTGGACTTGTCGGCGCTATCGATAGCGCTCCCGCTTATCACGTGTACGCAAATTGTCCCACCAAAGTAGCCTTGGACGAACCAAGGCGAGATGCCGGATTGCGCATCTGCAGGGCTTCTGTGACTCTTGCTCACCGGGGAAAAAAAAAACACCAAGCCTGTTTGCCTTTCTCGCGGCTTGTCCGAAACTTCTCTGCCCGCCCGAGTGCCGCGCCAATCTGCGCAAGCCACACTTCGCCCTCCATCCTATTTCCGCCGCCACCTTGCCCGCGATGATGTGAATCGCTCCCGCAAACGATTTCTACAGTCTTCTTCCTCAATTCCGATCCAAGCACCACCCTGCGTGCAACCAGAGCTCCTCTGGTAATAATTGGTATTTTGTGAGTCTCCAGCTGTACCTCTGCTTATTGATTTTTTTTTTCTCTTCGATTTTGTCTCTTACTGGCGTGGCGGGCTATATTAACTTTGCCAGTGAAAGAAAACTACGCCGGCCAACCCGCCAACCGTGACTACAAACACCATGGAGGGAGCCTTCACCCATGTCGGCAATCACCTCATTTCCGACTCGGCGGCAGCAATCAACGCTGGAAACGACGATCTTTCCACCCTCGACCCCGAAGAGCGCCTTCTCTACGGCAAGCTGGGCGACCATGGTGGCCGTCGACGCGCCGATGATGATGACAACCAGACTGAAGTCTTTGAGGACGACAACGACAGCCTGGGTAGTGTTCCAGTCGACGAAATGGTAGGACTGAACCTCAAAAACACCGAGGAGGAGAAAGAGCTCCCCGCGTACGCATGCGCGTAAGTAATTCTTCGAGGGCCTCCAAACGCGTTGGTCCGGACTAACATGCCTTGTCATAGATACTGCGGTATTCACGCTCCTGCGTCCGTCGTCAAGTGTCTTATCTGCAACAAATGGTTTTGCAGCGCCCGCGGCAACAGCACGTCTTCGCACATCATCAACCATCTCGTTCGAGCTCGCCACAAGGAAGTCCAGCTTCACCCCGAATCCGCCCTCGGCGATACTATTCTCGAATGCTATAGCTGCGGTACCAAAAACTCATTCCTGCTCGGTTTTATTCCCGCCAAGTCCGACTCTGTCGTTGTTTTGCTGTGTCGCCAGCCCTGCGCGGCGTCGGCCTCGAACAAGGATATGAACTGGGACCCCTCCCGCTGGGAGCCATTGATCAAGGAGCGCGCGTTTCTCGACTGGCTTGTCAGCGCCCCCTCCGAAGCTGAGCAGTTACGCGCCCGTCACATGTCTCCCAACACCATCGCCCGTCTCGAGGAGATGTGGAAGTTGGAGCCCAACGCCACCATTTCCGATCTAGACAAGGACCAGACTATCGACGACGATCCCAAACCCGTGATCCTAAAGTATGAGGATGCGTTTCACTACCAAAACATCTTCGGGCCGCTTGTGAAGATGGAATCCGACTACGACAAAAAGCTCAAAGAGGCGCAGTCCGAGGATAATTTGACCGTCGAATGGTCCCTAGGTCTCAACAACAAGCACCTGGCCACTTTCAATCTGCGCAAGATTGAATCCGGAGAAGTCAAGCTTGCCGTTGGTGACGAAATGCTACTTCGTTATAACGGCGAACTCAGAGAGCCTTGGCAGGGTGTCGGTTATGTCATGAAGATTCCCAACAGTCAGTCCGACGAGGTTTGTCTTGAGCTGCGTAAGACTGGCAATGACAGATCGAACCCAACCGACCTTTCCCACAACTTCTCCGCCGACTATGTCTGGAAGGCCACCTCGTATGACCGCATGCAGCTCGCCATGAAGACCTTTGCCGTCGACGACATGAGCGTCTCTGGTTTCATTTTCCACACGCTGCTTGGCCACGATGTTCATCTGCAGCCAATGAAGTCTAACCTTCCTAAGAAGTGGTCTGCACCAGGTCTGCCAGATTTGAACCAAAGTCAAGTTGACGCGATTCGATCAGTTCTCCAGAAGCCGCTCAGTCTTATCCAAGGCCCTCCCGGTACTGGTAAGACGGTGACATCTGCCACCATCATCTACCACCTGTCCAAGATGAGCGGAAACCAAGTCCTCGTTTGCGCTCCCTCCAACGTTGCCGTTGATCAGCTCTGCGAGCGCATCCACCGCACCGGCCTCAAGGTCGTCCGACTAACTGCCAAATCCCGTGAAGATGTCGAATCTTCCGTTAGTTTCCTTGCTCTTCACGAGCAGGTACGCATGTCGGAGCATAATAGTGAATTCGCCAAGTTGTCGCAACTCAAAATCGAGGCTGGCGAACTGATCAGCCAAGATGAAAAGAAGTTTAGACAGTTGACCAAGGCAGCTGAACGAGAGATTCTCACGAACGCTGACGTTGTTTGCTGTACCTGCGTTGGTGCCGGCGACCCTCGTCTGTCCAAAATCAAGTTTCGCAGCGTACTCATTGACGAATCAACTCAGTCTGCAGAGCCTGAATGTATCATTCCCCTTATGCTGGGGTGCAAACAAGTTGTTCTTGTCGGCGATCACAAGCAGCTCGGCCCGGTCATCATGAACAAGAAGGCGGCCAAGGCCGGTCTGAGCCAGTCGTTATTTGAGCGCCTCATGCAGCTTCGCCTCCAACCCATTCTCCTCAACACCCAGTATCGCATGCATCCGTGTCTGTCGGAGTTCCCCTCCAACATGTTTTACGACGGCAGCCTGCAAAATGGTGTCACGCAAGAACAACGCATCCGCAAGGATGTCGACTTTCCCTGGCCTGTCGCTGAGATGCCCATGATGTTCTGGTCCAATATCGGCAACGAAGAAATCTCTACCAGTGGCACTTCCTACCTGAACCGAACAGAAGCCTCCAACGTCGAGAAGATTGTCACACGGTTCTTCAAGGCGGGTGTCAAGCCTGCCGAGATTGGTGTCATTACACCATACGAAGGCCAGCGAAGCTACATTGTCACGACGATGCAAAACTCGGGCACGTCGAAGAAGGATTTATACAAGGGTGTCGAGGTTGCGTCCGTAGACGCCTTCCAGGGTCGTGAGAAGGACTTCATTGTGCTGTCTTGCGTGCGTTCCAACGAGAACCAAGGCATTGGTTTCCTGTCTGATCCTCGCCGTCTCAATGTCGCCCTTACACGTGCCAAGTACGGCCTTGTCATTCTTGGCAACCCCAGAGTCCTTTCCAAGCACGAGCTTTGGTACAATCTTCTGACTCACTTCCGTGACCGTCGCTGCTTCGTCGAAGGCCCCTTGAACAACTTCCAGCAGTGCCTTCTGCAATTCAGCAAGCCCCGATCGCACCGCCAGAAACCCACCAACCATCTTCCCGTTGGCGGGTACCAGACCCCGCAGAACGGACGCTTCAACGGCTCTGGCACGATGCGTGACTTTGACTCTGGCTCCATGATGTCCTACGTCCCCGACGACGTATCATCCATCCACGGCTCGACCTTTGGCGGCGCCGCGCTCAACTCGTCGTTCCCTGCTATGTTTTCCAACTTCGCCCCCGAGCACTGGCCTGGTCTGCCCGGCGTCGCTGGCCCGGGCCGCGGTGGCAAGAGCCGCGCCCGCGCGGCGGCCGAGAGCGTCACCGGTGACAGCGTCGCCAACTCGGAGACGACGGAGTCCTCGTCGAGCATTATTGGCAGTCGCGGCGTAGGCCAGGGTGGCGTCAGTCTGGGTGCCGGTCTGCAGGACGCCGTCACGGGCATGCGCGCCATCTCCTACACCCAGAGCGACCGTCTGCGACAGTACGTGGAGAGCGGCGCCCGCATTCCTCCGAACAATCGCTACGGCGGCCGTCGGTACGATGACGACGACAAGAGCGTTAGCACGGCTTTCCATAGCCAAGTCGGAGGTGGCTACGACTGAGCGAGGAGCAATTTCGGACGCATCGGACGTGCGTTTTGATTGAAAAGCAACTTTTCGGGTCAGCAGCCACTATTTGCAAAGCTCAGCCGTCTTCATGTAGACCACTACCTGTTCAGCTATAGACGTCAGTCGTAGCCACACCAGGCCAAATTCTGACAAGACCAGCCGTTGCCATGCAGAAAACACAGCAGACACGCCAGAGGTGTACATTCTGCGGTGACGAGATGTTCATTCATCTCCGCCGCTTTGTGCTCTGACGACGTACATTAGTCCTTTCAACAAGGACTGGGCCCGTCAACCCACCGTTGGTCGCCTTTTCGGCTCAACTTTTTTTCGTTGTGAAGCCATGACACTCTCCTGGCGCTCGGCGCGGTTTTCAGCGGGAAACACGCACGAAGAAATGAAACGATGAAAGGTGTACCAGTGATGGCTTGTGTTGGAGACACGGGGGCTCATGTTTGACGAGGAATAGAGGAAAGAAAGAGTATAAATATTTAGCTGGCTCGCAAGGCAGTAGCATAGGCGTAACGGTGATGCTGTTGGGGGTGGCCGTGTACCTAGATGCTTCTTGCCAGTTTTATTGACAATCAACTATCTTGCTCTTTGCTCTTTGCTCATTACCATACACGTTGGTTTCTTTTATTGGTATTCTTATACAAGTTGTAGAACGCCTGTTCCGGATTCGAGAGTGACTGCGGATCAGGCACTAACAAACCTGATTCACTGAGTCTTGGACTCGCTTCTCGGGCCAAGCAGGGCAACGTTGAGAAGAACGAGTGTAAAAGATGAATGTTGAGTAGAACAACGTGGAGAAGAGTAAGTACATGATCGCAGTCACACTTTGTTTAAACAAAAAATGGTGTACCCGCAGCTTGATGCAGGTAACTAACTATTCTGCTACAGCCGTTTTCCCTGCACACAAGTGGCAATGCATTTGCTGTTTACAGAACATATAGAGCGAAGCTGATATCCTCTGGTAGAATTTTTTTCTGCGACACTAACAAGGTCTACTTTCTTCATAGACTGTTGAATGAAGAAGCACCTGCCGCTTGTGCTATCAAGGTCCCTTCGGCCCATGTCGGCGGTTCGCATGTATCGGGCGCCAATCTTATACCATCTATATCGCACCAAGCCTACCCCGTCAAGGCCAAGCAACGAGGCAGAATAAGTAGACGTAAGAACGTCTTTACATGATTGGTTAGGATAAATAACTACGGAGATGATCGAGATTCCATCTAGTCTGGTCACGCCTCAACGTTCGTCTTCGGCTCCGAGCCGGCTTCGCCGCTTTGGTGTGCGCCCCGGGCGGACGCCCCATAAAATGACATGGGACATCTCTCTCAACCACCAACCCGCCAAACACCACAACTTTTCCTCTCCCCCTCCCAGATCCTTTATTGAGCCTCTCCCTCACTTTCTCCTCCGATGACAAGATAAGCTACTACAAACACCAGCGAAACCACCCACGAGTTGACCAGAAATGGCCGCGTTGGCGCGCGCGGCGGCGCCGTGTCCGCGGCTCTTTCTACGCTCCACGACCACGTCGTCCTCGAAGACGGCCTCTTCAACTACGACGCCGCCACCGCGCCGAAGCCGCCTCGGCCCAGTAGACGTCCGTCGCTGTCACCACGTCTCTTCCACCGGCTGCGGACAGGCCAGCACATGGCCTCTGCCGCCGCAGCAGCAGCAGCGCCGGTCGTTTTGCTGCACGTTGAGCACACGGCATGACCTCACCAAGCGGAACCACTACGACCGTCTACAAGTATCCCCAGCCGCCACCCCCAACGACATTAAAAAGTGCGTCCTTTCTTTTCCCGCAACTCCCCCCCAGTGTCACCGGGTCCTCTAACAAACCCCCCCTCTACAGATCCTTTTACCGACTCAGCAAAGCGCACCACCCCGACGCCAACCGGCACGATCCCAGCGCGGCACACACCTTCTCCCTGCTCTCCGAGTCCTACACGCTGCTCTCGGACCCCGCGCGGCGCGCGCTCTACGACCGGGACGTCATGGCGCGGCGGCTCCCGGCCGCATCCGCGCCTCCGCACGGCTCCTACCACTCCGCGACGTACCACCACCACGCGGGCGGCCGCCCCGCGTCGGGCCTGTCCCGGCGTCGGGGCACTTTTCGCGGGCCGCCGCCGTCGTTTTACCGCAACGGGGGCTGGGGCGCGCACGCGGATAAGCGACGGCAGGCGGCGGACGCTGCCTCGTCCGCCTCGGCGCCGCACTACACAAACTACGAAGGCGGTGGGGGCACTACCGCTGCTGGGGGGCACGACCCGTTTACTGCGCAGCAGGCGCCGGGCGGGCACTTCCACAGGGACGCGGACGACGTGCCGCCGCATTTTGACAAGGACGCCCACCGGCGCACGCACGAGAAGGAGGATCGCCGCAGGTGGGCTAGGCGCCGGCGCGCGCTCGACGAGGAGGGCGTCGAGTTTGAGCCCCAGGCCAGCTTGGGAGCGCACTTTGCGATTGTGCTCGGCATTTTGGGCGCGACGGTCATGGTCCCCGTGTGGTACTGGAATACGGTGAGCGGGAGGAAGAAGAAGGACTATTAGTGATTTCTCTCCGCCGCCCCGACATCGGCCATCCGACATGGCCAACGTAAATGCCAAGACTAGTTATCCAGCCGAGGAACCGGGACAATGGGCCTGGTTCTGTATAAACACGTATAAACAAGATAAATTATAAACAAGATAAATTACACATCTGAGCCGGGTGGAATGAATCGTCAAGAAAAAATCACATGCTTGATAACATCACCTGCGGGGCCAAAAAATGTAAAACATCATCCATCCAAGGACATCATTAGTTATTTTCTTGTATCAACTCTACATCTACATCCGAGATCAACCAGGGGCAAAATGCACGCATCTAGTAGGGTAGTACATAGGCTATATATAGCCTGCAGGGTCATCAAGGGCAATTAACCCTGGAAGGTGAAGCTAGCACCGAGCTGTAGAGGGGTTAGTGGCCATGTTTCGTCGCCATTTTGTGGTGTGCGTACCTTGTGGGTAGCCTGGTCGAGCTTCTGGGTGTCAAAGGAGCCGCCGAGGCCGAGGGTGACGCCCTCGCGGAGGAGAACGTTGTAGCCGACAGCGGCGATGCCGCGGTCGTTGAGCTTGACCTTGGCAAACGAGACGGGGTCGATGCGGTACTTGGAGGCGACCTCGAGGCCGACGGCGTTGCCCGTCTTGGAGTTCCAGGTGGCCTTGGCGCCGGCCTCGACCTGGGAGTTAACCTTGTGGTAGTACGAGGCAGCAAAGATGCTCAGGTTGTCCGTGGCGGTGACGGCGGCGCTGTACTGGGGCGCGGCGTAGCCGACGGCGGCCGAGTACGAAGTGATGGCAGCCTTGTTGACGTCGTAGCCGGCCGAGGCACCGGCGAGGAAGCCCTCGTGGCCGACGACGGCGTCAATGTTGGCCGTGGGGCCCTTGAGGAGGTCGAAAAAGGCGCGCCCGTGGAAGCCGGGCTGCTTGAAGAGCAGGTTGAACTTGGCGCCCTTGGCGGCGGTCGCGGGCAGGAAGTTGAAGAGACCCTCAAGCTTGAGGCCCTTGGCGAGGGTGTCGTTGACCTCGAGCTTGGTGTCGAGCACGTTGGCCGTGTTCCAGGTCTGAGTGAGGGTGAGGCCTGGCGAGCAAGGTTAGTAGGCCGATCGGATTGAGCGACGTCGTGGTGCGGCGCGTGGGGTCACGTCGGTCGAGGCTCGAGGCCTGTTGCCATCGTGCTGCGCGCCAAATTTGAAACGTCGGGTGGTGGAACCGTACCAGTGGGCTTGTCGGTGTATTTTCCCTCAATCTGGACAAGGCGGAGGAGTCAGCTTGCGCGGACGCGCGAGATGTAGGAGCGAGAAGGACTACTTACAGCAGCAGAGGTGTGCTTGTCGTGGCTGGACTTGCCGGTGACCTTGAAGGCAACGCCGTTGGGGGCGGTGTCCTTGAACTCAAAGGTGCTGGCCGAGAGGTGGTAGAAGTCCTTGTTCAGGAGCTATTCGTGGGGGAGAGATCGAGGTTAGCATTGAGCTCGTTTCGTTGCCGCGTGCCTTCAGCAATGAATTAAGCATCTCCAAGGCCAAAGATTGTCTCCTCCATTGGAGGACTGGCGCGCAAGCTAAGCGCGTGCATGGCATCGTCGTCCAGCGCAGGACAAAAAAAGCTGTCCTCAACCCAAAACTCAAACGGGTAACACCGGGACGAACCAGGCAAAGGGGGAATGCGCTGGGGGGAGGGAGAAGAAAAAAAGACGTACATCGCTGGCCGGCTTGGCAATGTCGGAAAAGGCGGGAACAGACATGATGGCTGACTTTGGGGAGGGATGTACGGGCTCGGTACGAAGAAAAAGTATTGTATTGGATGGTGATGGTGTTTGATGAGAGGGAAAGGAACAGCAAAAAAAGAGCAAATTTGGCGGTAGCCTTGGGGGACTAGTCAAGGCGTGTAAACGTTGGGGGATGGCGGATGGCAGGCCCAAAATGTATGGGGGGCTCTGAGCTCTGTTATTGGTCGGCCTCATACCCAGTAGTGCGACATCAAAGGTACATGTACCTTGGAAGTCCCCATGCGCCCAGGGAAACGGCCCCGACATCAGCCGACTGCGCCTCATGAGCGAGGCAGGCTGTCTGTTTGGCGAGCTAACTACATAGCCGGGGTGGTGTGCGAGCCCCGAGGTACCTACCAGGTACATGAGCACGTCTCGCCCAAGCCTCACCTAAAAGGGTGACACAGGTGACAGGACCCTGGACACTATTTGCTAATAGCAAAACCAAGAAACCAAAATGCAGTAAAATTGTTAAATTAGCGATTATTGCCTACGTACCATGTCACTGCCGCATCCCCCTCCTCTAATTATTATCCGTAACTACACATATGCCTCTCCACGTGGAGGAGGGGCTGTATTCACCGGCAAATGAGGGACTCCTTTGACGCGATCGGACACTACATACCGGAGACCCCCCTCCCCATTGATGCCATTCACCATTTCTGCACGATGCAATGGTGCCGACAAACGTAGGCCGCGGTTGCAAACACAACGCCGTGGCGTAGTAGTCACCACCCCGCCAACGAGTTGGGACGCCCAAAACAAAAACGGTCCTCGTGACTGAAGAACGCCTCTTCTCAGATCAAAGTCACGAGCTTATTCTGTGACTCAACAACAATGTATTCACCACGGCCAAAGGATGCATAATAATGTCATGTTCCGGGGTTCATGCTATTGCCCACCCACAATGGTTGCTATACCCCAGGCCTGACTCGGACTTCTCTCTTCAGCCGAGAGGTTCAGCCAATAACCCGTCACATTATCAATACTACAAGCACATATAGACCCTTGGTGTATCAAAAAACACAACATTCTATTTTCAACCACAACAGCAAGCTAACTAGGTCTCGTTCTACTTTTAACTTTTATTCAGTATACGAAAGCAGTCGACCCTCCTTTACCCGGGTATGAAACTCCTGTATCCGTAATCCGGTACATCTATGCCGCGTTGTCGTACTTTTGGTTGTGGGTGGCAATGGCTCTATAAATGCGTTAGCGACCAACATGTCCAGGATTGTAATTCGAAATTGTCAATACACACCGGCCACTGGGGTCAGACTGCTGGGACCAAGTCGGCGTCCAGCGCATGACGGTTGACGCACAGCGAGGCGGGAAGTGCTCGTCAAACATCAAACGGTACCAGTATCTACCCTAACGTTAGCAATTTGCGCTCTCCACCTCTCCACGAATATACATACCCCTCCTTGGTGTCGGGCACGTCTGTACCCCATTCCGCCTTGGGGTTCTTCATCATGTCGTCGGTCACGTGCAGCTCTGCTGTGTCCTTGAGTGCATCGATCCATCCGTATCCGACACCATCCGAGAACTGCTCCTTCTGTCGCCATAGGATCGACTCGGGCAGATACGGTGTGTTGTCGGGCTCGCCTGCCGTGTCAAAGGCCTTGCGCAGAATGTACTTTTCCATATGCTCCTTGTCAATCATCTTGGTAGCCGGGTCAATGTTCATTGTTGTTTCCAAAAACTAGAATCGTTAGCTTGCATAAACTCCCATGCGCGCATGAAGGCGGATCTCACCTCCTTGTCCAAAAAGGGCACGCGAGCCTCCAGACCCCAAGCAGAGGTCGACTTGTTGGCACGCAGGCAGTCAGCCAGATGCAGGTTCTTGACACGGCGCACCGTCTCCTCGTGGAACGCCTTCTTGTCGGGTGCGGCATGGAAGTACAGGTAGCCGCCGAAAATCTCGTCGCTACCCTCGCCGCTGAGAACCATCTTGACGCCCATGGCTTTGATCTTGCGCGAGAGCAGGTACATTGGGGTCGAGGCACGGATCGTCGTCACGTCAAAGGTCTCGAGGTGGTAAATGACATCCGACAGGGCGTTGAGGCCGTCCTCAATGGTAAATGTCATGACGTGGTGCTTGGTGCCGAGGAACTCGGCGACCTTGAGCGCAGCCACGTTGTCGGGCGAGCCGGGCAGACCAATCGAAAACGAGTTGAGCTGTGGAAGGTATGTGACGGTTTCCAGGTGATCCTCATCATCGATACCGACCAGGCCGTCGCCCTTGTCAGCGTCCTGCGCGGTAGCTTGGTTCTTTCCGGCTTCGATGGCGAGCTTCTTTTGACGCAACGTCTCGCGCTGGGCAATCGCGGCCACGAGGCTCGAGTCCAGACCACCAGAGAGCAGCACACCGTAGGGGACCTCGGCCATGAGACGTTTGCGGACGGCCTTTTCCAGACCATGACGGATGGCCATCAAGTCGAGGGGCGCCGAGGGTACGTTGGTGGGGTCCCACCATGTGGGCTTGAAGTATCTCGTCGTCTGGGCCGTCTTTGAGTCGTAGACGTGGCCAGGAGGGAAGGCGACAATCTTGTCGCAGACGGGGGCTAGACACTTGAGCTCCGAGGCAAAGTAGACGGCGTCGGGCTCCTTCCAGGACCAACCCTGGTAGAAAGTGGTGATGCCAATGGGGTCGCGGGCGGCAATGACGCGGTCCTGGGTCTTGTCATAGAGGACAAAGGAGAACATGCCATCGAGATGAGCGGGTGCGTCGCTATCGTAGGCCATGTACTAATAGCGCAATGCTGTTAGTGGCAGCCTTGCGCGCAGCAGGCTCACTCTGCGCTGCGGGGGTAGCTAATTCATACCAGAGGAATAATGACCTCGCAATCCGAGTGCGTCTTGAAGTGGTACGTCTCTTTGAGGTTCTTCCGGATCAGACGGTGGTTGTAGATTTCTCCGTTGACAGCGAGAACGATGGAATCGTCGGCGTTGGTCAATGGCTGGGCGCCAGACTCTGGGAGGTTTGTGAGATGGATGCCAAGGTGGGGGAGAAAATTCAGTTGGGCAACTTACCGACGCCGACAATGCTGAGACGTTCATGGCAAAGGACTAAAGGGTCAGTATTGCGGGTTTTCAGGTACTGCAGAGGTCAATTGAGCGTACTGGTGCTGTTGGAAATGACGTTGCCGCCTGCGCAGAATTGTTAGCATCGCGGTGTTTGGTATGCCAGCTGCGATTGCTGGGACTCACTCCAATCGGGGCCTCGGTGGCGGATTCTACATTGTGTCAGTGCTTCTCCAATACAAAAGGGGTGACGACGGCGAGTAAGAGAGAATTGACGTACTGTTTCGACAGGCGCAGAGCCGTCGGCTTGAATTTGTGGACGTCAGGATGACTACGGCCATGATGTTAGCAAACCGGGGAGGCTTGTGACTTGTGACAAGGCCAGCGTATGCATTGTGCGCAAGGCGATGGAGGGGTCGATGCGATTGCCCCTCCTTCACTAGCCATAACGAGCAGGTAGAGTAAGAAGGACATACCGGTAGCAAGCAAAAATGCCACACATGGTTACTGTTGGGTATACAATTTGGTTTGTAGATTGGAGGAAGGGGAGATGGAGACGCACAGCAGAGGAAAAAAAGGTTTAGAAAAGCTTCCCACCAGTGCCCGAAGGCGGCGTGGGGAACGCAGATAGTCGCGTGTGGGAGGAGGGAGGAGTCATCCAACCCAGTGAACGGAGTACCGCTGGCCGCCGCTGGTCGCTGGCTGCGCACAGTCGTTTCTGTGGCTGCATCTGACTCGGCACTGATAAGAGACTGCCCGTACACCCACTGTAGTTACCCTGCCTACATATTTCGTGTAATATTTTAACAAGTCCATCCTAAACGGCCGACTTCGGATTCCTCCACCACAACCACCACTCACCTGCAGTTTTCTGCTCTCCATTCGCTAATAGTTGATGCGGCTAAAATCTGCAATCCCGGTCCTTGCCGGTTTCTGCTTTCAAACTCAATCTGACTTTAAGCCTCGACACCACATTCTCGGCTCGGCTGGTCGCTGTCTGACACCACACCCAGAGCATCACCATCCACAACCTCTAGTACGCACCGCACCCATAGCTACGTTTCATCTCAATCATGAGGCCACAAGGGTCATACAATTCAGCACTAAATGACTACCGTTTCAACCATTCTGCTACCCTCCTCCTCACATTTATATTCCTCATGTCCTACTTGCACGTTCCATCTCATGATGCATGTATTCGTTCTTGAGCACCGTATAACGCCTGGTATTCTTGTCTGGTTTTTTTTTCCTGCTGTGATTTCAACACCCCAAAAAATGGCACGACCCCGCCTCCATGTTCACATCACCTCTCATGGTGTCGGGTTCTCGCGCACCACGCGGCGCACGCGCTTCTCGTACTCGACGCGGTCGCGCTTGAACAGGTTGTACGCCTCGGCTTGCGCCGGCGACTCGGGGTTCGGGTCGTTGAGAAGGTCCTGGATACCCAACAAGATTTGCTTGACTGTGATGGCGGGCTTCCACGCCTCCTCCTCGTTGAGAATCGACAGGCAGACGGTGCCAGAGGGGTACACGTTGGGGTGGAACAGTGGCGGGACGAATTTGCCTATCCAACTTTTGTTAGCTTTTCTCCTTCCGTTGCCTAGGGGCTGTCCAACAGCAGTCTGTGACATACACTTGGGAGGCTTTGTCGGGTACTCTACACACGCACGCAACGCATCTGGTCAGTCTCGTGACGTCGCACAACAGTATTGGGTTCAGCCTCACCGTCGGGAAAGGACATGACCAGCTTGAACATGCCGCCCTCCCAAATCGTCTTCTCCTTGCCGGGCACACCGCACTCCCAGTTCTTCAGGTCTAAAATGTTCTCCTTTGTGCGCATCGGTCGCGCGTAGAAGCCAAACGGATGGTCTTTCCGCCACTGCTTGCTGCATCGTGCTCGTGTTAGCGGCATGTGGCTGCGGCAGCAGTGCGAGCTATTGTTCTTACCGCTCCTCTTGTAATCTATTGTGACACAGCGCCATATTTTGTTGTTGCAAACGTCCGAAGCGGTCGCCGTCGCAATAAGTGGTTGCCAAAGAAAAGAACAAAACAAAGTCACAGTGTCGAGAGTAGACGTCGAGTAGGTCGGGGCGAGGTGACGAGCTCGAAAATAATGCGCACAAATGTAGAAAATGAGCGCGCAGTTCTCGGTGCCAGCGAGATTACCGTTGAATGCGGCAGATGTTGATGAGAGATGACACTGTCCAAGTCTGGAGGTCGTGACAAAGGGATTCAGGTGCAGTCACGCACCAGTGAAATGCGCTAACACTGGTACCGCTTCACTTTCGGCCGCCACCGTTTGGGGATGTGACAGGGGAGGGGTCGCACAGCCACAGGCACCAGCCTCTGCGCTGCGAGTCTGGATCATCTCAAGGGGATTGCCGCTATATTTCCCATATTTCCCCGTAACATCCAATGTATTTCCCCTGCGATACCTTTCCGTGGCCTTCTTAGGTAGGTGCCTATTAGCGGTAGGAACCTACAGGTAGGTACCTAGTACCTGTATCTAGGTATCTACTGGTGCGCCTGCCTGTGGCGTTCCAGTGCTGCCTGCTGCCTTTGGAGGAAAACTCACCATCACTATCGTTCCGTGGGGCACACTCAAACAGTGCTCCGGCCTTTCTAGTGCGTTCCCTCGGCTCAACACCCAATAGCTGCTCCCGCAAAAGCCTTCTTGCATAACCTCCCATCCATCCATACTTGCCGCTCGACCAAGCCACACGCAAATCTTAAATACACCTCATTTCCTCCTGCAAATCATACGTCTATCCTTGCATTGTAGACAAGCAGAAACTACACCTTCAGACGAAAAGCTCATCCCAACCCCGCGGCTATTTGCCCTTGTCTAGCTGCATGTGGGGTTAGCCGGCGCGCAAGTCAAGCTTGTGATAGAACAACCACGTACACACACACACACACATACCCTCACTATGGACACAACTGGTGCAGCGCCGCCCAAGGCTGAGAAGCAACATGTCGAGACAAAAACGGTAGAGACTCCGGTCGCCTCCACAAGCGCCGCGACGTCGGCGGCCGTTGGCGACGTCCCGGACCCGGATGAGGATGACCTAGATGACTTGGACGGTAAGCTCACGGCTCACAAGCTTCCCTCCTCTGAGGAAGAACCGCGCTAAAGCCTGGTGTACAGACATGTTGGATGAATTTTCTACTGTAAAGCTGGACTCACCAAGTCATACGCTGGCGACCCCTGCAGCCGCTCCTGCTGCTCTTGCTGCCACCGCCGCTGTTACTGCGCCTGAGGCCGGCGCAAAGGCTGGGGGCGCCGTCAACCCCGAGGATATGACAGAAGAAGACTTTGCCCAACAGCTCCAGGCCGGTATGGCGAACTTGCTCGGCGAGCTCGAGAAGTCGGTACGAGTCACCCATCACCAGCACCCTCCCGCCTAGGACACAGACTTGCTAATACACCCCGCCACCACCACAGCCAGAAGTGCAGGCCGAGTTTGAAAGCATGTTCAAGGGTATGGCCGCCGCCACGGAAGGCGGCGCTGCGCCCGGGGCTGGAACGGCCCCGGCCAGCGACACCCCGGCCAGCGACACTCTGGCCGGCGACGAGTCCTTCCAGGACACGATCCGACGTACCATGGAGCGCATGCAGAACTCGGGTGAGCAGGCCACGGCGGCCGCGGCCTCGGGCAGCTCCGACGACTTCATGTCGGAGCTGCTGAAGCAAATGGCGGGCGGCGCGGGCGGGCCTGGCGGCGAGGACAGCGAGGAGGCGTTTTCTAAGATGCTCATGGGCATGATGGAGCAGCTGACCAACAAGGAAATTCTCTACGAGCCCATGAAGGAGCTTCACGACAAGTTCCCTGCCTGGCTAGCCACGCATAGCGATAAGACACCAGCCGATGAGCTCAAGCGCTACCAGGACCAGCACGCGCTCGTCGACGAGATTGTTGCCCGCTTCGAGGCAAGCACTTACTCGGATTCGAATGCCGCCGACAGGGAGTACATTGTGGAGCGCATGCAGAAGGTGAGCGCGCATGCACATGATGCATGGCAGTCGTGCTTGATGAACAATGTGCTGACTGGTGACGATAGATGCAGGAGCTGGGCTCACCGCCCTCGGATTTGGTTGGAGACCTCGACACGGCACAAGAAGCCTTTGCTGGCGCCGATGAGCAATGCAACCCACAGTAGTAGAGAAACGAAGAAAATGAAAAGTTGTATACACACGACCAATGGGTCTCTCGAAAGCTTGCCTTAAGCATGTCGTGTCCTATATACACATACGTACAGGTTCCGGGGATAAGAGATATAATTCCAGCCAAAGAAACGGCCCTGCCGTGGCTTCCAAAACGCCATAACCATGTGTCAAAAAACGCCCAAGAGATCGAAGAAGTAAGTAGCCAGATATCCAGAACGCCGCCATATGTCCACCTAAGTATGTAATTAATACAGTTTATCTTCATTCCATGTCCATCTGATCTGCCGAATCTGTAGGTTGATGCGTCTGCATAGCCTGGTCGATATCCTTTGCCGAGAGCAACTCTTCAAAAATATCGTCGTACTCGTCGTCGGACAAGGACGGCGATATCGGGCGTGTCGCTGGCGAGAGTGGTTGCTGCTGCTGCTGATACGACGCAAACATGGCCTCAAGCTCGGCATCCTCGGCGTACTCGTCGACCATGTCATCATCACCACCGTCCATATCCGCGTCCTGCGCGTCCTCTTTCAGCCGCAGCAACTCGGGTTGGAAACTCGAGGCGTCTTCTATATCCGCCTCGGAGAGCTCCGGCGCGTCGTGTGACAGGCGATCCATGTCGGCGATCCAGTTCGATTTCAGAAACTAGTTGCCTCTCTCGTCAGCAACCAAATACACCAATCGGCACAAAAAGGGGCAGGAAAATAACGCACCTGTCCTTCAATGTCCCGTCTCTGCCACGCCTTGTCCTCAGCCTTGTCGCGCACGCTGCGGAGATAGGTGGCGCGCCGCTGCTGCTGCGCGTCCTCGCGGCGGCGCAGGACCGGGTTGGGGCGCGTCGCGCGCGCGGCGTACTTGAACCTGGGCGGCTGGATGGGCGAGGACTGCGTCTGGCGCAGCGAAAAGGCGTCGGCGCGCTCGTCTTGCGTGCCGAGGGGCGAGGAGGCGCGCAGCGGCGAGGACGAGAGCGGGGACGAGACGGCTGGCCGGTGGTGGTCCCAGTTGGCCGTAAAGATGGGCGCGGGGGCAAAGGATAGCATGTTCTCTGCCACGGTGCGGTCCTTGGCTTTTCTTTTGTACATATACAGAGTAGGTAATTGGCGAGATGAAGCGCGCAGGAGGAAGAGGAAAGGAGGGATGTAGAGGGCGATGAATTGAAGGCGGGGGAGTCTGTTAAATTGGAAGCTGGCGTGGCTTTGGTGTTTAATGGGCTTTTGGCGCCAGGACGCGTTGGGTGGTCGCGCCGTCACGTGTAAAGAGGTAAATATAGGCGGCGGGTACTAGGTGTTATCGGCTTATTCTATCCCCTGCCTCTGCAAATTCTCAAGTAAGGGATAAATCGCCAATTTAATTATCGAAGGGGATTATATAGACTAATTCCTGACAGATAAAGTAGCAAGCGTTGTGGTAGATCGAAATTTGTTCGGCACAGTTTTTAGCCTACTACACCTGTCAAAGCCGACGGAGACGGGGCTACAGCTTCGGCGAATCACGGCGCTGACACTACCAAAAAAATTGTTGAGTGGTCGCAACACTCAATCAATGCCTGTACTCTTTTTGCGTTCTGCAGGCGCAATTACCCATTGTTCTCCTTCCGCTCATGAGGCATTGAGTCCTTCATTGACATTTGCAGTTACGTCTTCTTGAACTAAACCCCTGTCTAGGATAGGATGATAGCGTCAATCCCCAACGTCCTCCCGTAACCATCACGATTTAACAACCCACCTCCGGCTCGCGCCCCAAGAATACAGGGAACACGCAATACACGACAGACCCAGAGGTCACAATGAGTACCTCTTCGCTCTCCGTCTTTGCCAGGCGGCTTGGTTCCCGGCCATGGACCTGCACGACCTGCAAGAGCCAGCTCCCTCAGCCGATGGTGGCACGATTCGGTGGCGCCACCAGACGCTTCGCCTCGACGACGGGCAAAAACGGCTCGTCGCACCAGCAGCCGCGCCGGCCGCGCCGAGCGCTCTTGTTCGCGTCGACGAGTGCGGCTGTGGGTGGCGTCACGGCTCTCGCCTTCATCGACGACATCAAAGGCGTGTACGAGGCTGCGGAGCGCAGCGGTCGCGTCGTCGCCGGGCTGGCCATTTGCATCAACGAGTATGCCGGAATACCTAGGGCTCCCACGAGGCGGTGATGGACTAACAGTGATGCTAGTTACCGCACGACGCTCAACCAAAGAGCGCTGATTGAAAACGACGACGAAAAGGGCGCCCTTCTCAAGGCGTGCCACAAACGATGCGCCGAGCGCACTTTGAAGGTGCTCGAGAAGAATGGTGGCATCTTTATCAAGCTCGGCCAGCACCTCGTACGCCTCTCCTAGATCCCACGTCGCCACTTGCACGAGTTACTCACCTCCTTCGCAGAGCGCCATGAACTACCTCTTACCCTCCGAGTGGACGACGACGTTTATCCCGCTCCAGGACAAGTGCCCCGTCTCCTCGTTCGAGTCGATTGAAGCCATGTACAAAAAGGACACGGGTGAGGACCTGATGGACTACTTCTCCTCCTTTTCGCGCGAGCCCATCGGCGCCGCCTCGCTCGCGCAGGTGCACCTGGCCACGATTCGCGCCTCTGGGCAGCAGGTGGCCGTCAAGGTGCAGCACCCGGAGCTGCAGGCGTGGGCGCCGCTGGACCTGGCGCTGACGCGGTACACCTTTTCGACGCTCAAGCGCTTCTTCCCCGAGTACGACCTCGAGTGGCTGTCGTCGGAGATGGAGGTGTCGCTGCCCAAGGAGCTGGACTTTCAAGAAGAGGCCGTCAACGCCCGCTCCATGCGCGACCACTTTGCCGCCATCCCGCAGCTCCCGCTCATCATCCCCGACGTCGTCTGGGCCCGCCGCCGCATTATCGTCATGGCCTGCGAGGCCGGCCACCGCCCGGACGACCTCGCGTACCTCGACGCCAACGGCATCGACCGCGACGAGGTCGCGGCCACGCTTGCGCGCATCTTCAACGAGATGATATTTGGCGACGGCGCCCCGCTGCACTGCGACCCACACGGCGGCAACCTCGCCATTCGCAAAAACGACTCGTTTCGCGGCTTCGGCAGCAGGCCCAACTTTGACATCATCCTCTACGACCACGGCCTGTACCGCGAGATCCCGCTGTCTCTGCGCCGCTCGTACGCCAAGATGTGGTTGGCCGTCATGGATGGCGACATGGACCGCATGCGGCACTACGCGCACGAGGTCGCCGGCATCACCGACAAGGACTTCCCTCTCTTCGCGTCCGCCATCACCGGCCGCGACTACAGTGTCATCTCGACACAAGGGTCCATTCTGCGCGCGCGCAGCGGGGACGAGGAAGCGGCCATGTCCACCTCCCTGCAGGAGGGCCTCATCGTCGACCTCGTGCAGCTGCTGAGCCGCGTGCCGCGCATCATCCTCCTCATCCTCAAGACCAACGACCTCACCCGCAGCCTCGACGAGAACCTGCACACGCGCCAGGGGCCGATCCGCAGCTTCCTGATCCTCGCCCGCTACTGCACGCGCACCGTGTTCTACGAGCAGCTGGACAAGATCCGCGAGCGCGGCGGCTCGTTCCTCTGGCCGGCCAACGCGGTCCGCGTCGTCGCGGCGTGGGCGTCGCTCATGCGCGTCGAGATTAGGCTCGAGGTATTCGAGCTCTGGCTGAGCATCAAGCGCATGCTGGGGCTGAAGAGGAGCGTGGACGGGCTGTGATGGTACTCGGAGGGGTTGTTTCGGATAGAATAGAGCTGTACATAGACATAGACGCTGAAAAGTTTCAATGGCGGGTGTTGTGCGCACAATGTGCCGCTGGCAGGTAATGCAATAGAATATACATAATTTGACTACCCTGTATCTCTAGGGCAACCTACCAAGGGCCTTGGAGTGCGAATTGAGTGAGGCCTGGTGACGGAAATGCCAATGTCCCCCCCCCCCCGTGGGTCATTCTCGCTGCTTATCATGCCCATCGGAGACTTGCTAGTGGTATGCAGGTGTTATCCGGTGTGACTGTCCCATCGCGAGTTGGGCCTTTCGTGGGCTTCACATCAGGGCAAACACCAACCAGCCAAATCCACAAAAGGCCTGCTGGCAAAGGAGCCAGCGAAGAAAAATGGGCAAGACCCAGTGAGGAAAAATGAAAGGACGAGGAGGTAAAGCCCAGCAAAAGTTTATCGTCTTAACACGACAAGCGGAAAAAAAGAGGAATGCATTGGAGAGCGAGGGCAAAAGGAAAAAAACAAGGTCACGCCCGGGCTCGAACCGGGGACCTTCTCGGTGTTAACGAGGTGCCATAACCAGCTAGACCACGCGACCCTTGTTGTTGAAAAAAGGTGGCTTATTTGAAAAGATGAGCTTACTACAGGATTGTAATTTTGGACTGCCCACTTTAGTGTAGCTGAACAACTCACGGTGGCAGACTGCCTGTTCCTCGATTCAAAGCTTGCTTGAGGCATGTCGTACAAGCCGAACTTTGCAGTTCGACTTTCTCAAATATGTAAATTTGGACAAGTTGGTTGATATTGCCAAATCCAACATTTCCACCCACGCAAACTCCGCGTCGTTGCGGCACTGGTCTGGCTACTCGTTGTCGTTGCGCTAGAGTCGACAAGACGAAATATGGACAAGTAGTGCGCGGCGCTACTACAGTTTTTTGGTAACCTTTGTCATTCATGATTTTCCTATTTCATGTTTCATGGAGCTAAAGCAAACACAAAACAATTTCGGATAGCTTGAAGCCGCTGGGCTGACTAGGTGGTAGTGATTGCACAGCCCCGAGATGTTAGCGTACACAAAGACGGGTTGAAAAAAACAGCCCTGCTAAGACGGGTGGCAGTCTATTTTTGGATTTTGCCAGCACCGCCCAACAGCCAGCGCTTCTGCAATGCGACTCTTGATTAGTACTGCATGCGCGCATGCGCAAATAGCTTGGGCTTGATATGGGCAGGGCAAATTTAGCGGTTGATTTCAGCGTTTATGGTTTAATTTCATTTAATTTTGGGCATTTCTGTGTCCTTTCTGCCCTCGTCCCATACCTGTCATGTAAATGACTACTACTAGAGGTACCTATGTACACTACTTCTTTTCTGAGCCTGCTGAATTTGTACAACAGTATACAGCTCCAGCCTCAGCACAAGGCTCGCTCAATACACATTTACAAGGTACGACAATAAGCTATCAAATCAAAATCTCACCGGGGGAGCGGATCTACATACATAGTCACTATAAGCACTATAAACATGACAGGCCGCATAAAAGGTTGGGCAAAGCCTCATAATGAAAAGAGCCTGGCCGCCCCTCACCCCCACAGGGCCAACTGGCGTCTATTTTGAGAGCCTCACACCGGCTTGACATCTACACACGCACGAGCCCTGATGATGAGACTCCCCAATCACCCTTGATTCCTCACTACGGGGGCAAGGCTAGCTCGTATTTTTGTTTCTTTGTTTCCCACTCGGCCTGATTGGTCCTTGTGTCCACTGCACGACGCTGACTATAGTCTACGGACCTGCTTACACAGATCCACAGCCGAAGCCATCCCAACCTGACTGGCACCAGTTCATGACAGCCACGCGGGTGTATAGCTTCCGGAGGCTTCTTACACAACGCTTGCTAGGCTGTGCATGTAAGGCAGTTGCTCGAAATTAGAATCCAGATCGCCATGGAGTGCCCGGAGCAAGCTCGTTCCCGGCCGAGCTTGACTACAGAGCCGCGTATATAGTCGAGACTTGCGCTGCCATCCAATCCTCGAAACAAAATGTTTCATCATTCATAAACAAGATCTAAATTCCTACCCAAGACTTACCCATACTCGCAAAACAAGTCATTCCAAGGCAAACCTCCCCCCCCCCCCGGATCACGATGCACTTCACCGCCGCGTCCACTCTCCTCCTCGCCGGCGCCGCCCTGGCCGCCCCCAGCCGCACGGCGCGAGCCATTGACATTGACGCCGTGATCCCGGCCGTCGTGCCCGTCAACACGCGCGGCGGCAACGCCGAGCTCATCACCAAGCTCGTGACGGCGCCGACGACGCTCGACCGGGCCAAGCTGCTCGACCAGGCGGGCGACTGGGTGTTTGACTTTAAAGACGTCAACGCCGCGGGCCGCTCCGAGGCCAAGGGCCAGGGCGGGCTCTCGATGGCGGCGACGGCCAAGACGTTTCCGGCCCTCATCGGCCACGGCGCGTCCATGACGGTCGGCTTCCTCGGCCCGTGCGGCATGAACACGGCGCACGTGCACCCGCGCGCCACGGAGCTCAACATCATCGTGCAGGGCCGGCTCGTCACCAACTTTGTGCTGGAAAACGGCGCCACGCCCGTCGCCAACACGATGAAGACGTTTCAGATGACCGTCTTCCCGCAGGGCGCCATCCACCAAGAGTTCAACCCGGACTGCACCGACGCCGTCTTCGTCGCCGCCTTTCCCCACACGGACGCCGGGACGAGCCAGATTGCGCAGAACTTCTTGAGCTTGCGGCCCGATGTCGTCGGCGCCACCCTGGGCGGCGTGCAGACGCTCAACGGCAAGGACATTGAGACGTTTCGCCACGCCATCCCGGATAATATCGCCCTGGGCATCGACGCGTGCCTCAACAAGTGCGGCATTCAGCGTAACGCTAAGCGTGACCTGAGTGAGCTTTTCGACTGATGGCGTTCGGAGTCATTGGGTATCTGTTTACTTTCTTTGGAGTATGCTGAAACATGGTTGGTTATGGGAATGCATGGATTAGCCGGTTATTTAGACTTTACTTAGGAGTTTGTGGATTAATACCAGTTGTGCTTTTTCCTCGAATCATTTAGACTTTAGTTAGGAGTTGGATTGATACCAGTTGTGCTTTTTCCGCGAATCAATGCTGTAGTTCTGAAAGGACGTGAGTCACCGAACCGTTGCGCAAGGACCGAGTTTGCGCATCAGCAACAACAAGAACGACAACGAGGTTAATAATAATTCAACGACAACTAAACAAGACGAAAAAGGAAAATACGAATGCGGAAACAGGACGGAGAGGGAATTAAGACGAACAGCGAAGCAAGACGAATAGAGGTGGCCCCTAGTTATGGTCCTGCAATTCGCAGCTGCCTTGATCGACCTGCGCATCCAGAGGCCACTCTCGCATCAGAAGTGCCCAATATCCGTTTCCGTCACCCTGAATATGTCCTGATTTCTCTCGCCGCGCCTGATGGCCTCCACAAAGAGACGGCGTCGTGATGACTCCCAAGAGAGGGCGGTCACAGAGAAGGACGTCGCAACGACATCCATAGTATCCTTTAAATTAGAGAAGAATATAATGAACATGAGCTGGTTCCCCTCTCTCGCAAACGAGGATGATAAAATAATCATGGCCTTATTCGACTATGATTTGGAGCAGTTGGGGTTAGATGCTCTATAACCGGATATTTACAGGCGTTTATGTGTACGTGGCTGCACATATGTAAGGTAGGCTCTACTGCTGCTGGCGATGGCGCTACCAGGGGGACAAAATAAACGGCCGGTCAGCAATATATTATCATTCTCATTAGTCTTGATAATTTCTTACTTTATATGCGGCATTAGCAGAGGTACTAGATAGGTTATTTAGCCTAATTAGTGTATAAGAATTATTATTATTATTATTACTTTATATGCGAAGTTTTCTCGTGTCAATTTTTTCCCTTGTGCCGGATTTCGGAAACCAAGGGTGGACCGTACTGCTCGTCGCACTATCTCGATACAGACTCAGTCGCGTCACGTCAAACAACACCTCGCTGGCGAGACACTTCGAGTCCCCCGCCGCACCTCTGCCGTGACCGAATCGAACATGAAAAGCTCCCCAAGATGTACACATGCCTCTATCCTCATCCCAACCCTCTCGCACACGCTGACCGTTTCCACAGGATTGACCCTGCGATCCGCCTCCGCCGCGCCATCCACGCCAGCGACGCGCCGCTCGTGACGCGCATCCTCCGCTCGCACCCGCATCTCGTGCACAACCCGGACACGTCTGCGCGCGGGCAGTCGAACGCGAACCTGCACCTGGCGGCGTCGCTCGGGGACCGGGCGACGTGCGCGGCGCTGCTCGCGGCCGGGCACGAGTCGCCGGCGCCGGCGCTCAACGACCAGCACCAGACGGCGCTGATGCTCGCGGCGGCGGCCGGCCACAGCGAGGTGGTGCACCTGCTGTGCGAGCACGACGCGCGCGCCGTGCTGCGCCGCGACGCCCGCGGCCGCGACGCCATCATGGACGCCTGCGCCGGCGGCCACGACACCGTCCTCCAGCTGCTCCTCACCTACAGCCCCGGCGGCCCGGCCGACGCCGTCCAGCGCGCCGACGCCGACGGCAACACTGCCCTGCACTTTGCCAGCGCCAGCGGCAGCCTGCTCTGCCTGCGCACCCTGCTCGCCGCCGGCGCCGACGTCGACCGCCGCAACCTCTGGAACTGGACCCCCGCCGCGTACAGCGCCACCGTCCAGGCAGAGGTCTACCTCAAGGGCCTCGTCTCCGAGGCCACAAGACGACACAAGACGGGCCCCGAGAAGCAGCAGATGCACACGTCGCCGCGCAAGACGGGGCTCGGGCTCGGCATGGTGAGGGTGGTGCCGGATAACAGCGACGATGACGAGTGAGAGCGACTTGTGAAGCGCCCGGTATGTGGCCGCAGCGAGATTTGACTTACTGGAGTGTTGTGTCTTTGTTTATTTAGCACAAAGCATATATTAGCGTTGACTTCTGCATCGGTTCGGAGCAAATTTTCATTTCTTTTTCGGTAGATGAGCTACCTAGCTAAAGAGCAATCGTTATTTTTATCTCGACCCAAACACGCCATACGCGGGCAATAAATCCAAACAAGCAGCAATCTTTTCCTTCCAAGACGCAAAACACCATTCATGAACACATGTTGCAACCAAGTCAAAGACATAATTTCGCCGTATAACCTTCCAACAGCTCTCCTTGCAAACAAACAACGCCCCTCCTTTCCGCCCTAATCCTTGCAAAACCACAGACACACAATCGGCTTCTCATGCGGGTTGCCCGTCCTCGTCATGTCCCAGCCCACCTCCTTGAGCGTCTTCTTGAGCATGTCCTTGTCGTCGCCGCTGATGGCGAGGCCCTTGTACCACTTGCCGCTGCCGCTGCCAATGACCTCAAAGACCCTGTTCTTCTTGGCGACGGGGTTGGTGCAGCCGAAGCCCTTGAGCAGGTCGGCCATGGTGGTGGTGCACGGGATGTGCGTCGCCTTGAAGGGGATCTGGGCCGTGGGCGGCAGCTGCCAGGGCGGGGTGCTCGTCTTGAAGATGTGCGCCTTGGTGTGCTCGGCGGGGAAGAAGTAGTTGTAGCCGGGCTCGCAGCCGACGCCGCCGGAGCTGTTGGTCATTTGCGCGGCGGGCATGGTCGGGTCGATGACGGGGTACGGCTGCGGCTGCCGCGGGAGCATGTTGCCCGCGCCGTTGGGCTGGTACGAAAACGTCTGCTGCGTCTGGAAGCCGCCCGGGTGCATCGGATGCTGCGCCATGGGCGGCGGCGCCATGGGCATGCCACCGCCGGGAGGCTGTGGGTAGTAGCTCGGCGCCGCTGCCATGTATCCTCCGCCGTAAGCCGCCATGCCTGGGTAGCCAGCAAATTGGGGAGCCATACCGAAACTATAGCCTGGGCCGCCCATGTGCGGGATGTAGGCCTGGCCTTGGGCCGGCATGGGCCCGCCGCCCTGCGGCGCAAAGGGGGGGCGGCCGCCGCCGTGGTTGTCGCGGCCCGTGACGGGGTTCCAGCCGCCAGACATGTTGGACTTGGGTGCGGAAACGCGACGGGGATGGGACGGGAGTCAGTTGGGCTGCCAGGTGTTGACCCAGCGACGCTCTTGCGGGTTGAACGACGTGTACCAGTGGCCGGAGCTGGAGGGGCAGCTGACGGGAGCGAGAGGGTGGTTGGGGGCGAGGGTGTTGAAGGGGTCAGCGGCTCGGTTCGAGGTTAAATAGCTCTGGTGATGGGGATTGGTGTGATGGAGCGCGTGACTCGGGTGGCGGACGTGGTCTTGGTACTGGGTGTGCGGTTGGTGTACGTGGTATGCTGGAGCGTGATGCTCGACGTGGTACTGTGCGACGGATATGGGATCCTGCGAGCGGTGTGCGAAATGGTGATTGTGCTCGTTGCGTGGATAGAGGGCGATTTCTGTGCCTCATGTCAGTGATGATTCCTTACACTACTCTGCACTAGAGAAGCACGTACCTTGGTTCTCAGCGGATGTGGAAGAGGTGGCGTAGTTGTCTTGTGTGTGGTCCTGATGAAAGTACGGGAACTGCTGGTGGTATTCCGCTTGCGTAAGACTATGAATGTCTGCACTCTGTGTGTTAGCACCCACCACAAGAGTATTGAATAACAAAAGGAAAAACAAGACGACGGACCTTGGTTCGCAGCAACGTTGCGACGGTGCCTGGGCACAATCTTGTAGAGAAGCACGCGTCGGCTCCAGACGGGTCGACCGCGGTCGTTGTAAAACGCGGCCGTGACGCGGGACACGAAGCACAGCGGGATGTCGCGCCCCGTGACGATGCGCAGGCACGAGACGAGACGGAACGTGCGCGCGGACAGCGGCAAGACACCCGGTGCAAAGGATCTGGTCTGGACGAGGATGTGGTCTCGGACCGGCATCAAGAAGCAGACGACAACCTGGGGGGGGGGCTTTTGTAGCGCGAGGGGCAGCAGCGAAGCAGAGACAAAAGACACAAGCAGCGTACGGATTCTAGCACGGAGATTGGGAAAAAAAAGTGCAACGAACTCGAGGGGGGGCAAAGATGTTGGGTTCCGCAAGAGGTTCTGTGGCGGGCGAGGATGCCGCTTTTTATAGTTGTGTGCGGTTTGATCGTGTGATTCAGTCATGGTGGTTTTTCTGACCGAGTATTGGGGCGGGTGATGGAGACTTGGGGGACGGGTTGATTCAGAGTCCTGGGCCGTGTTGATGAGGGCGGCAATGATAGGCCGAGGCGGAAGCCGGCGGTAGGCAGCCGAGCCGGCGTGTGTGACGGGACGGGCTACTCAGGCGGTCAACGGTTGGCTGTGACTCAATGCTGCTGCGGAGATGGTTTGAAGGACTAGATGAGTAGCGCGGAGTAGATGGAGATTTAATTCAACTTGTGATTCGACTTGCGAGGCTGGTCTGGTGTTGAGACGGACATGTGCCTGATAATTTTGCTCCCGAGTCCCGAGTGTGTCGAGAGGCGGATGACACTCGTTCATAAATCCGCCTGGTTCTGGTTTCTGCAAAAAAAAAAAAAAACACTACCACAATGTTCTCCCACAATTTACTACTCTAATTATATTTTGACAAAAGCCTCCGTTGACCGAGGGATTTGGAACTTTGTACAGCCAAGCAGCCAAGGTTGGAGTATTACGGGTTGTGGGAAAGCGAGATATTGATAAAGGTATCGTTTTCATTCTCAGAGTATATATAAGTACGATCCTGCGCGGTCAATATAAACATGATTCATTTTCCAAAAGAATGTATCCAGTAACAAAGCAACGAGTAAAACACAAGCGCGAAAAATCACATCAACCTAGTATGAGCGTTTCTCATCGTCCGAGCTCGTCAAAGGTCCCGTAATCGGGCCTTGATGGCTCGTCTGCTCCACGGTTTCAAAGTGATACAGTGGAGGCTTCGTGGCGTTCTTCTGGAAGAGCACATAACGCTTGAAAAACCAGGGCAGAACAATCTTGACCTGGTAGCCCGCAAACTCGCGGACAGGGACGGCAAAGATCCAGTCCAGCTCCTCGAGCGAGCGCTGCATGGTCTCGGGGACAAAGAGGAAGATGAGGACAAAGGCGACGACGTTGAAGCCGGCATAGACGCCAAAGGCGCCGACGGGCTTGGCCTCGTGCAGCAAAAACGGAAACGAGGTGCCGAGGACGGCGGCCCAGAAGAGACAGGTGGCGACGGCGAAGCCCATGCCCGTCTCGCGGTGCGACAGCGGGTACACCTCGGCGCTGTAGGTGAACGGGACCGGCCCCTCGCCCGGCGAGTAAAAGGCGGCAAAGAGGAAGACGAAGAGGCAGACGAGCCCGGTGCGGAGGTCGCCCATGTCCTTGTCGATGAGGGTGCAGAGGCCGGCGGCGAGCAGGGTCCAGAACATCTGGGGAAAGGTAAAGAGCAGCAGGCTGCGGCGGCCAAACGTGTCAATGGTCCAGAAGGCGGGAAAGGCAAAGAGCCAGTTGACGAGGCCGAAGCCAAAGGAGCCAATCATGGCCTTGAACTCGGGGAGGCCTGATTCCTTGAAGATGGAGGTGGAGTAGAAGGCAATGATGTTGATGCCGCACATTTGCTGGGCCAGCATCGTGACAATAGCAGCGAGGTTGGCGCGGCGCACGCGGGGGATGGTGAAGAGCTGGGCGAAGCGGCTGACGAGGTTGGACCTGCTGACGATGCGCTCCTCGAGCTCGAGCTGGGTGCCAATGTAGAAGACGTCGCGGGCGACCTGGATCTCGTGGTGGCGCAGGACCGACATGGCCTTCCAGGCGTCGGCGAAGCGGCCCTTCTTCATGTACCAGCGCGGCGACTCGGGGCACAGGTAGATGCCGACGAGCAGCGGGACGGCGGGGATAAAGGGCGCGCCGAGCATGAGGCGCCAGTTGATGTCGGGCACGTGGAAGACGGCGAGGTTGAAGGCGGTGCCGAGCATGATGCCAAACGCCGTCCACATCTGCCACGACATGACGAGCGCCCCGCGGATCGACGCCGGCGCGTTCTCGGCCGCGTAGATGGGCACCGTCGACGCCTTGGCGCCCATCCCGATGCCCATCAGCAGCCGGCAGGCGAGCTGCTGCTGCCACGTGTGGCAAAACGCCGACCCGATGACGGGCCAGATGCAAAAGTGCGCCGAGAACCAGATGGTGCCGCGGCGGCCAAAGTAGTTGTTGAGGGGGTCTGAGAGCCAGCAGCCGATGAACCTGACAGTTTTGCCAAGTTAGTTTCGTAGCAAACGTACGGGAGAGAGAGAGAGAGAGAAAGAGAACGTACGCGCTGCCAATATAAGGAGCGGCGTTGATGAGGCCGACGAGGATCTGCTCGCGCGCGCTGTCGCCGCCGATGCCGTAGTAGCGCGGGAAGAAGATGGTGGCGCCGTTGGCGCCCGTCTGGTCCCAGCCCTGGACGGCCGCGCCGACGGAGCACATGGCAATGGTCCAGAAGAGGCGCGCGGGCATCGCCCACTTGTTGGTGGCCTCGCGGTCCAGCACGGCGAGCTCGTCGGCCGTCAGCGCCTCGTCGCCGTCGACGAGCCGGATGCCGGCCGGGTCCTGCGCGACGAGCGCGCCCTTGCGCAGCATGGGCAGGTGCTCGGCGAGACCGCGCGCGCGCGCAAAGTCGTCGACCTGCCGCATGAGCACGTCGCGCGGGATGCCCTCGAGCGGGTTGCGCAGGCGCGCCTCGAGCGTCCGCTCCACGACGACCTCTTCGGCGTGGGTGGTGCCTTTTTCGGCGTAGAGGTCCGCGGCGGCGGCCTTGTTGATGTCGTGGGACATGGTGGGAATTTATTTAGAGGACAAACTTTTTCCTATTTAGTATAAGAATAAAGTTGATGTTGGAGGTCTGGGCTGCGGGAAAGAGATGGGGTGAAGCGGCCCTTGGTAACCAAGCAGGGGTCACTTGGGATTGTCTGGGACAGAAAGGAAGGAAGGGGCGACGATGGAGAGAATGGGGGAATGCTGGGGGTATTAAAGGAAGAAATGGGAAGTGAGACGGTAAAGTATAACCAGCGCGATTTTCCCCATGGCCCGGTCTAAGTAGGACAATGGGGGTGTGTCTGATGATGGCGACATGGTTGCGGACAAGCGAGGCGCGCCAAGGCTAGCCTTGCCGGACCCAGAACAAGGTGACTACTAAGTTAGTGATCCACGCTTATGGACCAAGGCGAGAAACATGAAGAACCCCAGTCAGTTCGGGTGCCCGTTGCGGCCCATACATGCCAGCGGGCGAACGAAGACGGAGCGGCTTACATGGAGGTTGTGCAAGCAGCTTCGTGGGGAAAGGCGCCCTGAACTAACGGAGCTCTGCTTCCCACTTGAAGCCATCAAGAAAATAGGGTTTACTAGCGCCCGCCGGGACGTATTTCTGCATCGAGGTGCAAAGAGAGGTGCCCGCGTGACCGACTGTTGGTTTCCAGGAAGATGGTTCTGTAGCTCTATTGCGGGATTTAGTCATTCGAGAACAAGAGGCTTTACAAAAAAAGAGGTTCTGTAACTACCTACTTCTAGCATACCCTCGATGAATAGAAAAGCGGCATGGAAAGATGGGAGGAATGTGCTGTGGTGTGCAAGACACACACACACACACACACAAGCCTCCATCGATCAACTAGCACAACCCACGAAGCGATGGCTCGTCTAGTGGCCCCAACAAATGCGACGCTACGTCGTGTCGTGCCCCGTCATCTTTCATTGTTTCTCTCGTTTCTCTCCCCCAGGTGGACATGGACGGTGCTGCTCACATGGAGTGCCAAGGTGAAGCCAACGCCACAACCATGATGGTCCTTTGCCAGATGCGTTTGTTGTATGACACTTGAAGCAAATGGTATTGTCTTGGCTGGCAGCCTTTTTTGCTAAACCGGCCCGAATGGTTACCTAGTAACATACTCCCTCTCTGGCCTGGAGGGCGACTCAGACTAAGAGGTTGATGCGGTAGTTACTTGCGCGCTATCAGATGCGGCCTGTACAATGCGTGGGTCGTGTTAAATTGCCAAGTCGCTCTGCAATTAGCACTGGTCTGCGGCCCCCAATCATGCATCGCCACCATCATGACATCATTCCAGACAAGTCCTCCTAGAACAAGACCACAAGACATAATCCCATCTGTCTCAATCGCAAGCATTTTTTCGCCCACCATCCATCCCATCCTCGCCCTTTTCTGCCTCCAATTCTCAGCTCCAACGACGCCCCGGATCCCTCACGACGAGCTCTGAACTTCCTCTCCTGGTCCAATCTTGGCCCCAGCCTCGCCTCCCGCCACCATCTCGACGCCGGCTTGCAGCGGGCTCCACCGTAGACAGTGTGGCGTTCCGTGTGGCGTTTGCGGCTCCATTCCAGGCAGCAGAATTCCCGGCTCGATGAATGGATGAAAAGAAGGGCTTGGGGGGGCCGCCTATTCGCCAAGATGTGGCTTGGTGTGTGGGGGTTGAACCTTTCTTCTTCCCCAAAACACGAAAAAAAAAGCAACATGGCGTTTGGGTTCGGCCAGTTGTTTCTACGGTGTACAACATTTCAATTGACCAAGATGCGCCTTTTACGCTTTGACGATGACCGCTTATGACCACCTCTGGTTGTGGTGCTTCGCTGCTCGCGGCTTTTTGCCTGGTTTCTACTACGAGCAGCCGACCTCTTGAACTCGAGCTCCAACCTAACAGCCCAACATCCAGATCCAGCCCACGAGCACAATTGGTTTCCTACTTTAAAACCTGCAAAGTTTTCAGACTCTAGTCTCAAGACGGACTGCTTTCATCAAAGTCATCAACGCACGACTCATGAATACAGAATAACCCCAGCTCTTCAACCCCGCCGTTCCCCACGGGAACAAGGAGAATCATTCCCGTCATTCGCTCGTTATCCTGCTGCCTGGTGAAATGTGGTTCAATGGCCCTCTCCAAGGCCGCCAAGCCAAGCCCCTTGTCGCGAACCGCTTGCCGCTAATCTTCTTCGTGGCTCAGGCGCCCTGCCGGAGGGAATCCGCGAGAAGGGTCAGAGAAAACCGCCAATGATGGAGTAGCCAGAATACTACTGAAAAGCTTCAATCGCGTTACCGTCTCCGCAGGTCTCGGCAGGTTGCTCGTATGTCCATAAACAGCAGAATTCCGGACAAAACGGCCCGGGGCAGCGGGGAGCACGCCACCTCGCACCATCAGTATTCTCCCTTTACTCCGTTTCGGCGTGCTCTACGCTGGGATTTCATACCTTCTGCTTAGGGCCTTCCGGGGGTGATCATGCCAGTTGTTAGAGAGTCGCAGATGAGGCACAAGTTGGGAGCACTTCTTCACCTATGCGCAATGTGCTTTACTACTGTCCCCAATCCTTGTTCCGAGAAAATTCAAGATAAAATTGCAACGGTACTTTCTAGCATCTAGTACACCACAAGCCCAGCCATGTCTAGGTCTAGGACCAGTTGCCAGCGCAACTCGTCATACTCTTCCGAAAAGCTACACACATCGTCCCCTTGCTTCGCCTCCAACGCAAGGCGGTGCAGTCTGCGCTCCTCCTCGTGCCCACCACTGGCTCTCAATCCACGACCAAGAAAGGACGGCCACTCCCGGGCACAACATTTCAAAGGCGACACCACCGGCTCTCCATCGCCTTGATATCCCGGAGTAGCTGCAATCGTCTGCCGCAACGCCGTATAGAATTCAGCGGTCGGGACCGTCCCCGTGAGCAAGCAAATAAGCATCCCACACTTCGTAAACACCGGCGCCGTCTCGGGCGGGTGCGGGTCACCAAGATATCTACCCGAGTATGTCTTCCACTCGAACTTGAAATTTCCACCACTGTCATCTATAAGATGCTTCTTCAGTGCGTTCCTCACCACTGCTACTTCGGCTCTCTCCCAAACAAAGTCGAACATAGGGTAGGTGGACGTAACCTCCACCGTCAGCCAGCTCGCGCAAAGCGGAGGGTGCAGCTCCCTGAGGCTCCTGCACACATGGGGCTCGCAATTGCTCACGACACCCTCTCCCGGGTGGCAGTTGACACCACAAACGCACAACACGTGTCCCATGCTGTAGAGGTCCATCCCCATGTTTATCGAAAGTCTCCCAACCACTGGCCTCTAGCGATAGCCTCTTGGCGCTGGAAATAATCATGCAATGAAGAAAAGTCGTGTAATGAAGGACCGCTGGTCTGCTTCCTCCTGGAAAATGGATAAAAAGGTAAGATGAACAAGTCAAGTCCACCAGACTGTCGTGCCGCTCTTTTAAGTTAACCCCTCCTGTTTCATGGGGAACAAACGTGACCTTACTCACCCTGATTCGCCCCCCTGTGTTGTCATATTCACTGCCCGCTCGTACTCACCAGCCTGGTTGTTCTCGTCCACTAATGATGTTGATCATTGTATCTGGCGTCTCCACCTCCCGTTGCGCCTGCTATTAGTTGTTAGTCACTCCATCTCGTCGTTTCGCTGTAGGACCACACGGTTGTGTGTATTTTAGCTGATCCCTGCCTCTACTGCGTCGAGTTCAGTTGGGCCCTGGGTCGAAGGGCCACTATACCAAACATAGAAGAAAGGAAACATGGAAGAAAGGAAATATAGAAGAAAGGAAACATGGAAGAAAGGAAACCTGGAAGAAAGGAAACATAGAAGAAAGGAAATATAGAAGAAAGGAAATATAGAAGAAAGGAAACATAGAAGAAAGGAAATATAGAAGAAAGGAAATATAAAAGAAAGGAAATATAAAAGAAAGGAAACATAGAAGAAAGGAAACATAGAAGAAAGGAAGTATAGAAGAAAGGAAATATAGATGAGATTACAGTTCGTCACAGTCACCAATGTGATTACTATTAAAGTGGTTTGGATGCAAGTATAAGAGCTTAGTGCTATTTCTCGGCCCGCGTGAAGGCATCACGAGTTCCATTTTCAGTAAGTGGGATCTACCCCGACATGTTCACACCTATAGACACGACAGCCAAAACGTGCGACGCCGCATAGTAGAGGAAGAAAGAAGAAAGAAAGAAAAAGAAGTAATTATATAATAAGAAAATAGTAAGAATAAGGAAGAAGTTAGTCTAATTAGTAGGTTATTTTATCCCCTTTATATTTCCTAACTACTAGGCTATAAAAAAATCTAGATTATACTAAGAAAGAGTAATTATTTTATAAATTTAGTTCCCTTAGGCCTTAAGAGTATTATCTATTCTAGAAGGCAATTTATACCTTATAAGTTTAAGAGAGTGGCATTTCACTTATTCATTCTCAACTGCACAAGTTCTCCCAACGGCGTCGATCCATCGTGTTGTATCAGTCCATCCTCAAACTTGCGGAAAATATTATCAATATACTCCCCCGCCCCTGAAAGATACAGGACATGTCCAATAGCGCGGTGCAGAGCAAGAAGGCGCGGCGACGGTGGGTCGATCCGATGGTCCGCCGTGAGGTACAGCGTCCTTGTAACAGGTAGCATTCTGTATCCAATCCCCTGGATTGTTCTGATCGTATATGTATGCGGGCGGTCGGTAATTGGTGTAAAGTATAGATCGAAATTCCCGAAGGCTCGGTGTAAGCTGAGAGTAAGTGTTATAGCATTATGTGGTCGGTCAACGTCCACACCATTGATAAGATGAACAACGTCACTATCGAACATATGGAGAATCTCTAGAGCCGTCTTTTTTGATTCACTCTGAAGAACCATCAATAAAGAAATGCTTAGCAGTAGACGCAAATAGGAAATACGTACTAAGGAGTGTGGTAAAATATGAGCAACCTCTAGCCAGTCGAAATTGCCATCCTCAATAGGGTTGCCTTCATCATCAAATATCTGGCCTTGTAGGGCTTGTTGTTCGCGTGCCTTACTCATATCGAATGCTCGCGATATGACGCACCGATGCCTATCGCGAATTAAACAGTCGCCACGGAGAGTCGACAGCCGTTCTGGCGTTCCAACAAAGTCTCGGCTGCTCGACCTCAACGTCGCAGACCGGTGATGCGGCGTTGGTTGGGGCGACGCCCGTAGCGGCATAAAGAAGTGATGGACTAGGTGCTCAGCGAATCCTGCCACACGGGAACGCAAAATCTCGGTATACTTCTCATCAGAAAAATCGATAGCGCTCCCCTCCATAGGTAGTTCTATTGCGCGAAAGAAGGCGCGTAGGACATTATCCTTGGACTTTAACGATGTAGCATATTGGTATACTAATCCGACTAGCTTTGGCCTATTATAACTGGTAGAATCAGGGTCGCTGCTAGTAAAGTGCTTGATAATCTGATAGAATCGCTCTTCGGACGATGGGTTCACGAAACCCTGAGGGCTGCCATCGCCAGAGGACATGTCGAGCACGATGGATGGGGAGAAAATTGGCATTATGACCATGGAGATTGTGGCGCAGCATAGCCAACCCGATTGTGGCTAAAGACCATGTACCCTCTCTTACCTTTATTACACAGAACAACATTATAGCGCTTTTAGAGGCACTTACAGGCAGCGCAGGAGAGGGAGGGCGCGTAAAAGGCACTCTCAGAGGCACTTTTAGAGCCCCTAGAGCCCCTAGAGCGCCAATCCAGGCTTTATGTGGTCATTTACTGAAGCCGCAATATTGGGAGTCAGCAAGTATCGTCAGGAAAAATACAATGAGCCATGTAAATTATGAGCGCATATGAAAAAAATGAGCTAAAGAAGCAGCCATCTCACTCTGTGCTCAATACCTTCCATACCCGGTCCCTACACCTGCACTCTCTTCTTATCTTTCCACCGCGCCCTCGTCACTCTCAGAAGCGCCCAGGCAATCAGTCTATAAATCACGACGCACGCCAAGAGGCAATAGGCATTCACGTTCGGGTCCACGTCAAAGTTGTACAGCGTCAGGACCTGCTCGCCCGACGTGATGGGACACGCGCCGTCCGGCAGCGCCTGCTCCGGGGTGCAGCCAAACTGGACCCCGCGCATGGCGTACGGCGCCATGGCGCGCGTCGCGTAGCGAATGGGCGAGAGGTAGTTGAGGGCGTCAAACGCGGGCGGCATGTGAATGGACAGCACGCCGGCCATGCCGTTGGCGACGGACAGGAAGACGCCCATCATGTTGACGGCGAAGCCCGTGTGCGCAAACAGCGTGTTGAACATGATGCCCAGGCTCTCGCCGCACGAGACGACGCCGAAGCAGCCGAAAAAGGCGGCAAAGTAGAGCGAGGCCGTCCCGGGGTTGCGCACGGCAAACGTGGAAAAGAGGCCGTAGATGAGGCAGCTGAGCACCTCAAACGGCAGCTCGAGCAGCGTGTACGACAGCACAAAGGCGTCGACGCTGTACACGCCGTCGTCGTCCTCGCGGTAGAATACGTCGCGCTCGGCCGGGTACACGGCCACGTTTTGCAGCATGCCCACAAAGTAAAACGCGCCGAGCTGCTGCACGTAGCCCATCCGGTTCTGCACCGAAAAGTAGTCGTGCTCAAACGGCGCGAAGAAGAGGGTAAAGAGGCCGGCGAGACCCGCCACTTGCATCGTGCGCGCGAGGATGAGCTCCGGTTGGCGGCGCGAGTTGATGACGGCGCGGCGCAGGAGAAGCGGCAGTGCATTGATCAGGGAGGTGCGCTTGCGGACCAGCGCGCCCAGTTCGGCGGGCGTAGAAAGGTTGGCGCGGTTGAAGGACCGCCGGGGTGAGGTTGCGAAAGCCCCTGTAGGCTCGAGGGTGTTCTTGTCCTGGGAAGCCGCAGGCAGTGTCTTTTCACTAGATTCGCCTCCTTTTGGTTCACATATCTTCAAGTCAACCCCAGTGTCGCCTTGCTTGCCGTTGGTTTCGTCAGCCTCTTCATCAATGGGCGATAGTCGCTGCTCCTGGAGATCCGTTGTGGGATCAAGATGTACAGCCCAACGTTCAATAAGCTTCTTCACCCGCACGCGGCTTTCCGCTTCCACATCTTCTTTCTGCAAGTCAACTGTGATCATGTCCAGCGCAAAGTCGGCGGGGTTGGTGTTCCTTGGGCAGTCGTACCCATGTCGGCCAAAGTAGCCGAGCATATCCCTTCCCGCACCTGCATAAACGGGGTGACCGCCACGAGACAGCAGGAGAACGTTGCCAAAGTGCTTGAATAAATCCGATCGCGCCTGGTGGATGGTGAGGATGAGAGTGCGTCCCTCATTGGCAAGACCATGGAGCACCTCCATGATGGAGCTCGCTGTAAAGGCGTCCAGGCCAGAAGTAGGCTCATCGAGAAGCAGCACCCGCGGGTCCGTCAAGACCTGGACGGCGATACTGGCACGTCTCTTTTCACCACCCGAGATTCCCTTGATCATGTTGTTTCCCACTAGATTGTTGGCGCAGTCTTTGAGACCCATCTTGAGCAGGACTTCCTCCGCTCGGCGATATTTCTCCTCGGTGCTCATGAATGATGGCAGGCGTAGGCCGGCTGCAAATCGCAACGTCTCTCGGACGGTGAGAGACGGTAGGAGGGCATCGTCATCTTGACAGACATAGGAACAGACGGAGCGAATGACAGAGTCTGACGGAACAGCTCCATTAAAAGTCAGTTTGCCAGAGGGCCGATATTTGGTGCCCACGGAGTTTCGCAGTCTAAGTGCCATGGCGTTGAGAAGGGACGTTTTACCACTTCCCGATGGGCCCATTATAACGTTTAGGGTACCTGCTTGAAACGTGGTCGTGACAGGATTGACAATGAGGCGTCTGGGGAGGCGCTTGCCAGTGGCTGCCTTCTTGTCCAGTGCCAGCGCGAATTTGTCTAGACCGACATCAATAGCCCTCACTTCACCGATGGAGCGTGCCGTCATCTTTTCTTTTCCGGCAGACAAGTCGGTATCTGTCGTTCGAGCTCGAGCAATTGTCATTCCCACTTTGAAAAATGTAAGGCCAACCGTGGACAAAAGCAGAAAGAGGGCGATGAACGAAGCCAGCGCAATGATCGGTCTTGTAATCCAATTCGTCGGGAAGCCTAGAGACCTCATGATATACTTACCAGTATACTGTTCGCATGCGGGGTTGTCTCTGCCGCCAGGATACGGACAATCGTAGAAGCTTCCTTGAAACTCATTCGCACAATAAGCACTAAATGCGTAGAACTGGAAGCACTGATTAGCCATGACTCGATCAGGTTGGCGGCTGAAATTCATACATTGTATGCTGTCCATTTTATCCATCGAACATAGACCGGGATACTGCTGGATTGCACAAACATGCCGCATGCTATACTCTGAATGGTGTAGACCAAATTGGCCAACAGGCTTGCTCCAGGAAAATGTCGGACGGCCGTGACACACGCCATGGCGCATGTCACAGAGACGTACTGATTGAGTAGGGTGATTGCAAAAAAAGTGAAGAACTTTCCCACATCCCGATCAAAGCCAGATAAAAAGTACATCAACACGGAGAAGATGAACGGCACAGGCACATCCTCAGTGGGCATTCGCGCGATTCGGCGAGACAGAATGAACGGGAGAGGATCAACGCAATTTTCAGAGTTTTCACGGTCGAATGTTGGCATGTCGATAGTCAGTCTGTACACTTCGAATAGGAGAATCAGATATCCTTGAAGGCCAGCGGTAATGTATAGTCCGCCCTGGCGGGATCTGATGCCAGCTTGGTCGCGACCGACATTCCAGAACATGTAACCTGTGAGGGCTCCGAGAAGCACGGCTTCGAGAATGGCGGCAGTCATACCCATGGGGTCGCGATAAGTGACTTTAAATGTTCGGCTGGTCAAGACCCGGAGCTGGCGCAAGAACCCAGCCCGTTCGTCGTGCCCATTTGAACAGAGGCGAGGATGGCGGCGATGCGGTTGGCTCACTACACCGCCCAAGGGTAGAAACAGTTTCTCGCTCTCTTGGCCCCATGCACGCTTCAGGCTGTCAACACGCAGGCTGCTCTCCGTCTCCAACTCTGGGGTGCGATTGTCAATGGCGGCAATGTCGATGACGAACTCTGCCGGGTTTACAAAGGCGGGGATAGGAAATCCTTGACTTTCAAACCAAGGGATGCACTCGGAAGCGTCACCAGAATAGACGGGGCTTCCTCTGGTCAGAATGACGATGTTGTCAAAGAGGTTCCAGATTTCGGAGCGAGGCTGATGAATAGTAGTAATAACTGTACGGCCCTTCTTTGCCAATGACTTCAGAGTTCGGACGAGTTGATACGCACTGGTAGCGTCCAGACCAGTAGTTGGCTCATCCAGGAAGAGGATGGATGGATTCGCAAGAAGCTGAACGCCAATGCTTACGCGCCGCTTTTCGCCGCCAGAGCAGCCGCGATGCTGCGAGTTTCCGATTCTCGTATCCGCACATTCTTTGAGGCCTAGTTCCCGGATAACTTCTTCAACAATACGCCATCGGTCTTGGCGTTTCGAAGTCGACGGTAGGCGCAGGTCCGCTGCGTAGCGCAAGGTCTCACGCACTGTTAAAGTTGGAAGCAGAATATCTTGCTGCATCACGTAGGCATGGCGCACGTTGTGAACACCAGTCTCGCCATTGAACGTGACAACACCTTCTTGGTGCAAGCGCGAGCTGACCATGCGCTCAGCCATCGTGTTGAGCAGCGTCGTTTTGCCTGAGCCACTGCCGCCAATGATGGCCGTGAGACTGCCCGGGGCCAAGTCGGCATTGACGGAATGGAGAAGGGTCTTCATTTCCGGATCAGTGCTGAATTTAGATTTGAAAAGGGTTGGATAGGTAGAAGGGGCGAGCCAAGACGGCGCGGTATTGACGGAGACCTCGAGGTCGCGAATCTGGACTTGGACACTGGCAACATCGTCGAGGGAAAGCTGACCGGCGCCAGATAGTGAGAGGCGTCGCGTATCGCCGTCTGTTCTCTGATGGCCAGTGTGCTCGATAGATGTAGCAATCGAACTAGCTCTGTCCGTTTTATCGCTCTCGCCGCCGATTTCCACTGGCGGAGCAGGCACTTGAGCCTTTTCCTGATCGTGAGACGCCATTTGGTCAAACAGGATAACTAGTTCAACGAGAGCCTTCGAAGAATAGGGGAAAGAAATCAGATAGGACCTAGATTCCTAGTCAAGCTTCAGCTTGGACCAGCTGGGATATATTTAAGACATTTGCTGTCGACAATAAGCAAGCAAGACAGCACCGATGCTGTTCGGGTCGCACAGTCCAATAACGTCCAATTGGTGGTCAACACGGTCAACACTGTCATTCAAGGAAGCCTGAGGGAGAGAACAGACGGTCCTGTTGATGGTGAGTTGAAATTTGAACATGTAAGATAGATAGATGGCAAACGGTCCGGGGTTGAGAGAAACGGCTTACTCCACTGAAACTAGCAGCGTTGGCTGGCGGGGATTGAGGGGCTTCAAGGGTTGGTCGTCCCAGTGGACAACTCAGCGAAGAGTTTCTTCTGGAGGAATATTGAGGGAAGGAAGAGAAAGAAATATTGCGCCATTATAGCCGAGGTGTGCCAGGGAAAGGCCCGTGACGACTCGTTAGCCATCCTCGTCATGGGTAGCAAGGGAAGCTGGCGTCGTGACTCAACGTTGCAATCAAAGCACTTTCTTCGAGCTGCCCAAAACTCACGATACGCGTATAGCCCAGATGGACAGGTCCGAAAAGAGATCCAACACGCAGCTGAGCCCGGCAAAGGCGAAAGCCAGGCTAATGATCCGACCGTCGGCCACACCCATGGTCCGATGCTTTCCGGCTACTGGCCAGCACTAGCAAGGTTGCTACATACAACTTCATTTGCTGAAGAAATTAGGCCGACAGAGCTTCAAGCCTGATGTTGATATCACTGGACGCCACCAAGGCTCGCGTGGGGAACGAACCGGCCGCGGTAGTTATGTTGGAACTTTGAACCGCTCGGAAAGGTGTGTGGCCACCCGAATAGGCGAACCCAAAAAATCAGGCCATCTCTGCATACGCATAAAAGAGGCTTCATTGGAAAATAGACCTTCCAGAAACGGCGTCACTTCTGCAGAGAGTCCATCAAACTCGCTGCCTGTGCATGTTCGCGCCAAGCAAGGCACGGCTGTTGTATGGATGTAGGTAGGTAGTGTCAAGCCTTGCTGCTGCTCATTTCGCCATGGTAAAAAAGCACTCCGATATCACTAAATCCGGCCAGTTTGGTGCCCAAGTATTTATCCTCAGCCAAAGTGTCTCCTAATCCAAGCCCTTCTCATACTGCTTCCACTCTGGAAGCATATATAGGAACTAACAACCCGCAAGCCATTGCATGTCTGAGCGGGGCGTCCCCCATCCTTCATGTCCAACTTGGTCGCTCATAGCTTCGAAATCACTACAGATCCTCAATCGGATCAATCGGACCGTCGTACTCATCCACATACTCCTCCTCCGAATGCCCGTGCAAGATCCCCGATGCCATATCCGCAACCAGACTCCACTCAAACGCAAACGGCGGCTCCGCCTCGACCGAGTCGAAAAAGTTGATCACATTGGGTGACGACGGGTCAAACCACAGCTGCGTGTCCGCCGGCAGCGCCTCTCCGCCCTCACCGCCGTACCCGTACCCCTCAAAGTGCCTCTGCCGCTGCGCCAGGAACCAGGCGTGCGTCTGCTCCACGTACGCGCGGATCGAAACGTGCGTTTCCCCCGCGGCGGCGGCAATGTCGAGGCGGGCAGCCGGGGTGGACAGTGGCTCGCTCGCGTCGCCCTCGACGCCGAGATACGTCGCCTCCTCGAGCTGCAGAGTGAGACGCGCTGTCGGCGGGTCGCTGCATGGCGCTGCGGCAATCTCGTGAAAGGTGCCGTCGGCGGCTTGCAGAGGACACTGCGCGGAGGCGGCATCCTCGGGGTCCTCGATCACGTTGATGTGGGAAAAGGCTGGGCCGTCGGTAATTTGCCAGCGCAAACGGAGAAATTCGAGCGAGGGCTGGGCCTCTTCCACGTAGTCTGTGTCGGCCATTCTGATGGTCTTGTATTGTCGAAAAAAAAAAAGAGAGATGGAAGAAGTGATTTTCCTCTCGCGAACCAGGGCTTTCCGGCTTCCTTCTAATAAATATAGGTACTAGATAGGCTAACCAGCCTAATTAGCGTATAATAAGCAATTTCTGCTCAATAGAAAATGTCGCGGGTGAATAATGTTGCCCTTTTCGCGTCGTTTGTGCAGCAGCAAGATTTTTGCTCTTGACAAAGTCTGTGGAGTGGCGGCCTTTGTAGTGGAACAACATCACCATCCAACAAATAGTAAGATATTCCAAAAGGAAAAAGTAGCCTTACACGTATGGGATTGCTACGAAAGAAAAAGAAGGGTGAGACTTATTATTTATACAGTTTTTCTTCCTCTATAGCGTGCGTGCTTTCCATTACAAACCCCCAACTCCTACACACATAAAATGCAGGTTCCCTACGTTCTCTTCTCCGTAATGGTTTCACCAACCGGCTTCTCCGTGACCAACCCGCCGTCGCCCGCGCCGTGCTCGAAGATCTTGGTGCCACGCAGCCACGTCTCCCGGACGCGTCCCGTAAATTCGTGGCCCTCCCACGGCGAGCAGCGGTTCTTCCAGCGCATGTCTCCATGCGAAAAGGTCCACGTCTCCTCGTCGTCAAAGACGCACACATCGGCGTCGAGGCCCGCCCGGAGCGCACCCTTGCGGTGCGCGAGTCCGACCTGCTCGGCCGTCGCCTGGCAGCAGAGGCGCACCATGTCGACCAGGCTGGGCACCGGCGCCGCCGACGAGGCCGCCGCGCGGGCCTTGGCGGATGAGTGAAGGATGGGCAAGCCGAGGCCAACGGACGAGATGCCGCCCCAGGCCGCAAAGAAGTCACCCTTGTTCTTCTGCTCCGATACCTCGGCGGCGGCGGCGGCCTCTTGCTTTTGCAGGTGCGCGGGCAGCAGCTTCAGCGCAGGCGTGCACGGCGAGTGGTCCGACACGACGGTCGCGAGGCACGAGTCGGGCGCGACGAGCTCCGCCCACAGGCCGTCGCGGTTGCGGCCGTCGCGGATCGGCGGGCAGCACTTGTGCCGCGTGTCGCCGTTGTCAATCTCCTCGGACGCAAGGCCTAGGTAGTGGAAGCACGTCTCGGCCGTGATACGCACGCCGCGCGCGCGCGCCGCCTTGAGCAGCGGAATCACCTGCACGGCGGAGAGGTGCACAATGTGGAGGGCCAGCTGCGGTGCGAGGTGCGCGAGCGAGAGGATCTCCTCGACGGCACACGTCTCAAAGGATGGCGGCCGCGAGTCGAGAAAGGACTGGTAGGCGGTGGCATCGGCGCTGTTGGCGTCGATGCTCGGCGCGCCTTCGTGCGGTACCATCTCGGCGTGGAACATGAGCGTCGTGGGAGAGTCTTTGAGCGTCTCCATGGCGAGAGCGACATCTTTGCCCGTCACGGCTGGAAACTCATCCACCTGTTCATCGACCGTTTAGCCAAAGCGCACAGAGAAGGGTCTTAGAGCTTTTTTGGGGGGCAGTTAAGTAGTACTTACACCAGATTCAATCAGGAAGCCCTTGAAGCCGCGGACACCCGCCTCCACGAGCGGCTTCAGCTCATCCGCATTACCAGGAATGACGCCGCCGTAGAATCCAACGTCGACCCAGCACTGCCCCCGGCTCGCCGCGAGCTTCTCCCGGAACCCGTGCATCGTCGTCGTCGGCGGGATCGCATTGAGCGGCATGTCAATGACGGTCGTGACGCCGCCGCTCGCCGCGGCGCACGTGCCCGTCCAGAAGCCCTCCCACTCGGTGCGTCCCGGCTCATTGAGGTGGACGTGCGCGTCCACCAGGCCCGGGAGGAGCACCTTGGGCGAGTGGTCCACGTAGGTGGTGTCGCTGGGAAAGTCGGCGCGCGGCCGGACAGCGCGCTCGACCGCGACAATCTTGCCCGTGGCGGGGGACATGGTAATGGTCGCGGGTGACTCGGCGAGCGACCCGTCGGGGCCCGCGAGAATGGCCCGCGAGGACACGAGAACCGTGAGAGGGCCAGACATGGTTGCGCCGGGGGGGGGGGTTGGTTTTGGAAGCTGGTGAAGTTGGAGATGGTGGGGGCGGGGTAGCTGCTCGTAGGACGAACGGCTTTGAAAAGCGTGGACTTGTGTCAGGACTGGGTATCGAGACCAAGATTGACAAAAGAAAAGGGTGGTTACTATTGAGTTAAAAGTCAACGGAGCAGGGGAAGGAATTGATTTTGGTCAATTTAGAGAAACGGGTTCATGCTGTCGACAGTCACAAGTTGTGGCGCCGTCGGCCGGTGCCGGTTTGGCGCCTCGCCGGTCTCGATCTGTCGGCTGTTGCCACCAACTCACCGTGTTATTAGTAACATTTCTCTCCTTTGACCGTAATTCTTTGCAATTCTGGAGCCTAGCGACAAATAGTCATGTTCCAAACACCAGGAAGGTCTTCTTCTGACACATCATACGGCTCACCTATAAGCCTACCATCGGACTTGGCCGCCAACGGGTGACTTACCACCCCAATAGTCTAGTGGGCCGGAATCAATGCCACAGCTTACCTATAAAAAAGCTATGCCAGACCGCCATGTCCGAGTATCATTAACGGCCGCCTTATATTGTTTCACTGTAATGTTCAGTTGCGGGGTAGCTTCTTGCAAGGGTCTTCAGAAACGCCGTGCCTGTCATTTCAAGCTGGCCAATATGATTTCCTAGATTAAACGAAGAGATGAGTCTCATGGCAGTCCCTGTTTGCTGACAAAAATCCCTTCTTTTTCCTGGGTTTACCAAAGAACCCCAATCCAAAGCACCCTGTATATGTGCAATCATACATAACTCCCCATGCGAAAGGGCACATTCCATGCCAGTAGTCTCGTACAGATCTTCCTCATCTCTCTTCTCCAAATTCTTCGAGCCGTTTTCTAGTTACAGTATGATAATTGAAACGCTATTTGTACAAGGTCAGTAGAGCGTGCAAGGTCCAAACATCGACATTGTCGCCCGTATCAGTCGTTCAGAGGTGGGTGTTTTAGATTTATTTCTTGCGCTTGACAGTCTTCTCGGCCATCTCAATGAGGCCGTCTTTGGCTTCGCTGTCAGGGAAGTGCGCAATGGCAGCAATAGCCTTTTCGGAGTAGTCGTGGGCCAGGGCGCGGGTCTGCTCGATGCCGTCGCTCTGAAGAACAAGCTCACGGGCCTGTGAAGTGTTAGTTTATACTTTAAGCTGAGGATACTTGTGTTCACGTACGCGCTGGACATCGCCCTCCTGTTCAAACTTGCGGCCAACAAGGGCGCCAAGCTCTGGCGTCTCCTTCCAAGCAAACAGAAGTGGTGCGGTGGCGAGGCCAAGCTCGAGATCAGCACCTGCAGGTTTGCCGAGGTCCTTGTCTGAACGAGTGTAATCAAGCATGTCGTCAACTAGTTGGAATGCCAGTCCAAGATTTCTGCCGTACGAGTAGGCAGCCTCGACGGTGGCAACGTCAGTATTACCGAGCAGAGCTGCAGCGCGGCAAGACTTGGATATGAGACTAGCAGTTTTCAGGTACGTCTTCTGCAAGTAGTAGCTGAGGGCCTCCTCGGACCACTTGGGATTGCGCTCATCCCGCTCCGTATTCTTCAGCTGCATGAATTCACCTTCCACAAGGTTGGCAATGACGGTAGCCAAAAGTTCCACCACCTCGGCATTGCGCAGACGCGCCAGGGCGACGGATGCGCGGCCCAGCAGAAAGTCGCCCGCAAGCACGGCCATCTTGTTGCCGAACTCGAGGTTGGCAGAGGGAGAGCCACGACGCGCCTCGGAGTGGTCGATGACATCGTCGTGGAGTAGCGAAGCGGTGTGGATGAGCTCGGCAATCTCGGCTAGGCGTCGCTGGCTGGGAAGAATATCAAGTTCGGTGCTGGCCATGTCAGCCTCGGGGGCCGTCAACGGCAGCGACGAGGGGTTGAAGTCGCTGAGGACCCGGCCAGGCGATATTGATGTGTCGATGGCGTGAGCAGTCTGGGGGCTGTCGCTCTGCGGATTCTTGGCACACAGATACGTGGCTCGGCTCATTAGCAGGACGATCATGGGCCGGACATGCTTGCCCTCGGCTTGGGTATAGTATTTTGCGACTCGGTCGAGAGAGGGGTGGCCAGAGCCCAGAAGCTTTCGGATGTTTCCAGTGAGGAATTTCATCTCCTTGGCGACTGTCCGGAGGGGATCAATGGCCATGGTATCCTTGCTGGCCTTCTTGACGACGTTGCCGACGACATTTGAGGCAACCTGCACCGCCGCCGCCCAGGCTGAATCCCTTCTTGAGGTCGAATGGAGGCCGGCTCGGTGTACTCGAAATGGCTCCTGTGGCAGCCGGCAGAGCAGACAGAGCGGTGCCGCTGTCCTCCTGGCCGCGGCCTGGGCAAGGGCGGATGAGGATCGTTGACGTAAACTCATGGTGAGAGCAAGAGAGCTCCACAAGCTCAAAAAGGAGTATGCGAGCGGCTCCTTGGGTAAACGAAGTTGGCAATCCGGTCTTCCGAGCGCGCCTGGGATCCCGGAAACTCAATTGACGGCGCAGGACGAGATGCGGCTGGAACACTCATGGAGCAAGATAAATTGTCGCTGGCCAAACTTTTGCATCCGCTCTGATGCGCGACGGCGGGTCAGTCCGGAGCTCCACTATGACAGCGTAATGAGACTCCGATTGGTCGAATTGCTCAGTGCTAGTGGCACAGAGGGAGCTTTCAGCGTAGATCTGGGATTTTCTAGGGATGAGCAGCCTGTATCTCAATGTCCGTCCCAGGTTACAGCTTTGCCCATGTGGCCCTCTGGTTTGTTGATAACTGCTGCCTGACATATAACTCATCACCACTGGTCCCGTATCTGTGCGCAGGACCCGCGCGCGCATGTATTCCTCAAACAATACGGATAGATAATACTCAATCCACCAATTGCCTTGCAGTCCCGCCTTCCTGCGCTGCAGATGCCCAATACGCAATGGTCCTCCTCACCATGACGCCAGCTATCGTGGACTGCCTTGCGAGCACCGATGATCGTGCCATGATACCCGGCGAGTCTGGCGATCCATCTCTTATCAATCCCATGGTTGGTAACCCAATACTGCATAGCCAAATACTACGACTCTCAAGATGCCAAAAGACATTTCGCTTGGAGGAGCTACTTCGAGGGTCACAGGTCTACGTGGCCCCGCCAGCACCCAAACCTGCCAAGGTACGCACAGCGCATACAAGTCTTTGGAGCATTTTCTTACTTGGAACCCAGTCACCCGAGTACATAGCCCTCATGGCCAAACTTCGCCGAGACGAGGATGCCCGCGCCTACGAACGAATGATCAACCCTCCCATCCCACTCGAGACCTACAAAGATCGATTCCCCGACTCGGCGCGGGCTTTTGCTGCCGCGAACAAGCCAACAAGCGACGCAGACATTGGGGATGACGACATTACATACACCGAAATACATAGACAGGTCACGCTACTGATCAACTTTCTCGTCAGCATCGCCGGTGTAGCAGCAACGCTCTGGATTCTCGGCCGCTGGTGGAGCGTCCCAGCACGTCTGTTTCTTACAATGGGCGGCAGCATACTGGTCGCCATCGCCGAAGTCGCGGTATATGGTGGCTATGTGTGGCGGATGGGCGAGGCAAAGCGAAAGGAAGATACCAGACCCGAGCGGAGAGAAGTTGTGCAGAGCTGGGTTGTAGTCAAAGGTGAAGCCAGTGAGGCGAAAGACGATGATGCCGTACTGCTGCCGGAACATCCGCATGTGAACGAGAGTCAACTAAAAAGACGGGTCGTAAAGGTGCAGCCGACAAGTAGTTGAAATAATATCATAATATTTTCCACGTTGACGTCACTAGGCGTTCGAGCTTGAAAGGCTGGCATCTCTTTTTCTTTTTCAGAGAGGGCGGCACTTTGTCTGTGATCACTGACTCACAGCCCCGCTGAGGTAAAGTGTCTTCAACCCCCCTGGGCCTAGTGCCTAGTAGTACCACTCAACGCGAAATGGCCGCCTGGTAGGCAGTTAGGAGGTAGCCAACGTGGTACGCGCTTTCTGGTGGCTTCGCGTCTTTCGTGTCGCGCCGGGCCCAATGGGTCCGTCCCATCGCTAAACTTTGACCAGGAGTCGCCAAATATTTCTGAAGCGTGTAACTTTCAAATATTTTTTCAACGCGTATCTGGACACTCTGGTGTTGGGCTCGCCTTCGTTAATAGTGTCCCAATGAGTGCAACCAAGCTTTCATCCTTCCAATTTCGCTCCTCCGCCACCCCTCCGACATCATCTCTGTCGCCTCTGGTCAGCAAACGGCATCAACAAACCATGGTCAACTCGTCACCAGAATACGCGATGTAAGTTGAATTTTGATCTCGAATCATAAATTGTGTGCGCATACTAACCATAGTCCCTCGCAGAACAAAGCCAGGTCTGAGGCCTCTGTCGCGAAAGCGTGACAAGCCAATGCGTACCTATGGCCGGCAGGCGACGGCGACACCAGAACCTCGATCAGAGCCCCCAACCAAGAGGGCGCGAACCACATACGCCGTCCACGAGGATAAAAATGTGAAGCCACTCGGCATCGCCATGTCAGAAGTCGATGCGCCCATCTGCATCCCCGTATACAAAGCAAAGCCACAGCCTACCGCCGGGGAAGATCAAGAGAATCAGCCGCCGTCCAAGCCGGAGCCCAACGTGCCTGCAAAGCGATCGATACTCAACTACTTCCAACCCGTCACAACCCACCTGACACAAGTCAGTCCAGCAAAGACAAATATACGGCCAGACGCAAAACTTGCTGTGGAAAAGAAAGTAGAGCCTGCACCACGACCCAGGCGGCGACTGCTGAGGATCCGGTCGAATCAGTCTACCAATTCCGACGGCGAGGCGACTGAGGGTGATGAACACAATTGCGAGCGCGAAAGAGACAAAGCAAATGAGATGGTAAAGGGCAAAGTACGCCCCGGGTGCAAACGAAGGCTGGCTGGCGGCAGCGCAGCTACTTCCGACTCCAAGCGCGCCAAGCGGAAGCATCCATGTACAGAAGTTCAAACGACGCTCAACATTTCAAACAAGGCCCCATTTTCCGAATGCACAATTTGCGATACAGTGTGGAATCCTTTATACCCCGACGACGTCAAATATCACACGAAACGGCACGCAGCACACCTAAGGACAAAGAAGAAGAAACCCGAAGATGACTTTTAGCGTAATGACAAACCCTGCTTCATTAATTGATACCACTTTTAATTCCTCGTCCCCTGCATCATGCGTGTGTCTATGTGTGAGGACGAGCCACAAACACGATGCTGGCTGGGTACATTCACTCCTCTGAGGCAAGCTCAGGTAACAGCAGGTTCGTAACAAAGTTGTGTTCTCATCATATTCACTGGCAGTTGTTGGTATGTCTCCCTCTTTTGCACCTGATTTTTCGAGCCTCTTCTCATCTACCTCGCACGTTTTGATCCCCCGCTACCACCCACCAGTCATGGCTGGTTTCGATACTGCCTCGCTCCGGCTTGCTCTCGAGCTGCAGCTGCAAGACGTCGAAGGGCTCAAGCTAAAACCCAAGGGCCGAGGCCGCAAAAGGAAAGCCGGCGATGCAGATTTCGAGTTCGCCCTCGGGGCGTACCAGGAGGATCTCACGGCGGAGATCCAGTCGGTCGGCGGCAGGTTCCCTGCGCCGCCTCCCGCCCCCATCGCATCGTCATCTCGACCCAAGAAGCGCCTGGCCACCGGTAAGAGAAATGGGCCTTCTCCGAAGAAGCGAGTGAATCCGCGGCGAGCGGCAAAGGCCTCGTCGCCGCACGCGGCCGTCTCGACGCAGTCTGCGGCGGCGCAGACTGGACAGGAGGCGGCCAGCAACGCCTTGCAATGTCGCGTCTGCTTCGAGGACCAGGATGAAGAGTCGGTTTTCCGTACACCTTGCGATCACGTGTACTGTGCGGCATGTCTCGTTGGACACGTCACAAGTGCCCTTACCGGCGGATGCAAGTTTCCCCCGGAATGCTGCTCCACGCCTATCCCCTTCGAGGGTGCTGCTCTGCAGATGCTACCGGCCGATCTAGTGGCGCGGTTCCAGAGGATGCAGCTGGAGCTGAGCACCCCGAACCCACGATACTGCCACGACCCGGCCTGCGCCGCCTTCCTCCCACCGAGCGACTTTGCGGGAGACCGCGGCCTCTGTTCTTCCTGCAGGGCCTGGACGTGTATTCTTTGCCGGGCTGCCGCGCACGACGGCGTGTGCCCCAGCGATGCCGCTCAGAACGAGGTGCGAGACATGGCACGCCGGCGAGGCTGGCGGCCATGCGTCCGATGCGGAAATCTGGTCGAGAGGACGGGTGGCTGCGCGCATATGAGTGAGTCGCAAGAGCTTGCGTTTCTGGTACTTGACCAACTCCAACTTACACGGCTATCAGTATGTCCTCCGCCCTGCAATGGCCAATTCTGCTATCACTGCGGCCTGGCGTGGCGAACCTGCGGCTGCTCGAACCACTAGAACCGACAGACTCGTCAATATTTTTCTTGAGCCTGCGAGTGTATGATCATCGCAGGATTCTAGATGGCAGTGCAGAGGCAGAAGCTTCTATCTAGTTAGAGCCATTTATACTGACATGTCATTGGTGATTTATGCTTCATGTATTGTTGTCCGGCGCCGGTTGTTTGGACGGAGCTTTGCTGCCGAAGCAGGACAGCTTCCTTGGGCCGCGAGGTGACAAGTGCTGAAGTCACCCATATCACTGCGTTTCGGGCTTTGTTCTATCCTTTTCACTATATCTTCTTTACTTGATTAAGATGTCTTTTTTTCAGATGCGATTGGATTTGCCTGTTTGCCTTTCCATGGACACCAGACATCATGGACCCAACACACTGCGACACTTTTCTTCTGCGAATCTCTACTAGCTTTGTCAAGCGAATCGATCCGTTTATCTACGCGAAATCTCTATAGTCTGTCGCCATCACGCTGCTTGTCTTATCCACATTTGACCATGCTGCTATCGAGAGGGTCTCGGCCCATCACTGGTTCGAGCACTATCAGCGATGAACATCACTTTACGTTCACGAACTCTGCTGTTTGTTTGGGATTGAAAAGATACTGCATTTGGCAATGGTTGCGAGCGCGCCATGTGCGTCTTTCTTCACTCGAAGCTCGTCCAACAAGGCGAAGTGTGCCGGCCGGCAAGCAAACGGAGGCAGCGATTGCTGTTGGCCAGCCACTTTTCCAACACCATTCTCGTAAATTGACGAAATACAATTCCCTCGTTCTTGCACAGTTTAATTTTGTCTTGCTTATATTTGCTTTGCTTGACTTTTCTCGAAAATTGCCCGCATGAATAATGGCCGAACCTGCCGATCCTAGCGAGCTTCTTGCCCTGCAGCTCATGCAGCAGCATTGGGAGGAGCTCAAGGCTGAGCAAGATGACCGCCCTGATGAAGAGATGAATGATTTTAAACTAGCATTGCAGATGCAGTTGCTTAGTGTTGTCAACCACTTTCAGTCTCTCGAAGACAGAAGATACTGTCACCAGGTTTATCCTCAACCCGACACAGAGCAGCTCGATCCCATAACAGCAACCGCCGCCGAACAGTCTGAAGACGCTAGTTATTGGGCCCCAGATACCGCGGCTCCCAGAACTGTAGTTGGAACTCTGAGAATTGCAGACTCAGAGAGTAGTGAGGCCTCAGAGCGTGGAACCGCAGATAGCTCTGCAGCAGCTGCTGATGGCCCTGACTTGGCATGCGCGGCCTGTCATGAGGTTCAAGATGAAAAGCTCGCTACTCGAGTGCCCTGTGGCCATGCTTACTGCCCAGATTGTCTTACCAGCCTGTTCGAGGGGGCAACCACTGACGAGTCTCTGTTTCCTCCCCGATGCTGCAGACAACCGATCCCACTCGACGCTGCAAAGAGTTGGCTTCCTAGAGGGCTTATTACTGAGTTTGAAAGAAAGCAGCTCGAGTTTACCACCGCGAATCGAACCTACTGTTCCAACACGAAGTGCTCTTTATTTATCCCACCCAAGGATATCGCATCAGACCGCGCTCATTGTCAGTCATGCAACGAGTGGACTTGCACAATCTGCAAAAGCGCTCAGCACAATGACATGTGCCCTGATGACCCTTCGAAGGCCGAGTTTGTGGCACTGAAAGAGGAAAATGCCTGGCAGCAATGTTTCGGCTGTAAGAATCTCGTCGGGTTGACCAGCGGTTGTAACCACGTCAGTAAGTGTGATGTATTTATTTTCGTTGTCGAGTCAATTTCATCGTTGCCCCTATTCTGACGACGGTCCTTAACAGCCTGCCGATGCGGCAAGCAATTCTGCTACGAATGTGGTGATGAATGGCGTACGTGCAGCTGTGAACAATGGGAAGAAAGGCGCATTATCCTGCGAGGCAATGAATAGGCGGCAGCATCACATTCGCTTAACCTGATGAGTGTGAGCATTGGGGCTGGACGTGTCGCTCTCGCGGAGGTCGATGTGAGGAATGCCGGTAAGGATTGCCCACTTTCCTTTTCGAGTGCCTTGGATGCCACATCATGGCATGCAAAAGATGCAAACTCAATCGACTATAAGATGGAGTGGCAACGGCAGCTAGTCTCACCGTTACTGATCAACGAAGGCGGGGATTTGGGGGTGCTAGATTTTTTGCAGGCTCGATTGTGAAGCCTCTTTTGTTGGAATTTCCATCTGTCTCACGTTCGAGTCGTACTACGAGAAGAGAAGGACTCGCGATGGGGGGCAGTTGCTGTAGGAAACATTTGCACGGGCAGATTTTGGCCATGTTTCGAAGATGGAAACCATGAAACTCTTGCTGTTCTTGATCGTTCATTGTATAGTATAGCAATAAAAGTGCATCGATTCGTAACATCTGCTCAGCATGGGGTTAATCCGAGTGTTGCGGCTGCCACAATTGACATCTGACAAAAGATTGGGCATGTCACAAATTTGTAATTCGCTGAACAAATGGTGATTTCATAAATACAGGCTCATGATGATATGCTTTTGTACACTACTCCTCTGCCAGCTTGGCTTCCTGCACTTCGGACCGGGAGGATCCGTCTGCCTCCTCGGCCACTGTCCGCTCCGAGATTGTGAGAACCATGGGCAGCACGACGATCAAGGAGCCGATGCACAGGCCCCAGTCCATGGCCAGCTGCTTGACGGGCTCCAGGTGCAGGGCGTTGAGTCTCCAGGCCATGGCGGCGCCGGCGGCCTGCAGGCCCTTGTACAGGCCGACGAGCACGGCGGCGCGGGACGTGCTGTTGGACTCGGTGCCGATGAGCCAGTAGGCGTAGCCCTGCCACAGCGCGTCGTAGCATCCGTAAAAGATGTAGAGGAACATGGGGCCGACGGCCTTTTTGCTGTCCTTGAAGTCGAGCGTCTGCTTGCCGCCGTTGGCGAAGAAGTCGTCCTGCCACAGCTGGAAGTGGTAGCCGCCGCCCCAGATGACCATGCCGGTGACGAAGACAAAGGCCCAGCCGAGGCGGGCGCGGTTGGGCCGGCTGAGCATGGGCAGGTCGAGAATCAGGCCGATGAAGAGACCGCCGGCCATCTGGGAGAACCAGTAGAGCGCGCCGTTGAGCGAGCGGGTGCGGAGGTTAAAGGTGAAGCCGTTGACGTTGTTCTGCTGGTAGCTGTAGAAGACGTTGGCGGAGAAGAAGAGGGGGATCATGCAGGCGACGCGCCACCGCATGAGGGTGTCGAGGGTGAGCTTGAGCATGGCGGCGACGGACGTCTTCTCCGTCTCGACGGCGCGGTGCAGCTGGGCGAGGCGGACGCGCTTCGGCGAGCAGATGAAGAAGCCGAGGGTCCAGCCAAAGAGCATGATGATCATGAGGGCGATGTAGGTGGAGTCGCCGACGGTGCCGGCGGTGCTGTGGTAGTTGAGGCTGAAGGAGACGAGCGAGCCGATGCCGCCGCCAAAGTTGAAGACGACCCAGAAGATGGCGATGGCGCGGCCCTTTTGCGACTCGTCCACGTACGTGGTCATGATGGCGCCCTGCACGATCCAGAGCAGCGCGGCGCCGATGCCGAGCACGGCGCCGGCGGCGATGACAAAGGTGCCGTTGCCCGACTTGTTGAAGTGCAGCAGGCTGCCGCTGTACAGCGCGTACGTCCACCCGCCGAGGAGGAAGCACAGGCGCGGCCCGGTCAGCGTGAAGATGGGGCCGACGATGAGGAGCGCCGTCGCGGCCGTCGTCGACAGGAGCGCGACGGTCGCGTTGGCGGCCACGGTCGGGTCGACCTGGCCGGAGCCGCCGATGCCGGTGAGCGCGTTGTACATCTTTTGTCCGGGGTCAGCTTTTTTTTTTTTGTATTTTCACTTGATTTCTTTGGGGGTTTTTTTTGGCATGAAACATACTCCGGGGAGGCAGAAGCAAATGACAGAAATGAGCATAATCTGCGTCCAGGGGTGCGAGTAGAAGCGCATCATCTTGCTCTGGTCCTGTCCCTGCTCGAGGTCTGAAGTGATTGGCGATGCTTGACGCGGCGCGGCGCCAGTGGCGCTGTCCTCGATGTGGTGGTCAACAGAGGGCATCTTGTCGAGTTGATGCGCCGATTGCGCCATCGGACGAGTATGGGAAGGGGGAAATACAAGAGGGGGAAAAAAAGAAACAAATGTCCGGGGAAAAAAAAGAGAGAAAGGAGTCAGTCTGGGGAAAAAGAGATGGATCAAACAAATCCGGGGAAAACAGGTGCAAGGGGATTCTTATAAGGCAGCCGAGAGGATATCTACGTCGCCCCAGCTGTGACGACAAGAACCAGGTTGTACCCTTGGGCGAGCGAACCCTCTCTCTCTCTCTTTTCTCTCTTCCCAAAACCGGAGTTCGAATTAGCGTCAAGCGGCAAAAAAAATCTCTCGGCTTCACACGTTACATCTTGCTGAGTCCCTCCACCCCACAAGTCTCCTTGCCCGGTCCCAGCAGAGTGGAAATGGTTTTACTTGGGGGTGGGGGGATAAGGGGAAACCTAATCTCCAATGACTGGATGACTGAATAACTGAGGAAGGACAAGAACGACTTGAATGGGGGAAAGTCGTGGGGGGGTCTTCGGGGGAATAACATGCTTGAGTATTACAAGCCCGGGGATTGCAGAACGGCATCGCCACATACGCCAGGTGGCGCACTGGCTACTTAAACTAGACATGACTCGCTACAAAACCGCCTCACTTCCCGACCGTTACCCGCCAAGCGTCCTTTGATGGAAAAAACGGCAGTGTCAGTAGTTAGCGGTGGCGTCGTGGGGGGCGTCGGAGCCAGTCTATAGCGTCCATCGTCAACCTCGACGGCACAGCTTAACTATTACTCATTGTCGTTCCGATTTATACTCGGACCATTTTCTGCAATCATACCCATCTCTACGCTGTGGCTCGCGTACTGGGCAGCATAGATAAGCCTCGTGTGTACAGAGACACCTCTCCGCTCTTTTCGTGTCCATGTCCATGTCCCCAAGGCGATCCCGGTGCCGTCGTCCAATATGCCACCTACTATCGTTGAGCTTGGCGGCCTCCAGACGGAGAACAGGAACCCGAGAACCACGACAATTGACAGCGTGTCCACGCAGGAACTGTGCCGCATCCTGCACCGCGAGGATTGCCGCGTCCCGGCCGCCATCACACCGTGCCTGTCCGACATTGCTGGCGTGATTGATGCGCTGACTGACCGAGTCCGTCGAGGCGGCCGTGTATTTTACATTGGCGCCGGAACAAGCGGAAGGTACGTTGTTCTTTCTCCAGGAATCAACAGCCGCCATGCTTCGGAGGGAAATCCCTTTTGGAGCCGGCTGTCAACGACAAAGGAACCATGCGGGCCGACAAAGGAACCATGGTCTGGAAAAGCCGAGATAGAAGCTCCTTTTACTATCGCGGCACCGCTATAGCATGGCCAAGGACATAACTCAGCTGACCAGATTGTCCACAGGCTAGGCGTGCTTGACGCTTCAGAGGTGCCGCCGACGTATTCAGCCCCCTCGAATCAGTTTATCGCGCTGATTGCAGGGGGCGACTCTGCGCTGCGCAACGCCAAGGAGGGCGCCGAGGACGACCGATCCGCCGCCAAGACGGATCTCGACGCGTGTCATTTCAGGCCCGACCGCGACTCCCTCATTGGCATCGCGTCCTCTGGCCGCACCCCCTACGTGCTCGGCGGCCTGGCGTACGCCCGCTCCGTGGGCGGCACCACCGTCGGCGTCGTCTGCGTGCGGCCCTCTGCCGTCGCGGCCGAGGGCAACGCCGACCACCTCATCAGCGCCGTCACCGGGCCCGAGTCGGTGACGGGCAGCACGAGGATGAAGGCCGGCACGGCCACCAAGCTGGTCCTCAACATGATTAGCACCGGCATCATGATTAAGTTGGGCAAAACCTATGGGAATTTAGTACGATTTCTTTTTTCCTTTACTGAGAGCTCTTCATGGCAGCGCCGCAGCAACAAAACTAACAGGGCTAGATGGTCGATCTCAAAGCCACCAATGTAAAGCTGCGGCAGCGTGCCCGGAACATTCTGCGCGCCATTGGCGGCCAGCGCTGTCGGCAGTCCGACGAGGACCTCGACGCCGTCCTCGCAGCCAGCCACGGCAGCACCAAGCTCGCCGCTGTGGTGCTTGTCCTGGGCGTGACGCCCGCCGACGCCGAGCTGCGTCTTGCGCGCAACAGTGGCGTTCTCGCCCGCGTGTTGGCAGAGGCTGAAACCGAAGGGTCCGCCGCGGGGACGGACGGCGATGCCGGCATCGTCCTGTGCGTTGATGCGGGGGGCACCAGCTGCAAGGCTGCGATTCTGTGCAGGGACGGGGCGTCCGGCACTGGCATTGGCGGGCCATGTAACGTGTACGTCGGCCGCGTGCTTCTTCCCAACCTCACACAAACTGACAGAATGCTCTTGATTGCAGGACCAGCGTGGGCCTAGAGGCCTGTTTGTCAGCCATTGCCGACGCGGTTCAGAAAGCGACTGATGCATGCCCGGCGACAACGGGGCGTCCATTCTCGTCCATCCAGTTCGCCGCCGCTTGGGTCGGCATTGCCGGCTACGGCCCGCTTGCGGCACAGCCTGCCATCGACGCCAGGCTGTCGGAGCTGCTCAACCTCAGCATCGGTGCTGGCCTGGAGGTGACGACGGACGTTGATCTGCTGCCCGTCGCGTCCGCGGCAGACGAGGGTCTGGACACGGCCATTGTGCTCGTCGCAGGGACCGGTTCCGTCGGCATGAGCTTCCGCAGGGAACGCGGTCGTTTTGTGCGCACCGGCCGCGCGGGGGGCTGGGGCCACCTGCTCGGCGACGACGGCGGCGGGTTCGGCATCGGGCGCGAGGCGCTGCGGCTGGCGCTGCGAGCCAGCGACGCGGGCAGGCCGATGGCGCCGCTCGCCGCTGCCATTGCCGACCACTTTGGGGGGCGGTTCGAGGCGGATAATCTACTCATGACCGTCATGGTGCCCGCCGGTGCAACGCCGCAGCAACAGCCCGAGGATGCGGCGGCGGCGGCGCGCGACAGGCCCGGTCGCATTGCCGCGGTGGCGCGGACGGTCCTGGCCATGGCCGGCACGGACGCGGATGCGGACCGCATCGCGGCGGCTGGCGCGGACAGCCTGGCGGACATGGCGGCGCTGCTCATCGCCAGGCAGGGCATCGAGCCGGCCAGGGCTGGGCTGGTTCTCGCCGGTGGTCTGCTGCAGGATGAGGGATACCGCAGGCGAGTGGTCAGCTCCGTCGAGAAAGCAGGGTACAGGTTTCAGCGTGTTCAGGCAGTGGACCAGCCGGCCATGAACGGAGCGCGATTCCTCTCCGAGTTGATTGAGAAGCGGCGATAGGCTCTGGCCAGTTTACGAGTCCATCATTCATAGTGTATATACGTGACAACTTTGGACGAACACACTCTATTTAACTAGCACATGATGGTAGAAAAAAGAGGCCTGTGTATTTTATCATTTTTTTCCTTGTTCCCGTCTGATTCTGGGCATTGGTCGCATCCCGGGCCCGGACAGGGGTGTGTGTGCCGCGCCTGAATCGCGCATGTTCTATATCGAGATGCGGCTCAACAGCTGTCAAACAGCAAAAGGCTAGTCAAGGTGACAAAGCCATATTTTTCCCATACCCGCACTAGCTGTAACGTTTAAATCGGGCAGCAACGGTACACGGCTGTGGGCCGCCGACGTTGTATTGAATTTTTGCTGGCCAAGACCAGCGGAGGCATTTTCTCCTCATTCTCCTCATTTTCCTCCACAATGGAGAAACTCTTCTGTTTGGGGCCCCGTGATTCTCCGGCCTCCTCCATGATTTCTTAATTTAAACTGAAATCTCCGCCAAAGAAAGGAAAATAGGCGGCTCGTGACTGGATAGGTTTTTTCTCCTCCCTCTAACAGAGCTAGCAGAGGACAATACCTTACAGACGATTGCACATGACGTTGGCTTTCTGGTGTCGTCCGGCTGTGCCGAAATAGAAAAGCGCCACACGGACAAAAAACCGAGATTGGTGGCATCATGGCGTTTTTTGGAATGCTGCTCAATAAGCCCAGATCTTGGCGGACGCCAGGTGGGTTGGGGGTGCCTTGGGGTGAGCGCAGCAAATGCAACCTTGAGGATAATGCTGTGCTGTTGGGTTTCGCTTTCCAAGATATTGCGACATGTCACTTTTCGTCGGAACTACAAAGCTCAAATGTCAGCTGTGTAACATGTCTGATTCCTAGAATCCGAATGCGATAGGTGCAGGGTAGGCGCATTCGGTGCATCTGGGTCATTGTCTCGATAAAGGTCCATTTATAACGCCTGCGCTATGCCCAAGAATATGTCCAATTCCATACAATTTATAGCCCCATCACTCCAAGTGCCCTTCCACGCCGCTCTTGATTCCTTCCAGCACAGCCGCCCATTCGCTGTTGGCTTTGTACTTGGTCAACTCCCCGAACCTGTCGCACGCAATCCGCCGCACCAGCAGCATGTCCTTGGCCCGTTTCAACGTGCGGCCTTTCCCACGAGAGAGGAAATCCTCAAACCAAGCATCCTCCGTGGCGTCCAAGGGGAGAAAGACGAGCTCGCTGGCGTGGCTCGTAATCTCGTCGTCCTTGCCCCCCTTGAGCACCGACACAATCAGCCGCTGGAAGAGCTGCTCGCGCGCATGGTCGGGGAATGTGCGCGCGTAGAGTAGCGCCTCGGTCACGTTTGTTCTCGCCATGGCGTCAAAGAGGTGCTCGATGGCTGCCGAGGACTTGAGGACAGGCCGTACCGACGTAAAGTAGGCAAGAGGGAGCGTGTAGTCGTCGTTGGGGGCGTGCTTCACGAGTGCTACAATGATGTCGTCGGAGAAATCGGGTTCGAGGGACGGATGCGAGACATATTCGAGTGCCGTCTGGACAAAAGATTAGTGTCGCGAGGAGAGAAGTAGAGCGGGCAGGAGAGCGGACGTACCGAGAACTGTAGGTGGTCCATGTGCCACAGGCCGCGCATAAAGAGCTGGTAGTTGGCAGCAAGACCAGAGGCGGCGATGAACTCTTGCGACACGTATGGAGAACCGCTGACGCCGTCAAAATCAAGCAGCACGTAGTAGAAGAGCGACAGCTTGTGGTGCGTCGACATGGCGGCATCACAGATGCTCTGGTGAAGCTGCTTGAGAGCATTGTCCGTCTTGGGCGGGTAAACCTTGGCTAGACAAATGACGTGTTAGCCGTCGGCATCAGCGCGCGTCATCTAGATGGCAAACCTTTTGCGATGCCTAGAGCGCGCAAGACTCGGTCGATGAAGAGGACGCCCGACAGTGTTTTGCGATGGCCGTCAATGTCGTGCAGCAGTGTGCGGTCGTATGGGATGCTTAGGTCTGCAGGGAAAACCTGCTGAAACTGTGTATAGTCGAGCATGGCGACGAGGGTGTTCGGAAATAGAAAGATGACAAGGTGAAAGGCCACGGATGTGGTGTTGGGCAAACAGCCTTTGGAAGCTTGAGCTTTGTATGAACAAAACCACTCTAGCTACCTATCTATGTAGGTACATAGCTATGGACTTGTTGGTGGCGCGACGCCCCACCAACGAGCCAACGATTTGAGATGTTGAAGAAGAGCAAATGACAGCAGAATTTGTAACTATTGGAAACTACCTATTGAATGCAGTCTTGAGCTACAATTCCGAGATGTACTAATTAACACAGTAGGTTCAATAAAATAATACCGGGCTTGCCCCTAGTTGCTACCTACCTACCTAGGTGCCTACCTAGGACTAATAAGCTACTTGCTCCATGAATCCATGAAGCACTACCACTACGCCATGCTTGACATGTGAATAATCAAAGCCGATTGAAAGATAGTTCATTAGAAAAAAGCAATAAAATCAAAATACACTGGATGAATAGAGCAAGAAAATCCATACATTTAGAGGGCCCACTCTCTTCACACATCAGCGGCTTGTGAGTGGTCGCGTTGGGGCCATTGTTTACAAACCCCCATTTCGGGCATTTCCAAACAAAAGCCACTTAATAATAATTTAGGCTGGCTCACAACACGCGCGGGGTGACCGTTACCGCCTCAGCACGAAAACAACATATTACCTTTTCGAAACGTGTTCCGACCAGAAACATAATCTTGTACTCTACGACGCTTCGCACTTTTCGAACCGAGTGAAACCCGCACTTGCGACAAGCCTATTCACAATGTCGGCCGCGCCATCACGGTCGTCCCGACGCGTCGCTACACGCCGCAGGGCTGTCATCGACTCTGACGACGACGAGCCCTCGGGCATCAGCAAGACCCAAGACGATGAGCTCGATGAGCTCGATGAGCTCGACCAGGACCTCTCCCAGCTTCCCCAGCGCAGGACGCGAAGCGGCCGCTCCTCGATGGCCTCGACCACATCCGCCAAGCCCGCCAGACCGACGAGGACCACGCGCAAGACGTCGGCGCCGGTCCAGAGAGCAAAGGCCGAGCCCGAACCGACACCGGAGCCTGAAGAGAAGCCGCCCGTACCCCAGATAAAGGAGCCGGACCAAGACGAGAACGATGCCGTGGAAGCGGCTGGCGACCCAGTCAAGACGGAGCCCGCCGTCCCCGAGTCACCAAAGCGCCCCCGCCGAAGCGCAACGCCGAGGACTTCGGTGGCCGATGTGCCCAAGCTCGCGCCCCAGACGCCTAGCAGCAAGCCTCTGGCGTCGCAGGCTGGCGCGCCAAACCCGTCGCCCCTGGCCGATATCACAGGCATGAACACGCGCCTCCCGGATATGCCACAGACTGTCAAGCCGATGAGGTCCATGGACACGTTCCTTGACAAGCCGCTCGATATCGTCGTCAAGCAGCGCACCATGGCAATCCCCTTGGTCGAGGATACAACACCAAAGTCGCGCATCGTCATTACGTATCTGATGCTCACAAACTTCAAGAGTTATGCCGGCCGCCAGGAAGTCGGCCCGTTCCACGCCACCTTTTCGTCCGTGGTCGGCCCCAACGGCTCCGGAAAGTCCAACGTGATTGATTCGCTTCTCTTCGTCTTTGGGTTCCGCGCCAGCAAAATGCGACAGGGCAAGATCTCTGCGCTTATCCACAACTCGGCACAGTACCCTGACCTCGACCACTGCGAGGTCGCAGTTCACTTCCATGAAGTTATGGATCAGGTTTGTCTGCCTGTGGTGCCCTCCCATGCTCAATTCGCTAACATAAATACAGCCTGGCGGTGGCCATGTCGTCATTCCCGACTCCGAATTGATCATCTCACGGAAAGCATTCAAGAACAATTCGAGCAAATACTATATCAACAACAAGACCTCCGATTTTACATCAGTCACCACTCTATTGAAGGACAAAGGCGTCGATTTGGACCACAAGCGTTTTCTGATTCTCCAGGGTGAGGTTGAGTCCATTGCTCAGATGAAGTCCAAGGCCGCGAATGAGCACGAAGACGGCCTCTTGGAATATCTCGAAGACATCATTGGCACCTCGAAATATAAGACCCCCATCGAAGAGTCGGCTGCCGAAGTCGAGTCCCTCAACGATATTTGTGTTGAAAAGAGCAGCCGTGTGCAACATGTCGAAAAGGAAAAGAGCAGTCTCGAGGGCAAAAAGGATATCGCCATGGCTTTCATTCGCGACGAGAATGAGCTTGTCATCAAGCAATCCGCCCTCTACCAACTCTTCCTACACGAATGCAGCGAAAATATCATGGTCACGGAGGAGGCCATCAACCAGATGCAGGCGCAGCTTGATGACGAGCTCGAGAAACACCAAGGCAGCGAGACACTCATCAAGGACCTCCAGAAGCAGTACAAGCAAGGCAGAAAGGATGTTGACGCGCACGATAAGGAGACGCAAGCTCTTGCAAAGGAGATGGCGCAATTTGACCAAGAACGTGTCAAGTTTGAAGAGAAGAAAAAATTCCTTGACGATAAACGCAAGAAGTTTGAGCGCACCATTGCCAATGCCGAAAAGGATTCCGCAACTGCCGATGAGACGATGGCGGAAAGCGCCAAGATTATGGAAAAAAGCACCAAGGATGTCACGGATCTCGAGAGCCAAATCGAGACCGAGGAGGCCGAGTTGGTCAAGATTCGAGAGGGCTTGCAGGGCAAAACGCAAAAGTTTTCGGACCAGATCGCCGTCAAGCAAAAGACCCTGGAGCCTTGGCTGGAGAAGATCAATGAGAAGCAGTCAGCCATCGCGGTTGCCGAGAGTGAGCTGACTATTCTACAAGACAAGGAGAACGCGGGTGCCATTGCTCTCCAGGAACTGGAGACCAAGATCAAGTCTATTGAAGCTACAAAGGTGGAAAAAGTCACGGAGCTCAAGGAATGCGAAGCTCAAAAGGCAAAACTCGCCACGGAAGCCGAGAAGATGCAGTCGGAAATCGATATCCTTTCCGAACAGGAACCCAAAATGCGTACCAAAATTTCGAGCACAAGACAAAAAGCCGATGAGGCACGATCGAGCCTCGCAAGCACCCAGACGAGAGGCAATGTTCTTGCTGCCCTCATGCGCATGCGCGAATCTGGACGTATCGAAGGATTCCACGGCCGTCTCGGTAATCTTGGTACCATGGATGAGAAGTACGACGTTGCAGTCTCGACTGCTTGCGGCGCACTAGACAACTTTGTTACCGAAACTGTTGAATCGGGACAACAGTGCATCGAGCATCTTCGCAAAAACAACCTCGGCAGAGGCAACTTCATTTGCCTGGACAAGCTCAAAGACCGGAACCTGGCCCCCATTCAAACACCGGAAAATGCTCCGCGTCTGTTTGATCTGGTCAAGCCCCAGCATGACCGCTTCCGACCCGCTTTCTACCACGCCATGCAAGACACAATCGTGGCAGTGGACTTGGCCCAAGCGAACCGAATTGCTTATGGTGCCAAGCGCTGGCGGGTTGTTACTCTGGCTGGTGAGCTGATTGACAAGTCCGGTACCATGTCCGGTGGTGGCTCGACCGTCAAGAAGGGTCTCATGTCGTCAAAGTTGAGCAGCGACGTCACCAAGGAGCAAGTTGCCAAGCTGGAGTCAGACCGAGATACCTGGGAGGCTAAATTCCAAGAGTTTCAAGAGTACCAGCGAGAGTGCGAAAACCGCATGAGAGAGATTAATGCCGAAATTCCCGCCCTCGAAACTAAGATACAAAAGATTGGACTCGAAGTGGAAAGCGCTACTCGCAACATTGCTGATCTACAGCGCCGCATCAAGTCCGTTAGCCAGGAGTATCGGCCGTCTGCCACTGATGCTTCGAGGATCAAGGAACTGCAAAAAGACATTGCTTCGCTCAACTCGGGAATTGAAAAGATACGTGGTGACACTTCCAGCCTCGAGGAGGAGATCAAGGCCCTACAGGACAAAATCATGGAAGTTGGTGGCGAGAAACTTCGCATGCAGCGTGCCCTTGTTGACGGTTTGAAAGACCAAATTTTGTCACACAATGAGGAGATCTCCTTTGCCGAAGTTCGCAAGGCCAAGGCTGAGAAGCAAAAAGTCAAGCTTGAAAAGGACACGGCCAAGGCCGCCAAGGAACGCGATGCTGCTTTGGCCGAGCTTGAAAAGCTCGAGGACGACATTGGTAACCAGGGCACTAAGGCGGACGAGCTTCGGCAAAGTGTGGACGAAGCACGAGCGGCTCTTGCTACTAAGAAAGCTCAGCTTGAGGAATTGAAGGAAGAGTTGGACGTCAAGACCTCTGAGCTAAACGAGACGCGTGCTGTTGAGATTGAGATGCGCAACAAGCTGGAGGAGAACCAAAAGGCACTCAACGAGAACCAGAAGCGTCAGCGATACTGGCATGACAAGCTCTCCAAGCTTGTTCTGCAAGACATCAACGACCTGATTGGCGAGTCGGCGCCGAAGCGCGCAACACCCGCACCCGAGACCATGGTAGACAAGTCTCAGGTTGACTCCGACGACGTTGAAATGAGCGAGCCCGACCAGGCGGACAAGGGTGACGTGAGCATGGATGATGCAGAGGAACCCCGAGCCGAGGAGCCCGAGCGTTCTGTGTATCAGCCACAGGAGTTGCCTCAGTACACCCCAGACGAGCTCGCTGAGATGAGCAAGGAGACGCTCAAGGGTGAAATCGCTGCCCTCGAGGAAAAGACGCAAAATGTTGCTGTTGACCTCGGTGTCGTTGCCGAGTACCGCCGACGTGTCGAGGAGCATGCTGCCAGGGCCTCTGATCTGCAGTCGGCTCTCGACCAGCGTGACGCGGCCAAGAAGCGCTGCGACGACCTGCGACGCATGCGCCTGGAGGGCTTCATGGCTGGCTTCAGCGCCATCTCCCTGCGCCTCAAGGAGATGTACCAGATGATTACCATGGGCGGCAATGCGGAGCTGGAACTCGTCGACAGCCTGGACCCCTTCAGCGAAGGCATCCTGTTTAGCGTCATGCCGCCCAAGAAGAGCTGGAAGAATATCAGCAACCTCTCTGGTGGCGAGAAGACGCTCAGCAGTCTTGCGCTCGTGTTTGCTCTGCACCACTACAAACCGACACCACTTTACGTCATGGACGAGATTGATGCCGCTCTGGATTTCAGAAACGTACGTTGTGCTGCCTCACTTGAGCCTTTTTCCGTCCCGAGACGAACGGGCTTTGCTCGCCGAATATTACCATCTTGATCGCTAACACTGTCTTTTTGCTAGGTTTCCATTGTTGCAAACTATATCAAGGAGCGCACCAAGAATGCCCAGTTTATTGTCATTTCACTCCGAAACAACATGTTTGAGCTTGCTGCTCGTCTAGTTGGCGTGTACAAGGTAAACCACATGACCAAGAGTGTGACAATCGAGAACCAAGACTTCATTGCCCGTCCGCAGCAGCCACAGCAACAACGGCCGGCGATGGGGGGGCATACAACAACGCTGGCGCTGCGGTGATGAAACCAATATCGGCGTTGTCTAACTAGCGGTTGCTTCTTTTCCATCTTTTTGTACATGTGTTGATGTTTACGACGAAATATCGATTTTTTAATGAGAGAAAGCAGGGCATCGCGGGATACTCTTGTTGTTGATTTTTTCAGTCGCGTTTTTGGCATAGAACTTCGTGTATATAATATGTGCGATTTGGAAATAATCATGAATCGTATGGGAGACAAGGTTTGACAGGTACAATCTAGTTGCTTGCCAATTCTTTATGCTCTTCACATGAAATTCCTTCGGCTACGGCGTTTGTGAGACTTTCTTGTAAGACAGCAACTCGCTCCTGTCCCTCGCGGACCACGTTTCCGACTGAGACAGGATGCAATGCACACGAGCTGACAGGACGTCTTCCCCTGGCGTTGCCGAGTTTGACAGAATATTTGGCCGCTCGGTTGTGCGACGAGCATTTCGCGAGAAGGCGTCGACGGGTGGGTGGTGTTGATGGTGGTGTCGCCAACGCAAACACGTATTCAGCTCGCAATCGGGCGACCACTTGCTATTATAAAAGGACGGACGACTGCTCTCGAGATTTGGGCGAGAAAGAGAGGCAAAAGAGGGCAGCTGTTTTGACTCTTTGCTACATTAACGAAATCATGTGGCGTCTACTTCTTCTTATGCTTGCCGCCCTCGGCGTCGCAGCGCTTCCGGCGGCCAACGACTATGATGAATGCAAACGCGATGACCTCTACAAGTCCCTGCAGTGGGACGGCGAGGTCTTTTGCTCCATGATTCTGGACCCCGACTGCTACACCTCTGTCAGCACGCCGGTGGACTATGCGACCTATGATGGCGACAAGCTGTCCTCCTATGTAAGGGCAAAGCGGTACAACTTGCATCTCGAGATGACAGATTTAACCAATTTGTATAGTGCTCGTGCATTTATGAACCGTGCCACCCCGCAACAAGCTCAACATCCGCGTCGCTTCCACCTTATACGCTGACGTAGGTCCTACCCCCCTCGAGCAAGAGACAATTGTCGGGGAACTGACATGTTTGGTTTTGATTCTTAGGTCATCTGCTACTACCATCTGGCAGAACACGACATCGCGCACGGCATCTCACAGCGTACCAACGCAGGCGCCGGCTCCTGGACCGCCTTGGAGCTCGGCCAACACAACGATAGTGACAGCCACGACATCGACTCAGGTGGTCAATCGGACCATCACCATCATCCCGGTACCAACCACTTCAGAGACATTTTTGCCTGGAAATACGACCTCTACGCAGGCGTCCAATGCCACAACTCTGACGTCTTCGGAATCAGAAATCACATCCGTGACGGCTATCCCCGGCAACACCACTTCTACTCAAGTGTCAAACACTACGTCGCCAACGTCTTCCGAAACGGAAATCACGTCCGTGACAGCTGTCCCCGGAAATACCACATCTACTCGGGCGTCAAATACATCGCTACCCACGTCGTCTACAACGGACATCAGCTCGACCACCATGATCCCTGGAAATACCACTTCCACCCTGCCGACCAATACTTCCTCGCTGACGTTGCCTATCCCGGTTCCTGTGACCACTCTCCCGGGAGAAACCACATCTATCCCGGTGCCAAGCACGCCCGTGTCGAACACGACAACCCCCGCAGCGACACCCACGCCCTTTGCCGCCGCCAACTTCACCAGCGTCCTGCGCGGGCCGGCGCCGTCGTCCCAGGCGTGCCACTACCGGCCGCAAGCCCAGGACGGGGCGGCGCACGTGGCGACGCTGCAAAACGAAGACGTCCGGCGGCAGAACCTCACGCTGGCGTTCCCCTACGTCGGCTCCGTCAACTTTGACAGCGACGGCATCACGCCGCTCTCGCTGTCCGTCCGCGACGCGGCCAAGGGCTCGCACCTCTTTGACGTCTCGGACCCGTCGGCCGTGACCATTTTCGACACGCGCAACAACTCGCTGCGGCTGGACCTGACCGGCATCCACTTCGTCACCGGCCACTGCAACCTCACCGTGTCGTACCTCATCGACAACATGTACGCCCAGCTCGCCCAGCAGTCGCTCGAGATGTGCGCCAAGGGGCCCCGCCGCCTGCTCGCCGGCGAGCAGACCTTTTCCCAGACCCTCGTCCTGCGCGACCAGTGCGGCAGCCCGGTCGGCCGCAGGGTGCGGCGGTACCCGGACCTGCGCATCGACGACGAGCAGTGCACCCCCGTGCCCGCCGGCGACGACGCCAACGGCACGTGGACGTTTGACTGCCCGTGGCAGAGCGCCGGCTCCACGGCGCAGCGCTGCATGGCGGCCGTCGAGCGGCACGCCGTCGACTTTTTGCTCTACGACCCGTTCAACGGCGGCTGCGCCGACGCCTCGAGCGTCGTCACGCTGCTCGAGGCCTCGGCGCAGGACATGCTCAGCCTGGCGGCCATCCAGCAGGAGCTCAACAACCAGGTGCACAACGGCACGGGTGGCGGCGGCGACGGCCGCTTCTACCGCACCGACGACACCGTCATGTACTACCTGCAGCTGTGGGAGACGCTCAAGAGCACCCTGTCCAAGACGCGCGGCCTCAACCCCGGCCGCGGCAGCAACCTGAAGCAGTACCTCGACACGTACAACCGGTACCGCGGCTTCGCCGCTGACGCCTGCGGGAGCAGCGCCGGCGCCGGCGCCGCCGTGCTGAGCCTGACGGCCGGCAGCAGCACGATTCCCGTGCTGGCCGACCTGCGCGACATGCCCGGCGCAAGCGCGCCGCCGCTCAGGGCCCGCATCCAGGACCCGGCCAAGATGGCCTGCTGTCCCAACGGCGGCGTCGCCGCCACGGACCCCGTCACCGGCAAGTGCGCATATCCGCCGGCGGCGCTCGTGCCGGGCAGCTCCGACTGCGTGTGCGGCCAGACGGCGGGCCTAGCCTCGGTGGCTTTCCGGTACCGCCAGTGCGACAACTTTGTCAGCGCCTGCCAGGCGGATGCCGACTGCGCGGCGGCTGGCTACGCTGGCCACCTGTGCCTCATTGGCAGCTGCTGTGGACAGGGTGTCTGCTTTGACCCGTTTGAGTGCTCTCGGGCAAACGTGCTTTTGCTTCCGGGTACTGTTGAATGAGTGATGCTGGACTTGTGCCCGAGTTTTTGCCTGTGCTCCGAGATCAAATTGTAACCGATGTTAGGTTGTGCGTTACTGGAAGAAGAATCTTTCGCAAATCTGTGGCACAGATAATTTTGTGAAAAATAGATACGTCACTGGTACGAAAGACACAAGCGTGTGACATGTGCTCATCAATGTCACTGGTACGAAGGCCGCAAAGTTTTGACATGTATGCTCATCAATGATCAATGCCTGAAAGGTCTGGATTTTGAACGTGAAAAACTACTGTAGAGCTTCACAATCCTAGTTCATCTAATCCGTACTCTTGTTTCATATGCAGACGTCGTATAAACACAGCCCAGACTCCTTTTTTCCCAGCCAAAGATCACATCAAAAAAAAGTTTTGCTTCATTTTTTTGGTCATTGTGCCTTGGCTTAAGCCTTAGGGGCAGTAGGAGTGACCTTCTTGGCATCGCGGTTGAAACGGACACGGGGAGGGGGGGCACGGTTGCGGCGGCCGACGCGGGATCGGACACTGCAGATGTCACTGTTAGCGCATTGTTCTCTCGGCCGGGGGTAATACTTGGAGGAGTGTTGTTTTTCAAATGCGCCAAGGTTCATCTGAAGCACATACGCCGGCCTGGGGAACAGGCTGGCGCAGTTGTCACACTCCCGGAGAAGACAACGTACCGGACAATCTTGCCGTGAATGGCGCAAGAGACGCAGTACTGCAGCTTAAGGTACATCTTGGGCACGGTGTACTCGGCGAAAACCGAGGCATCGGAGATGTCACCTGCAGGACACAATGTTAGCAAAGCTGGGCTTTCGTATGGGGAGCGCTGGAGTGGAAGGCGAAGCGTGGCAGGGAATCATACGAATAGCAGCAGACTCAACCATGTTGCGGATGGTGAAGCGCTTGATGGCCTTATCCTTGGGGGTGCAGCGAGCGCAGTTGCTGCAGCGAATAGGGTTGACGTGGCCGCGGCCCTTCTTGTTGCGGCCGCTGGAAAAAAATTGTTAGCAAAACTGTGCTCTGAGAAAAGCTCATTGGCGTCGGTCGCGGAGTTGCTCGTCGTCAAGGGGCGAGCTCGAAATCGTAGCGATGCGCATGCGTGGGAAATTGGGTAGGAATTCGTACTTGTTCTTTCTCTTCTTGACCATCTTGACGGTATCTAGAAACGAATTGTTAGCATCAAAGGTGCGGCTTGTTCACGAGGGTGCGCGGCGCGGGGTCTACATACTGAATTGCTAATGCCGTTGTGATTGTTGAAGCAGGAAATTCAGTAAACTGCCTGGTGGAATTTTAAGTCGCTAGTACCACCAGCACCACGCTAAGCACCAGACTGAGAAGCCCACAAAAAGGTGCACACAAGCGAGGGCCTGCAAGAGGGCTACAGTGGGGCCCTGCTTCCAGCCAGTTGCATCCAAGTGAGAAAGGGCGAGGGCGTTCCAAAGCGAACCCTAGGTCAGGTGACTCCACCCGACGAGGCGCTGGCACCGGCCCTAGCGAATATTGTAACTTGCGGGCCGCCACCACTCCACGACGGTTTTTCTTTCTCTTCAACCCGCAAACACATCTGAGGATTGCTTAGGACGGCAAAGAATTTTGTCGAGGTATGTCTGAAAGATGCTGCATCGCGACCGTCTTCCCTTTGTGATGGGAACAGAAATGTTCCCGTCATGAGGCTCTCTCCGCCCCCGACACGCAACGAGCAACCGTTCTTGTCTCCATCGAATTGAGCCGGTCCTTGAGCCGCGCGCGCGCAGCTACACAGCATGAGATCCAACGACGCAGCTGTACAATCGACGTACCTGATTGTTCATTGCGACAGTGACGCTTTGCTTCTCTGACGTATCTGCCGCGCTGGGCGAAAAGGACCAGGGAAGACTAGTACCGATTCGCAGCCATCCAAAAACAAATCGCTTGGGAACGTTGGCCTCTAACATTTGTTATCGAGCAGGCAAGATGCAGATTTTCGTCAAGACCCTCACGGGCAAGACTATCACCCTTGAGGTGGAGTCTTCCGACACCATCGACAACGTCAAGTCGAAGATCCAGGACAAGGAGGGCATCCCCCCTGACCAGCAGCGCCTGATCTTTGCTGGCAAGCAGCTCGAGGATGGCCGCACCCTGAGCGACTACAACATCCAGAAGGAGTCCACCCTCCATCTCGTCCTCCGCCTCCGTGGTGGTGGCAAGAAGCGCAAGAAGAAGGTCTACACCACCCCCAAGAAGATCAAGCACAAGCGCAAGAAGACCAAGCTGGCCGTCCTCAAGTACTACAAGGTCGACAAGGACGGTGGCATTGAGCGCCTCCGCCGCGAGTGCCCTGCTGACACTGTACGTTTTTTTCCCGTTCTTTTGGAATCACTTTTGCCACTTTGGACGCATTACTAACTCGCCAAACCTAGTGCGGTGCCGGTGTCTTCATGGCTGCCATGGCTGACCGCCAGTACTGTGGCCGTTGCCACCTTACCTACGTCTTCGACAAGCAATAAATTACTCCTTTGCCATAGAAATGTTTATGGAATGACTTTGAAGCGACCTCTTTTCGGCGCTTGGGATGACCAAAGTAAAAATTGGCGTTGATGTAGCATATAGTGCATCTGGCTTAGGGTAATGAAGTGCTTGATTTAAGATGAACAAAAAAAATCATGATACCAATACCTGCTTGCCTTTACCGTAGAGTACTGTTTTGTGTAGGCAACGTGGCTCACGTCGTGCGTGACGGCCGAGTGAGACTTTTTAGAAGAGCCACCCGCACCGGCCGCTATCAGCCTCAGCAATCAAGGAAGTCGTCCACCTGACATACCACAACCCAGCCAGCCATCACTTTTTTTTTCTCCTGATTTTCAGGGATTGGTTTTTGGTTTTATTCAACTTGTGGAGGTATATTGAAACTATTTTCATTTTTTTCTGGTGCGACTCGACGATGATGCATTCATTCACCCGCGACAAGAACATTTTCAAGAACAAAAGTAGAACAAAATACAAGAAAATAGAAAAGCCATTATGCCCTAAACGCCATGTGCCGAGATAGACCAAACAGGTTAAAAAAAGCAAAAAAGTAGAAAAGATAAAAGGCCGAAAACTCCCAACCAAGCAACGCAAATAAGCCATCTAGTGAAGCGTATCGAGTCCTTCAGAGTGAACAAGGAGAGCCAACGCCGTACAAGGAAAAAGGCGTCGCACCAGCTCCCTTGGCTAGTCGTCATATACAATCATGCGCCATCTGGTGCGGACTATGAATCCGCGCCAAAGCAGAATGCTCATCCGTTCTTGGTCATGACTTACTCGTCATCAGCAGCCTCCGACTTTCTCTTCTTCTTCTTCTTCTTCTCGCCGTCGTCCTTGGGGGCAGCATCTTCGTCGTGCTTGCGCTTCTTTTCCTTCTTTTCTTTCTTTTCCTTCTTCTCCTTCTTATCCTTCTTGTCCTTCTTCTTCTTCTTGGGAGTGGCGCCAACATCAGCCATCTCCGCGTCCTCGTCAGCGTCGCCCAGGCCGTCCATGACCGATTTCTAGTAAAATTGTTAGCAAGCAGGTCTGTTGTGTACTCGGTTCGGGCAAAGAAAAAGCGTACCATCACATCGGCGTTCTTGGCCGGACGCTTGCCAGAGGAGTAAAACTCCAGGCGGTCCTCGACCTGCTGGCGGAGAGCTTCACCCCATCGGGTGGTGGGGTTCTCAGTGAAGCTGTCGATACGGGTGGCGATACTGCACTTGTTGGCGAGGTATCTGGAGATACGGCCCTTGTTACGCGCACCGGCCTTGCCGATGAAGCTGCTGTGGTAGATCAAGCCGTACTTGGGGGTGTTGCTCTTGGCCTTGAGCGCACGGAAAAGGGCCTTTTCGGCACCGAGGATCTGTAGGGTGGATGCGGGGTATTTGGACAGGTTGGTGAGCGAGCCGGCGTGGGAGATGAGGCGGGCAGCGACAGGAGTGCCAATGAGAGCCTGCAGGTTGGGAGCGACCTGGTGCATCTTGGTCTCCAGGTAGCCGCCAGTGGTCTTGCGGTTGTTGGCCTGCTTGACAACGGCGTTGGCAAGCTGAGTGATGATCTCGAGATCGGCGGGGAGGACATCAAAGCCCATGGAGACCTTGGCGGCATCGATAATAGCCTGGGCCTTTTCACCGTCTTCCTCGAGATATTGGGCCAGGTCGTCGCGCTTGTCGTCGGTCAGGGTTTTCTTGTCGCCAATGGCAATGACGAGCTTGGCATACGTCAAGTTGTCAGAGACAATCTTGACCAGCTCCGGGAAGTGCCAGCCGTACCATTCACGGACGCGCATGAAGAACTGGTTCACGCCCTTGTCCTGGAAGTCGAGGGTGGCACTGGCCTGGATGATGTGGTTGTCGTTCTTGGTGACGCTGAACTTGACCTTGGCACGGGAGTAGGCGTGACCCATACCGAGACCGGCTTTCTCGATATCGCCGGTCTTGAGGTCGCTCAGGAGTTTGTCGGCGTGCTGGCGGATGCCGCGAATAATGTCGGACACGACCTCAGAGGTGTCGGCCGTCTCGCAATCAAGGCCGGAGAACTCGCCCTTGATGGCACCGGCAAGGTTCTTCTCAGAGACGCCGAGGGTGATCTTGCTCTTCTTGCCGCTCTTGGGAAGGTTGAGCTCGAGGACAGACTTGAGGTACTCGGAGCAGATACCCTCGGAGACGAGGTTGATGTTTTCAAGAGCTTCGACGTGGCCACTGGCGGGAGCAAATGTATTAGTTAAAACAATCCCACGGCTAAAAATGGCAAATATGAGCCTTCATGGGAGTTGCATTACCGGAAAGGACTGAAGTTGACCAATTTTACCATTTTGCCAAACTTGGCCAGATCATTGGCCGCGGCCTGGGTTTCCTTCAACTTCAAACCCACAGCATCGGTCTGATGCACTATCTTAAAGAGGGCATAGCCCACGGGGGACTCGTATAGAGCGTAATCGATGTGCGACATCTTGACTTGTCGCTGGTTGCGCCGCAATTGAGTCGTAAAACAGGCGTCCTAACAGTTAAATTTGTTGTAGTCGGAAATTCGCTGGACGATTTTTTGCACTTTTTCTTCAGAGGAAAATTTCTGGAGCTCAAGCGTAGACCAATGAGGTGTGGTTGACCGACGAAAGTGGAACCCATCACGTGGAGATAGCTGGGTGGTTACTAGTTATCTCTCTGGACTTGAAGCCACTGGCACTTATTAGTTAGCTCAGGCCATCCTGAACAATCTATGGACTCTTTGGTGAACAAATAACCCATTTACTTTTTTTTCGACAAACAACTTTAGTTTCTGGGTTTCAAGATAACGAAAACAAAAACGAGTTTATGTTGTTGTGCAGCCGCACAAAGTGAGCGCGTTGCTTCTCAGCTTCAGCACCTAAACTGAAAAACGCCTTTAGTTGTCCGGCAATCCACCCCTCAAGTTATCATACTCAGTTTCAGGATAGGAGATGCAATTCTCCTGCCGTTTGAGCGCCTCAGGACCGCCAAGCTCGTCAAAGACAGTCTTGATTAGTGAGTCATCACCTGTCTTGTCAGCGCTGCTTTCCCACCACATACCACCACCCAGCCCGCGCTCCTTGATGAACTTGGCTTTGATCTTTGCGAGCTCCGGAGTGTCGTATGTGACGAGGGTACGCGACCCGGAATTGTGGCAGTACGTGGCAGCAGAATCATCATCTTTGTGCTCCTCTGCTCCCTCCAGAGGAAGCTTTTTGTAGTCGTACACGCCTTGCTCCCAGGTGCCCTGACCGACGCCTTGGAATGGTTGGCCAATACCGTCACAGTTTTCAAACGCGCGGCCATACAACGGCATACCAAGGACTAACTTGTCAGGCGCAACGCCATTTTGAGTATAATAATCAACCGCTGCCACAGTGGAAAACGGCGTGCAAGCGGGAAGGTCCTTGCAAGGGTAGAGGTTTGCCTGATGTCCACTGATTTGATCCCAAGAACCAGCATAGTCGTACGCCATCAGGTTCCAAAAGTCCAAGTGTGCATCCATACCCGGGATGTCGAGCTTCTGGAAGTTGTCGGGGCCGGCTGGGCAGGCCACGGAGAGCTCAAAATGATAATTGTCCGCGGCTCTTGCAGAGTACTCGTCCAGTTGCTTGCGGACCTCAGCAAGTAGCGCAACAAAGTGGCCGGCCTCTTCTGCAGTCTTGGGGTACTCCCAATCAATATCGATGCCATCAAAACCAAGGTTGCTGACGAGTTTGACGCATGATTTGGCGAATGTATCCCGGCCTACTGGGGTGCTCGCCGGTGCGGGGAAGTTGGAGCTATATGTCCAGCCACCAATGGATAGCAGCACCTTGAAGTTTCGGTTGTGTTTCTTTAGAATATTCAGCTGTTTGAGGCAGCCATAAATGTTTTTACCCGTGTCATTCCACGAGTCTCCATCCCAATGAATGTCAGTATCCGCCCAGCCATCGGTCATGAAGCTGCGTATCCGGCAGGTCAGTATGCGGGGTTGTCCAGCCAGCTTCGATCAACACTTACACCTCGCCATTTTCGCTTCGAACATTTGCAAAAGAATACAAGACATGAGTTAATTTCTCGACTGGGAGGTCCTGCGGGAAATGCTTGCGCGCATATATGGCCCTGCAGCACGCAGTAGTCAGCATCCAAATGCATTGTCCACGAGCGAGGGAGTGCTCCTCAACAGCCATACCAGTTGACGTAGTAGGCTACGGATCGATAACTCATCTTGGTGGGTGTTTTGGAATGCAGCAAAGAGTTGAAAGAAAACAAAAGCGAGGTGATGAGGACTGTGATGGAAATGAAATGGACGCGGGCCATGAGCAAGTGCGACGAGGCAGTGCTTGCAGTTGCAGCTTTCTGAGCGGGGTCCCCTCTTTGCGGTGTACGCATGCCAAGAACTACACGTAGCCGTCACTGTTGAAGTGAATCATCAGGATGAGTTGTAAGACAAAAACCATTAATTAATGAACTAATGAGTTATTATGCACGAATTAGGCTAAGTGACCTATCCAGTAGTACCGCCACACATCCTGTCTGTGAAGCTACAGGGTATCTAAATTTATATGGGTAGTTCATGTTGTTAAAAAGTATGAGTCCTTTGAGCACACACTGAAATTCCAGAAAAAAGATGCTGTTCTATAATGTCTATGTCTATGTGATGCTGCCCTGAAAGACCACAAAAGGCCTCTGGAATAACTACAAAGCCTGAGTGATGGATTGGCTAGTGGCCATACTAACTAGGCCGCCACAGCAGCCTGAATAGGCAACACTTGTACTTGGTTGTCTTGGGCAGCTTGATTTTCAGCCTTTTCCTTGAGCTCAGCCTGACGGTTTATCCAGCTCAAATACGTCTGCCAGCCGATGGCAATGAGGCCGCTGAACAGGGCGCGGTACTCCAGAGGCACATATGTCAGGTTGAAAGCCATGGCAGCTGGCCACACCTTCCACGAACTTTGCCAGCTGCGCGGGACAGTATCTTGCAGGCGGCGGAGGGTACCCGACAGGCTTTCGCCGGAGAGCAGAGCCTGCATGCTGAAAAAGTACGTCGGAAAGGCAACGGCAAAGGTGACTTGGTTGAAAGCTACCTTGGCGGCAACGGACAGCGCCATGGACTTGTAGTTGAAGTAACGGGCCAGTACATGGAACCTGAGCCTACAGCGTTAGTCTTTCTGTTCCCAAACGTTCCCGTGGATTCCAAAAGTCCCTTACCAGCGATACTGTGGGATAGCAAAGAGAGCGCCGATAAACGTGGTCCGCGTGGTCCGGACAGGGTCGTAGTCGGAGCCGCTGATGCTCTGCGCGCTGACGTCGGCGGCGATGAAGATGACCATGGCGCTCAGCGTCTGGACAACGTAGGGCCGCTTCCTCTGGGCCCGCCCAAACGCCATCGCGAAGCGGGTGAGAGGGCCGAGGCGCATCCATATCGGTGTGGGAGCGGCGCTTTTGGAAACCGTCTCGGCGGCGGCGACGGTGCTTGTGCTAGACTCTGCTGCCTTGACAGAGGGTTTGGGCTGTGATGACGAGTTTGCTCGCCACTGCTGCTGCACGCGTCGCGGCACAAGCAAGCGCTGTCGGAGGGGTGACTGTAGCAGAGAGTAGCTCATCGCGTCCACGGCTGCGCGTTGGGACGGAAAATGGTTGAATCCCGCTGGGTGCTGGTGTATGAGGTGAGAGTGCCTCGAGGGATAGTTGTCAGTGTTGAGGACCGTTTGGAACCTCGCCAATTTATTATTCAGATTCCGCGATTGCGCCCTCGGATCCGAGCGACCAGTCACACCAACCAGCACGACCCATATTTTGCCGGTTGGTTTTGGCCTGTGGCGGAAGGATAACAGGATAACACCATCGGCTTTAACCGGGTTCTTGGTAGAAGATGTGTTTGTAGTTGTACAGGAACAAAACGGCTAATAAAAGGTATGGAGATCCAGTGATCCGTTTATATGTGTTTTCTGTAAAACATACCAACAACAAGCAGCCATCAATCACCCTGAAGCTGTACGAATACGGATTGCGGATGCAGGCTATAAGCCATTCCACTGGGCGCACGATTGATTGTACATGCTTTTTAGTATACTTTGTAAATATCGAATAAAAATATACTCTACATCAAAGCAGATTTTAGTGACTAGAAACAGATTCAGAGTAGCATTTCGATGACAGCGCATTTTTCAGAGTACTATTTCAATAATACTGTCAGTTCAGCCGGCGCTCCGGGTTCTGCACCCGTCGCCAACTGCGCACTTCAAACATCGCTTGACCATCCTGGTACTCTTTCAGCCCTCCTCCCACCATCGATCCATCACGTCTACACCCCCGCGAAAATGGATGGCGTATGGGTAGCACGCCCCATCCCGGCAGGAAGCGATGACTTTCAAGAATCCATGCCGGACCGCGTCCGCCGGGTCGGTCTGGACATGGACGAGATCAAGCGCTACTACCGCGTCTCTGTCTCCCCGCAACGCCATCAGCGGCTGCGGGCGTTCCTCAGTACCGAGCTCGATGCCCTTTTCCGCCTCGACTTTGACCGGCTGTCCAAGCAGGACCAGGTCGACTTCCTGCAGCTCCGCAACTATCTGCAGCGGACCACGCAGCAGCTCCAGGCGGCGCGCGAGCTCAACACCCAGATTGCGCCCCTCTTCCCCTTTGCGGATATTGTCGTCGAGCTGTCCGAGGCGCGCGAAGCGGTCCGGCCTGTCGACGGCGCCGACTTGGCGGAAAAGGTCAATGCCGTCGCCAAGTTGGCGGAGCAGGCACGGGAAGACGTCGCTGCCGGCAGGATGAGCGCGTCCAAGACAGCCGCGTTCAAAGCCGCCCAAATCATTGCCGAGCTGCAGGACCATCTGGAAGAGCTGGGCGAGTTCTACGGCGCGTACGATCCGTCCTTCGACTGGTGGGTGGCGGCACCGCTCGAGCAAGCCGTCAAGGCAGTGCAGGAGCACAAGGCGGCGGTCGAGCACCACCTTGTCGGCCTCGGCCCCGGCGGCCAGGACGAAATCATTGGCCAGCCCATCGGGCGCGAGGCCCTGCTCGTCGAGCTCGAGGCCGAGATGATTGCGTACAGCCCCGAGGAGCTGCTGACGCTGGCCCACGACGTCTGGCAGTGGTGCGAGGTGCAGATGAAGCAGGCCTCGCGCGAGCTCGGCTTCGGCGACGACTGGAAGCGCGCCCTCGACCACGTCAAGACGCAGTTTGTGGCGCCGGGCGCGCAGCCCGCGCTCGCCAAGTCGCTGGCCCTCGAAGGCGCCGCGTTTGTCAAGCAGCACGACCTCGTCACGGTGCCGCGCATCGCCGACGAGACGTACCGCGCGCGCATGATGAGCGCCGAGCTGCAGAAAGTCGCGCCCTTCTTCCTCGGCGGCGCCGGCATCCTCATCGCCTACCCGCTCGCCGACATGCCGCACGACCTGAAGAGGATGGTGCTGCGCGGAAACAACCGCCACTTTGCGCGCGCCACCGTCTTCCACGAGCTGGTGCCCGGCCACCGCCTGCAGCACTACTACACGACGCGCTACAACACCCACCGCGGCCTGTTCTCGACGCCCTTCTGGGTCGAGGGCTGGGCGCTCTACTGGGAGATGCTGCTCTGGAACCGCGGCGACTTCTTCGTGTCCGCCGAGGACCGTGTCGGGACCATGTTCTGGCGCATGCACCGCTGCGCGCGCATCATCTTCTCGCTCAAGTTCCACCTCGGGCAGTGGACGCCGCAGCAGTGCGTCGACTTGCTGGTTGACGGCGTGGGCCACGAGCGCGCCACGGCCGAGGGCGAGGTCCGGCGCTCGTTCGCAGGCGACTACCCGCCGCTGTACCAGGCCGGCTACCTCCTCGGCGCGCTGCAGTTTGACACGCTGCGGAACGAGGTGCTGCGCGAGGGCCACCTGTCGGAAAAGCAGTTTCATGACGATGTGTTGCGCGGAGGCATCATGCCTGTCGAGATGATTCGTGCCCTTTTTCTCGACTTGCCATTGTCGCCCGACTATAAGCCTCAGTGGCGGTTCTATACGATATAGAGACGGGGAGACGGGGCGCGAATGACGCCTTCCAACCTGCTTAAATGAAGTATGTGTATATTGTGACAAAAGGAAATGTAAATAAGAGAGCGACCTGAGCCTGCTGCTCGTTGGATATAGTATACATGCCATGCAGTTCTCCAAGTGAGATTCAATTTCTCCTCGACGCCAACCATTTCCATGCGATATTTTCTTGTGATTTTTCAAAACATTTCACATTCATCCTCATCCAGCAGTCCGAGGCCGCTGTCCGGGCGCCGCCTGCGTCCCTTGGTCCCCGAGCCACGGCGCGCCAGCTCGCCGCTCAGGAGCCGCCCGGGGCGGACCACGGGCTCGCCCTCTCCCTCTACCGAGCGCTTCCGCTTTGGCGAGTGCAGAAACTCCTGGCTCATCTGAAGGACGCGCTGCAGCTCCTCCTGCATGGCGTCCATGGCAGCCTTGGCCTTGGCCTGCTGGTCACGCATCGCCGACTGCAGCCCGCCGTTGGCGACGCGCAGCCCGCGGACGGTGTCGTGCGACGCGCGCAGCGACTCGTTCACGCGGTCAATCTCAACGCGCAGCTCCATGACACGCGCGTCGCGCAGCGCGAGGCCGCGGCCATGCGCCTGGTTGAGGCGCACGACGTGGCGCGTGTGGCGGTCCTGCTCGTCCGACATGTCCTGCAGCAGCTGCGCAGCCTGCCGGACGGCCTCTGTCATCTTGGCGTCGAGCTCGGCAATGGTCTTGTCGCGGGCGTCGAGGGCCTGGGCGTCCTTTTCGCGGTCCGCGTCGTGGTCCTGCGCGGCGTGCGTCTTTTCGCGGTCCGTCTTCTGCACGAGCGCCTCGAGCTCCTTGACGTCGCGGTCGTACGAGTCGACGGCGCCCTTGAGCCGCGCGTTGGCCACCTCGAGCTCGCGGATGCGCACGTCGGCCGCGCGGATCACCGTCTCGCTGTTGCGCAGCTCGGCCGTGAGCTGGTCCATGGCCGTCACGCGGCCGTCGAGCTGCTTGCGCAGGCACTGCTCGAGGTCGTGGTACTCGTCGATGCTGTCCTCGCCCTCTTTGACGCGGCGCGCGAGATCGCGCAGGTTGGTCAGCAGCAGGTCGAGCACCGCCGCCCCGTGCGAGGTGAGCGGCAGCGAGATCTCGCCGGGCGTGAGATACTCGAGCTCCAGCCGGGCGGCGCGGAACCCCGCCACAATCGACGCGAGCCTCTGCTCGGCGTCGTCTCCGGCAAAGCCCATGTCGCCAATGGTGGCGGACAGGTGCTCGAGCGCGGCGGCACGGTCCGCCATGTCTTGCAGCATGCGCAGGATCTGCTTCTCGATGCTGTCAAGGTTGGCGTCCGAGGCGGTCGTGTCCATGGCCTCTGGGACGGCCGCGGACAAGCGCTCGCTGAGGCGCGCCTGGAAGCCCTTGTACGAGTCCAGCGTGGCCGTCAGCTTGGAGACTTCCCGCTGGAGCGAGGCGACGTGCTCTTCAAGGCTCGCGCGCTCAGGATCGGGGAAGCAGGCCTGCACGGCCGCGTGTGACGTTGGTGTCTGGGGCTGGCGGCAAAAGTGCGATGAGGGCGTCCCGGGTATCATGGGGCTTGTGGCCGGCGGCGTAAGGAAGGAAGAGCGAGCCCTCGACGGGGTGCTGACTTGCAGCTGTGCCTGCGTCGCATCACCAAAGTTGTCGCCGTCCATGTCCATGTCAAAGTAGTCCTCCTGAGCGAATGGGTCGCGGGCCGCCATGGTCCAGTCGTACGTGCGGCTCTCATTCAGCTCCGTGGGGGCGCGCTGGTCGAGCTCCTGCTGCAGGATCTCGATCTGCTTCTCGAGCTCCCATATGCGCTCCGTGTCGATGACGACGGTGGCGTTTTGCAGCTCGTAGATTTCGGCGTCCTTGGACTTGACCTGACTCTTGAGCTTGCTAATCTCGGTGCGCGAGAAGCGCAGCAACTTCTTCTTCTGCACGTCCAGCTTGTTGAGCATATCGCGGATCCCGCTGCGCCGCGCCTGTCGCTCGACCCGGCCTTCCTTTGTCTGGCGGATCGGGGCCAGGAACAGGTTGGCCTGCTTTCGGGACAAGCCGGTCGACGACGAGGCGGGGGCCGGGCTTGAGTTACGCAGCGGCGTGGCCGAGTGTCGGCGGCGGGGCGTGGTAAAGGCCGTCCGACGCATCATGGGCGTCAGGCCGGACGAAGTAGCAGGGCCAGGGTCGGAGAAGCGGACGGTGCGCTTTCTTCGGCCGGGCGTTTTGGGGGCGGCGACGGCGTCGGTCATCTCCTCGGCCTTGACGGAAACGGCCGGGGTGCTTCGACGAGAGCGCCGGAGGGCAATGGGCAGATGGAGATCCTCCATGTTGGCGTCCGACATGTTTGCCAATGGAAACCCTTGACGAGCTCTCCCGAGGCCTGTGAAATGGAGAGGGTAAGAAGGCGTGTGGGAGGAAGGAAGAAGAAGAAGAAAAGCTTGGGATGGCCCAGATAGAAAGTATGGCGCCCCTGTTTTTGTGGGCGATTGGCGACTGACTGAGCACAAAACAACGATAGCTTGCCTCTTCTTTCACAGGGACGTGTTCGCGCAGGACAAATACCTGCCAACTAACACGAGCATCTGCACGTTGTTGTCCCTTTGTTTACCTATTTCCTTTTTGGGGATGGCGCCCGGGCCTCTGTACCGGGCCGGCCCCGCCCATCAAACCGTGAATGACTAGGCAGCCGTTGGGAAACTTGCAAGGATTCGCGCCATCGCGGTACACCTAGGTAGTTATTGTGTTGAACGCGTCGCTGCTGTGTGACGGCAGTGACATGGTGACCATGGTTGTTGTTGTTTCTGCCTGAAGGTTGACGCGAGGTGGGCTGTTGTGCGGGCGGGGCCGACAACACCTTGGACGACTGGCTGAGGCCACGGAAAACAATCACCAGGAGTTGATATTCTAGGTTACTTGAATTATATATCAGCCATGGCTCTAAAATTATATTTCTAAACTAAATTCTGATTTCTGGACTGACTATTTGGATCTGTGCTAGCACATCCAACGGTCGCATGGTTTTGATTGGCCCGAGCAATCACTCAGCCCCGCCTTTATTATCCCGCTCTCCAAGATGGCCTCCAGCATTGATCAAGCATCTACATCACAACGCAAACGAAATCATCCATCTGTATATGCAAAGATCTTCGATCTGTCAGGGCTGAAATATCGGCCAACCAGGGAGACTGGCTGCTGCGCAAAGGATGCGATCAACCTCGGCCAATCAAGCCTCCATGGCTTCCACGGTCATCATGGGACACGATGTAGGTCATCGCTGGCACCAGTTGATGGCCTGAACTGGTCATCTTACTTACCACCAAAGGCAGCAATTTCGATTTCGCCCGCTTCTGCGCTTTCCGTTTCGTTGCTGCAATATTATGCGCTCTACACTTCCACAGTAATAGCCTTTGCCCTCGAAAACTTCAGCTGCGCAAGGTCGCTCCACCCACGTGTTCGCAAATCATCCCCACCGCTGCGCAGCATCAGCGAATAGAGGCGGCCAAATTGGCAATATTCCTGCCCGGCCATGTTGCCCCCCGGAATTGGCTGCCCGGCTGTAAGCCGGGCCTGGAACGATGCCCGCCTTGTCCGGGTAACGCGGCACAACGGCAGCCCGGAGAGCCACACCATGTGCTCGACTCCCCTGCCGCCATAGGGCCTGTCTGCCAGGAACCATGAGCCTCGTCCTATCTGGCGCTGCATACAGGCTCTTCCTATCGTGACCTTTCCGGATTCATCACCGTTCAGCAGCGTTAGTGTACGCCACACGCGACTTCGCGCATGAGGTTGGCCGAAGCGAGGCCAGGAATCTGTACCTATTTAGAATGTGATTGCCATCTCTTGTAGCTCCTCCGGCGTCTTGGCAGGAGAATCTCTGTGTGACCCAAGCCTTGCCAAGTAATTGTCCTTGATTCCTTCGTCTTGTTCGCAGAATGACAGCCATGAAGCTCACCATCACTGCCGCGGTTGGCCTGCTCTCGGCCTTGGCTCACGCAAAGCCAACAGTCGACGAGACCTATCCGTACACTGGCCCGAAGACGCCAATTGGCGACTGGGTGAATCCTACCGTCAAGGGCAACGGCAAGGGCTACATGCGCCTTGTCGAGCCGCCTGCCGTGAAGCCCGCCTCCTCGGACCCGACCAACAACATCAACGTCATCTCTCTGTCCTACGCCGGCAGCACGGGCGTCAACATCCACTACCAGACGCCTTTCGGTCTCGGCAGCGCGCCCTCTGTCCGCTGGGGCACCAGCCGCGACGCTCTGGAAAAGACCGCCAACGGCGCAAGCCACTCGTGCGTCGTCTCCTCTGTCGTATCCGTTTCTTCCCACTAACACGGAGAGCGCAGCTACGACCGCACGCCGCCGTGCTCCGAGGTCGCCGTGACGCAGTGCAGCCAGCACTACCACGACGTGCAGATCAAGGACCTCGCACCCGGCACGACCTACTACTACCAAATCACCGCCGCCAACGGCACTACCGCCTCGGATGTGCTGCACTTCGCGACGGCGCGCCCCGCCGGCAGCCGGCAGAGCTTCACCGTCGGCGTCCTCAACGACATGGGCTACACCAACGCCGGCGGCACCTACAAGCAGCTGAACAAGGCCATTGACGAGGGGCTGGCGTTTGCCTGGCACGGCGGCGACATCAGCTACGCCGACGACTGGTACAGCGGCATCGTGCCTTGCGAGAGCAGCTGGCCCGTCTGCTACAACGGGTCCAGCAGCCAGCTGCCCGGCGGCCTCACGCCCGACTACGACAAGCCGCTGCCGGCGGGCGAGATTCCCACGCAGGGCACGCCCAACGGCGGTGACATCTCGGTACTGTACGAGTCCAACTGGGACCTCTGGCAGCAGTGGATGACGCCCATCACGTCCAGGGTGCCGTACATGGTCCTGCCCGGAAACCACGAGGCCGCGTGCGCCGAGTTTGACGGCCCGGATCAGATCCTCGCCGCGTACCTCAACCACAACCGACCAAACAGCACCGCGCCCAAGTCTGACAAGCTCACCTACTACAGCTGCCCTCCTTCCCAACGGTGCGTCTCCCATCTCATAGCTTTGCCCACGCACAACGACGGCAACCCCAACTAATCCTTCTTTTTCTGCCCTGCAGAAACTACACGGCGTATCAGCACCGCTTCCGCATGCCGGGTGGCGAGTCTGGCGGCGTGAGCAACTTTTGGTACTCGTTTGACTATGGCCTCGCGCACTTCATCTCATTCAACGGCGAGACGGACTACCCCAACAGTCCAGAGGCGTCGTTTGCGCGCGACGTCAAGGGCGGCGAAAAGGCGCCCAAGGCGAATGAGACGTACATTACCGATAGCGGCCCGTTTGGCGCCGTCCGCGGAGACATTGCGCAGAAGGAGTCGTACGAGCAGTACAAGTGGCTGCAGGACGACCTGGCCAAGGTCAACCGGACCAAGACGCCATGGGTCATTGCCATGAGCCACCGTCCCATGTACAGCTCGCAGGTCTCCGCCTACCAGGCCAACATGCGCAGCGCTTTCGAGGACCTCTTCCTCCAGTACGGCGTGGACGCATACCTCTCTGGGTACATTCCGTGACCTGCTTCAATTGCCAACTTGACAATGCTAACCCGGCCTGCAGCCACATCCACTGGTACGAGCGCACCTTTCCTCTCGGCCGCAACGGCACGATTGACAAGTCTGCCATTGTCAACAACAACACCTTTTACGCCAACGAGGGTGTCTCGATGACGCACATCATCAACGGCATGGCTGGCAACATTGAAAGCCACGCCGAGCTGGCCAAGGCCAAGAAGCCTCTCGACATTACCTGCATCTTTGACCAGACCCACTACGGCTTCAGCAAGCTGACCGTTGTCAACGAGACGCTCTTGACCTGGAACTTTGTCAAGGGCGGCGACGGCTCCTCTGGTGATGACCTGACGCTGATTCGCAAGGCTGCAAGCCACTCAGCAACGTCCTCTTCCGCCGCGTCTGCTTCGACCCCCCGTGTGACCGTCGTCACAGAGACTGTCAACTCGTACACGACATACTGCCCCGGCCCAACAACCATCAGCGAGGGCACGCATACCTATGTTGTTTCCAAGGTACGTTTTTAGCGATACCCGGGGACCCTCAGACAAAGTACTCATGAATCATAGGCTACCACGTTGACTGTCACCGACTGCCCCTGCACGCGCACCTACACCAGCACTATCGCCGGAGGCAACGGAACTGCTACCGCCAAGACCTCCGTGTCGTCGCAGTCGGCCTCCCGCGCGGCTCCGTCGAGCAGCGCTCACACCACTGCGCCCGTCACCGGCAGCGCCAGCGCTGCCCACCAGCCAAGTGCACTCTGGTGCGTTGGCATTTTAACGTTTGCTGCGTTTCTGTTCTAGATGGCGCCAAGCGGGCTGATGTGCCAGGTTGAGGGAAACCAGCGTTTCATCTACAATGTTATAGAAACCTTGCCACTAGTGAAGAAACTAGCTCGATATTGTACGCTTTCGCGCCTGCCCAATCGATGCCAACATAGCCACCACTTCTTGATAACGGCCATCTGATATCAGACCGTCCCACCAGGGCTGGGAAAATCATACAATGCCTGTTCTCATCAATGATAACCACCGTAACTAGTGGCGTGGGGGTGGCATTTCGCGGTTCCCACTAGTTACTTACAGAAATCCCCATGTAAAATAGGTCGCAAGCGAGCGCGCCCGAGAAGCAGTCTCGGACTCGGACATGCATTGACCTGTACAATGCCCTGTAAATTTTTAAGCCGTTCGCCAATATTGCCCGGCCTCAGCGGCATTAACTATCAACGAACGCAGCAGGCTGGGGAATGGTAGCCTGCGGGCCTAAGGGGCAAAGCAACACACATTACCCTCCATCCCCTCACAATGCTCGGCCTCTCTGCATTGCTCAGATGAGCCAGCCATTTTTGCACGAGTCGATCAATATTGGAGTCATTGATACTACGTTTCCAAGTGGAGTAGAGCGACCATGTTTCGCTCAGTTTCTCTTTGGCCTTCATATGTTAGGTAACATAAAACAAGGCAAGTTGACAAATTCGGTCAGCCCCGCACAATGGGCTGAGCACCGCCTGGGCTTGACATTGCGCTAGGACTTTGTTGAAATGAACTGAGGTTATCGAGGCGCATACTTAGGCCCCTTCGGGAGCCGTTCCCGCGGTCTCCATGGATAGCCTCCTGCCGATTGTAGCGATCGACTCTAGTGCCGGTCCACAGAAGTTCCTCATAGTCAAGTATAGAAAAGGCGCAGTGACGCCTACCTGGGGGCCGCTTTGTCGTTTTCTATTTTCCGCTGGTTTATATCTTTCTTGACAACATGATGAATCAATTCTCACATAGTGGACGGTTGCTGGGCGCTTGCTGTCTGGCCCTCCAGATCGCGCTATGTCTAGCTGGCTGTGGCGGCCGCCTCCCGCCGTTGCTTGACGCCACCCTCGATGACCTGCGCCGGGGACTCGATGGAGGCAACTTCTCCAGTGTTGACCTGACAAAGGCCTATATCGCTCGAATCAACGAGGTCAATGAACAGCTGCATGCTGTCAACGAGATCAACCCCGATGCCTTGACAATTGCTGCCGAGCGGGACAAGGAGCGGTGTCAAGGCAAGGTTGGCCCTCTACACGGCATTCCCATACTTATCAAAGACAACATTGCGACCAACGACAAGATGAACAACACCGCGGGCTCGTTTGCCTTGCTTGGTGCTAAAGTCCCAGAGGACAGCACTGTCGCTGCTAAGCTACGCAAGGCCGGTGCCATTATTCTTGGCAAGGCGAACCTGTCTCAGTGGGCCAACTTTCGCAGTGACAATGGCAGCTCAGGTTGGTCTTCAATTGGGGGCCAGGCGACTGGAGCCTACTTCCCTGGTCAGGATCCTTCTGGTTCGTCTTCGGGGAGCGGTGTCTCGTCTTCAGTTGGCCTGGCCTGGGCTTGCCTCGGCACTGAGACTGATGGCTCCATCATCTCGCCCTCCCAAGAGAACAATCTTGTCGGTATCAAACCCTCTGTCGGCCTGACATCGCGATATCTTGTAGTGCCCATTTCAGAGCACCAAGACACTGTTGGACCGATGGCGAGAACGGTCAAGGACGCTGCGCACCTGCTCAGCGCTATTGCCGGTAAGGACAGCAACGACAACTATACATCCGCCATCCCCTTTGGTGACAAGGTCCCCGATTACGTGGCGGCCTGCAAAAAGTCTGGGCTAAAGGGCAAGCGAATTGGTATACCGCAGGGGTTGACGAAAGGCGAGTCGGGGTACCCTGCACCTGTTGAAAAGACCTTCCGCGAGACAGTTGAGCTTTTGCGGTCTAGCGGCGCCGTCATAGTCGACAACATCGAGTTCCCTGGGCTTGAGCAGCTCGGGCCCTCCAACGAGATTGTCCTGAAGGCTGACTTCGTCAGCGGCTTGCCGGAGCTGTACCTGAAAAAGCTTGTCGCAAACCCGAACAACATCACTTCCCTCGCCGATCTACAAGCGTTTACGCACAAGGACCCAAGAGAGGATTGGCCGGAGCGAGATACCGGTGTTTGGGACTCGGCGTTGAAGCTGGGATTCGGCAACGACTCGCCGCAGTTTCGGGAGGCATTTCAGAAGCAGCTGAACTTTGGCGGAGAGCAGGGTCTGGCTGGTGCTTTGAAGAACAACTCGCTGGATGCCATCTTTGCGCCTTCAGATTTCGTGTCGTCCATGGCCGCTCCTCTAGGTAACCCCGTCGTCACGGTGCCGATTGGTCGCATGCCTGATGACACGCCTGTGACACGTAACGGCTTTGGAAATTTGAATGCGACGGGCCCAAATCAACCGTTTGGCGTTGGGTTTGCCGGAGCTCATTTTAGCGAGGAAGCTCTCATCGGCATGGCGTACGCCCTGGAGCAGCAAACACACGTCCGCACAAAGATTCATCCGAAAGTCGTCCCCAGGACGGAGCTGCAGGACGTATTGGGAAAGTGAGACGAGACGGTGAAATAGCTTGAAAGTGATGTTTCTGGTTCGAGATATTTAATAGAGTGCCTGACTGGCTTTTCGATATGATGCGTTTTTCTGAGTCGATGTTGAGCATTTGTTAGTGGTGAGAAGAAGGACATGCTGGTTGGTGGCGTTGATAGCACCAGGCTAGTGGGGTAGCCCGCTAAACAGTGCTGAATAATCCACGCTCTTCAGCCCCAACATGGGCAAGAGCCTCTGTGGCTGGTGCTAATATAGCGCCCAGTACAAATTACAGAGTACCTACACCCACTGTAATTGCTATAGTAGCCAGTAATTCCATCTCCAGCCCCATCGAGATGGCTAGACCATGACTCTTTTGTCGCCAACGCAAAAACTTCAACGAGGCCAGGCAATACAGGATATCGAGGCTGCGATACATGTTCTACGCGTCACTGCATGTGTGCCGCTCACATCAATGAGCATGACTGCAGCGCATGACCGTTGAACCGTCGCATCTCCACCAGCTACCATCTGGAACCATGTCGACGCCAGCCACGAACAGAAAAGTAAAGTTCATCGCCGCTGATCCATCTCGCGGCGGTCTGCCTTTGAAGCGCAAGCAGGTTCAGCACGCGTGCGAGTCTTGTCGCCGTAAAAAGGTTTGTCAATTGTGTCTTAGATTTAGCCACGCACCTGGTGGACTGACGCTGTCACAGCGGAGATGCATCCATGCAGACGACGCGGCCGAGGAGCCGTCACCAGAAGAGAGTCGCGGTGTTGATTCCTCGCCCTCACACGCCTCGTAAGTCACGTCTCACTTATTCTAATTGACCGGCTAGCGGATATCAGAAAACCTTGCTCATTCATTAGGTCTGCCAATCCCGCCCGCAGTGTCACACCAGTGAGTCGTACCTCATTACCGCCAGTCGCAAACGGCATTCTAGGTCGCCAGCAGGAACACTTGTATCTGCCGGCCAGCCGCGCCAATGGCAAATACCAGCGCCCATACCACGATGGATCGTTTAGGACACGATCTGCCCGCTTCGTTGGCGACCTGAACCCCGAGGGCATGTTTATCGAGGCCACGGCCTCCGTCTCCGCGCGAGAGTCCTCTCAAAAGGGCGACGTGGGGATATGGCTCCCTGCCGGCAGCAGTCAGTCGCAATTCATAACCTCTCGACCGCCTCCAATAATGGACAGGTTTTTACTTCCTTTCGTCAAAGAGCACTGTCTTTCATGTTTGCCTCCCGATGACGACTACGCAAAGCTCAAGACGACATTTATTCAAAAGATTCACCCACTCTTCCCCGTTCTCCCTCTATCATCTCTCAATGAAGTTACGAATAATCCCACAAGCATCATTCAACGCCAACTCGTCTGTCTAGCGGCTGGCAGCGACCCAGACATGACTCAATATCTGCGACTGCAAAACCAAGGCGGCGCTTTATTATCGCCGCAGGATTATTCGCAAGCACTGTCCTCGTCTGTTCGAGCTATTCTGGAGACCTCCCTCATCACCGACAGAGTGGCGCATATTCAAGCCCTGGCGATGCTCTCATTTTATGTTCAACCGACATGCGCCGAGGAGGCCGATTTGCCCGCACAATTAGGTGGCAGAGCTATACATCACATCCAGACTCTTGGACTTCACTTGCTGCGATATGACGCCCCTAATTGCGATGACTTGAACAATTTATTTTGCGCAGTCTGGGCGCTAGATCGTATTAATGCCGCCATGTATGGCCGTCCTTGTTTGCTCCATGAAAGAGACATTGGTGCGGACCTGGACGCCTGCATCCGGAAGCGACCGCCGTGCTTCAGACTTTTGTTGTCCGTCATCCAATGGCTTGACCAAGTTGTAGAGCTATACCGGCCAGGCCCCAGCGAAGAAGCTTCCGGTATTGATAAGGTGGCCTACATCGATCTACCAGTCCTGGAAGCGATGATCGTGAATGCAGATGCGCTCAAGGTTTCTTCCTCTCTAATCGGTATGTACTTCCGTTCTCTCCCTCCCGTTCCAACCCTAACACTGCGGTCAGCTACCATCGAAACGTTTTATCACGCCGTCATCATCCTCTCCTGTCGACTTCCCCGGCCAGGCACCGCACCCGCCGCTTCCACACTTCCCCCACCTTCAGCCAACGCCCGTCGGTCTTTGGCAGCCGAAAGAATTGCTTGTGCGGTTCCACGAGATTGTTTAAGCCCGGCGCCCTTTGTTCCCTACGCTGTCTCGCTTGCCCTCAGCGTCGAATATCGAAAAATGCGCCATAGTCGACTGCCGATGTTCCGTGCCAGGGCCATGAGCTCGTTCAAGCGAAACTGCGAGCTGTTGCGGCGCTATAGTAACCATTTTTGGAACGCCAGTGTTGTGGCAGGGCTTGGAGAACGAGTTCTCAAGGAAATGGAACGTGCAGCTACCACTCTAAACAAAGACCATACGCCGCCCGTTGCTGCCTCAGAGTCGAGTTTACTTGGCAACACTCAGAGTATGCCGACTGCAGGGATTACAGAACTACCACTACACGACCCGGACGGCATTAATGCAGCTATTGATTCTGCCATTGGGATGGACAACACTGTTAATTTCTCTCTGGTGGATCCTGTGTCTGGCCAAGACGTTTTCGGCCACATCGATCCAAACTTCAATCTTGATGCTGTAGAGGACGCGCTAGAAGCGCACCTAGACATCGGTCTGCCCTTTACCTGGGGTGATTGGGGTCATTACGCAACCTGAATTTCTTGCGGTATTCTATTGATATACTCAAACCAAGCGGATTTGCTTGTTTGGCTGACGCTTTGAAATTGCTAGCTTTGCGGCAAGTCAAATGCAGGCTCGATGTCACAGTATTTTCAGATTGTGATGAGTAACTTACAAAGGCAGTATTTCCCGACTTAATACACCCAAACAGGTAACGACGCAGAAATACATACGTATTTACGACAGTGCATTTAACTCTCCTCAACGGAATGCATGTTGTGACGAAATTTAAAGAACGACTCGAGTTAGATTTGGTACCGAATGCTAGCTTTTCGTGGTTCGGGTGCTCTATGTCCTTCGGCAGCCATGCATAACAAAAAACCATAGGCGCTCATTCCTGAAATCAGACTCTGTCATCCTCAGCGTAACGAACTGTCCGAACACGCTCGCTGTCTTTTTCGTCATAACCATTCATGTCATACATTTTCCTTGCGGGCGGATCGCGTACCACGGGCAGCATTGAGGCATCAAAAACAGGGCGACTGAACCGGTTGTATGCAATGAACGTGTCGCGGTTGCCGGCGACGGCGTTGACAGGCGTTGCGACGTTCATCGATATGCGGCGAATCTCAACTGAGTCCTCTTTGATGGGCTTGATGCCCATATATGTGTAGATGAGGTTGAGCGCGGGAATGGACAAGCCGTGTATGACAATGGAAAAGAGGACCAACCAGTACACAACGGGTCCCATGGCCCTGGCGAGGTTGGTCTCTTCGACATCGCCTTGGCCGAGTTTGGGAAAGAGATGTCTGCTGTGCTCGAGGTAGAAAACGGCACCAACACCAATAGGGCCAAAATAGCCCATGAACAGGGCCTCTTTCCAGCTTGTGCAGGTTGCTGGCATCAGCTTGTAGGTGATGAGGATGGCGGGAATTCGCCGGAACAGCAGGACAAGGAAGCCGAGAAGAACGAGACGGCCATAAGTCAAACCGGTGCCATCGGGGTCGTTGAACTCGGACCATGGAATGATTGTGCCAATGTACATGAAGCCGCCAAAGTTGAGCAAGACATCGATGCAACTGTTGACTTCGTCGTGACGCCTATGCGTCTCCTCAAGATACTCGCCGTCCCAGTTCAAGGCACAGCCGGCGATGAAACAGGCAAGCAGGTCGTCAGTTCCGATTGCACCGCATGTTCCAATGAGAAACAGTCCGAGGGCGGCGGGGAAGAGGAGATAGGACTCAGTGTCGATCCATTTTCTGGTTGGCAGCATGAGCATTGTGCGGTCGTGGTCTGTGGAGAGATGGGTCGGAGACTTACCGCTTGAGCGTGTACTTAACAATCCAGCACGAGCCGAAGCCAATGACAGCGCCGTATGCGATGGATAGAAGAACAATGTACAACCAAGTCTCGACGAACCAGTTCGTCAGGGCGACGCTGACACCGCCGCCCAGCCGGCCAACCTCGTCCCCGGCGCGCGCGACCAGCATCTTGGCCGCCGTGCCGGCTGTTTCCGCGGCGGCGGCGGCGGCGCCAGATGCGACGTCGGAGTTTCCGGCGCTGGGAAGATCGGCGTGGCGAATGAGGTAGACGGCCAGCATGAGGAAGAGAAAGCCGAAGCCGTCATTGGCGCCGGCCTCGGCGGAGATGATTTCGCGCATCGGTCGGGCCACGTACTTGTCGGCAAAGGGGCCCTTGGCGACGGCCTGGGACAGGATCGGGTCGGTGGTGGTGACGCAGGAGGCGATGACGAGCGTGGACAGCAGCGTGACCTTGGGCACGGTGGCCAGCATGCAGAGGCTGGTGCAGAGCCACATGATGGTCATGATGGGCAGCAGGCAGAGGGCCATTTCTTTCCACCGCGTCAATATGTATTTGGCAGGTAGCTGGTAGCCGGCAATGACGAGCTGAATGCCAATCATGACGCGCGTCACACCCTGAGGACGGTTCAGTCAGTGATGGGCCTGGAGGATGGGAGAGGGTCGTGGCGACAAACCAGCGTGATTTCGGACGTCTGTCCCTTTTCTGAGGAGCCCCATCGGTCACTGTCGAGAAACTTTGCGGCTATTGGTCCTAGTAGGATTCCCAGAACCAAAGCAGGTACTGGATGGAGCGCAATTGTCAGTCTATTTGAGCCCGCACAAGTCTGTGTCGTACTTACGGGCTTCTCCCAGGTACCATACTTGCTTGAGCTTGACGGATATGACGCCAGCAAGAATGATGAACGCGCCTGAGCTTTAATCAGTACATTGTTTGTGACTCCTTAGTTGGACAATACAGACCTAGGACGCTTATGACGATGTTGAGCTCACTCACGTCGAGGACCGGCATTTTGGTGGAGATGGAAGTGGCTGCGAGAGAATGACAGAGGTGTTATATGACCAGTGCTCTTCTTGTCCAGCAAGAAGAAATATATGCGGGCTTGTGTTTTGGTGCAACGAATAAATGAAAGAGGAAGGAAAGGAGAGTAAAGGTGAAGAACGGAACAGAACTCGGAAAGCAGAGCTGTGAGCGCAAGTGTAGGCAAGGCTAAATGCTTGTTGCACTCTGTCCGTTGTCTTTTTCTTTTGACAAACTTGTTCTGTTGTAAGAAGACACAAGTCAGATAAGATTGAACGGGGGAGCGGCGCTTGAGTTATACATGAGCTGGCTTCTGCGATGCGTGCTGAGGACCAGGGATGCACAGTATTTGGAAACTTGCGGGGCAAAAGAAGGGCATCTGTTTTGAGAGGATTGATGAGAAACAGATCATCTCGATGTAACAAGGAAAAGCAGCCTCTCTGTAAAAATAGAACGACGGCCAGGTCAAGGGGCAGGCACCAGGAGCTCTCAACTACGCGGATCTGTGGAGTATTCTGCGTACGATATGCCTGTCACTCTTGGATTTCATCACGTAGATTTCTTATTGATACCTTTTAAGTTGAGACTGTACAGGTACGTACAGACCATTAGATGAATGGATGAGGCCCAGAAGACCAAGACGAGTCTGGCATGGAGTCTGACTGATCTCTGTCCGAGTCGAACAAGCAACTCGCACCTTTCTGAGCGCTACAGACCAATTCTCGATATATTGCCTCAAAAATATCATAACAAAGCAACGAAAGACATGTTTCGGCCAAGTCGAGGGTGAAAAAGGCCGTCGCGAGGGTGACGCACGCAATGTTTGCAGCCTCGAGACGGGCAGCGCGCCAACAAGGACGCATCTCCGGGCGCCATCTCACCACAGGAGATATCAGCACCAACAAGTCTTTTCTGGCGGCATTGGCAATGGCGAATTGGCTCTTGGCGTGTCAGTTGTTCCTTGTTGGAATGCCCGCCCAGAAATGCCCAGACCAACGGCCGTGCCCTAGGTGGGTTATACGGCACATGAAGGCGAAGCCAAGCACGGCTTGCAGGAGTCTAGCTGGGCGAAAAAAAAAATTGGTAAATGGGGTGATGAGTACTGCCTACGGCGTTTTGAGGGAATTAATTATTGCTTGTGTTGCCATGTTGAAGCCGTTTTTGTGGTAATGGTGAGAGTTTGCTGGCGCGGGCGTGGAAGCCGATCGCTTGACGTTGAGATAGGGTCGCCGCCGGGAACACCGCTTTGCGCCGGCATGATTATTTCCGCGACAAGGCGTCCGAAAGGCTCTCCAACGGCCAGGTTGATGTGTGACGTTGCCCACTGGTTCAGACTACCCTCGCGTCTGGCAGGCTCTACCCCGGGTTTCATCAGCGAGATGAGCGTCAGGCACTTCCGGGGCTGATTTTCACGGTACCTGTTTTGAGTCGGCGGTATTTTCCAAAGTTAGTTGGAGGAGCAGTGCTTTGAAGAAAATTGCGGTGTTTTTTTCGTCTCTTGCGATTGCTGTGGTGAGTTGGCCTCGTCACAGGCCACTTACACAACGGAGCGTCAAAGGTAACTCGTGAATATTAACTCTTGGAGAGTACAGAAAAATTCGGAAAATTGAGGTATCTCCATTCAGTCAATTTTTCAATCGTCAAGATGTGTGGAAAGAACAATACTGTACTGCCAAGCGTCCAAATGCTCGGCCGGCCCGCCTTTATTAGGAAGCTCCGTAGCAGGTCGCTTGGCCGAGACAACGGCGTACTCGTACCCTGTCGCGAATTGTCAGCCACTTTCCATGCTTATACTTGATCCGTGGGAGTAGACTCGGCTTCATTATAGTCGTCATGCTGATGTTTGCCTGTTGCGGCCTCGATGTGTAGTACAAAGAGTTCAGAGGCAAGTAGCATACAGCTAAAACTCTCCTTGGCGGGTCGAAAAGCCTTGAGAATCGTGTTAGAACCTAGACAAGGCTGTATTATTAAGAGCAATATCTGCAGTCTTTGACGATACTTTTGCACCACATTTTCAAAGCGAGGCTCGCTCACTCAGCTCTCGTTGGGAACACGGCGTCCTCTCTCAGCCCCGTGTGAACCCGCGCTTTCTTGGCTTTGCCTCGAAATTGAACCCGCGTTGGCGCCAATGCTCGGCAAAGTGGCCGCTGGGAAATTGTACAGCCCACACAGCCCGTAGTCCCGAGAGTCGACGGGCCTGGAAACAAGGAATGTTTTGTGTCTGGACATTTCTCCTGCCAAGATGGCATCGCGTGCGTGGTAGATGCAGCGGAATGAACGGGGAAATAGTCTTGGCCAGTGATGGCAATCCGCTCGTAGTCATCGTAGTGCGGCGGATATATCTTGGCCTCGAAAATTGCTGCATGTGGCATGTAGTTTATTATTCCAAAGAATTTTTCAAAATCTAGCCACAATTTTTCTAATAAATTATAAGATATGGAGTCATCTAGGCAGAGAATCCGGATATATAGGTAGCCAATCTATTTTGAGCCGCCCCCTATGCCTTGTAAGTGACGACATCGGCGTTCCCGCCTCTCCCAAACCAGTATTGCGGATGCAGTAGCGTTAGACAAAACGACATGATGACCATAGGGACACTATCCAATGCAATAAAAGCGCCCTCTTCCGAGGCCAGTCGACCGTTGAATCCGTCGCTCAGCTCGGCCACTCGCCAGCAAGATCTGACGAACAAGCAACCCGCTGCCACAGCCGCGCCTGTCCACGCATGTGAGCCCGGGTCTTCCTCCCGCCCCGCGAAACAAGAAAAGAAGGGCAACTCACCAACGAGATACCAGCGCTTGTCTGTTCGGTTCAGCGGCCAGCCGACGCGTCGGTATATGAAGAAGAGCAGCAGACAAAAGACGGCGGTGCACAGCACCTGCGTCGCCAAGCCCGCAATCATCAGGTCCACGCCGACCGGGCTCTCCGCGAAGATGGCGGCCAGCGACCCGCCGCAGCCGATGAAGCAGAGGCACGCAAAGTCCCCGAGGATAAAGAGGCTGGCGAACCAGCGCGGGCCGATGCCCCCGAAGCGCGCCTTTTGGTATCGCCGTTGCAGGCCGCCGATGCCGAGATAGAGCGACGAGGAAAGAAACGTAGGGCCGAGCGTCAGGCCGATAATGTACCTTTTCTGAATTAGCCTTGTTTTTTATCGGCTTTTGCTTGAGCAAAAGCAGCGGCGTACATACATGATGTATGCGTTCTTGTTGGTTCGGCTGTGCGCGAGCTGCACTTTGGCAATGTAACCGAGCATCTCGAGAAGCAGTCCGCAGACCATGCCAATAGCATACCCGTAGCATTTTCGGAACAATACTGCCAGGACCAGGTGTAAGGAGAATAAAACGGCAAAAATGCTGCTAAAAACGGCGCTTGGTGCCAGCAGCGGCGTAAAGGGCAAAGCGCCGATGCCATTGGGTGGAATGCCTGTTTGGTTCAAAGTTGAATTCATCACCATTGATGTCGATTTCACAGTAGTTGGATACAAGAGTAACATGTTCTTCTTTCATTCATACGAAAAAAACAAAAAAAAAAAGAAGAGGCAGCTTTTTAAATCATCCCCGGTAGCTCCAAGGCAACGCGGCAGAAACGTGCAAGCTTCCCGCTTAATCGCCGCACAACCTCCGCGCAATCACCGCCTCCGCCGCCGCCGCCGTCTCTGCCCTTTCCCCCTCCAGCAAATCGCCGAAGAACCACCTACCTCCGCAGCAAAGACAATGCGGCTCAAACGCGGTGTCGAGCGCGCCTCGTGCGATTTTTGCCACGGCCGAAAGATCCGGTGCGACCGGTCGGTGCGCGCCGCGCGCGGGATCGACGGGTGCTCCGCGTGCGCGCGGCGATCCCTGGCCTGTCTTGTCAACGAGTCGAACCACGCGGGACGCAGCGTGCGGCCGTCGCCGCCCGGCCAGCCGCAAAGCCCAGCATCGCCATCATCATCTACGCTTGTGGTGTCCCCGCCGGCCGTCGTCCCCTTTGCGGCGCACGAGAGCCTGTTTGGCCTCGACGCGGAGAGCGCCTTTTTTCTGGACCAAATCTTCATGGGACCGCTCGCCGCCGCCGAGTGGACGACGCGCGATGCGTGCCCGGGTCTCGCCCCCGGACCCGCGGCGGCGGCGCCGGAGGAGGAGGAGCCCGCCGGCATCGACCACTACCGCGACACGTGGCAGGGCCTGTCGCGCGCCGTCTTCCTGCGCGCCGTCCGGGCTTACTTTGCCTACGCGGCGCTGGCCCTGCCGCTGACGCTCGAGGACGCCTTTTGGGCGGACGTGCGGACGGGCGCCGCCAGCGCCGCGCTCGTCTGCGCCGTGGCCTGCCGCGGCATGCCCTTCACCGGACACCGCGACCGGTGGCCGCTGCAGCGGCGCCTGGCCGTCCGGTTCAAGGACGTCTTCCTGCAGGGGCAGCAGCAGCAGGCCGGCGGCGCCCGGAGCACCACGCCGCTGGACGACGTCGAGGCGCTCGCGCTCATGGCCGACTTTGCCTACGACGGGGCGGACGTGTCCGGGCCGGAGCGGCTGTTCCTGTCCAAGAAGGCGCTGGTCCTGATGGCGCTGGAGATGCGGCCGGCGACGACGGTGCTTTGTCGGGCCGCGGAGCGGCATTCGCTGCTCTTCTGGCACGTGTATGGGCTGGACGCCTTTGCCTGCCTGGATGCGGGGACGGCGTCGCGCATCCCCGCGACCGAGACGCTGCCGCACCTGCGGGACACGGGCTCGGGCTACCTGGACGCGGTGCTGTCGCTGGCCCTGGTCGCGCGCGCGATCCTGCAAACCCTGAGCGGGTCGGCGCGCCACGGCGTCGCGTACGCCGACGTTGCGGCGCTCTACGAGCGGCTCGAGTCGTGGCGGGACGTCTCGTGCCCGCCTCGCCTGCGGCACTGGCGGGGCGGCGGCGGCGGCGACGAGGGCGAGCATCTGCACGTCCAGCGGGCGGTGCTGCACCTGCTGCGCATCAACTGCTACATGCAGATCGAGAACTGGGCTTCCGAGCATGGCGTCGGCGCCGCGGCTATGGAGGACCAGATGACGGGCCCGCGCATCGAGTTTGAGAGTCTCCGGGCCGTCAACGAGGGTGCTGAGCTTGCAGAGTGGCTGAATGGCTGCCACGTGGGAGAGTTTGCCGTGGTGGACCTTGCGCCGAATATACTGAGAGATATCAATGCCGGTCTGGGTGTTTGGACATGCTTGCATGGCATACAGCAGCTTGCAAAGTCGTCGTATCATGTACATGGGCAGTCTTTGAAGTGTGCATTGGAGACGCACTTGGAAACGGCACGCTTGTTTCGCTCGACGGTTGCAACGGCCGTTTCGCATCGTGACACGACTACTGTGCTTGAGAGGGTTGATGAACAAGTAGCTGCTCTGCAAACACACATGGAATAGTCGGATCATTTCGTTACTCATTTCTTCATCTCTGAGTCCCAATGACAGGGTAGAGGGTAGCTTTGACGGGGTACCAGCGAGCCTGTAACCTCGAAAAAGCACGCTTACAAAACGAACATGATTATGATAATTGATTAGATATCAAAGTGACGCTGGTGCGCTCACGTCTACATACATTCTAGTCCCGGCAACGTACCGTCGTAGAACGTGCAGGCCTCTAAGCCCCGGGCTGCGGGATTCCCTTTTCCTCGTAGAATTCCCCCACCCAAGCGACGATAATGGCAATCACCTCTTGCGTGATATCATGCAGCGCATCGTTGACCCGGGTGTTGCTCATGACCAGGTCCGGGCAGTGGGCGGCCTTGGGCACCACAAACGTCGGCACCTCCGGGGTTGACTGCAGCGGGCCGCCCGGCCGAAACGGCGACGACACCGTCTCGGGCAGCCATGGGTCGTACTCGCCGTTGACCTGCACCAAGCGCGTCGAGTTGACATGGCCCCAGCCGCCGGTGAGCTCGACAATGGCATCCGTGGTGCGGCCGCGCTTCAGGCCGTAGCTGTAGCCGTCCTCGTCGGGGAAGAAGCGTTCGCACTGGTCGCGCAGCGACTGCACCGTGGCGTAGCGGGATACGAGGCCGGTGTCGCCGGGGTACGAGCCCTGCCACTGTTGGAAGCTGCAGTACAGGTTTTGGTCAGTTGTGTGTGTGTGTGATTTGTGGACATTTCTGCTCAAGGGACGTACGGCTCATTGCACGACATCCACTGCCACTGCAAGTTCCACTTGTTGCGAAGACTGCGGTCGGTAAAGTACGGGCTCGTGCTGTTGTGCGTGTCCCAGCACGCCACGGTCGCGTTGTCGCCCTTCCAGTAGTCGCCCCAGTTCCTAGCGCAGTTGCCCGGCACGCGCACCTCGCGGAACCATCTGGCGAGGCCGGCCGCCGCCGCGCACGCGCCTACGCCGTGTTCGTCCGGGACCCGGGTCGTTGTCGCATTGGCGGCACCACCGCCCCCGACGCCCTCAATGTAGTCGCACATCTCGTACAGTGGGATGTTGCCGGGCCCCGTGTTAAATTGAGTGCCCTGCCAGCTCTGCAGGCCGTCGGTGAGGGCCCAGCCAAAGTCGTCGTCCTCGAGGCCGGCCAGGCCAAATTTGGCCTTGAGCGCCTCCTTGCCGGCGGCGTCGCTCGAGCCGAGCCGGCGGTCAATGTGCCGGATGGCCAATTTCATGTCCCGGCTGCAGTTGCGCGGCATGGCGGCCTCGATGGGCACGTAGTACTGCCAGTAGTCGGCGATGGGCTGCACGACACCCGACACGGCGTGGTACGCCCAGAACGTGCCCGGGTACAGCTTCTCGATCCACGCGGCGAGCGCGCCGGAGTACGAGCCGCCGGTGAAGACCCACGGGGCCCTGTCCGGGTGCGACGACTGCGCTGGGTCAAAGGGCAGCTTGACATTTCTCGCAAAGTAAATCGTGTCCCGCATGGCATTGTCCAGCGTGAGGTAGCGCATGTTTTTCGTCGTCATTTTGTCAAACGGCGAGCTCTCGCCCCAGTACCGGTGCTCGAGCACAATCGACGCGCCTCTAATCTCCTGCGCAAACACGCCGTCGAGGGTGTAGTTGGTCGTGTACCAGACGTACGGGTCGGCGGCCGCCTCGCCAGGCCCGGAGAGCACAATCGGCGCGCCGGGGCCCGCGTAGAACTCGGGATTCGCCCAGTAGCGCTGCTTGAAGGTGCCGAGGGACGGGTCGTCGTGGTCGATGAGCTGGTCAAAGGTGCCGGCCGTGATGGGGCACGGCGTACCCTGGGGGTACAGGCCATAGCAGTAGCGGCGGTCATAGACCTTGTCCGTCGCGGGCCGGCCGCCGCGTGGGCTGAGGTTCGACGCCGAGACGGTGACGGCGGCGATAACCGCTGCCACAAGGTACCGCATTCTGGACGGGCAGAGTGGTCTCTCTGTAGATATGAGATATAAAAATACGAGGCGACTGGGCTATAGAACGCTGGTTCCATTCGCCCAGACGGCCTGGCTATATATACAGGTGCGCACATAGTGAGCTGAGCCCATTCACCGTCAGATGAACAAGGTCAACAGTTATCACGACAGCCCGAGTTAGGAAGGTGGCTCAGAAAATATTCGATTTCGATTGCAAATAGTTTGCGAGACCTGCCTTGTCTGGTGATGTGATCCGCTTGGTGCAGGTTATCATGGGGCTAGTCGGACGCGTATGACAGGGTCATCACTGTGCAGCGAGGAAAGTGTGCGTCAATGGGTTAAGGGCGGAATTGTGATGCAAAGGCGGGTGAATTGATGTATTCCTAGATGCTCTGGACGATGCTCCGGAAGATGCTGCCGGCCATGATTTGGCGCTGATAGAGCCATAATTCGTTCGTTTGTTGTCAACGGGGTCATCCGATGATCCGACGTCGGTCAACCCCCCCGACCTCTCCAGACTAGGAAGGTGAGTGTGTCACATTGCATCAGAAAGAAATGTGCAGGCTTTCTACCCATCTCGTACGTAACATCGGAAGCCTCAGCCACGCCAGCTGAGCGCTCGCTCGTCGCGCATGGGCCCAAATGGCGGGACGAGTAGCCGCATCTGAACGAGGCCGAAATTTGGCAGTTGAGACAAGGCGGCTGCCAGAGCGGCTGCATTGTTTGTCGATGAGTTGAGTAGGTCTTGGCTGAACACGTTACGGGCGCAGCCATCGCGGTCCGCTACCCGGGAGACTAATAATAGCGTTAGCTTGGGCCATCTCAACGCGTAAAAGTTTCTCCGCGAGGGCATCAGTTCGATTGGTGTAACACAAATCTACCTAGTTATTGTACGAGGATTGTGCACGATACTATATTTTGTTAAGCATCCTCGCAAGACACCTGGTGCTCCCGACTATAAACCGAAAACATTCACAAATACCACAAAAATTCTTCAAGAGCCTCGCGTATCTTAAGCACCCCTGCTCCTCCCGATTGGTCAATGTCTCTCATCGCATCGAGATAGTACCGAGGCCACTGCATACTGGTCAGGATGTTTTGCACGCCAAGTGATCAAACAAACGACTTGTCGCGGGTAGCCGGTATTGGAAGCGTGTTCCGCAGCCGAGTCTTGCAAGCACAGGCTACTTGACCGGTCCTTACTTGCAGATTTTCTTGCTTCCTTTTTCCCGAGTCAGACAGGACCGCAGGGGGGGGAAACATGACGCCTTCCCAGTCTAAGTCTGTACAGTGGAGGGGCCGCCGCCGCCACAACGTTTTCTCGGACAAGAAGCACGGGAGTTTCATCTCAAGAACAGCAAACACAACTAAAAGACGACGCCCCCAACCAATAGAAGAGCAAATACGACTCTCGCCAGCCTCGGCTCCGAGTCACACAGGACCCATCCGTCTGGTCTCTTGGCAAACATGAAGTAAAAACCAAGCTGGCTGGGCTAGCGGAAGCCACCCCGAAAGTCTGGAGTCGGGCTTGAGAGGAAGCTCCTGCTAACTAGCATGCTAGCCCCCATCCGGTTACTCATGATTTTCGCATCGTCAGCTTCTTGAAATTACGACGGCATGTCGGGCGGTCGGGCGAGAGTTGAAGTCGGATTGGCTTTGCGGGCGCGGTCAACCGAATCTGCAGCATCAACTTGATGGATGCTGGTAATCAGACAGTCTGCAATAGGCTGCAATAGGTGGCGGCCACACTTGCTCGCAGCCCATTGCCAACTCGAGCCAAATGGCCGGTCCCCAGTCGCCGCCTCTTGGCCCTTGTTCCACCTCTGCCCAAATAGGCCCATGTGGCTTGTCCTTTTTCTTGTGGTTTATGCCAATCATTCCACTGGGCGCTCGCTGGGGACCGACTTACATTCTCCCTAGCAAGCAGTAGCCGCCAACTAGGTACGAACGTTCGGTCGACGGCAAATGATCATGACGGTGACGACGTCGGCACCAGTGCCAAGGAGAGCGTCCAGACCGCAACTAGTAAAATCCAGGTGGCCTAGCGTTTGGTCCTGGTAGTTAGGGCGTAGAATTAAGCATTCTTCCCCGCAATCTTGGTCTCAAGATGGGGGGCACCAGGTGGGACTATCTTGGGGCGGCCTCGAGGGCCTGATGTGCGGTTTGTGGGGTGGGTAGAGTGTAGAGGGTAGAGGGTAGAGGGTAGAGGGCAGAGTGTAACATCCGCAGAGGGTACACGGCATGTCTCGTGTCTTGGAACTTGAGGCTATTGTTTATTAGTGACACGTCCCAACTCGCCGGAAAACAAGGTATAAAGACGGGCTGCTTTCCCGCCCCCTCTGGACAGTGCTTCACCTGCCCTTTGCCTTTCTCTCTTTGTTACCCACTACACTCATAGCCTGCGCCTGTTATACCTGTTCTCACAATGTCACACGAAGCCAAAAACGCGGCCGTGGTGGAAAAAGACCAGGCCGACGTATCCCATCTGGAAAAGAATGGCAGCCTGCGCGACGACGGTGCCTCCGGCGACGGCCACATCACGTTGACCGAGGAGCAGGAGCGCAGCATCATATGGCGCATCGATCGCCGCCTGGTTCTCACCGTTGGCGCGCTGTACTGCGTCAGCCTGATGGACCGCGTTAACATGAGCGCGGCCAACATTGCCGGCATGGCCAAGGAGCTGGAGCTGACTGGCTACCGCTATGTGAGACGAGCCACGCATTGAATTATCTCTTGAGGGCCCAGCATGCTAATCGTGACACACAGGCTATTGCTAACCTCGTCTTCTTCGTCACCTACATTGTCTTCCAGCCGCCCTCGACCGTCATGATCCGGGCCGCCGGGCCCCGTCGCCATCTCTCCCTCATCACCCTTCTCTGGGGCGTCGTCACCCTGTGCATGGGCTTCACCAAGAACCACGAGCAGATTACCGCCCTTCGAGCTGTCCTCGGTATATTTGAGGCCGGTTTCTTCCCCAGTGCCGTGTACTTGCTCAGTACCTGGTACACGCGATGTACGTGACTCTTACTACATCCTCCGCCCATCTTGACCAAAAAAAAAAGACTAACCATGAGGGGATTGCAGACGACGTTGGCAAGCGCTACTCGGTCTTTTACATTGTGGGCTGCCTTGCAGCCGCCTTCTCCGGCATCCTTTGCTACGGGGTATGTGATTTCCAACACCGACCTTGCTGTCCTACGCCCTCTTTGACTAACACACTCCTCGCAGCTCATGCAGCTCAACGGCGAGGGCGGCCTCAGCGGCTGGCGATGGATCTTTCTCGTGCAGGGCCTCATCACCGTAGTGCTCGCCGTCTGCGCGTACTGGCTCCTCGTCGACTTTCCCGACTCGGACCGGCCGACGTGGAACTTCCTCTCGCGGGACGAGCTCAACTGGGTCGTCGCACGCATCCACCGCGACCGCGGCGACTCGACCGTGTCCAAGTTTGACATGCGCTCCTTCTTTGGCAACGCCCTCGACGCCAAGATCTGGTCCTTTGCGCTGATCTTCTTCAACACCACCACCATCACGTACGCGCTCGCGTACACGCTCCCCATCCTGCTCATCGAGAACATGGGCTTCACCGTCGGCCAGGCGCAGTGCCTCGTCGCGCCGCCGTACGCGTTTGCCGGCATCATCATGTACGCCAGCGCCGCGCTCGGCGACCGTTTCCGCGTCCGCGGCCCGCTCATCATCTTCAACATGCTGCTGTGCCTCGTCGGCCTGCCCATCATGGGCTGGGCCAGCAGCACCGGCGTCCGCTACTTTGGCGTCTTCCTCGTCACCGCCGGCGCCAACTGCAACGTGCCTACCGTCATGGCCTACCAGGCCAACAACCTGCGCGGCCAGTGGAAGCGCGCGTTCTGCAGCGCCACCCTCGTCGGCTTCGGCGGCATCGGCGGCATCGCGGGCAGTCTCATCTTTCGCGAGCAGGACAAGAAGACGGGGTACAAGCCGGGCATGTATGCGTGCATCGCGTGCGCGGCGCTGAATGTTTTGCTTGTTGCCGTGACGGATCTGTACTTTCACTCGGCCAACAAGAGAGCGGACAAGGGCGGCAAGGTTCCCGAGAGTCATGACGATAATGATGCCCCCGATTTCCGGTACACTCTCTAGACAGGACATGGTTTTAGTTGATTATTTTGAGATACTCTACACGATTCATCACGACGGTTATTAATCCTACATTACATCTACATACTTGCGTTGACCCAAGTCCTTATCATGGCGCCATGAGCGGGGAAAGACTTACATATGTATCAGTCTCTAGTTAGTGCCGCGGGGGGCTTGCTCTGCTCGGCCGATAATTCGACATGATTGCCCCTCTTTCATCGCTAAATACCCCAGTCCAGTAACATGTCCGAGGACCCCTCACCCTAACTAGAGAGTTTGTGCTGATCCCGTAATAAAGGTGGCATGAAACCTTGGCATGGACACTGTCGCTGGCCAATCCACCGAAACACCGGACAACTCTGGATTGGGGGCGCAGACTAACTAACTACTAGTGCCTAGGCAGGAAAGCTGTAGTGCGACTAATTAAGTAAGGCAACATGACCAAGGCTCATGTTAGCGTTTTGTTAATCGCCTCATTTCTTGACTACCTTTGTTATCTGCCGTCGAGTATGGCACTGCGCAAGGTGGCTGACGTTGAGTTGATCGAAAAGGAAGGAGACTAGAACAAACCGGCGCTTCTCGGCACCTAGGTAATGCGATAGTGTATGTACGACTATAAACCCCTGCACCGCAGTGTGGTGGGCGAGGACGTGTAGAAGCCGGCTAGAAGTTATGCCGTCATGGGGCAGCTTTGCACATCTACAACAACATCTTACTAAAGATGTCGGTCAGCTGCGAGGATCTTTTGTGCGGGATCGAGTTGAGTTGCATATCACGCATCATCTTGCTTGCCTTCTTGTTCGACGACCTGTTACTATTGCGTCTTTCACCGTTGGGATCGGCGGAGCGGAGCAACTACAAGACATATCTGACAGATGCAAGCGAGACCTAGCGTCAACCCTCGGTACGATGATGTTAAGATGCCCGAATAGGTAGTTGTTCTTGAGGTGGCGGAATTGCTCTATGCTATTTTACCCGCTCATTCCTTGCTCTCGCGTAGCTATTCTTTCCGAGCCAGCAACAAACTTCCGTCGGAGTCGCGCCGTGCAATTGGCTGACGCTGGCCGACCAGTCGCGCCATTTCGGATCGTGTATACGTGACAGGAAAGCTTCCAAATAGCCAGTCCAATAGCATAACGCAGCCACCGACAACGACGTGATGCCGCTTCGCTCGGTCCCATCATCCACGTTCGTGTCCATCTACGATCTTACCTGCCTCTTTCAAGCAAGCCACGGGCCATTCATTGTTCGAAAAACAAATCAGCATCTTGCACCACCAAAAGACCAAAAAACGCCACCCGGCACGATTCGGTCAGCAGATGTGCGCGGCCAAGGGACTCGAAATTACCCGATTCGGCAGGTGGCAGGATTAAACCTTGAAAGCGACTCTACACGATCCCACGCCAGCCAATTTTCACCAGGGAGCACGTCAACGGCCTCTTTTGCTGGTTGCTGATTCTCTCTGGTCTCTGTCCGGATAAAGCGGCAAAGAGGACGATGGCGAGCAACGCGCTCAATCACAGTCCCTTGGATGATACGGGGACTTGTCATCATCAAAGGGAAAGTGTGTGACTGAGCTCTGGGGGCGTGTTCCGGATCTTCTCTTGTCTATAAAATGGTAGAGCTTCGCCCGCCTTCATTCGAATGAATAGAACATCACCAGACAACACAAAGAAAACAAGTCCCTTACTACACTACTACACCCCCCCTCCCTGAGCTCACAGACCAAGAAAAGAATCATGCGCTTCACTACCCTCTCCATCCTTGTGGCGGCCGATGCCATCTTGGCATCGCCCGTTGAGCGGGCTGCCAAGCCCGCCGCGACGCTGCCCTTGAAGCATGTCATCAACGTCAGCTCCGCCAGCGGCCTCATTGCCCGCGGCCAGGCCCGCCTCAACAAGATCAACGGCGGCAGCGGCCAGGCGGTCCTTGGCAACGTGGATGCCTCTGGTCCGGCCCAGAACGACGACGTCAGCTACATTGCCTCGGTCGCCATTGGCAGCGCCAGCTGGAACCTGATTGTCGACACTGGCTGTAAGCGGGACCCCCCCATCCCCCAACCAATTCGCTAACTCATCTACTTAAAAGCCTCCAACACGTGGACCGGTGCGCAAAAGTCCTACGTGCCCTACTCTACCGGCAACGCCACCGGCGGCACCGTCTCCGTCAGCTACGGCTCCGGGCAGTTCTCGGGCAAGGAGTACGTCGACAAGGTGAGCTTCGGGGGGCTGACGGTGGCGTCGCAGTCGATCGGCTCGGCGACGAGCTCGTCGGGCTTCAGCGGCGTCGACGGCATCTTTGGGCTGGGCCCCGTGGACCTGACGCAAAACACCGTGTCCAACGCCAACACGGTGCCGACGTTTCTCGACAACCTGTACGCGCAGGGCTCCATCGCGAGCGAGGTGCTCGGCGTCTACTTCAGCCCGGAGAGCGGCGCCGACACCAGCGACAACAACGGCGAGCTCACGCTCGGCGGCACCGACAGCGCAAAGTACTCGGGCGCCCTGACCTACGTGCCGACGCTCACGACCGGCGCCGCCGCGCCGTACTGGGGCGTCAGCATCGCCAGCTTCAGCTACGGCTCTACCGTGCTCGCGTCCGGCGCCACCGGCATCGTCGATACCGGCACCACCCTCATCTACATCCCGTCCGCCGCCTACACCAAGTTCCTGTCCGCCACGGGCGGCAAGACCGACTCCAGCTCCGGCCTCGCCGTCTTCACCACCAAGCCCACCGCCAACTTTGCCATCAAGCTCGGCAGCACCTCCTACACCCTGACCCCGAGCCAGTACCTGGTCCCCACGGCCCAGTACAGCTACTTTGGCCTCACCTCGGGCAAGTACTATGCCTGGATCAACAACGGCGGCAGCAGCGGTGTCAACACCATCATCGGCCAGAAGTTCCTCGAGAACTACTACTCCGTCTACGACACCACCAACTCTCGCATTGGTTTTGCCAAGGCTGTCTAAGGGAGCCAGGAACCAGATGACCAGTCCGATATCGATGACAACCGGGAAAGATGCAGCAATACATTGACCCTGCACTTCATGTCGATTCTGTATTGGTCTAATGGGACCATGAATGACGCGAACAAGACATTAGTTTTGCTAGAAGCTAGACAAAATATAGTTTATTCTGTGACCAACTTTCTCGTGCCTACATGGCTGTGGCGAATAGCGTTTGACGTAATCGTAGCTCTCTACCAACACCATTTGGTTATCGCTATGGTATATTTTCTGGCGACGAATTCTGTTTTGTCATGTGGCTAATAGACAAGGACAAGGGAAATTGTCTACCAATATTGCAGCATCAATATTATCAATATTCGGCTCCTTGCGGCTGCATCTACATACCAATCAATCCCCGAATTGTTGGACGCAACCGCAGCATGGCGCGAACGAAGTGATAGCCGGCAAGGAACTCGAGATAAAGACAAGGATAGTAACTTTAGCCTCGGCCTCAAGTGCCGTGGCTGAGAGACAAAGCTCAAGCAGGCGCTGCTTCGACCCCAACTTCTGCCAAGCATGTTGGAAGCGGCGCGATCAACGCCGCAAGCGCGTCGTCCACCGAATGTTCAGCTGCGCAGAGTCGGCAAGTCTTCGGTGATGACCGAGGAGAATATAGACGGCCTCGATGTAGTTGAGTGGTATTTTTTGGATAGCGACATAGCCGGCTGGTCCCCTGAATCCACGTTCACGATGCGTCGTGGCCGCAAAGTCGCCGTCGCTCGAGCTGCATCGGATCGTATGAACAGCACCACAGAACTCGCCGCAGAGAAGCGTCATAGAGTAGCGTCGATGACAAAGAACGTCGCTGCCTCATTTGTGCGGCGTCTTGTCAATGTCGGTCGGTTTGCCGCGTGCTTGATTGCGAAGTTCGTCCATAAAGTGCCTGACAAAGCCGGAGGCCCGGTCGGGAGCGTTGGGGTCCGCTATGTGCAGTCGTTAATACAATGGGTCATTTCGACTTCACCCCCCAGGAAGTTTCTCTGCGTACCGGTAGCTTCGCCGGGGGCGAGCGGCTCATGCGGCAGGCGGCCATTCTGTTTCTCGTCGATGAATTTGTGGATGCGGCCGACGCCACGATGGAAGCCGGGTCGTCGAAGAATCTGCGAAAAAAAAAATCGTTAGATGTGCAACGGCTTGCGGGGGAGGCGGCGGCGGCTTACGGCAGCGACGATGCGATCCTGCAGACCCGGTTAGCAAAACACGCAGAAACGGCATGGGGGCGGACAATGTACCTCGAACGCGTGGACTATACGCATAGCCCAAATGAAGGGGTGTGCCATGATCAAAGGGTTTATTTGCGGTGGCTGACGAAGAAAGGCGCTGTGTTTGGAGGGTCTATGCGAGAGCTGTGTTTGAAGGGTCTCTGGGAGAGCCGTACAAATTAGAGGCGGCGGACTGACGAGTTGGAGATGGTGCCACGCTGACTAAAGTTTTGGCAGGCATTTCCAACAATAACATCATAATAACATCACACTTGTGGAAAGACTATTTTTGACATTTTCAGCCGAATACTTATTTTTCATCATTAACTTTTAAGGCTGTCTTGGGCAACCAGCTTTTCTGTTTGATCAACCCCACGCAAAGCGTCGTCTCTATAGAACCCTGTCCGCAGTACCATTGCACCAATTACAGGTTAACGTGCTTGCCGAGGAAAGAAGTAAGGTAGTCCATCTTGCCCAGGGAAACGCCCTCCTTGCGCAGAATGTTGTACGCCGTGGCGAGGTGAAAGTAGAGGTTAGGAGTGGCGTAGCCGGCGTTGTAGCTGAGGCCCGTCATCTCGGCCGTCTTGCCGGGTCCGAGACCGACGGAGACGGTCTCGGTGGCGCGACTGTCGACCGTCTTCTTGTCCGCCTTTTCGAGGGCGGCGCGCGCCTCGGCGATGCGGGCGTGGAAGTCGGCAAAGCTCTTCATGTTGTTCTCGTTGGAGGGGGGCTCCTGGCCGGTGAGGCGGGCGGCGAGCTTGGTGCTCAGGTCTGTGACAATGTAGACCTGGAACGAGAGGGGGAGCATGTCCGCATGGATGCGGGCGTCGGGGAGGGTGGCCGAGTTGGGGGCCGCCTCGGCCTTCTTGAGGATGACAGTCAAGCTGTCGAGGACCTCGAGGGCCTGGCCGATGGAGACGTCGTAGAAGCTCATGGTGGTGGTGTGGTAGTGTGGCTTGTGGGGTGTAAGTGAAGAAGAATCAAGAACTGTCAAAGTTGGTGTGATTGAGTCTCGGGATGATGCAAGCGGGCGAGCTCAGAGCTTTATATAAACAAGAGTATCCCGGGCTGGCTCCTTCCCTTGATCAAGGCCCCTCCCCTCCGGCTACCTAGTTACTTGCCAGTCCCAGTCAGGCTTTGTGGATTTGATTCACTTGTGCTACCCCTCCATGGGTCCTCAACTCCGCCGCTTCTCATGCCCATCACCGTAACTGCTCACCTTGTTAGATCCGTCCCTGCGCTCCACCAGCCCACATAGCATGGCTAGCCTCGTCATTGGGCTACGACATTGTTTACTAATTATCGATGCAGTATCGAGAAAAAATGGTGACTAATTAGAAAGACAAGGAACGTCGAAGATGGTTTCCCCGCATGGTCGCAAAGTGGAGGGCGGCCGGGTGGTCGCTGGGCTGACCGGCCTTGGGGCTGTCCGAGTGGCTTGTTGTCGCACTTTGGGCTTCCTGGGCAAGCCCATCCAATCACTTCTTTACGTGGCGGGGGACTCAAAGCCAATGAGCTAACACTTACGGATTGCGTGGCTGTTATAAGACGGAAGCGCAGCCTTGTGCCGTAACTAATACCGATCAAGGCGTCGATTTTGAGACACATCAAGTGTTTGCAGATGTTGCTTGGTAAGCCGTGCGCTCCTTCCCACCATGTCACGAATGTGTTTGCTGAAACTCGACGAGCTCTCATGCTCATATAGAGGGAGCAGAGTGTTTCTCCAATATACCTGGAGAGACTATTTACAGAGATAGGCTCTCAGGCGTGCGTATCATGACAAAGCTCCCAGTTATGACGTCCCAATCTTCAACGTATACCCTCCATCGGATGCTCTATTCCGGGAAACGGCCGCTTCACTTCAGCCACCAAGACTGGATGCTGCGGAGTTTCAGATCCCCGCCAGGCTGAGAGGGGTCTACTGTGTGCGCTTTGGCTGACAGCTGACAAATGCGAAAGAGGGTCAACATTGTTTTCAAAATACGAAATGAAGTGTCAATAGCGATTTGGAAACAAGTCCGGAAATTCCTACAGCTTGCTATTGCCGACAGTCCGACAGTCCGACACTCGATCCTTCTCCTCACCCACCTCTGCGGCCCGGCCCGGTCCACAGGCTTTTGCCCTCTTTTCCTTCATGAACCACTCCCCTCAGAATCCAAGAATAGCATTCGCCTCGGCGACAGCCTGGCGCTGGCCCGGCGTCGCCGTCGCCGCATACACCAGCTTCTCCAGTCCCATGGACCGCAGCGCATCGTCCCCGGCCCACTCCCGGAGCGCGGCCTCGGTCGGGCGCCCTGCGTGCCGGGCCTCGCCTTCGCCGCCGGGAAAGTCGGGCCCGGGTGTGCCGCGGCGCCACGCCTCGCGCTGCAGCGCTACGTACCGCGCGTTGGAGGCCGTCACCGGGCAGACGGGAATGTACAGCACGCTCGAGTCGGACGCGCCCTCGTGCCGCTTGTCGACGGAGTGGATTGCTGAGCGGGAGTTGAAAAGTGATCGTTAGCAATGTGTGACAAGGAAGGAATGAAAAGCCTGATGGAACTCACTGTCGCAGTGCCAGGCGACGAAATCGCCGGGTTTAATCTCGGGGACGTGCACCATGGTCCGGTCGAGTTGCAGATGCGGATGCAGCTCGTCGGTGAGCTCCTGGCCGTATCCCGGGCTCGCACCCTGCAAGTCGCTCGTCATGCGGTCCGCACTCACCAACCTCCAATTACTCTCGGCCAAGTACCCAGGACGCTTCGCATCCGCGTCCACGGCCTCGAAGAACGGCCGCAGCAGCACGTACGCCATTGCCCGGTGCATGAGCGGGTGCACCAGCAGCGTGCCCTCGGACGGCCGCGTGCGGCTCATGCTCAGCCAGCCCTGCCACATGCGGAACATGGTGCACGCGCCGAGTCCGTCGTACCGGTTGTTCACGGCGTCGACGCGCCCGCTCGCATCCCACGGGTCGAATGCCTCCCACGCGCCCGCCAGTACCGCGTCATAGACGCCGCCGCGCCCGTACCCCTCGGGCTCCCACCGCTCCACGCTGCCGCCGTCTATGTGCGGGCCCAGCGCAAAGGTCGCGTCGCCCGGCTGCCGGATGCGCAGCCGGTCGGCGTACGACAGCGGCGAGGCGAGGGAGATGGGCCGCGCGGGATCCGAGGTGTGCCACGGGCCGCTCATCAGCTGCTGCTGCACGCGCATAAAATTGGGGTGCGCGCGCGCTTTGAGCTGCGGCGCCGACCAGTAGAGCTCGTAGACTTGGGGGTTGTCGGCCGGAAATGCTGCCACGAAATCAGCACATGCTCACACCACGGCAGAAGCACGCCAAGAGCCTTTTTTCTCTCGTAGAGTGCAACTAAATCAGTCTGCGTACCTCTGGTCCAGGGGTTCTTCTTCACGTAGTCCTCCACCTCTTCCTTGTACGCCCTGGCCTCCGCCTCGGGCACCACGCCTCTCACCACCACGGCGCCGCGCTTCTTGATCTCGTCCCGGAGGCCGCCCAGGCCGCGCTCCAGGTCCGCATAGTCGACCTGCGGCACCACCTGCGATCCCTTGTTGGCAATAACCTCATTCTCCCTCTCCAGGTCCCGCAGCAGCCGGCGCCAGCTGTCCGTCAGCTGCCGCTCCCGGCCGCGGACCAAGTCGCACTTGAGCTGCCGGAAGCGGTCGGGCAGCGGCGCGCGCCGGGCCCCCGACAGGGACACGAAGACGTCGGAGATGTCGCCCTCCTTCCTGGACGACTTGGGGACCGCGGTGGCCAGTGTACGGCGTTGGGACGCGTGGACACAGGATCGCAACATGACCATGTATGTGTACGGGGGCAAGAGTAAGTAGAGAGGAGATGCAGCAACAAATGGCAGGGGAGAAAATTGATTACAAAAGAGCTTGGAATAACTCGGAATGGTTCCTGGAAAACACAAGAGGTTCGTGGTTCTCTGAGGTCGCTTTTATACAACAAGGTTCGAGTGCGGGAGTTCCCGATTAGGAAGTCCGCCCCCAACCCTCCATCGATCGAGTGACACCGCACTTATAACCTGGCAGTGACCGTGTAACCCAATTCCGGAATTCCGCATTCCTTTTTCTATTCGTTATATTTACCTCACTCTTCCTTCCCTTCGAAAAGTGTCAACAACTTCCCTTTTCCGTTCCAAAGTCGCAGTCATGGCCCGTTCCTCACCCGTGCCCAAGCTTGCCTCGGCGCACGGCAGCAACGAGTAGCAACGGCCTCCAAAAGTCATGAGAGCAGAGACGCAGGTTAAGTAGTAGTGAGCAGGTCCAAGTGGTAGAAGAAGCAATAATCCGGAATGAATACCGGTAATGGTCAATTCAAAAAAAGTAAATAGAGAAGAGAAAAATGTAGAACAAAGACAGAAAACAAAAACTCGCTTTCCCATGACAGTAACAATAAAGTTGTAGTTTCGGATTTGTTTTGTTTTTTTGCAAAAAGATATGCTCGGGCGTGTGGTGTAAGTCGTTGGAACAGGAACACGTAAAAAATAGTATACACAAAAGGGAACCAACCAGCAGGCAAGCTCATTCAACGAATAAGATGCAAACGGGAGAAGAAAGACACACACACACATCAAACCTTGCTCTCCAAAAAAAAAAAACGCCGCGAAATGCCCGCGCAGCTAGACTATTCCGCCATCTGCCTGCGTTGAATCTTGCCGCGAAGGCCCTTGTTCTCCTCCTCGAGGTCGCCGAGGCGCTGCCTGGCCGCGTCGCGCTCCTGGTCCCTCTTCTCGCGCTCCGTGCGCAGTTTCGACTCGAGGTTCTTGAGGCGCAGCATGAGCGGCGTGTCCTTGTACCCGCCGCCGCCGCCGCCGCCCGCGTCGCTGCCACCACCACTCTTTGCAAGTTCCACGAGGCCCATGTCGGCGTTATCGGCGACGGCGCCCTGGCGGTGCTGCACCGAGGAAGGGATGCGGCTCTCCCTAGAGCCGCGCGACGACGACGACGACCCGGCAGCGGTGGCGCGCTCCTTGTCTCGCTCGCCCGGCCCGCGGGGCACGGCCGGCGACGGAGAGCCGCCCGCGCTGCCGCCCGACCGGGGGGAGTCGGCGCCGTGCTGGTGCGCGGCGGCGGCGGCGCGCGCGCGCACGCTCGTCGCCGTCTTGAGCGTCTCGTACTCGACCTTGAGCTTCTGGTACGCGTGCTCGACGCGCGTCAGCCGCCCGCGCAGCTCCTGCGACGTCATGGAGCCCATGGCGCCGGTGCCCGCCGCAATCTGGGTCCGCACGAGCGTCTCGACGCGGTCCAGGCGCTTGGCGCGCAGGTCGAGGTTGCTCTCCAGCGCCTGGTACTCGCGCGTGAGGTCGCGCTCGACCGAGTGGATCTTGCCCTCAAAGGACTTGAGCATGTTTTCAATCATTTTGATGGCCGCCATCAGGTTCTTGGTGAAGCCCGGGAGCCGGCTCGACACAACCTCGATGCTCGGCACCGCCTGCTTGTCGACGAGCGTGTGGCTGTGCGCCCACTCGCGCCCGCAGAGCACGCTCAGGCGCTTCCAGAGCTGCAGCAGGAGCTCGTTGCGCTCCATCAGCTGCTCGCGCGCGCTCTGCTCCAGCGTGGCCAGCTTGCGACGCTCCTGGCCGCGCGTGCTCTCCAGCTCGGCGATGCGCACGTCTTGCGTGCTGGCGGTGCGCGACAGGTGCTGGTGTGTGCGTTGAAACGTCTCATAGTCCGACTTTGTGTGGCGGTGCGCGAGCCGCTCCTTTTCCAGCATCTCGCTGGCCTTTTGGCTCTCGAGGCCGAGGGACTCGAGCAGGGCATCCCGCTGCTTGATGAGGCGGTCCTTTTCGACGACGGACGCCTTGGCCACGTCGAGTTCCCGAACGGTATTCTCCAAGTCTCGCTGGATTCTAGCAATCGAGCCGAGGAGAGACGATCGTGTGCCATTGAGGTCGCCCAAGGTAACCCGAAGGTTATTCTCGAGTTCCTGTAGGCGTTCCTTCCAGGCAGTCGCCTCGACTTCGCGCGAAGACAGATTCTTACGCAGTTTTCGTGCTTCGTCTTGTGCGGCAGACGCCTCGCGGTTCAGCTCGTTGACGAACTGCTGCACCTCTTCCTTCTCCTGGTTCGCCACCATCTCGCGTTGGGCGCGTTCCTGCTGCAGCCGTTCGTCGAGTTCCCTGGCTCTGTCCTTTTCATCGCGCAAGCTTTGCTCGGCGCTGGCAATCGCGGCCTCGAGGTCGCCGATGCGAATCTTGTCCGCCTCCTGCTCTTCACGCAAAAAGGCAATCTCACTTTGCGACGATTCTTGCTGCACCGCCAGGCGGCGGTTCTTTTCGGATTCTTCGCTGAGCTTCATCTCGAATGCCTCGAGTTCGCGGTTCGAAGACTCAATCTCAGCTTCGAGTTGCTGGATCCGTCGGAGCTTTTTATTTTGCTCATCCTCCAGCCCGACAAGCGATTGGCTCATCTCGCGCATGGCGTTTTGCAGCGCGTCGAAATTCTCCGCGCGATCGGCAAGGTCAGCCTGTAGTATCTCAATCTCTCTGCACTTTTCCACAACCTCTCCGTCAAGCTCTTCCAGTTGCGACTCTGCGTCGAGTTGCAATTCTTCCAAATGTGCCTCCATTTGGCCGCAGTCATGTAGGGCGGTGTCTCGCTCAGCCTGCATTGCCTCCAGGTCATTCACAGCGTTATCAAGTTCCTCTTGAAGAGACAGGATTTGATTCTCAGCCTCACGTTTTCCAGCCAGCACCATCTCGAAATCGGACATGCAGCCATTCAGCTCGCGTTCCAGGTCTTGGTTGGCCATCTTGACTTCGCTGATGCGGTCTCGTGCCTCTGCCAATCTATTTTCCAGATCTTCGCGCTCTGCGTCTTCGATGGTAGTGGGCAGCGTGCGGGCACTGACGCGAGACGGCGAATCATAGCGAGCACCAGCTCTTGATGCAGAACGCTCGAGGATGCTGTCGGCTGTCGAGGCGGCACCGTTACGGCCATGAGAGATTTTGAGGTCCTCAATTTCCTGCTGGAGGCGATCTTTTTCTCGATTCCGCGAAGTGAGCATAGAAGTCTGCGCACCAACTTCGCGACGTAGCTCAGCATTTTCATGGCGCAGCTTCTCGCTTTCACGCCGAAGCTCGTCAACGAGCGTACTGGCGGCGCTGAAACCAGCATTGGAGCTCTCAGATTCTGTCGGCTTGTTCGGTGAGAAGGCGCGGTCTCGCTGTCGCTTGGCAATGTTGTAGATGTTGGTGGTTTGTCCACTTTGCAGGGCGGCCATTTCTTTTTTCAGCTTGAAAATTTCATCGCGTAGTCTGACATTGTCGTCCTCTGTCTGTTCCCGATGTGCGGTTTCCTGTTCCAGCAGATCCCTCCAGACGTCGGCTTCTTCTTGGCGATCAATCTTTTCGCCGGTGCGCTCGCCAAGGCTCTTGACGATATCGGCGAGCTTCTTCTTCTCAGACTCCTTGTTCATGCGTTCGGTGCGAAGCTTCTCAATCTCTATCGCGTACTCTTCGACGCGCTCGCGGAGGAAAATCAGTTCCTGCTCGCGCTCCCAGACCTCTTGCTCGTTCAGTCGGCTCGCTTGGTCGTTGCTAGATCCGCCCGTGCTAGGTCGCTCTTCGTCTTCCTTAATGCGCTTCTCGAGCTCCTTGACGCGTTTCCGTAAAACTTTGTTGTCGCGCTGCAGCACAGCCAGAGTGGTTTTGAGTTCGACATTTTCTGAAATCATTTCTTTGATGCCTTCTTCTGACAGTTTGTCCAGGCGATCGCTCAGAAACATGACCTTGAGTTTCAAGTCAAAGTTTTCTTTGGAGAGCTTTTCGATTGTACTACTCTGCTCTTTCAATGTGAGGCTTTTACCCGTGCGAGAAACGGTGCCGGCGCCTGCATTAGCAGTGGTCGGCCTAAATGGCGTTTGCAGGCCGGATCGAAACTTGTACTCCTTGGCTAGAGATTCGGGGACGTGGACATTTTTTACATGCTGCGCGATGACAGTGTCTGTGGGGGTGGCATTGAGATTCTCCCTGGAGGGCTTGGGAGTCTTGAGCGGATCGAATCGAAGACTGGTTGCTCGGACGGGAGTATCGATCTCGGGAAGGGGCTCCAACTGCTGGGACGTGTCGCCAACGTCCTCGGTGCCAACGCCAGAGACAATACTGCCAATGCTGATTGTCCGCTGCATCACGTTGCTAGGTAGTCGCGGCATCCCCATGGTCGGCAGTACGCCGCCCGACTGCAGCGCCATGTCAATGTCCTGGTTCGAGGTCAGGTCTCCGTCGTCCAAAGATTCGGTATTCGTGAGAAAGGAAGAGGTCGAGGATCGCTGACTGCCAAATCGGCTGCGCAGGAATTTGGGGCGCTGTTTGCGCAGCGCAAATCCTGGTGTGCTACCGGCGTCAACGCGATCGGAGCGCTGCGACTGGGACCAGGGACGATCATTGTGGTCGAGGCTAGACGCAAAGGACTCGTCGCCCACGGCGTCGGTGTCGTCTCCCGCATCGTACGCCTGCCTCGTAGCGTCGCTGGCCATGCTCACAGCGCGCGACACGGTCCGGGCGGCGGCCGCGGCCGTAGGGGACGAGTCAAAGGCCTCGAGGTTGGACGTGGTGCTGCTGACGGCGGTGGTGTCGGGCTCCTCGTTCTGGTGGGCCGGCTGCAAAGGGGGCTTGTCCACCTTTTGCGGCGAGTCAAAGAGAAAGGTGTCGTCGGCGGCCGGTCCGCCGTTGGCAGGGGCTGTCGGGATGGGGGACAGCACGGGGAGGAAGCTCGACTCGACGTCCTTGAGGTGGTGCCTGACGGCGGCCTCGGAGACGTTGTCATCGGGGGCCATGGTGTTGTCCATGGGCGCGGCGTCATAGAAGCTGCTCTCGGGACCCGCGTCGGCGCTCTGTGATGTCTGCGACGCGGGCGTCGGTGTGTTTGCAGCCGGGGCGGCGACGGTAGAGGACGAGGCATCGGCGTGGTCGAGGTCGCTGGTGTCGCGCGTGGCGGTGGTAGGGCGGGACATTGGGTCGCCGGGAGTGTCAGTCGAATCCGCCATGCTGCATCTTGTTGGAAGCTGGCGATGGAGAGTTTTCGGATGAAAGAGAATTGTTCGCGCAGGAGGAGCGGAAAGACGGTGTGGTTGTTTGGCGCGCGGTCGTCGGTGTGAGAAGTGACTTGGGCGTCAAGGCGCGCAACGGTGTGACGGGTATTTGTTTGGGATTGGGGGTTGATACGTGAGAGGCGTCAGGTCGTAAAGTCGGAGCACGTAAAGCTGGATGGGCAACGGTAAAGAAAAAGACGATAGTTAAGGGTGATTTAAAAGACAGAGATGCGACGGCGCAAACTGGAGCAAATGTTGCGGTGGTGGAGATGGCATGGGAGCAAAAGACGTGGCAGACGCCTTTTTTTTTCTTTTGACTCGAACGACGCGGCGAACGGACAAGTGAGCAGTGAGAGCACTGAGAGGCACTAATTCTAATTAGGAGGTACCTACCTCTAACCTCTTGGTGGAGGAAGCATGACAGTGGATTCTTGATCAGCGTGCCGCCCCTGGAAAGGTCCATGCCATGCCCAAGCGCGTAAGGAAGCTATTCTATGACCTTTTTCTACACTGTGCTTCTTTTCCCGTGATCTTTTAAGAAGCTTCTCCGTCTTTGTTTCGAAAAAAAAAAAAAAATTGATTGGCAGCAAGGGAGCCTTTGGCAGGAACCCTTGGCGGAGGAGCTGCAACAAGCTCCCTACAAGCACTGGAACAGACGCCAACAATGATGCACTGTAATTATATGCTAGATGCTGGTCGCTGGTTGCCCTGCCAGCGCACGTTCTGGCTGCAGCCAAGTTTGAGCCACAGACCTTTTGTAACGGATACGCTGGAGTATATTATTCATTAATTCATCATTATGTAGTTGCTATTCTCAACATCTGCACCGTCGCATCCATCTCCACACCATCTTTGATTCTGTCCGGAGCACATTCATAACTAAAAGGGGCATCCAGGCGTAGACTCGTGCAAGTACAGAATATCGTGCATCACTCCAGCAGTCTGACCGCCGAGCTGGAAACCTGCAAGGCACGCTCGCGTTATCTGCTGCAAGCCTTGCCCATCCACGCCGCCGTGCAATCTCCCGATGGACATACCCTCGCCATTGCCATTGGCACAGATACGGCCACAGCGCGCACGTTCTTTTCAATTGAAAAAAAAAAGACAGTAAATCGATACCAAAAGCGTTAATTCCTACTGTCAAGCAGTGGCTCCGTTCTCCATCCTCAGTTTTTCTTTTTAAACTTTGACCGGTTCCCCACGCTGACGCAAGTCGATTCCAACATGGCCAGTCAGGACCGGTGCTAGTTATAATCACCCCCTCACAGATCAGCATGTAACGGGGATATCAAGTGGTATATTAACTGTTGCACGTAGCGACTAGTCTATTGCCGCCACCACCGGCTGCTGCGGCCATTCCGAGTAACCCTCCACCAATATCCGACGCGTTTCTTAGTTGGAGAACTTCTCGGGAACCTTGCTTCTGTAAAGCGCGCATGCCACGTTAGTCGTCAATCCTCTGATGCGTACGGGCACTCGTCCTTGTGCAAGACTTACCCAGAGAACTTCTCGTAGGCGCCGCGCACGCCGTCGCCAATCTTCTCCTCGGTGTTGCGGTCCACGTTGTAGCCAGCCTTCTTGGAGGCGAAGCCGATGCCTAGACAGGAGAAGCAGGTTAACCCAAGTGTCCCCGTTCACACTATTCAAGCGGCGCGCCAGCGGCCTCGCGTTCGATGAGAGCCTTACCCTTGTCGAGGTAATCCTGCTTGCCGGCGTCGGTGCTGCTGCCGCTGCTGCCCTGCTGCTGCTGGTTGTCACCACCCTGCTGTTGCTGCTGGGTGTTGTCGCCGCCCTGGGTCTGCTGGTTGTTGTTGCTCGAGTTGCCCTTGTTGAGAGCGTCGCCAGCGGCCTTCTTGATGAAATCCATTATGATGTGATTGTGGTGGGGTATTACAAAGATGAAGTATAAATCTGATGAAAGGTACAAGATGAAGTGAGATACGTTGGGAACCCAGGCCCGGGGACGGTGCAGGGTCTGTCCCTCTTATACGTTTTCAATCTGCCCGCACCCGAATCCAGCAGGTTTGACTTCCCCTCTCCGATCTGAGCGGGAGCGCAAATCCTATCCATCTCGCCAACCAAGACACGCCTACCGAAAGGAGCTGAGGGAGAGAGAGCTAGCTTGAGGCAGCCATTCCACACACACGCCCCCTCGCCTGCATGTGCGCGATACGTCATGCAGACAAGCTCCCCCTCCACTCTGGGAAGTGACTTGGAGAGCTCCTAACTACCTAGGTATGTAGCGCAACTGGTCACTGGCAACTGACAAACTGGGTAGCTTGAACTGTGGATGTCCATGGACTGGAACAACTAGGACAACTTGCACGGCACGGCAATTGCACGGCAAGGACGGCAGCCACACCATGGCCCTGAGCGTGCCGAGCTAAATCTACAGAAAAGAGAAAAGGAAAAAGCAACGAGGTTCAAAGTTAAGCTCGCCATATTCCGAAAACATGCTCGACACACCCCCATCCATGACTTCATAAATGTGGACAACCACTCCAATCCGTCTACAGTATCCGTACTGATAACCGGTTTAGTACTGTCGTCCAAGCACCTGTTTTTTTCTTTCTCCTTGTCAATCCATAGACCTGGGACCATCGCGTCAGACCATCGCGTCAATCAAGGTGAGGGGCTGCCTCCTTTGTTGGAGAGGGAGGAGGGGTCATGGAGGGGTTGAGATGTGCGACATGGTCTAGGCCAACCCGCCAGCCTGGCGCGGAGCCTCGTCGATATCAATGATGCAGTAGACGATGGCTTTGTGCACTCTTCACGAAGCAACCGCCGGTGCCGCTATTTGAAATGTATCCAACCCGCCTCTCCCACAAGGCCACGGTATTCCCCGAAACGAGCCCCGCCATCTCAGCTGGACTGGCCTCGTTGCTATTACTTAGCATCTTGGGTTGGGTGGGCGGTGCAAGGCTAGCTTCACCCCTGCTCAGCTGTGAAAAAAGACCAGGGTGAATGTCTTGACCCGTGTTCCAGAAATCTGGTTGATCCTTGTCCTCTGCAACCCCCCAGCGCATCCTGCAGCCAGACAACACACTCTACTGGTACAAGTCGTTCCAAAAATAAATATCATCCAGAAAGTCCTGTGGCAGGTTCAGATGCGCATACGACTCCTTTGAAGGGCTGCGGATACGCAGATGCACCTCCCTGGCCAGGTCCCAGCCAAACCAGCCCGCCATCTCCCAATCGACCACGGCCACAATCCGGCCTCGATCGACGATCAAATTCGACTGCGACAAGTCGTTGTGCATCAGCGTGTACCGGTCCTGCGGCGTGCGCTCGTCGCCCAGCAGTATGTCCCGTTCCAGCGGCTGGATGCCGCGGTTGGTCACCGGGTCCGGGTCGGCGACGACGTAGCCAGGGCGGCCACCGCACTGCGCATGGTCGGGCGCCGCTCTCATCGCATGCAGCGCTCTCAAGACCTCGCGCGCTTGTTCCTTGAAAGAGAGCTTCGCCGGCGCGGGCAGATATCGCCACGCAACGTTGAGCCCGACACCAGGAATTCTCTCCTGCACGAGCACACTCCGACCGTGAATCTAGTCACCACCACATCAGAACAGTATCGTTTCAGAAGGCGTCTGGAGCTCGACAACAGGCTTACCTTGCTGGCAAAGTAGATTTTGGGGACCCTGATCGCGATCGCTTCAAGAACCGGTCCGGCCAGTGCAGTGGCAGCCACTTCGTTGGCGTCCGCCAGTGCGTAGTCTCTCCCCGGGTCGGCTTTGAGGTGTGTCGACTTGATGATGACACGGCCCAGCGCAAACACGTCGCGGCCGCCCGTCTCATTGTCGTAGATGCGATTTTCCACGGTGCACTTGGACAGGACAGAGGCCCAGTACGCCACGGACTCTGGGGTAACCGAGTTGATGTGCTGCGAGTCTGGTGTGAAATCTGTAGCATGGGGGAGATAACGACCATAAAAGGGCTCGCCACGGTAGGGATCCGACGGGGGGATTTTTCCGGCATCAGCTTCGTAGGGGTCTGGTTGTGACATGATTGCGACGACGGCGAATTGTTATGAGTATAAAAGCTGAGCTGGTTTGCTCAAGCAGGCTTGCGTTGGTAGGACAAGATGTGTATCCCTAATTAGCCACTGCTGCCTGGTGGTGGGGTTTCGCCTGGTTGTCTTTAAGCTGCGCCGAATCCAACCGAGGTGCCTCACAACAGCCTGGCAGGTTGCCTTGAGTTTAGCCTTGGGCTCTGGAATATATCTATTTACCAATGAAATGTAGCGGACCCTCGCAATGGGCCACATGCACACCGACGCTGTTTGGCAGCTGGGCGCTTAGAGGGAGGGGGAGGGGCTGACGCCAGCAGGTCTCGCCTTGTTTACTCCGCGGCCAGGGATTCGGGAAGGTGGACATTTTTTGATTCTTGAAGAGATAAATCATAGCGTAGCCGCGGAACAAACTTCTTCATTCTAAGAACGTGAATGTCTCGTTTCTACGTGGTGTCGGCCGACGGAATAGCTACTTCCTTTTAATGCGTCAGCCCTCGGTGATCACATCGTCACGGCAAAATACATGTATTAATTTTTTGTCTGTGCGGCAAAGTATGCTTGCATGAGAAAATCATCATATGCCATCTCTTCGGCTGTCGGCCTCTGCTCGGGCAGCCAACAAAGCACGCTGCGCACAAATCCAAGCAGAAGCTCTTTGTCCTCGTCATGAATCTGGGTGATGCGGTCTTCGAAGGACTGGTTCGGGATAGGAATGGAGCCTTTCCAGTTGCCTATCACAAGGTAATAGTTAATAAAATGCAAATTATGCTGCGATCGAGTATAGCTCACCCGCATCGTCGAAGAACCTCGCGCCGATCGTACTGCGTCGCAAGAACTTGGGCGGCGGGTTGCCCATCAGAGACACCATTTCCGCCAAGTGCTGCTCATCATCAAGAACGCCGTTTTTTTTCGCATGAAACAGTGGCTTCCCTTCTAAAAGGTCAAAGATCTATATTGATGTTAGTAGAGCATCACTGTTCGTAAAGTACAGAAATTTACCATAACACCAACCGACCACAAGTCAACTTTGGAGGACCACTCCATGCCCAGAATAACCTCCGGGGCTCTGTAGACGTCGGGCATAATGTCGCCCATAAAAGTCTCCTGACCAAATCTTGCTGAGCCCATATCAGACAGCACAAGCGGCCCATTGGTCCGAGGCACTGGACGGGACATGTAGATTGTTCTATTGGGGAGAACCTTCCTCGCAACAGGGCGCGCATGCTCGTCCTTCTCTAGTTGAGAGAATGGCGTGTCGTCTGTTGCGCCAACAAGGATATTATTCGGAGAAATATCTATTGGGGTTAGCATTACAGACGCCGGACTAGTGAATAAACTAACCGGTGTGAACAATGCTGTTTTTGTGAAGATAATCCATCGCGATCAGAAGAACTTGGACGCTCGTCTGTAGCATCCGTTTTGCTAGTCTGTTCCCTGGTAAGTACTCGCGGAGTTCAGTGAAAGTCATTCCTTGGGGCACATAGACAAGGCATGTATGAGTTCCATGAGGACCGTTGAGAGTGAAAGAGTCTATAGCTGTGCGAACGCTACGTCTGCCTGGGTGCTCCTGGACAGGAGCTGTCTGGAGATACCCGGCCACGCCGATCTCTTGGCTGGCTTGTGCGGGAACTGCACCGTCTGTAGTTCGGGTGCAAACCTTTACAGCTCGATATTGGGAGGTTCTGGATGCACTGTCAGCGAAATGAATGGTTTATTGTGGGTTGTAAGAGGCACTGGGCTGTCGTACTTCACGTCTTTGGCCAGCCAGACTGTCGACCCCACCCCACGACCAAGTTTGCAGATGATGCGATATTGCGAATTGAGAGTCTGGTCTGTCGTAACAGGATAGTAGTCTTCTGCCTTATACCGGGGAAGAAGCTCCTCTTCAATAGGCGTTGCGTCTGGCACGCGATGGAAGTTCTTTGTAGGGGTCGTCATTTTCCGCGGCCAGCCCCTTGGTTGAGATGCCTCACTCAGTTGGCCGCAATTATGAGAACAGACAAAAGCAGCTGATCGTTGCCGACGAAGCAACGTGAGAGGGTGACATTGAAGTACGCGGACTATACGTGTCATTATGAGATGTAGAATGAAGAAATGCAATAGGGAGAGTGGAATCGCCGAACAAGGCGCTTGGATCTGGGTTCGAAGTCCGATTACTCGTGTCACGCCCCCACTGTATGCATAAGTGGGGGTGTGACACGAGTAACTGGGAACGAGTTTACAGTGCCCGCTACTACTGTGGAGCGTCGTTCTGGTTACATAAGACAGCAGCGCAGCTAACACAGCTCACAGAGGGATAACAGAAAGCGAAGATAACAGGGATATCAGCCTGACATTAGATGAGGGAAAAACAGTCATTTTATATATCCCTTTCCCTCATGAGACGACGCCATGTCTCAGATAAGATAAGCCTCTAGTTATGCCTGGTTGCCTCAGCGCTTAGTAGTGGATCGGTGACGGCGCCCACCAATCGTTGCTCAGCTTCTTGCAGTCATTGATCCGTCACGTTGCATGTAATATAACTTAGTCGCATGGTCGCACCTCCGAAGAGTCAACGAGGACGAATAGAGTGAACAACGTTGGGTGGATGTTGTCACCAACAAGGCATCTTATCGCTTGGGTTCATTGGCCACTTCACGCAGCTTGCGCTTTTGCAGGGTTGAGCCTTAGAGAAAGTCGAAAACTTCGTACACGGCGGTACGCGCTCAGGCATCCAACTGCGTCGTTGTGCCCGGGTGTCTCCACGCTTTGCACAACCTAACTAGTCCGAAGCGCTGAAAAACGAGGTCTCCCGGGGCGCTGCTCTCTTCCCCCGCGTCTTCTTGCAGAAGAAGATATGTCCTGGGGTCTTGCGCCTGCCACAGCTACACGTGAGTGTGGCGTCAGCATGGCGGAATCCTTCGTGGTATGATCCGAAGCCATACTTATTATAGCTCAATACAATATATATAAAGAGCATCGACCAGCCGCTACTTGGTCAACTTCAAACGCCTTTTATCTTGCTTTCTTTGTCTCGCTTCAACCCACATTCGCACGCCACATTAAACTTCATTCTCAATCTTCTTTTCCCCTTAAATCCAGAAAATGCTGCGTTCTACAGCGAGCCGTCTTGTGAGGTACAACAATGTTTCCCTAGACCAGCTCCAGGCAGCAGCTGGTTCTGTTTTCTCGGATGGTGTAGAGGCAGCCAGCAATGCCGTTGAGCAAAAGGTTGGATCTATTCACCGGAGTCCGAATTTACGAGCAGCACCAAATTAACCCAAGACCCACAGTACCCTCGTGTAACTGAAGCTCGAATCCAGTAAGTCCCAGCAGTTCATCCGGCGCGGTGATTGTCCAATGTGCCAGGTTTCAAGGCCTTTACTGATTTGCCGCTCCATAGGGGTACAACTCCGCACCCGTCCAGCAAAGACAAGAGTGAAACCCAAAATGTTGTTACTGTGAGCTACCATACTGAATCTGGAACTCGCATGTGCAGCATTCATGTCCGCGAGGATGGAACTTGGGCCGAGTTTCCTTCCAGGGCTGGCAGGAAATAGAGAGTCGATGCGAGTCTGGAATCCCCAATGGGATTGCTTTTTCCAGAAGCAAGCCATGGAAATCTTCAGTCTTATTCTACATAAGCATGGGCAATCATATGGAGGCAACGCGGAGCAAGGGGGCACCAATAAGGTGCGACTGTGAAGAGGTACCTGTGGTGAACATATGGCAGAAGCGTAAAGTATCTTTTAAGTAGGCCAAACAACAAAATGCTATTGTAAGCAAACAGAACCGCGATTTTCCCTGCATGCTCAGCAGCCAGAGACCGGCGATGACCAAGTCTGTAACATGAAAGACTTCAAAGTTGCAGAGGACGCGGCATATATATTAGTTGAGACCTAGTGTAGTATGTAATGGCCATGATGTCTCTCATGAGCGAACGAATACTTTGTACGCAATAATCATGACCCAAATCCAAAAGACGGCGCCCGTCAAACCCATCGCAAACACCAAATACCACGATTGACCTGCTCCCCTCATTAGCTGCATCCCGGCTTCGCCCTCCTTCCCGCGCACGCACAGCAAAAAACTTAAAAAACTTACATATATTCCGCTGCTGCATCCACGCCAGCGTGGCCGCGTCGGGCGCGCGCGGGTTCTGATTCCAGACCTGCTCGTCGCAGACGCTCTGGACGCCGCCGACGCCCCAGAGCGCGATGGCGCTCGCGACCAGGCCGACCATCCAGAGCACGAAGAGCGCGGCGGCGCCAATCATGACAATGGCCGGCAGCAGGCGGCGGTACCAGATGAGCCACATGACGGCCAGCAGGTACGCCAGCGCGACCGCGGCCACCGTCAGGTAGTAAGGGATGTACCACGGCACCGGCAGGTCCAGCTGGCTCTGCGTCTGCATAAACGTGGCCAGCACGCCGAGCACCGACGACGCGGCGAGCAGCATGACGAACAGCCAGATGTTGACCTGGTACGGCGGCCAGTCGTACGTCCGCACGTGCACGATGCGCCGCCCGTCGTGCGCGACGGAGCTGGGCGTCAGCGTGGAGGAGAGGCCCATGATGGTGACGGCGGCAGCGGCGGCAGCGGCAACGATCTGGTGTAGATGGTTGTGTTGTTGTTGTTGTCGGTCGGTTGGGGGGAGAGCACTGTCAAAGTCGTGATTCGCGCCGAGAGCGTTTTTTTTTTTTTTTGCGCTAGGCGCGAAACTTTGGAGGCTTTTGGCGACGGACACAAGATTCGCAATCAAACGGTTCTTGCGCCTCTTCTTCCAATGACCATTCGCTCTCACGAGTCGCTAGAGTGTGGCGGCGCGGCGTTCTTTGTCGCCGGGCTGGTCGGTTCGGGTCGGTTGGCGGGGGTGGCGGGGGTGCTGGTACGGGCCAGGTGATGCGCCCGTTTCGCTCTTTAGCAACTCTGCAAAGGCAATAACGCGCTGGAAATGGGCATGCGAATTGCACCAAGTCGCATATAGATGGCCGGAATGTAGATTTGGTAACTAAAAAGAAACCTAAAAAGAAGAGCGGCTTGCAAGAAGTAAGGACTCAGGTAGGAGGATACAGGGGTGGTGGCTGGGCCGGGGTGTCCCAGCCACGCGGCGCCCCGGCTGCATCTCAAACATGCATATGTAGTTACGTCATTTCCGAAAACCTGAGAACGACATCATTATTTCAATCATGTATTATAAAGAAGAAATCGTCATTTTAACCATGCGAGTTTATATATCGTAACAGACGTTGGCTTTCTACCTATTTTCGTTACTAAGGAGTTTCCATCTCATTAAATGCATTCTTTTCATATGCCACCTAGTACGCCAGACCAAGTGAAAAAAACCGTCAATGCTGTCTTTGACAAAGGAGAATTTCGCATAGCATCGCTAGCGCTCTTATTTCTGTATTTCCATCCTCTCTCGCTCCTCCTCAGACTCGGGATGTTGTCTCTTGTGTACAGGCTTACAGCAGAGTCTCGCCGAGGGCGCAGCGAACGAGCGAGCAGCCAGCGCCGACGGTGGCCTTGGCACCCTCTTCGGTGGCAGCGAGCTCGGGGTTGACCTCGACGAGATCGATGGCGATGAGGTTGCCGGTCTGATGGACCGACTCGCAGATGTAGTCGCCCTCGCGCAGGGTGAGGCCACCGCGGACGGGGGTGCCGGTGCTGGGCGCCCACATGGGGTCGAGGGCGTCGACGTCAAAGGACAAGTGGATGGGGGTGTCGTTTCCAATGTGGGCGAGGGCCATTTCGACGACGCGACCGATGCCGTAGCTGTTTATTGTTAGTGACGCGAGTACTTTTTAATTATTTTTTCCCTTTGCAGGCGACGTACCGGTCTACGTCAAACATGGAAAAGGCCTTGACATTGTTGTCGCGGAGAATCTTCTTCTCGGCCTTGTCGACGTCACGGAGGCCAATGTAGACGAGCTTGGCAATGTTAAGGCGCATGTCTTCCTTGAGCCAGCCGAAATACTCGTCCTTGTCGTCCGTGGCAAGGCCGGTGAGGAAGGCGAGGGGCATGCCGTGAATGTTGCCCGAGTCGGAGCCCTCGGGGGTGTTGATGTCGGTGTGCGCATCGACCCAGATGACGGCAATCTCGCGGCCGAGGCGCTCGCGGGTGGCCTTGGCGGTACCGGCAATAGTGCCAATGGCGACCGAGTGGTCGCCGCCGAGGGTGAGCGTCAGGCGGCCCTGCGACGAGTGGCTGTAGGTGGCCTCGGCAATCTTGCGGTTGACGGCCGAGACGAGCAGCGGGTTCTTCATGCCCCGGTACTCGGGATCGGCAGCCGGGGCCAGGTCCTTGTAAAACTGCACCTCGGAGTCGCCGTGCAGGTTGTATTCGAGCTCTTCCTTGATTTGGGTGAGGAGGCCGGATTCGATGAGGGCCGACGGGCCGTTGTCGACACCCGCTTTGGGCTATGACGGCAAGTATGTTAGAGGTGACATTTTTTTCTTTTCATTTCCTTGCCTGTCCTCGGGCGCATGTTCAATTGCGCGCAAGGAGAAGGCAGGAGGCGCATACCTGGCCACCAGAGAAGCCAACGGCGACGACGCCGAGGTCCTGGGGGTTGCTGAGGAACTTGCTAGGAACGTTCATGGCTGCAGTGTTGGTGGGGGTATATGCACAAAGATGATAAGTGACGCGACGTGGGGTTCCGGGTTCTTGCGCGAGTAGCTACAGCTCGATGAACAAGCAAGCAGAGGAAAAACAATCAGAAATCAAGAAAAGGGAGAGTTTTGTTCTTGCTCTAAAATCGGTGGAACACGGAAGATAGGCTGGAGGGGGGAGGAGCGCAAGCTTTTTATTCGAGGGCTCGGAAGTGGGCGCGGCCAAGAAGCAAAAAGCTCGACCGAGAAGGAGGGGAGGGGTCCTTGCTCTTCCTCCATCATCGGCTTTTCGGCGGGGGACGCGGATTCCGTGAAAAAGGGCAAGAAAAAAGGGCGAGAAAGGGCCAGAAAAAAGTGGCTAGACCCCCCTCCATCTTCACACCCTACCTAGGTACGTGACGAGCATGGGCATGAAGCTATACCTCTAAAGTTAAGTGAGAGAGGATGCCCGCAGGACAGTGGGTGAAGCTATGCCGTTAAAGGTGCGCAGCGCGCACACGGCGGCGGACGAGGGAGAAAAAAAAGGTCCAACAGCGTAATGGTTTCCAGGTGGAGAGCGGCAGATCTGGTTTCAACCGACATTGTGCGTGTATTACTGGCTGGTGCGTCCTTGTCCGTTCACATCATGACTAGCTGTCAGAAGGAAGCTCGGCCGTTTGCGCCGGGCTGCAACGTTGGCGAAGCTCCTTCGTGCTCACGGCATGTGTCACGAATGATCAGCAGACTGGGGGTGCATGGCGTGGTGGTATACAAAAAAAAAGAAACACCTACCTTTCTAGCTGACAGCTCACGGACTGCAATGCATATGTGCTTCTGGAAGGAATATACGGAATATACACGGGAAGGGCTATTCTATGCCCAGCAAATCAGCACGCATAGTCTACTCCGACTCTCCGAAGGCGTTTGGCAGCTGTGTCCGTCCGCTGCGTCCCACTTGCAGATTTGGCCCCGCAGAGTCCGGACAGCAGCCCGGCGGTGCATCCGATCAAAAACGGCGTTGGAACAGATGCTGGGGTTTAGAAAAGGGGATACGAGCTTAAATTCTTACCATAGACGTAGCAATCAATTAGTCGGTGATTTGATATCAACAACAGTTAGCTGGCTGGCCTGTTCGCCCTTGGTTACACGGTGCGAGTAAGGCACCGTCATTGCCCCTCCAAACACATCTTGGCCCCTCCGAAAACAGAACAAGTGACGAGGCCGAGCCATGTTTGCGCCGTAGGGTGTGACGAGGGTTGTACATGGCGAGAGGAAGCGGCGGAAACAAGCGAAGAAAAAGTCTGGGCAATTAAAGCCGGCTGTAGCCAGAGATGGTTGAGGAGTCTCTAGTCTCTCTAGTCTCTCTAGGTAGGTAGTCTCTCTCGTTGAGGTTGCCGCCAAGTGTTATCCTTTTAGCGGGCTTTACAGGGGTCCTCAGCAAGATGCTCCCCTAATGGCAGGTACACGTACCCTGGAGGTCGAAGCGCACAGGCACTCAACCACCGCTTGCACCGCGGTTAACAACTTACCTGGGGATCGGATATCACCCATCGCATCCCATCTCAGTGCGGGCGGCAACGACGAAATCGCCATCCTCCCGCTTTATTATAACGACCTGCTATTAATACTTCCAACTATTATTAGTCTTTTCGACGCCTGTTGTATCGTCGTCCAACCAACAAGCTCATTGGCTCACTACCAAACGGGTCATATCAGTAGATGCACTATCCCGTCTCATCACATTCAGCATGACGCAAGAGTCAATTCAGTCACGGATAATTTGTACAATATGCTGTCATCATTAGCCGTCCCGGTGCATCTTGACTCAGGCTGTCGCGGAAGCAAAAGAAGCTGCAGAAGCAAATTGGACTCGACCACTGACGAGCAGCCGGTGGCAGCCACTAGCACGAGACAGGCAGGACTGGGCTTGGCCAGGTAGAGCCTCATGCCTCATGCGACGATCGGTGTGTGCCTGGTTTGTCGGCCATGGTTTGGGCAGCACGCGAGCACGTCACAACAGTTCGGATCAACAAGCGAGAGTTGTACGCTGAAGCCTGAAGGCAAGTCAGGGAACAAGAGGACAGCAGAGCCTAAAAAGAATCGCCGATGGAGACTTTATTAGTATACCGCCACACCGTTTCAGGTGGTCATCACAATTCGCTCGTGCAATCAAGCTGTGCCTGGGCCAGAGCATTTATTATCAAAACTTTGCCAAATGTCCCATATCTCAAAGAAAGGAGAAAGGGGGGGGGGTTACGCAATCATGCTGGTCAAAGGTAAAAAGAGCAGGTTGCAAGGGTCGACAGGGACCCACAGAGCCATGTCCCCGAGTAAGGCATGGATTGACGGATATGCAGGTCTTGCGCTGCTCACAATTACAAAAACAAGAAAAAAAGAATGAAAAAAGGCACAGAGGAGAGATGAGCCTCTTGGCACAAAGGTTCAATAGTTAGTTATTTCAGTGATCCAAAACATGCAAGAACAAGCAACCGCATTCCATTTGGCTTCTACAACGTTGCGCTAACTAATAGCGCAAGGGGCAAGTTTCACAAAGGGAAAGGCCGGCGCCAGTTAGTCTGACGATGAAATCTCTAGCCGTGGAACCACCACCCAACCAAGTGGTAAAGCTGGTACATACATAACTAGTTCATGAATAGTGCCAGGACAAAAGATGGGATCTTGCGAGCCAATATATTTTGAAATTGGGCATCCGACCAGTTCATGAGCCCCTGTCCAATCCAGTGTTGGGATGTGCGCCTCGGACCAGTGACAAGCTTTGTTGGCAGCGCGTGGGTGGCGGCCTGCAGGCCATGTGCCATGTTGTGCGGCCCGAGAAACCGTCCGTCGCAGAATAGTTAGGTACCTGATTAACTAGTACGAGTTACGTATAACAATGAAGACCACCTTTTTTTTTAATTCAGTTATTTCTTCAACTACGCCACCACCAAACACTTGGCCAACTTTTTGATCAATCATAGCAGCTCTCTCAATGGGGCAACAGATTGCACCGTTGATCACTTCACCTAGTCGCCCATTTTTCCCTGCTCTGGCCCCCCCCCCTGATATGAACTGCGAGTCAAATAATTCCCCGCCTGCATCTCTGATTCTCTGTGCATACATGGTGCATAGCCGCACATTGTCACTTGTCCGTCGACAAGTCTAAAATACCCCATCGTCACTGCGTAGGTCGTACAGTACCTGGTCCGTTTTGAACGTGCCAAATTATTTTCATCCCGGCCTTTTCTCCCCACGCTCGCTTCGTCCCTTATCAACTCCTTGTTTTCTTCTCCCCTGCTTTTTCCTTTCCCCGGCTTTTCTCGTCTTTCCTCGAGAACTTTCCCAAGCCTGTAGCCTGTCTTGGCGCACCTGCATAATCACTTGGCAGCTTTGATAGTTTTGCCTCGTCGTCTTTCCTCTCGGCCATCACTCCTTTTTGTCCCTTTTTCCTTTCTCCATTTCTGCATTCTCCTTCTTGTCTCTCCCTTTTCCCTCTCTCTTATCTCCCATTGTATCCCCTCTGTGGCGCAAGACAACGCGAGCTGCCCGCACCTCGACATACCACCAATTCATCTCCCCCACCAACGACCGACGTACGACTGTCGCTTCCGTTTGACGACCAGCATACCAGTCTTGCTCGAATACCCTCGTTTCATACGTCCTGCCCTTTTCTCGGCCGCCACCTTTTTTCTTCACTTAGCCGACTCCATTATCCTGTGATGCTATTTGTATCAGCCCTCGCCACCTATTATTAGCGTCCTCGCCCGCTTGTGCAGAGCTGACGACGCCCGCCACGCCACGACCATCACTAACAGACGAAGCTGGTCCTCGACTGCATCTGACAAAGAAAAGTCAGCATGATGCCCCGGCCATCTGGCATTGTCCGTTATCTGGGCATCGCCCTGATTATGCTATTCACCCTCTACATCTTCAACAACAATGCCTACGAAATCACAGTCTCCAGCCTCCACCGCCCCGGTGGCCTGTCGGGAGGTGGCCGTTTGTACAAAGGGTACCACTACCTCATCTTGTCTTTTTTTTTGAGATTTCCTTTCAGACCAGTCCTTGATCTAATATGAATTCGTATCCAGAACCAACAAGCTTCACCCGATCGACAGTCTGATCTTCGACGCGCAAACCAGGTTTACCGACCTCCTCCACAAGGAAACAAAGACCGTCGAGGACGCCGCCCAAGCATACCGCAAGCGCCGCGGCCGCCACCCGCCGCCCGGCTTCCACCAGTGGTTCGAGTTTGCCCAGTCCCACGGCGCCATCATCGTCGAGGACTTCTTTGACCAAATTCACCACGACCTAGAGCCGTTTTGGGGCGTCGACCCGGCCGCCATGCGCCGCGAGTCGCAGGCCTTTGAGATGACCATCAACGTGCGCGACGGCAACGCCACCACGGGGTCCGACTGGTTCTGGACTAAGATCTGGCTCGGCCTCGTCAAGAACATCGAGCACCTGCTGCCCGACATGGACATTCCCCTCAACGCCATGGATGAACCTCGCATCATCACCCCGTACGAGGACATTCAGCACTACATGGCCAAGGCGGCCAAAACGACCGGCCTCGCCGACCCTGTGACGGTTGTAAGCGGGTTCCAGTCACTACCGCACGGCGCCAACACGGACGATGGAAAGGTGCTCGACAAGGCGTGGGAGGGCGAAGAGACAAGTAAGCAGTCCAGCATACCCATTGGCCGATGTCGGCAAACACAGCCGCCCATCGAGACTAACACACAGCCTCTCCAACAGACCCCTTTTGGAACCTCGTCCGCCGCGGCTGCCCGCCGCAGAGTCTGGCCCGAACCTCGCCCGTGCAGACCGACTTTTCCGACACACCCGTCTTCAACACGTCGCTCGCCAAAGCGCACTCGTACCACGGCTTCGTCGCCAACAGCTCGCTCGCGCGCGACGTGTGCCACCAGCCGGACGTGCAGGGTCTCGCCGGCGTCTTCATTGAGCCGCTGTCGACGAGCACCACCAAGGTGCTCTTTCCGCTCTTCGGCGGCTCCAAGCTCGCCGTCAACAATGAGATTCTCATCCCTGCCGCCATGTACTACGACGGCGACAAGCGCTTCACCGGCGGCGACGAACACGGCGCGGCGTGGGCCGACAAGACTCCCGGCGTCATCTGGCGCGGCGTTGCCACGGGCGGCCGCAACCGCCCCGAGACCTGGAAGGGCTTTCAGCGCCACCGCTTTGTCGCCATGAACAACGGCACGACGCTGAGCCGCGCCGAGGTGGCCGGCGCCGAAGCCCCAGAAAACTTTGCCATGCCGGACCGCTCCGTGTACCGCGTGCGCGCGCAGACCGACGGCAAGCTCGGCGAGTGGATCAGCAACTTGACCAACGTTGGGCTGACTGATCTCGTCTGCACGCCGGCCCAGCCCGACCACCGCTGCCGCTACATGGACCACGCGTACGATACCGTTGAAGGCGTCTCCCTCCCCGATCAGTTTAACACCACGATCCTGCCCGACATTGACGGCAACTCGTTTTCTGGGCGCTACATTGGCTTCCTCCGGTCCACGTCGCTGCCGGTCAAGGCCACCTTTTGGCGCGAGTGGCACGACAGCCGGCTTGTTGCCTGGAAGCACTTTGTGCCCATGGACAATCGCTTCACCGACTACTACGGCATCTTGGATTACTTTCTCGGCTACGACGGCCGCGGCGCCCACGACATGGCCGCGGAAAAGATTGCCACGGACGGAAAAGACTGGGCGGACCGCGTCTTGCGCAAGGAAGACATGGAAATCTATGTCCTCCGCCTGCTCCTCGAGTATGGGCGCCTGCTGGATGACCGCAGGGAGACGATGGGCTGGGTCCAGGACGTCCTGGCCAAGCCTGCTCTGATGCGCAAGTGGAAGCAGTGGTAAATGCTGACCACCCTCTTTGGCAAAAACCCCCTAACATGAAATGAAACGCACATAATTTCCTTTCTTCTCCATCACCCCAAAGTACATTTGGGTGGGTGGGACTTTGCGCGGCATTTGTTTTACGCAAAAAAAGCATTTTCTTCCTTTGTACAGTCTGCATCAAGACATCAGCCGGTCGCTGATGATGTGTATACCTATTAGTGGCGTGGACCACTTCCATCTATCTTGTTTCCTTTTTTTGTTTCGCATTTCCTCGTACGGCGTTTGGCGGGCTATCCACGGTGTGCCTAGAATTATATCTTCTTGTTGAATTAATTGACCTTCATTCTTCTTCTAATCGCCCTTCATAAACTACACAAGAAAAATCGTAGCAGCGTCGGACATGACGTCGTTATGCCTCTCATCCTGCTTTTTGTACGTGGACCTCGCCGGTAGGCAAGCCAAAGTAGGCGGCAATGGGCTTTTGCGCGGGGAGCAGCTGGTTCGTCTTGACAGCCTCGTCGCCGTTGAAGCCGTAGAAGAGGCCAATCTCGACGATGCCGGGCAGCTTGATGAGAGCGTCGGCAAGCTTGCTCACCTCCCAGACGCCGCCCTGGCCGGCGCCGTCCTGGCCGTCCTTGAGGTCCTTGGGCAGCAGCAGCGCGGGAAAGGGCGCGTCAATGATCCACATGCCATTGTCGCTCACGCACTCGCCGGCCTTGCTGGGCAGCCCGGACCGCACGACGGGGTTGGTCGAGCCCATGTCACTGAGCCTGCTGAGCACATCCGGAGCGGCCATGGGCAGGACTTCAATCGGGATGGCCTTCCACTTTGTGCAGAGGCGGGGGGACTGCTTGCGCGAATCTACCAATTGTTGGCATCTTGGTCACTTTTTCATCCTTATTGTATTTGGATTGTGTGTGTCTGTGTGTTTGTTTAAAGAAAGGGGGGCATACCGGCCACGGCAACAAACTGCTTGGCAGCAGCAGCGACGAGTTTTTCCTGGAAGAGACAGGCGCCGCCGCCCTTGATGAGGTTGAGCTCCTCGTCGACCTCGTCGGCGCCGTCAAAGGCGACGTCGAGCGCGACGGCCCTGCCGCCGACGACGGGGCGCTCGTCGAGGTTGCGCATGCGGAGGCCGGCCCGGGTGAGCAGGCCCCGGGACTGGCTGCCGGTGGGGATAAAGGTCATGTCGCCGTAAAAGGACGCGCCCTTGGCCCGGATGGCGTCGACGACGTGCACGACGGTGCTGCCGGACCCGATGCCGACATACTTGTGCGAGGCCAGCAGGTAGTCGTCGACGGCCTGGCAGGCCGCGGCCTTTTTGGACTCCTCGATCAGAGCCGCCGCCGCCGCCGTGTCGGTGGTGTTGGCCATGTTTCTTTTTGTGTGGCGAAAGGGGGGGGGGGGGGCTGCGGGTTGTGTAGGTACAATGTTAGGGTGAGGGGACTCTGAATGGTGATGATCCGGCTCGCCCGAGATGTGGCAGGGTTGGGTTTGAGGGGTTGTGTGAAGGAGGTGTTAACTTGGACTGCGCAAGTTGGGATGAGATCGAGATAGTGGAGATGGGCTGTGTGGAGATGGTGGCAGAGGCCGAACTCTACTAGGTTAAGAGAGGGGTGATAACTAATGGATATCAATTAGGAAAGAAATGTACGGAAGGTAAAACTTAGCAAAGCTAATGAGGAACAAGAAAATACAAGAAAACCTTGGGTAAAAGTGCTTTGTTCTTTCTTCATTATTCCTACTCTCAAATCCATTTCGCGCTTCTCCACCCCAATGTCCTTTTCTGTCTAATTAGATTGTATAGGTACTGCTTGCTCACCCTTTCGTGGCAACTCTTATGCCGTTTCCTTAACCTGTCATTGCACGCTGGTCTTGGTCTTACCAGTGAAACAGCAGCTCATCCGAGAGTAGCTGTAATCTACTGAAAACGCTTGAAAAAATGCTTGAACGAGGTAATAAATGACATCCAGGTACTCATTGTAAAGAAAGCCGACGCCTTGCCTCTATTGCCGTTTCTAAATGCAGATACAGTAGTATACAAGTATTGTAACATAGTGAGCTCGTCAAAACCCCAGACCTTGCGCACCAGATTTGGTGTCCTCGTCATCGGCCGCATGACCCTCCTCGGACCACCGACCGAGGAGCTGCGTGTACGTCGGGCGAAACGGCCAGTCCATCCACGCGCGCACCACCTCGAGCCACTGCTCCTCGTTGACGCAGCGCGCCAGGACGCGACCCGGCCCGGACAGTGGGGAGCCGCCCCGCGCAGCGTCGCCAAAGCTCGGGCACCGGGGCAGCTCACTTCCGAACCCCCCCCAGAGGCGCTCGAGCCCGTCCTCGAGCGGCCTCAGGGTGTTGGCGAACCACAGATGCAGCAGGACATCCGACATTTCGCCAGACCGCGACGTCATCGGCCCGTACGCCCGCAGGACCGGGTCCATGGCCTTGGGCTGCATGTCGAGGAGTGTCGTCGGCGCGTTGGGGAAGAACTCGGCGGGCCGCGTGACGAGCGGCTCGTAGGCGCGCCGGTCCCATAGCAGCGCGGGCGGCCGTTGCCGGAACAGGTGGTGGTTGTCGACCAACCGCTGGTACTCGGCGGCCTTGTTCTTGGGGAGCCGGGCAACGGCGGCGGCGTAGGCTGCGTCGCTTGTTGTAAAGTCGGCGGTGCCATTGAGGGCGGTCACGGCCAGACGCTGCCGCAAAAGTGACCCGAAACGGTCCGCGAGTTTTTGCTCGTGCCGATCGCGGTATTCGAGTTGCCGCATGCGCCGCAGCTCGGCACTGGCGCTGTCAAGGCCCGGCGTGCGCCGCAGGCGGTCGAGCTCTTCAATGTACGGCCGCGCAAGCTGCGGCGTTTCCGTATCTGCAAAGTTCCTGCCCATGAGAGCCATCGGATCTGCACGGACACGCTTGTACGTCTCGGTCTGGCGGTGGACCGGCATCTCAATCCCGCGCGCGTCCATCCGGGCGGCGACGCCCGCGCACGACTCCACGTTGAGCCATTCATCCCGCAGGGCGGTGCGGGCGTGGACGTCGACAGTGGCGCCGCAGACCTCGTGCAGCCAGTCGCATGAGAGCTCGGCCTCAAAGGCGCCGCGGCGGCGCCGCAGCACGCTGCGTGGCAGCAGGCGGTGCTTGTCCTCGTCGTTAGTCCAGATGAGGAAGCGCACGAGCCCGTACTGCTGCAGCAGACGGCCCTGGCGGATGCTCGACAGAAACTGGTACAAAACCATGGTGCCGACATTGTCGAATCCGCGGTACGGTCGCTTCGGGCACATGGACAGGTTCGCCGTCACGAGCAGGGTGTCGTTGCGCGGCGGCGGCGCTTCGACGTGTGGCGCGACCTTGGTCTGCGCGGCGAAGCGCGACGCCACGATATGTTCGAGGTTTTCCCAGATAATGCCTGACTTTTTGATGAGCTCAACGTTGGGCTTGGATGTGAGGTCGCTGAGGAACGGCTGGTAAAAGTCGGCGTCGAGGTCGAGGAGGACATGCTTGCGCGGCTGCACGGCGTCGTGCAGGGCTTTGCTCCAGAGGCCAGCCCCTGGGTTTATATCCAGCAGATCGCATCCGGTGTGTCGTTCGAGCGAGTCTCCAATGTACTTGATGATATCAGCTGCGGAGAAAAGGGTCGCGCTGTTAGCAGGTACCAAGATTGGGGCAAGGCGTCGCATAACAAGGAGTGCCATAGGTAATTGGGGCCTTACAACATAGCTCTTCGCTTACGATGTTGACTCTCCGAGTATCGACCGGGGCATTTCGAGCGACGCGCGACCGCGCGCTCCGCCAGAGACCAGTATCCAGGAGTCGTTGCGCAATGTCCGTCTCGGCCACCAGCCAGTCGACCGGCGGGGAGCCACCTCTGGCTTTGGAGGCGACGCCTCGGGCGAGCAGGTTAGTGCGACATCCCAGGCGGCCAAGCAGTCGACGTGCGACTGTCCGTTTCAATGGCGCGCTGCCAATCATCAAGCAGGGGAGGGAGTGGTGAAGCGTGAGGCCTTGTCGAGGGGAAAGTCGAGCTCCAGACAAGGAGCAACTTTTTGGTGGAGCCTACCTACCACCACCTACCACCAGTCAAGGAACGCCCAAACGTGGACGCCTGAATAGGTGAGAGGCACAGTAATAAGTACAAAATCGGTCAGCTAAATAGGCAGGTAGTCTTGCCCGTTTCCCGGTAGCCATAATTCTTGTTCTCTTAACACAAAATTGCCAGATGACTTCTTCGATCAAACACCAGCAATGGTGGAGTTCTAAGGCACCAGGCGTTCGAACATTCAGCAATCCGAATCCGAGTGCAGAACTCATCATCGAGTAGTCTGGCGGCCATAATTTTCGAAAAAGGGGGCAAGCCTATAGCTTCTTAGCTATTCGTTTTTTTCAAACCCGGTATTCGTGTTTGTATTTTGCTGTGCTATATGTATCTCCAGCGTGCTCATTCTACTTGCTTCTCTCCACAGAGCTCGCACTTCACAATTCGGCAAAAGCTTGAAAAAATAAGAGTCCCCCAACTAGATGCAAATTATCTCCGAAAACTCCCAAAGACGCCGCTATGATGTATACAACCGATAAAAGTAGGCCACGCAGGATCCCGGAGCTTTAAGCACCTTCGCTGCCAAACTCGTTGGTCCAGTCGATTTGTTTCGCGACATCATCCTTTGACACGGTCGGGTGTGAGTCATCGAGGGCTACCTGAAAGTCTTGCAGAGCAACATCGGGGGCGAGTAGCTCCTCCGACTTGACATCGTCGTAGGTCATTTCAATCTTTTCAGCGTCACCCGGTGAGCACGGCGTCAGCATGCGGTTACCGTCCTTCATGACCTAGTCACTGCGTGTTAGCATTCCTTATCTGAGCGTGAAGGGGTGTTGCCGACTAGGAGATACGTACTGCTTTGAAATGTGTAGCCTGCAAAATCTTGCGGACCGGCCGCATCAGGGCATGCTGGACGACGTTGGCAATGTCGCTGCCGGAGAACCCGTCTGACCTTGAAGCGAGGGTGTTGTAGTCGCTGGACTGCAGCGCCGTGTCCGTGTCGCCGATGGCGAGCCTGAACATGCGTGCGCGCCCGTTGATGTCGGGCAGGCCAATGTGCACGCGCCGCTGGAAGCGTCGGCGAATGGCGGCGTCGAGCTGCCAGGGGATGTTGGTGGCGCCGAGGACGAGAATGCCCTTGCTGTCGTTGCCGACACCGTCCATCTGTACCAGAATCTCCGTCTTGATACGCCGCGAGGCTTCCGACTCACCCTCACCACGCGGGCCGCAGAGGGCGTCGATCTCGTCAATGAAGATGACTGAGGGTTTATTTTCTCTCGCCATGGAGAATAACAACTTGACGAGTCTGGGGGACTGTTAGCAAGCACGCATTACCCACATATATGTATTGAGCAGAGCAGCTAACCTTTCACTTTCACCCATCCACTTGCTGACCAGGTCCGAACTGCTTATACTGAAAAATGTGCTGTTTGCCTCGGTCGCGACAGCCTTGGCGAGATAACTCTTACCAGTACCAGGCGGACCGTATAGCAGGATACCCTTCCATGCTTGTCGCTTGCCCTGGAAGAGGCTGGGGAATTTGATGGGGAGCACGACAGCCTCCTTGAGCGTTTCTTTGGCAGCCTCGAGACCCGCAATGTCCTCCCACCGCACATTCGGCCGCTCTTGCAGAATTGCGCCGGACAGCGCGTTTCTCAGCTTCTTGTTATCATCGTCGTCATTCGCACCCTTGGCTTTGCCGCCCGCGCTAGTGCCATTGGCTCCCATCAGGCCCTTGCCGCCGTTGGAGTTGTTGTCGGCCTCGGCCTGCAGGAACTGCTTCAGCTTCTCGGCGCGGTCGAGGTACGTCGCCATCTTCTCCTGCATGGTGGCCTTGAGCGCCTTGTTCTTCTCCCACTTGAGGGCCTTTACCCAGAGCTCCATCGATGACATGTACAGGTCAAAGGCCTTTTGGTACTCCTTGTTGTGGTCGGCCGCGATGGCCTTTTGCACCTCGGCGATGGCACGGTCTCGGAAGTTTGTCGACATTGTGGCGCGGGGCGGGATGTCACCGCGTGCGTCGTGCAGGGGATAGGTAATTCGAGTTGCGCCGCGCAGGGAAGGAAGTGAATGAGCACCGGCCTAGGGTTGACTCGCGAGTAGGAGAGCTCAATGTTGCTGGATGTTCAGTTTGGCGTCTGCCTGAAATCTCAAGTTGTCACCCTGTCTGTGGCTGCCAACCATCAACATTGGCGGGGTAACTAACATGTACCTACCGGGGCGACTCCAACACCGCCCATAGCGGGGCAGTATTTGGGGTGCGAAAGCCATGGACTGGAGCAGAGCAGAAACAAATTCGCTCCTCAAGTTGCTTCCGTACTATTGACTTATCAATCGAAACAAATTTTGATCTTTGGGGAAAGAAGACCTGCGGTCATTCATTGTCATGGCTCAAGCGCGAGCTCGCCTTCAGGCCCTCTCAGAGGAGTATCAAAAACTTCAACTTGGCAAGTGAATCGCAACACATCAGAGGCGACTCCTTCTAACGGCCATTTTCAGACCTTCAATCCTCTGTTGACTCGAGACAAAAGCTCGACGGACAGCGCCAAGAAAATCTCAGCGTGCAAAAGGTGCGGCCCCAAACAGGGGAAATTCACGTGAACTCAAGCTCATCCTATGTAGGAATTCGAGACGCTTGATGAGGACGAGACCATCTACAAACTTGCCGGTCCTGTTCTCCTGAAACAAGAAAAGTTTGAAGCTGACAACACCGTCAAGGGAAGACTGGATTTTATCAGTAACGAGATGTAAGACAGCTCATCTTCTATGCGGCATTGACCCGCAGCAGCTCACACGTGCAGGTCGCGACTCGAGACGCAAATTAAAGAAACCCAAGGAAAGATTGATAAGAAGCGAACAGAAATTATCCAGCTCCAAACGGCGGCCCAACAAGAGGCTGGGAGCACGGGTGGGCAGTGAGGGCCGACTCGGTTAGCTTAGAAGGAGAGCATAAATCCAAAATTAATTTCCAGATTCCAAGTTATACAGACTTGATCTAGTAATGTGGAAGTACTATATGAACGAGCTATTACTTTAGCATAAAGTGCGCTGGTAGTGGTTACCTTACAAAACCTGCGTTGGTAGCCGTTGAAGATAGTTACAATAATCTTGCTGAATTGTGCTCAAAGTAGACTAGCATAATATCGACTTGAAGGGGATTTTATAATTTATGTTTATTCCAAGGCGGAGAGCTTGCCCAAACGTCAATCGCTAACTAGCCCCGTCAGATGCATAGATATCTAGCGCATGGGGGAGAGGAGGCATCGGGCTAAGAAACAGTTGGCTTGCTGGTAGCATCAACGCATGGCAGCAGTTTCATCGCATGGCAGCAGTTTCATGTCATGGCAGGTGCTGACTACCTCCTCGGCCGACTGCTGGTGGGTTTGGAGGGGTAGCCAAGTTCCAGCTCGGTGCCTGGATGAAATAGTAAATCATACTGGAATAAAATAAGAAGGATGGAAACAATGAAAAATATCATAGTAAAAGGGATGGGAGTAGAAGTGAAAAAAAATAAAAATAATAGAATCCAGTAAAGAGTCAGGTCAGAATAAGAAGTATGTAGTAATCCATTCAATATATAAAGTCGGGTATTACATCACTGACCAGCGGCTCATTTTGTCACCCTGGTGGCGCGACACCAGCTCTGCAGCTACCCCTCCACGTCCACCATCACTCATTTTTCAGCATGGACGCCTCCTCGCGGCCCGGCAGGCCGCCGAGCATCCCGGAGCTCGTGACGCAGGCCGAAAATTTTGCATTTAATGTCAACATTCCGCTGCGGCACTGGATACGAACCGCCGAGACACTCTGTCAAGAGGTACGGTGCCCCAAGATGCGGCGTGCTAGCCTCAACCGTTATACTAACCTCGCCGTCTAGGCCGCGTTTGCCATGTCCGACAGTGATTACGGCCGAGCCTACATGATGCTATATCGACACTCTATTCTCGTACTGAATTACATGTCGACGCATCCAGAGTACAAAGACCCCCTCGGGCGCAAGTCTGTCAAGGCCCTCCAAGCCCGCATCGGCGATGTTATTCAAGAGTTGGAGATGCTCAAACCCGCTATTGAGGGCAGCCGCCAAGAATGGGAGCGGATGAAACCAGCGAAGCCACGACATTCCATATCGACCGATGGCGCAGGATCCTCTTATCCTGGGTACGCATCACGAGCCGCCCGAGATCCGACCCTGCAACGCCAGACGACCGTCCTCGACGCCGCGGAGCACCAAGACTTGGCCGTGGACCTGGCCCAGGAAGAGGTCGAGCGCCGAACCCGTGTGCGTCGGACGAACAAAGACAGCTACAAATCGAGGACTACATCGCTCCGACCCTACTTTGACAGTTGGCGAAATGACTATCTTGGCAAAACGGACGATGTTGATTTGCAGCAGCAAATGGCAGCAGTCCGCAACAACCTGGATCGCAACGCCGAGGCAGCCAACGAAGCTGGTCATAATAACCAGGGCCTATCTGATTCGGGACGGTATCATTATCCCTCTGTTTCCAAATCACGCCCAATCGATCTTGAGCGGGAGCAGCACCCTGTCGTGCCACCAAAATTCCCGGCTCTAGTCCCGGAGCGCCCACCAAAGGAACCAACCCGCACATGGCAGGCAGGTGAAGAGCCGCCTGTACCTCCACCAAATTACAACCATTCATCCAGACCGACAATACCACCAAAGGCGCCCCTGTCTGCACCGGTAGTGCCCAAGAAGGAGCGACTTACGTTTAAGCCTGGTGCCTACCTGGAGAATGGAGACCCCATCCGGTCCATGTTTATACCTAGCAAACTTCGAAGGACATTTCTAGAAATTGCCGCGAAGAATACAGCTGCAGGACTGGAAATGTGTGGGATTCTCTGCGGAAGCCCGGTCAATAATGCACTGTTTGTGCGCTGCCTCATCATTCCGGACCAAGTATGCACCTCGGATACCGTGGAGACGGTGAATGAAGGCACACTGGCCGAGTACTGCATGAACGAAGATTTGCTCGTGCTCGGGTGGATTCACACACACCCGACGCAGACTTGCTTCATGAGCTCCCGGGATTTGCATACGCACGCTGGGTACCAGATCATGATGGCAGAAAGCGTGGCTATTGTTTGCGCGCCCAAATTCAAACCATCGTATGTAAAGTGAAAATACGGTGCTGGCTGCCCACTTTGACTAACGCGCAGTAGATATGGCATTTTCAGGCTGACGCACCCGCCCGGGCTAAATCATATCCTCGATTGCAAGCAAACGAGTACCTTTCATCCTCACTCACTCGACAATCTGTACTGCGAGACGGAGCATCCTACCGGGCATGTGTACGAGAGCGACAAGATGCCGTTTGAGGTGAAGGACTTGAGAACGCAATGAGCAATGCAGAAGTTTGAGACTTGGAATCTACAGCGCTTTATAATTGTAATTCATGTCAAGGCAGTTTGGCAGTTCGAGCTTTGATATAGTTACGATATACAGGGCAAGAGAGGTTTGCAAGCTTATCAAGGTACGAATTATCGAGTCCATAGATGGGGACTGGTACTGCGGTGTCACTCCCCAATACGTTCTGCCTCGGCTGAAACGTGTCGTTTTATATTACCAACATGGACATGCTGTTGGTCAAGGCATAATTTGCTTGCGACAGTACTGAAATGATTATAAATTAATTAACATTCATCACTTATGGTGTAGCTGACCTTGTTACAGTGCGACGCCCCACTCGTGGTACAGTGCAACCTGCAACTCAAATCCCTTGATCAAATTGCGGTCCGGTGTGCCTTGTTTCCAGTGGGCTGTTCATTATAAGTGATATTAAGCGCTGATATATCTCAGTAGGTAGGCATTTTTGCCTGTTCAGTGGCACCTGCAAAGACGCTAGAGTTTCGAGTTTAGGCGCTGCAAGCCACAATGATTCGCTGCCACCCATCGCTGGACAAAGGAGACAAGGGAAACGTCAGGGGAATGAAACATTACAGCGCATCGCTATTCGGATGCGTGATCAAGGTCAGTTTGTGTCGAGGGCGGTTAAAAAAAAAACTAGAAATACCATTGCCCGTCTTTCCTCCTTTTCAATTTCTCATCCATTCTTTGTCATTCTTTTTCATTCATTCTTTTGGGTTTCCTCTTGTCACTCACTTATTACAGACAGGGAAAGGTTGCTGCTCCACTACAACAAACGCCCGAATCAACGAACTCACAAGAGAGGCATCTAACACTGTGAGACACCCCCAGAAGCCAGTCTCTTTTTTATTTTTCTTCTCCTCTTGCATCAACACCCAGAAAACGCCATGAAGCTTACTCGAGCGCTTCCCGCCGCTATCTTGCCGCTCACGGCCGCCGCCGCGACCTCGGCCGCGGACATAATCAAGATCGTCGCGCCCGGCTCCGTCCAGTGCGCGGCCGCCGCCGCGCCCGACTGCCGGACCGCCGATCAGGCGGCCCCCTTTCTCATCGACAGCATGGCCAAGTACGAAGTCCTTACGTACAACGAGATCGCTGCCGTGCTGTCCCTCATGGCCTTTGAGTCGGTCGATTTCAAATTCAAGCACAACGTCAGCCCCGGCCGCCCCGGCCAGGGCACCGCCAACATGCAGATGGACAAGTTCAACCTCGAGTACGCCAAGTCGCTGCCCGGGGTCAAGGACAAGGTGGCGGACGTGAAGTCGGTCGACGGCCTGGACAAGGACAAGCTCAACGAGATCCTGGCCCTCGTCACCCCGGACGAGTACAACTTTGGCAGTGGGCCGTGGTTCTACGCGACAAAGTGCGGCAGCGCGCATGCAGCGCTCGTCGCCGACCTGGACAAGGGATTCGAGGCGTACATGCAGTGCGTGGGAGTGACCGTGACGCCAGAGAGGAAGGCGTACCTGACGCGTGCGAAGCAGGCATTTGGATTGGCTTGAGCTTGCCCCTGTGAGCTGCTTGTTATGGTTTGGGGGAGAGGGCAGGGGGTTCTTGGTGTATACTAGATCTCTTGTTCATTGGCTTGTTTACACATGGGTGAATATACTCGCAGTGCGAGGACATTTTGTGCCGTTGTACAACACATGCCAGTCACCTTTGATGTGACCGTCGTATAGCTTGAATCCGAAGAGGCAATTTTCTCAAAAATATCACCGACAGTTGTGGCTACGTGGCCTTGCAAGAGAGGTTCAACAGAAGGAAATAAGTAAAATAAACTTTGCGGGCATGATCAAGCTGGCGGCTGAACTAGATCATCTAGTGGCGCTCCTCGATCCGAGCCTAGCGTGATCTCGAACCCTACAACCCTTTTACTCTCCAAGGGTCTAGCTCTGTCGGCATCTATTCTCAAGCCTAACAATAAAGGGGGAAAGTTCACTTTTTTTCGCCATTTTTTTTTAATATTATGTGAGGAAAACTTGTCCAAGTCTCTGCCGCCACCTAGTGATAAGAAGCGAACGAGCGAGGCGCCAGCTACTTAGACTTTACACGCCGCTGTAAGAGAAGTTAAAAAGAAGAATAATAATGAATTTTGTTTTTTTTTCGCTTGCAGGCAGGCGTATAACTAGCCCTCGTCCCCCCGCCTGAAGCAATGTCTACTCATAGTCCTTGCCGTCAACACCCTCCACCCGCAACCATGAAGCTTCACTCGACCCTTTCCGCCGCCGCCGCCCTACTCGGCGCCGCCACACCGACCCTCGCCATATCCAGCCGGGTCAGGCTGCCCTACGCCACCTACCACGGGGTCCAACTGGGCAAGGGCATCACGCAGTGGCTGGGGATGCGGTACGCCGCGCCGCCGACCGGTGCCCGGCGCTTCCGACCGCCCGAGGAGCCCCTCGAGGAGACGGAGGAGCTGTCGGCGGCGGCGTACGGCGACCGCTGCCTCGTGACGGGCAGCGCGGCGGGCGCGGCGGGCCACAGCGAAGACTGCCTCTTCATCAACGTGTACGCGCCCAACGAGACGCGGACGACGGGCCCGTTCCTGCCCGTGCTCGTGTGGCTGGGCGGCGACGGCTACGCCAATGCGCAGACCGACGCCGACATCAACGCGACGGGCCTGCTGCAGGCCAACGACGGCAACTTTGTCGTCGTCACGTTCAACCACCGCCTCGGCCCGTACGGCTTCCTCGCCAGCGGCCACACGCTCGGCACCAACAACGGGCTCCGCGACCAGGTCCGCGCCCTCGAGTGGGTGCGCCGCTTCATACGCCGCTTCGGCGGCGACCCGGAGCAAGTCACCCTCGGCGGCTCCGGCATCGCCGCGCAGTACGTCATGGCGCACCTCATCATGCACAAGGACGACAGCCCCCACTTCAACGCCGTCATTGCCGAGTCGCCCTCGTTTGCGCCGATGCGCGACCTCGACGAGGCCGCCACCGAGTACCACCGCTTCGCGCAGCAGCTCGGCTGCGAGCGCAACAGCAGCAGCAGAAGCCACAACGCGACCGCCGCCGCCGCCTCGCTGGCCGCGCGGTTGGCGATTGGCGACGACGCCAAGACGCTCGCGTGCCTGCTCGCGCTCGATGCCGACGCCATCCAGGAGGCGAGCCGGCAGCTGGCGCTCTCGACGGTGCACGCGGCGCCGTGGGACCGGTGGGTGCCGGTGATCGACCACGACCTCGTCTCGAAAACGACGTCGCAGAGCCTCGCGGCGGGCCACTTTGCGCGGGTGCCGTTCCTGTTTGGCAGCACGGTGGCGGCGCCCGGGACGGCGTTTGCGTACCGCAACCGGTCGAGCACCGACTCGGTGACGAGCTTCATGCACGACCTGTACCCGTTCCTGCAGGCGGCGGACCTCGCCGAGATGGAGGCGCTGTACACGACCAGCGCGTGCGGCGGCGGCGGCGGCGATCCGGCCTGCTTCCAGAACATCCTCGCGCGCATCGACCAGGACCTGCGGTACACGTGCCCGACGCTGGCGGCCGTGGGGCGGCTGCGCGACGGGGGCGTCAAGGACGCGTACCTGTATTCCTGGGACGTGGACGGCGCCGACGACACGGACGGCGACCTCGGCGCGCACCAAAACACAGAGGCCGCCGCCCTTTGGGGGGGCACCGCCGCCGCCGCCGCCGTGCCCAACAGCTACCGGCGCGGCGGCGCCAACGAGGCCGTGCCGCTCGTCAAGCAGCGGTACTGGGCCAACTTTGTGCGCTCGCACAACCCCAACCGGGCGCACAAAAAAGCCAAGGGCGGCAAGAACGAGGTCAAGGTCGGGGAGCGCGTCGTCGGCCTGGCCAAATGGGGCAGCTGGTCGCCGGGAAAACGCACACGCCTCGTGTTGGGAAACGGCGGCGTGACCGGGGAGAAGAGCACGGCGCACCTCAGGTTCAGCTGCACGTTTTTCGATCGCATGGCGCCGCGGATGCGTGTCTAAGTGGTGGTGCGACCAAGGTTGCGACGAAGTTTGGGGGATTTCAGAACAGATTGGATCCTTCTCTTTTGTTTGTTTTGAATTGGAGTCGTTTTCTTTTCTTGATTTTGAAAATGGTGTGTAAAGTAGTATAAGTTGTTTAGATACCAAATCCCGGGATGAGAATAGCAAGCGAATGTTATCTGGCTGGACAACGACGCCATCTTTTAATGGAAACAAAGGGTACAAGGTATAGTATGTTGAAAGGAATCTAAGCTATAGTTTAATATAATTTAAAAGATAAAGATATTTTAATATAGTATTAAAATCTAGACACGTTTCTAAGCTTTTTGGAAAATGGAAGGAAGGGAAGAATACGAGTTGCGAAATGCCGGCGGAGTCCCTAGCCCTTACGAAAAGTTCTAGAAGGCAAGTAGCTTTTGTGAGGGTAGTAATTAATAGACTTGTCGAGATCATTACAATTATTAACGTTATCGTTATTAGTTCCGTCACTATCGGTAGCTTTTAAGTGCAATGCGAGTAGGGTGACAGTGTATAAGCAAGGAAGGGAACGAGGCCTATAAAGTGTTACTTTTACATCTATACAATTGATTCAGTGACCAGATCCCAGAAATGTCACGGATGCACGTTGTTGAATGCATATATTTCGCAAGAGAGGACCTTTGGCCAAATTGACTTTTATTTGGCACTCGAAGCATCCCTCCACAAGTGCACCATCGCTTATTCGTTGAACCTGGTACTAGAAATCGACTTGCGATCAGAGAACATATCTGACGAGTGGACTGCGGTCTCCCATCTCCACCAGCTGCGCATCCGAGTACATGGCTCGAATCTCGTCTTCGTCCAAAGCATCTCTTTGGCGATTGATCTTGCTCAATGTGACTCGCATTACCACCGTGGCCAGGATTGCGACCACGACCAGCGCGAGGCACATCCCATAGCCGATCCAGTAATGAGGAGCCTGGGATGCAATGAATATGTTTGAAGCTGTGTGATGGAAGGTTAGCTCGTGAAGCAAAGCTCGTCTTCCCACGTAAACGTACAGACGGCACCTCCCAGGTTGCCAAATCCCATCAGGAATGCCATGCCCACCGCTCTTTTCCAGGAAGGCGCAAGGTTGTTTGCGATCCAGGCTATCAAGCCGATGATGGCAGGGTACAAACCGCCTGTGATTAAGAACAACAGCGCATAGGTAAGCCCTGGAAGCCGAGGATGCGGTATCGCGAGCAGTCCAATAAATGCGACCGTTGACACTGCGTATGCACCTGTGATAAAGACCCAGCGGCATTTATAGCGATCCGCAAGCCGAGATACGACCACTGTGGTAAGCGCCCCGAAGAAGTACACGGGTATGGTGAGCAGCTGGGCATTTGCAGCAGAGTAGCCTTGGAACAATTGTCAGATTTCACTAGCGGTTCATGCAATAGGCCAACTCACCGAGCTGTCGGATAATGGTGGGAGCTGTGAATGTGAAGGCGTATATAGGAATCTGCCGCGTGGCCAGGATTAGACACGAGGAAGCGTAAAGATGCTTTGATTGCTTACCGAATGACCCCAATATATAAAAATGGATAGGTACAATTTCCAGTCAAGCATGGCTGCAATCAAGTACTTCCACTGAAACTTCTCGCCGGTGCCAACAATACCGGACTCGGTTCCAGAGTCATGTCGCAGGCGATGGATGACGATGGCTTTTTCATCGTCGCTGAGGAACTTTGCAGTTTCAGGAGAATCGGGAAGCACGAATGGAATGACGACAGCAACCACAATGGTCAGCAGCCCTGTCGTAGAGTTAGTCCTAGCTGATAGACGGACTGAAGTTGGCCTTGTTCGCTCACCCTCAAGGATGAAGATCCAGCGCCATCCCTCAAGACCTCCAATCCCATTCATCTTTGAGATGGCGAACGCGAGGATGCCAGAAAACGCCCCGGCAAGGGAAGCAGCAGCAAAGAAGATGCTCATTCTCGTCCTGAAAATGGTGTGAATCAGTTGGCGATGCTCGCCGAGGGCGCCGTAGATCCGGAGCACTTACTGGAGCTCGAATCTACAATACCACGTGGTCAAGAGATAGGTTGCGGCGGGGAACAGGCCGGCTTCGAAAAGACCGAGAACGAGCCGGGTAGCAATCAGGTGGGAGTACTGCCGGACGAGTCCTTGCAGCGTCATGGCCTATCGGGCGGATAAGTATGGTAGCGTAAGATATCATCATGGCTGCATGCTGAAGATCATACCGTGCCCCAACCAAGCATCATAATTCCGATCCACCGTGAAGGTGGCATGAGCTTAAGGACTATGTTGCTGGGCACCTCGAATAGGCTGTAGGTGAAGAAGAAGACCTATTTTGCATGGATTAGAGCACAAGACCACTTTTGAATCACAGAGTCGACGTTGTACCATCAAACAAATGTTGTATTGTTTGTCGGTCAATCCCATATCGGTATTCATGCCTGGATACAGATTGGCGTTAGCAAAGTCTGGCTGTTCGGTGCCGAAGCTGAGTGTACATGCCGGCTACTTTTGCGTTGCCAATGTTACCGCGATCCATGTACGACAGCAGGTAAGGAACGGCAAGGAAAGGCAGGATTCGCCAATCCATCTTTCGAAGGATTCTCCCGACTTCTTGTGGGTCGTGCATGGGGATCTACTTGTATATTAGTGTTGGTGATGGTACGAAGGAGCGGCTTGCAGTACTTCGTTGGACCTTTCTATGTGATCGATGTGATCCTTTGAAGGGTATCGGTCTGGAGAAGGGTGGGATGATGTCATCTTGTGCGATTCACGAGATTTGTCCTCAGCAAGTCAGGTGCGAAGTCCCAAGGCAAGGATTTCTAGAAACTTCAACGAATGGCCACCCACACCTTTTATACCGCGGGTATCGTCATCGTTAGTCGGGGGCTTCCCGGGGGCTACCCCGGTCAAGCTGTCACAAACCCCATGGGGAAAGGGAGCCGGGGGGGGGGGATTCTTTGGCGCAAAAGCGGACCAACGGCCCCTGTGGGGAGCGAGCAATAGGCTCCGGAAGATGCCGGCTGCTTGCTAGAAGTCATTCATTGTTTTATTACGCCCAGAGGAAGCCTAGGTAAAATCTCTCTATCCCAGCAACTCGCGTTGCACGTTGTTACTGCTTGCTAATGACTAACTAATTGACCAAGTGTTCGGAGTCCTATCCTATCTAAGCGGCCGAAGCGTCGCTAGTCTAGCTCATTGCTCGGTAATTGTCAAACATTCGTTGTTCATTCCATTGCTTGCCGGACACTAGCGTCCATGATTCGGACAAAATCCGCTCGGACGCGGGTCCGGTTTCATCTCGGCCACCAGAGAAGCCCCGCCATCGGCTCGGACACAGCTCCGCCATCGGCTCGGACACAGCCCCGACGGTGTATCTGCACGCGGACACAATTCCGACGGTGTTACACCCGCTGCCTGCTGCGGCAATCTACCAAGTAAACTGCTGTCGCAATTATTGATCAATGTGTTCCATCCCAGCAAAAAAACTGTTCCTGGTACGCCAAATTTGCTCTCTTCCGAGGCAACCACTCACACAATGACGCGCCCAAGTACGCTCAGAATTGGCAACATCTCCGCCGCAACAGGCGACAGCGCTACCTCTATGGAGCGAATGATCAAATACGGCAATGTGGACTTCATCACCGGCGACTGGCTCTCTGAGATGAACATTGCATGGAATGCCATCGTCAAGCAGCAAAATCCAGGTGCAGGCTACGAAAAGGGGTTTCTCGACCAGCTCACATCGAACCTTGATGAGATTGTCGCCAGAGGCATCAAAGTTGTCACAAATGCCGGTGCCCTCAACACCACTGCTCTTACGCGACACGTGCGTGAGCTGTGCAAGAGTCGCGGCCATGACGACGTTCGGGTCGCTGCGGTCCTGGGAGACGACGTCTCATACATGATTCACGACCCGGAAGACGGCCTGGACTATACCCATCTGGACCACGAGACTCGGAAGCTGGCCGACTGGGACCTCCAGCCCTTCTGTGGCGCCGCTTACATCGGGTGCAAGGGCATCGTCGCGGCGCTGGACTCGGGAGCGCAGATCGTGATATGCGGGCGCTGCACCGACGCGTCGCCCGTCATGGGTGCTGCCGCCTGGTACTTCAACTGGGCAGAGGACGACTACGACGCCTGGGCCGGCTCGCTGCTCGCCGGCCACCTGATCGAGTGCGGCGCCTACGTCTGCGGCGCAAACTTTTCCGGCTTCAAGGACTTCATGGGCGAGCTGGTCGATCTCGGCTTCCCGATTGCCGAGATTGACGAACGCGGACGGTGCGTCATCACATCGACGTCTGCAGGCGGTGGGCGGGTGACTGAGGACACGGTTCGGGCTCAGATCCTATACGAGCTCCAAGGCCACCTGTACTTGAATCCTGACGTCGTGGCTGATCTGGCACATGTCCAAGTCAAGGCAGAACCGGGGTCGCCGGGCAGAATCAGAGTTTCGGGCGCTATCGGTCTGCCTCCACCAGCGACGACCAAGGCAATGTTCGCGGCCCCTGGAGGTTATCAGGCCGAGGCAACGTTCTACATCAATGGTCTGGATATAGAAGCCAAGGAAGCGATGCTGCGCCGACAGCTGGATCACATTTTCAAGGACAGCAAGTTTTGCAAGCTCAGCATCGAGCGATACGGCAGCAAGACGGCCGATCCAGAGAGCCAGCAAGCAGGAACGGTTTTCCTCCGCATCTTCGCGCAGGCGAGAAACCTCGAGGACATCAGCTCCCGAAAGTTCAAGGACCCCATCTATGCATTGCGCTTGCAGAGCTATCCAGGGTACCACATGAACCTCGACTTCCGGACGATGGATCCCAAGCCGTTCATGGAAATATTCCCGACTGTGATTCCTCGGAACAAGATCAAGAACCAGGTCGAAATTTCTCCGGGACAGGTGATTGACATACCTCCTGTAAAGGTCACGGCAACCTACCCCGTGGAACGCCCGTCGTACGAGACTGTAAACCCTGTCGATCTCCTGAGCTTCGGGCCGACCCGGAGTGCACCTCTGGGCCATGTCGTGCACGCAAGATCTGGCGATAAAGCGGACAATTCCAACATCGGCTTCTTCTCCCGCTCTGCATATGACGACGAATACGAGTGGCTCAAAAGCTACCTGACGGTGTCTAGACTCAAGCTTTTGCTTGGTGACGATTGGCACAGAGGTGACGTGACACGTCGTGTTGAGCGTGTTGAATTTACAGGTCTGAGGGCAGTGCATTTGTAAGTACTCCCCCTTCTGCTATTTAATGGACGAGACTGAGGATTTCTCTAGTCGCATACTGGATAACCTTTCAGGGGGTATCGCCTCTTCGGACCGCATCGATGGACTTGGTAAAGGCATCGCAGAGTATTTGAGGAGTCGACACGCAGATATCCCAGTAAAGTTCTTGGAGAGAGGCTTGATCTAGAAGAGCAAGAGGTGATGACACTTCTAGGCAAAAGAGAGCGGCACCAGGGAGCTGTTAAATCAACAACATATACATACACCACGTGGTGTAGATTGATTGATGTATGACAGCAGAAGTCCACTGTAGTTGGTTTACGTGTACGTTGATCAACCGGGTTGACCAACGTGTATATCTGGTGTAGTTGATCGGAGCCCTGTCCCTACCATTGTATCATCCCTTTCCGACCACTCCTGCTTTTCCGCTCCAGGAACCGAAAAGCAGATCCATGCCCACCTAATCGAAACCCAGATTCATGTCAAACTGGGGCCACAATAGGGCATTTATATTGTCGTCATAATGACCCCCCAAGACTCTTTGTAGATCTTCGAAGCAAACCTGGTAGTTTTGGTCCAAGTCTGTGGCTGGGAAACTAAACAAGTCATCTTGGGGCAGCGCGAACAATGTGGGCTCATTTGGTTCCGGTTGAGCTTGAGGCGAGGCTGGCCGTCTCTCGCTCTTTCCTTGCGAAGAATTCATGTGGAAGTCCGAGGCATCAACGATGACGGCATCACATAACCGCCCGAATACATTGTGACACTCCCTCGCTGTATTCCACCGCTCCGAAAGCGCAACAAGGACTGTGGAGCAGGCCCTCGTGTCTGACACGATCTGGGAGATGGTGGGATCGGTCGACAACTGCCCCTCGGCGGGTCTTGATGGGCATCCGAGGGGATGCTTGATGTGACGTCGCCTGTTCTGAAAATGTGTACGGACAGCGTATACGTAAGAGAGGCCGACGATGAAGACGGCATGTAACGTGATCCACGTGTAATTTATTCGTCTATCTCCAAAAAGGAGACTATATGCACGGATAGACTGTCGTGATGATTGATAAAGCTGCTCTAGAACCTCGGCAGTGGGGCTTGCGTCATCCGTGGTGGAAGTAGGTCTGTACAGCATCAGAATGCAGTTGTGATACAGCAGACGATACCATTCCAAAGACTTGAAGGTTGAACGCTCATACTGACGTCCGGATTTTGTGTCGGTCAACGGGAGAGAGGAAACTCCATGCTTCCATTCATCAAGCTCTGCAGAGAGCTGTTGGCGAATGGCCGCACGGGAAGTTGGGTCCGGCATCCTACTTTTCGGCACGTTGTGCAAGCTGGACAGAATCTTGCCAATGAGTACCCGATGCCGAGTGATGTGAACAAAGACGGACGTATTTCTGAAATCCTGCGAATTCTCAAACACTTGGTCTGCTGTAGGGGTTGAGTGGAAGAGATGGTGTGATTCATCTTTGATGGACGGGTACGCCGTATCCGTGTCGTCAAGATTGATCGCCATGGGTCTTCCTAGCGTGTTGCTCACAATACGATCCATTCCGAACAGACACCAGAAACACCTTCTTTTGACTTCGTTCTTGTGTCTGGCCCTCGCTTGAGCGGCTGGTGACAGATGGGACGGAATGACGTACGCAGCCTCTCGATGAAGACCCATTTCCAGACCAAGCCTGGCGGCCATTCCCAGGAGGTGCCATAGGCTTGCAGAGGTGCCGTAGGAGATGCTGAGCATGCGATATTGACAGAGCAGCATGATGCTCTGGAGGGCTGCTAGACCGCCTGCCTCGAGAGCAGTACTGAATCGTGAAATGGCGCGCTCGTAGTACGTTTCGGCATCGGGCATGACATTCCAGGAGTACTTGTGCACCTGAGCAGTGGCAATGGCGAAGACCATGTCGAGAGTGAAAACTTCTACCGGATGATCCTCGAGGTACGACTTGTCGGCATACAGGTCTGTCAGGGACGTTATGAGGGCGTGCGGGTGGAGATACGGGTAACATATGTGGTCGTGTGAGAGATATGCGGCCAGCAAATCGCGGGCAAGAGGTTCCGAGGGCTGACTTGCCGCCTCTGGTCCTAGGTTGTCGGCGTTGTGCCCGGCCGCGTGATCAAATCGCCGAAAGACCAAGTCATTATCGATGTCGGCTGTAACATGACCAATGCGACCATGTGCTCCAAGCAGATTGGCCAGAATCGCGCCACTCGCCGAGCCGAGATACTGGCTATGAGACCCGGCATTGAGGGAGAGAGAAAAGACCTGCTTGGCGACCTCATTGCCATGTTCAGCATCCCTGCTGCTGCCCTGTTCCATGGGCTCTGGCGAGGTGCTGTTGCCTGCGTACTCAGTCGCGGCACTGGCTGTGTGGTCTGCTGACACATGCTTGGCCCTCGCCTGCTGCAGCTCCTTGGACAAAGCCCGGTTTTTGGCGTCCATTTGGCGAAGACGCCTCTCCAAAGACTCGACCAATTCGTCCCGCTGAGCCAGACCCTGACGGGCGTTGTAGCGGCATTCAGCATTTCCTCGGATGCAAGTCGTGCAGGCTGGAAGAATCCTGTCACAGCGTGCTTTGCGGCGATAGCACCGGTCACATGCAAGACGGGCGAAGCGCTCGCCAACGGTCGCAGCGTCTGCGGGACCAGGCGACACGATGTTTTCTAGCGGCATGACGATTGCAGACGAGTTCGGATCAATACTACCTTGGAAGCAAGGTGTATGAACAGAGTCCTCTCCGTATTTGCCGCTATGTCGATGATGGGCGCCGGAGAGGCAAGTAAGAAGGGAGCGAAGTCGTACAAGAAAGTAGAAATGCGGCGTCAAAGCGGGGCAGTCAACATCCAGCTGCTTTTCCCAGCTGCTTTTCCCCAGCTGGATTTTGACTAAGTTGGATAGAAGTGCTAGTGCTGGTGCTGGTGTGGGTTGGTTCATGCATCGATGCGGGATTGCCGTTGGCGGATGTTTTCAGTTGTTGTGCTCAATGTGACCGATGTCCAGCAATTTCATGACGCTCGGCAGACTGCAACGAATGCCTCAACTGGCCAGTCTAGCCAGAAGGCCATCGGTTCCTCATCCTCGATGCCACAAGTCATACGACTGCGTGGTGCCGGGAAGTGGGAAGTGAAAGATGGTTCCATCTTGGTAAGGTTCCCATTGCTCGAAATAATGCGGGGCAACTAATATAAAAGTGGAACACACGGCGGGGCGAACGGGTGGTTGCACATAACGGGGCGAGCCCCACATAATTGACCTAACCGAGTTTAGCCTAGGAAAAGGGTTTTCTAGAACGCATACCGGTTATAGTTGTATAAAGCACGCTATATACTAGCGCTAGTTAGGATGAAGGTGAAGGTTAAGATCGTAGAAAAGGTACCTAGAACAATTCTTATAAGCTTATAGATCCACTTTGCCTTTATCAGAGTCGGCAGCTGTCGGACGGAGGTCCGCGTCCGAATGCTTCGACTCACTTCCTCTCCGCATTTTTTCGGACCCCGCTGGCCATGAAAGGTCTGTTCAACATGGCTGCGGCAGATTGATAGACACTTTAAAGTGACCAGTGCGCATGTCTCCCAGCTCCTCGGCAGCATTGCACAAGACATGCTACACATCAACCCGGATCCTGCCTGACACCATCATGCCGCCGCCATTCAAGACCCCTGCCGTGACGGATCTGACAAAGTTCTGGATCAATGGGGAGTACGTGGAGCCGTTGAACAAGGAGGTCTTCACAGTACGCAATCCCAAGAACGACCAGGTTGTTTCTCGTAACGTTCCTATTGGTGGGCCACAGGATGTCGACAACGCGGTCAAGCACGCGGAAGCAGCTTTCCAAGGAGATTGGAGTCGCTTCTCCTCGGCTCAGAGGGGGCTGTGCTTGAGCAGACTGGCTGACATCATGGACGAACATCTGGAAGGCTTGCTAAGACTTGATACCATGACTGGTGGAAATCCCGTCTCGCTGATCCCGACTAGGGAGAAGAATTACATTGTCAACGGCTTGCGCTACATGTGTAAGTTGACATGCATCTCCCTCTTTTGCCACGGATTGTGAGACCCATTTGCTGGAGCTTTACGCTGACAACCAAAAGCTGGCTGGTGTGACAAATTCAAGGGCGAATATATGCCTGACGACGATGGCTTTGTCAAGTTGGTCCGACATGAGCCACTGGGGTAAGCTCCTCAAGTCAGTACAGAAATAACCGGACTGATTGGCTGGATTCAGTGTTTGTGCGGCCATCTGCCCTTTCAACTCTCCGATTGCGACTGCTTTTCACAAAATTGGCCCAGCCCTGGTCACTGGCAATGTCATCATCGTCAAGCCGTCCGAGAAAACGCCTTTCGGAACGCTGGCACTCGGGCCCCTGATAGCCATGGCCGGGATTCCCAGTGGTGTCGTTCAGGTAATCAGTGGTCATGGTACAACTGGAGAGCTACTTGCGCGACATATGCGAATTCGCAAAATCAGCTTCACCGGCAGCGTTGCCACTGGGAAAAAGATACAGGTGGCTAGTGCCCAGTCAAATCTGAAGCGTGCGACACTGGAACTTGGTGAGGCTCTCCCATAATGTGGTGGTTAACACGTAGTAGCTAACATGTCATCAGGTGGAAAAAGCCCTGCTGTCATTTTTGATGACGCGAACCTTGAAAACGCATTGGAATGGACTGTCAAGGCTATCATGGCTCGCAGTGGACAGGTGTGTATCGCGGCCTCGAGGGTTTACGTGCAAAAGTCCATTGCCAAAGAGTTCATCCAGAGGTATCAGCAGAAAATGCTGGACGCTGCGAAAAGCATGGGTGACCCTGAAGACCCCAACGTTGCCTATGGTCCTCTTGTGGATAAGATCTCGTTCGAGAGGGTCAAGGGTATGCTCGAGAGAGCCAAGGACCAGGCCGAACTCGTCGTTGGCGGAGGCGTCATTGGCAACAGTGGTTGCTTCATCGAACCTACCGTGTTTGTTAACCCCAAGCCCGGAGCAGAAATTGTGACGGATGAAGTTTTCGGGCCCGTCTCCGTCATCGACACTTTCGAAACGGAGGAGGAAGTGCTCGCCAAGGCAAACGATACCGAGTTTGGGCTGATGGCCGGTGTCTTCACGAGGGACATCACTAGGGCTCTTCGGGTATCTTCCAAGTTTGAGTCGGGTGTCGTTGGCATAAATTGTGTTAGCTATGTACGTATGCAAGTTGTGTTTTCTGAGAACATGCTGCTGATGGCGTCAGGTCAATACACAGGTTCCTTTCGGCGGATGCAAGGCTTCAGGAACTGGGCGAGAATTCGGATCAGAGGTAATGAAACCATTAAAATGATTCGGAGCCACGCTGACGAAAAATAGGTCCTACGAGCATACACGGAGCCAAAGACGGTGTTGATCAAGTAAGTTGCCGTCTTTATTCTTTGCATCAATCTTGTGAGACTAAAACCTGTCCCTAGCATGAACTCTACGTAAGTCAAATGGATGCTACGTTATATGAATTTTCAAGTCGATTAGGGTAGAACGATGTAGAAATTCAGGGCATTCCAGCCATACTTGAATGCATAGACGCAGAGTTTATATGTGCAGAATTGGTGCGTGCTAGATGTGGGCGTATGATCTTAATTTCTTTGCGTGGAGATGTTACGAGTTACGAGTTGTGGGAAAGGTTGTCCAGACTTACTCTGTGAACTAGCCAGCCCACCCGGGGTTTTCAGGAATCAGGACCGGCGCTGCAAGCAATGGTTATGAGACCGACTGGCGGCTCAGCTGTACAGAGTTGATCACGACCGCCGACCTTGGGACGAACGCCTCAAGGCCAGATATGTCTCAGATTCCCATTTTCTCATGGTCATGGCCAAGAAGGTGCACAGCTCATTTCGGCCCTTCCCTAATACGTCTGGTCGGACAATACCAGTGCTCGCGATGCTTCAGTTTCACTCGGCACTCAGGGTATCGATGTCACAGATCCGGTCTCATTGTCAGGGCCATGCTGCGGTCGGCCAACTTCCGACGCTCGGGCCCTTGCCATTCACACGAGTAACAGGACCCATGTCCGATGACTAGTTTTCCGTCGGAGGTGTGCGGCCGACGGATTCGGACTAGGTCCGGGGATGCCTCCGACGCCGGCTTGGAATCCACAACTCGGAACAGTCCCATCCAGGCCAGTTTCAACATTACACTAATAATATAATAAAACCAACCAGCACATGACCGAACAGGCATAATCTCCATCAGTATATTTCGCGAGCTGCTACAAGGTTCCATTGCCGCTGCCTTGCAATACCAAGACAACATCCCCGAAGCCCCACCCAACAATGACACCAAACGATGCCCAGGGCGCTGGGCCAGCTGGAAAGACATCTGATGGCCCTCACATTCCAAAATTTTGCAAGGCCGGAGTGATGACAAAGGAGGGACCTGATTTCAAGGTTGAAGTGCTGACTGTCCCTACTCCCGAACCTGGTAAATTCCCCCGCCTTTTACAACCCACTAGCTGCGGCTGCATCTGATGACGTGCTCGATCTTGGCTAGGACCGACTGAGCTCCTCATCCGCCTAAACTGCACCGGAATATGCCGTTCCGACATTGGCTTCATGCGGACCGACTTTGGCCACAAGCTGAGCAGCTTCGGTGTGCAGTCCCCGGGCCACGAAGGCGCCGGGGTCGTCGTCAAAGTCGGCGAGCTCGTCAAGGACTGGAAGGTAGGTGACAGGGCAGGCATCAAGCCCATGTGGTCGACCTGCCAGAACTGCCAGCTGTGCTGGACCGACAAGGAGGCATACTGTCCAACGAGGCTGAACTCGGGCATGCGAGTGACCGGTGCGTTCAGTCCATCTACAACACGCAACGTCGGCCGCTGACTCTCTTGGCATCAATCATAGGCTCCTACCAGCAGTACAGTTAGCATCTCCCCTTGTCCCCATTGTCATGTCACTCGCTACCAACTAACGCTGACGCGTCTCCAGTCACATCCCCAGCCCATTACACCCAGCCCATACCCGACGGCGTCCCGGACCACGTGGCAGGACCGCTCATGTGCTCTGCCTCCACCATCTACCGCTCCATTCGAGAGTCGAAGCTGCAGCATGGCCAATGGGCTCTGTTTCCAGGCGGAGGCGGCGGTGTCGGTCTTCAAGGGGTCCAGATCTGTGCCGCCCTCGGCTTGAGACCTATCGTCATCGACACAGGCGCGGATAAGAGAGCGATCTGCATGGAGTTGGGCGCCGAGGCCTTCATCGACTTCAAGGAGGTCGAGGATGTGGCTGCCGAGGTAGTGGCTATCGCAGATGGAATTGGCGCCCATGGTGTCTTCGTGACAGCGCCGTCCGCATATTCCTATGCCGTTGCATGCATCGGGACCCGCGTCGGAGGCTGTATATTGGCAGTCGGCCTACGTACGTCACAGCAATTTTGGCACGTCATTGACATTTGAATCTTCACTAACAGCACACTAGCACCCTTTGATAGCCCCATGATCGTTGGGGCGACTCCTCGGCAGTTCATTTACCAGAATTTGATGATCAAGGGAACATTGACAGCTTCTCGCCGCGACTTTGCCGACGTTTTAGATCTGGCAAAGAGGGGCAAACTCAAGTCCATCACTACTGAGGTCTTCCCCATAGATCGTCTACCAGAGGCAGTAGAAAAGGTTGCTCGGTCTGAAGTTGTAGGCAGATGTGTAGTCGACTTTAACTCTTGATAGCTTGTCAATCTTGAGCACTCGCGACTGCGACAAAGGATTCATCATGACCTTCCTCCACTGGATCTGTGAAGCATGCCTTCAGAAAAGACGTAAGAATCCAGAGAAAAAGACCGTGAGCCAATACTGGCGTGACTTTAAAATGCTCTACCTCCGGTGCAAAAAGGGCCAGGTGGTCAACCCAACTCATTGCGAGGAGATCAGAAAGGTATCTGACCTAGAACCCGACCATACACTCCGGCATAGACTAACATTTCCTAGAATATCAATACCGAAGTCAAGGAAAGTTCAATCTAGAAGCTCAGCCTAGATCCAAGCCCATCCTAAGCGTCGACGGACTTCTTCTGGGCCTCGCGCATTCTTGTTCGCCCGACCGTAGCGTGTTCCATACCGATGACGATCAACAGGAAAGGCAAGGGCAAGCAATTTTAACAGCCTTCCATAACAATGCCAATGAGAGAGCAGCAAGGTCACACAATGCCGACAAGGTGGCTTGCGACAGCCAACAGAGCAAACATGAAACATGATGCCCCCTCTCGGACTCGTATTTCGTTTTAGAAACGTTCGGTCTGGGCGAGGCGAGCCCACGACTAATGATTCATGCCGCACCGCTTAGTAACCAAGTCCTATTAACGAATTCTTTGTCCAGCTCGACAGCATGTTGCAGCTTGTGCCACATCTTGTCGTTGCAAGTGTTGACAGGGTAGCGAGGCAGAGTAGCGCTACCTGTTGCTAATGAAGCGAATGTACTCTTGCTAAAGATGATACAGGGTGTATTGTTGCAATGTTCAGCTGATGAGGTAGATGATACACACAAACTCGATTCAAACTAGCTACGAGGCTTTCCATCAAAACGCTACTCTCAAGTACTGGCGGCATCTGGATGGAGACACACATTGTCAAGGCACACCTCCCTAATCAGTCTCAATCTGCGGGTCCAGGCGAATAGGATACCTCCACAGATAGGCCTTTGTAACCTTGGCCTTCCAGAGCGTGTCAAGAGTCGTCCAGCTCTTCGTGTGCTCCCAGTTGCGTCGATTCTTCAGCGACTTGCGTCGCCACAAGTCGTTCCAATCCTGCTTGGGCCCGAGCAAGAACAGCGGCGCGAAGTGGCCCGTGTCCTTTGCCATGGCCGATTCCTTGGTCGGCACAAGGTTCCACACGGCAAAAGCAGAGGGGGCCAGCTCCTTGCGGCCTTTCCAGGCGTCGTAGACTTCGCGCGCCGAGATTTGCATCGCGGCCTGGCAGTTGAGCAGGTTGGCCTTGTTGTCGGCGTCGAGCAGGCGCTTGTCGCCATAGGCCGTCCAGGACATGCCGTTCTTGTTGGAGACGGTGAGACCAATGGCGCAATCTTCATCATGCATGAGCTACGGGGGAAACGTTAGCACTTTCCTTTCTGCCAAGGTAAAAGGTACAAGGGGGTTTCTTTCTTCTTTGTATATCGCAGGCACTTACGTTTGCGAGGACATCAGCAAGTCCTTCGTAGCCGTGAAGCACGCGTCTCGGAACGCGCATGTGTCCCGACGAAAATAGGTCCTGGAGATAGTGGTCCGCAAAGGCGTTCATGGCATACGCCTCAACCAGGCGGTCCACCGTCCACTCGCCGCTCGCCGCCCAGTGAATGGCCGCGGCATGGCCCGTCGTGTACGCGGTGCGTGCATCATCGCCAAAGTGGTCCCAGTTGATCTTGAGGAGCTCCGAGTAACTGGGGAAATGACGGCCCTTGATGAGCTCGTCAATCGCCTTCATGCCGGCCAGGCCCTCGCCGGCCTTGTAGTAGGTGGACGGGTCCTTTTTATCTCGAATGGCCTTTTCGACACCCTCGATCTCGGCGCGGAGGTGTTTGAGGAGCTGACGGGCGTCGCGCGGCTGGTCGTCCGGGTTGTCGGCCAGCGTGTTGAAGGCGGCCATGAAGCGGTCGCGCCGGTCTTGGTCCGTCTTGCCGTCGCTGATGGGTTTCATGGTTCCGTAAAAGTCGCCGGCGAGCGCGGAAATCTCGCCATAGGTGAGATACAAAACGTCATTACCCTTGCCGAGAGTCTTGAGAGGCAGCTCGTAGCCCCGTCTGTCGACTTCTTTGCCGTCTGGGGTGCGGTCCGTCTCGCTCTTGGGTCCCATGTACTTGAAAATGAGCTGATTGCCGAGAAAGCGATGCTCTGCGTACTCGAAACCTGAATTGAGAAAGAAGCAGTTAGCTAAGCCCTCTTTTCTTGTGGAGATGCATGTCAAGGTCTGACCTCCAGGCGGAGGTTCAGGGTCGTTCTGCTGAGCATCCAGGCTTGGCTCCTCATCTTCTGCCAGAGTTCGGTATGGTGAGAGCCAAGTGGCGCCGTGACCGCATGCACCATCAATTCTGTCTTTGACCAAGTCGGTAATGTCAAAGTCACGGTCGGCTGCAGCAGCTGAGGCTTCAGCAGTTGATCTAGAAGATGTTAAAGAGTCTTCATCAGCATCAGACTAAAGAATGTATGCATACTTGGGTGTCTGCTCAGAGGACATGGTTGATGTAAATGCACTTTTTCGGTGGGCAATGTATATAAAGATGTATAGGGAGTTTGATTTTGGTCAATCGCGTTAAAAGTTCTTTTGGTGCTCGGAACGTTTGTGTCGGATGGTTGTGAGGAATCAACTTGGACTTGGGCCGGGCATCACACTCTTTATATACTTGGTCAGTGGCTGAGCAGATTCCCGCTCAAATAGACTATAGGCACATATACCATCTCAACATACTCTTTCTTTTATTTTCATATTCTAACAACGCTGTGTCTAGGTAGGACTCGATGCTTTCTCATGGCTGGCTGAGTTGACGTCACGACAACAAATGCCGCTTGTCCGTCTGTCTACAGCAAAGCCTGTAGAGAAAGCTGTGAGCCAAAAGCAGTCATATGATGCTCCAGAATACAAACATTCCGTCATTTCTGATGACTTCACGCCACTTACAACTTGGTAGCTGAGTATCAGCGCATGTGTCTCACAACTATTTGTTTGCGCATGTCTCTCGCCACTGATCGATCCTGCCGTGGCAGAAAGTGTGGAAACTTGATTGTATCAAAGTCATGTCATGTCATAATACAGCATACGGTGTCATCATAGACGAGTCTCTCTCGCAGCCGTGTGCAGCTTTTCAGCTGAAGATGGGCGTGTGGCTTCGGCGGCATCCGGGACAGTCTGCCAGAAAACAGAGCAAGCAAGCAAAACTGGAAAAAAATACATGGAGAAAAAAACAAATGAAACAAAAATGTCGCCAAGTTGTTGTTCAAAGCGCAGCTGAAAAGACAAAGACGTACTTTCAAGCAATTGGATTTGTTGGTATATATTGCAGCCGGCGCTCATCACTACTCCAGCATCAGTCGCGCTAAAAGCCATATGGAACCCGCAAACCCTCTTTATTCTCTTTTCTTTTGCTTTTCACTTATTGGATCAATGAAGTCTTTCGTTTCCCCTCTTTATTCTCTTTTCTTTTGCTTTTCACTTATTGGATCAATGAAGACTTTCGTTTCATTGAGCGCCCTTGTGGGCGGCGTGGCGTGTGCAGCCACCACCCTCACCACCACCACCTCATCTGCACCTCAGCACTCGTCCTCGACGCAAGCAATTTGCCCTATTGAAGAAGCGCTCCTCCTTTGTGCCGAGCGCGACGGTCTCTGCTTCTCCGACGATCCGTTCACGAAAAGGATCGCACTGGAGAGAAAGACTTGCAAAGAGAACCATCCATATGAAGCATTCTGCAACGACGGGCAGGCAGTTCAAAGGTGCTGCTCTATTTACTACCAAGACGAGGATAACATCTTTCCCATGGTATGCACTCGCACTGACTGTATTGTTGACGGCAATGCACGCATGAAGATTGATGACAGGGCCAAGTATATGGGATTCAAGGGGGATATGCGCCGGTGTGGCGAGTGCTGCGAAGACTACAAGCACGCAAACGACTAAACAGCTGGCGGAAAGCTTCAAGATGGCCTCTGACTGTTGTATGGAGTTCTCGCAAGAGTTTATGGGAGTAAGTATAGGCTTGTCAGAATAATACATTGTCAACTCTCCTTGTTGCAGATTTGGTTCAATATCCAACTACAATTCAGCCACACGCCCCATCGAGGCAGCGCAGCGCTTGTTCGTCCAAACGACTGGCCAATCAATCAATCAGTCACGCTCGAAACAAGCCAAGGGCCACTCGATGTAATCTGTCTCTATTTTGAACTAATTTTCTATTTTGAAAATTCACTACTTCATCCGCGATTGATTGCCCTTTCTGCCAGGACAAAGACGTGAGTGGACGATTTTGTGGCGCAGTTGCACACGGAAAGGAGGCTTCTCGCCCCCTTGTTATTCCTTTTCTCTAACTAGCTATCCACTCAGAAGCCTAGTTCATTGCATCTAATTTTAATCGCCAGAGATCTGTAACTACGAATTAAGCGATACTCCTTTTCCCCTTTGTGGCTTGGATACGCATTGTACATACAAGACTTGAGCGCATTCCTCTGCTCTGCGATACAACAACAGTCATTGTCAGCAAGCAGTTGAATATGACGGTCAAAAGTAGTCCCGCCTCGGCGCCTGCTGCCGCTGCCGCAGGTCTCATCAGCAACTCCAACGCGTCCATCCTGGCGTACTGCGTGGCCTCGATCAGCATGACCGCCGTCAACAAGTACATCTTTTCCGGCGGATCATGGAATCTCACCTTTTTCTGCCTCACCGTTCAAGTACGCCGCGCCTCCGCCCTCGACCTCCCTTGACCGTCTTGTGCCGTACTAAAACAGCAAACTGCGTAGTCGGTCGTGTGTCTAGCCGCCGTCGTCCTCGGCAAGCACTTGGGCATGGTCAGGACCCTGGGCGCATACGACACCCTCAAGGCCAGAAAATGCAAGTTCCAACGCACACACATAAACCTGCCCAGCATGAGCCGGCACGTGCTGACCAGGCGCCGCACGCAGGGTTTCCGCTGTCCATCCTGCTCGTCGGCATGATTTACTCGGGCGCCAAGTCGCTGCAGTATCTCAGCGTGCCCGTCTACACCATCTTCAAGAACCTGACCATTGTCGTCATCGCCTATGGCGAAAACGTCTTCTTCGGCACCAGCGTCTCGCGCCTCATCCTGAGCTCCTTTGGCCTGATGGTGCTCAGCTCCGTCATCGCCGCCTGGGCCGATATCCAGGCCGCCCTGGGCGGCTTGCACTCGGTCGATGCCGCCGCCGCCACCGCCCAGCTCACGGCAGGCTACATCTGGATGGCCATCAACGTCTTCTGCACCTCGGCCTTTCTCATCGGCTCGCGCAAGGTCATGAAGGCGTACAACTTTAGCGACGTCGACAGTAAGGCGCCGCCCTGCTTCCCAAGGGCTCATTGAGACCCGTCACCCCTTGCACTCCCAATACCCGCTAACACGTTGCACAGCCATGTTCTACAACAACCTGCTTTCCATCCCGGTGCTCATTCTGGCCTCCGTCTTTCTCGAGGACTGGTCGCGTGAAAACGTGGCCAGAAACTTCCCGCCAGAGACGCGCACCGTGCTCATCATCAGCATGCTGTACTCTGGGCTCGGTACCATCTTCATCTCCTACACCACGGCATGGTGCATTCGCGTCACCTCCTCGACCACCTACTCCATGGTCGGCGCCCTCAACAAGCTGCCCCTGGCCGTCACCGGCTTCCTCTTTTTCGGCGCCCCCGTCACCCTCGGCAGCGTCTCGGCGGTTTTGATCGCCTTTGTCAGCGGCATCGTCTATGCCTGGGCAAAGGTGGTGCAGAGTGAAAAGGCCAAGTTGACCCTCCCGACGGCCAACAGTGCCACCGAGAAGGACATGAAAGTGTAAAGACTGGGCAACTTGGCCGCCATTTATAATGAATAGATATAGAATCTAGAATAATTAGAATATCCAAGTCTTTGTCTCCTGTTCCCCATCACTAGTAGGATATTGGCATCGTCATGAGGAGGGAGTGTATATATGTTATGCAACGCCTGGTAAGTGAATGCCGGTTCCCCAATATACAAAACGCAGCCCCCATCTCACAGGGCGATACCAAACAACCGGCTTTTCGTTTCACAGGCAGTACCGTTCCCAGTTTGATTACCATATACTAGCCCATCCCTCTCGTTTGCCATCTTCGCCCATGCACTCTCCAGCGCATACACACTGACGCTGACATTGGCGCCATCGGGCATACTCGACGTACCCACGACCATCAAAGTGAGTGGCTGCGTCGTGAAGTAATTAACCGTTGCGCTTTCAATTCCGCCATCGAGAAACACTTCCAGAATGGACCTGTCAAGGATTCCGCTCATCCGCCACGAACTCCCGTCCGTCAAGCTGTTTGTCGAGAACTTGTCGGTGAAGAATACATTGTCAAAGCCTTTGGCGCCGCCCCGATCAATGAAGAAGGGGGTGTCGCCACCGAGATAGTAGCCGCCGCGGACGAACTCGCCCGTCTGGGGCGCGATGAAGGTAAAGTTGAGCGTTGCCGACTCGGAAATACCCGTTGCGGGGAGTCCCGTGATGTTTGCTTCCCAGTAGAGCGCGTTTGAATCGACACGAGCAAAGTCAACGGTGAGGCTGCCATTCACCATGCTGGTGTTGCTGGCCAGCAGGGAGCCCATGACCGGCTCCAGATCGTACGGCTCCGTCACGAGCTTCCAGCCGACACGCTTGGCCTTTGTTAGGTAGGAGCGACGCGGCACTGTCATGGCGCTTCGCCAGCCTTCCTCGCCTGTGGGCACGACTTGCGTGTATTGCCAATTCGAGGCCCAGCCCAAGAACACAGGCGGTTCGTCCTCGGCCGTGCCGTAGAAGAACTGGCCGGCGTAGTTGTCTTTGCCGAAATCCAAGATTCGAGCGGCGTTGTCGACGGCCGCAAAATGCGTACCGTTGAAGTGCCCGGGATAATACTGGGTAATGGAGCCGCCGAGCGGCGCGCCAGGGTTGACGCTAATTGCCAGCAGCCACATGTCGTCCTGCTTTTTGCCGTTGGAATCTAGGTAAGGCATTTGCACAAGGTTGGGGCATTCCCATTGCAGAGTCAAAAGACCGGTGTGAGAGAAGTTGCTAGCATGCTTCCACTCTTTGAGGTCCGGAGAGGTGAAGATACCGATCTCGTATTCTTGGGCATAGGCGATCACCAGCACCCAGTGATCCTTGTACCAGATGACCTTGGGGTCGCGAAACTGCGAAGAATTGCTTGAGATGACTGGGTTTCTTTGATATGGCGTGAAGGTGTATCCTCCGTCGTGGGAGTACGCGATAGCCTGGGTCTGCGGCCCTGGGCTGCCGTCTTCGCCATATTCGGCAAGGGTCTACTAGTATTAGCAGCTGCGCAACAACACTTACACTATGTACAGAAGGACTCACATAAATTGCAACAACACCGTTCTTCTGGCTCGGAAAGAACCCCGACGTGTTGTTAGGATCAGTGACAGCACTGCCAGAAAAGATGTACTGGGTCTTCTTGGGCGGAAAGAGGGAAATCGGCTGGTTTACCCAGTGGTAGAGGTCCTCGGAGGTGGCATGGCCCCAGTGTTGATTTCCAGCAACAATTCCGGTAGGATTATATTGATAATAAAGATGCCATACGCCCTCGTCATCTCTGAACATGCCGTTGGGATCATTCATGAAGTGTTTGGGTGGAGAATAATGAATCTGTGGGCGATAGCGGCCGTCATACTCGCCGACAATGGGCACCCCGGTAGGGACATTGGGGTCGACATAGGTCGATACGGAAAGATTGCCAGAAGTCGATGTCGTGTTGGCAGCCAGGCAGATGTTAGCCAGGCTCAAGGTGCTAGCCAGGCAGATGGGCTGCAGCCAGTACATGATGGAGGCCGAGCGGGAACAGAGTACGAGGGATGGTGGTAAGGAAACATGTTTCGAGTGAGGCGTGGCTTCGAGAGCCTTTATTGCTTTAAATATACCCGGCTAAAAGGTCGGCAAAGGGCAACTGGGTAATGAACGGTTGGTGCAGGAAGAAGCTCCCTCACGATCGTCGCCCCGCACAAACTAGTTTGGAGATGCCGGACCGACAAGATGTGTGAGGTGCAGATGGCGAGTCAGAGCGCCAGCTGTCGGCGAAACCCCAAAATTATTGTGTACGGGGTTTGGAATGGGGTAATTGAAAATTTTCTCTGAATAATCCAGCATATATTGATTAATAATTATGAAAGGACGCTTGTGGAGGATGGACAACGGATGACAGACAACGTCGAGGTCGTTAGTTATGATCGGACGGACCAGAGCAGGGACGGAGGCTACACGATATCCTCCGAATTCACTGAAAGGAAGGAACCGAAAAAAAAAACAAGTCACTGGAAACCAGCCATCTTGCTAACGTATTTTGAAAACAAAGCATTTATTTGGGCGTCATCATGTGTGCCCTAACTCCACGCATCATGACTTACCCTAGAGTGTGTCGGCAACTAGTGAGGAGCCAAACCAAGAACAGCCGACCCAACAAACAAACAATGGTACAATGGCCAACACTGGCCGGGATATTTCCTAGACAGCACCAGTTCCTTTGTCAGGCCCCAAATGACGGCATTGAGTGCTCCGGAGCGTTCGGGGTTGAGACCACAATTGAACCTTGGCGCGCGCCAGTTGTGGTTGGTTGCCCCGTCAACACTCCGCCGTCGCAAACTAAACAAAGACGATGCAAACGGGGCGGTGCTTGAGTGCCGTTGCATGTAACTACCTATGTAATCACATCCCTCGTCGTTTGCAACTTTCTTGATCAATCCCGCTGTTTACATGTTCTCTTATTTCTTGAGTCTTATTTGCCTCGCGAGACTGGCTCTCGTTTGATCTCCTTTTTACTTGCACCGTGTAGTCTTCATCTCGCTACCGTTTGCACATTCCGCTTGTCCCCTCCCTCTACGAGCGGCTGTCTTGGCTGAGCCGCACCAGCATTCCACAGTCACAACAAGCTCAACGAAGCTTCCCGCTCCAAGTCAACACCATGGATCGCCCAAATACCCCTTCTCGGCCTCCCGACTACAGCTTCCACACTTATGACGACGACCATGACACCCCCAACGGCACAAGCTCAGCAGCCGTCCGACTATTGACCTCGGTGGAATCCCCCATTGACGAGCACATGCCGTACGTATCCAAGAACTACTCAACTCAGCTTCCATTTCCAGTCTCGCGCTGCCCCTCGCGGCCGTCGCAGTTTTGGCCGGCGACGAGGCAAAAATCAGTCACAGTCCCGTCCAATGCCCTCCTGCGTCAAGCCCAAGACTCCCACTTTCCGACTCGCGCAACCCAGTCTCGTCCACAAGCACACCTCAGCACACACACTCCGTCCTTCACCAAGATTCCCATCAGACCAAAGGCTGCCAAGCTGCACAAGAACTCGAGTGTCAATTCCTCCCATACACAAAAGCCCGCCTCCGTCGCGTCTGAGGAGCTGCCACAGGTTCTCCCAACGCTGCCGGCTGGGCCAAGTGAGCGCTTTCAGCTCCGAAGAACAGACAGTGTCGCTACTCTCCCGCCGAAGACTTCGGGCATCAAAGGCTCTCCGTTCCCAAGGTTGTCGCCAAAGCTCCAGCGAGCGGATGGCAACACGACTCTGCAACCAGCCACTTCACCTAGCTGCGAAAACACTCCCTTGTTAAAACCATTATCCAATTCCTCATCAATCGCGAATTGTCACTCACATTGTTTTGATTCTAGTACTTTCATCGATACCTCAGCTCGGAAACCCTATCAACCATATCAGCCGAGCGTCACGTCTCCCTCCAGGGCAAGCTCTATCAAAGACGACACACGAGCCATGCCCCCTCCGGACTCGACATACGTGCCCTTTGCTGGTAGAGATGGTGGCTCACCGCAGAGACCATGGACTCCCTCGTCAAGAGTCTCCGAGTTTTCTCGCCCCCCGCCCACCAACCTCTCATTCGAGCCCTCTGAATTGAACGGTAACCCACGGCCAGGCACGCCGTCTTCAAGATATGGCGGAAGCCCCAGGCGCCCTCTGCCTCCTGCACCTCTCTTCTCCAACCCGTCTCGCGACTCGCAGGCCTTTGCCGACGACGCTACCGTGACTATTCCCCTCGACGATGATGGCGACGATGTCTTTGGCCCTGGCTCCGACCTCAGCGACTCTCGTCCTCTGCCGAGCACTCGCGACTCCTTCCAGTCAGAGTCTCAGGACACGCTCAATGACAAGGATGAGGAGTATTATGAAAAGGTCGAGCGCTACGGACCCGCACCCGATGGTGCCCAAGAGCGACGAGGTGTCCGCGCCCCTCAGATGTCGCGAAAGGAAGTCCAGCTCATCAATGGTGAGCTGGTTCTCGAGTGCAAGATTCCGACAATTCTGTACAGTTTTCTCCCCCGACGTGACGAGGTTGAGTTTACGCACATGAGATACACCGCCGTCACTTGTGACCCAGATGACTTTGTCGAGAGAGGGTACAAACTCAGACAATCCATTGGTCGCACCACACGTGAGACAGAACTCTTCATCTGCATCACCATGTACAATGAGGATGAAATTTGCTTTACGCGTACCATGCACGCTGTCATGAAGAATATTTCTCATTTTTGCTCCCGTTCGCGTTCCCGAACTTGGGGTGAGACCGGCTGGCATAAAATTGTCGTCTGCGTCATCTGCGACGGTCGACCCAAGATCCATCCGCGCACGCTTGATGCCCTCGCTGCAATGGGTGTTTTCCAGCACGGTATCGCCAAGAACTTTGTCAACAACCGTGCCGTCCAAGCTCACGTGTATGAATACACTACGCAGGTGTCCCTCGATGCGGATCTCAAGTTCAAGGGTGCTGAGAAGGGCATTGTCCCGTGCCAAATGATCTTCTGCCTCAAGGAAAAGAATCGCGGCAAGCTCAACTCCCACAGATGGTTCTTTAACGCCTTTGGTCGTGCTCTCAACCCTAATATTTGCATTCTGCTCGATGTTGGCACCCGTCCTGGCGGTAATTCACTTTACCACCTTTGGAAAGCCTTTGATACCGATTCCAACGTGGCTGGCGCTTGTGGTGAAATCAAGGCTATGAAGGGCAAATATGGTTCCAGTCTTCTCAACCCCCTTGTTGCTTCTCAAAATTTCGAGTACAAAATGTCCAACATTCTGGACAAACCTCTCGAGTCCGTTTTTGGCTACATTACTGTACTTCCCGGCGCGCTAAGTGCCTACCGATACCACGCTCTGCAAAACGATGAGCATGGTCACGGACCCCTCAGCCAGTACTTCAAGGGCGAAACCCTTCATGGACAGCATGCAGATGTGTTTACCGCCAACATGTATCTGGCCGAAGATCGTATTCTATGCTGGGAGCTGGTTGCCAAGAGAGGCGAGCGTTGGGTCCTGAAATATGTCAAGGGCTGCACTGGTGAAACTGATGTCCCAGGTACGCTACATAACTGTCAAATTGAGACGATGTTACTAATAAACTATAGATTCCGTCCCAGAATTTATCTCCCAACGTCGGCGATGGCTCAACGGTGCTTTCTTTGCTGCCGTGTACTCTCTCGTCAACTTTCGCCAAATTATCCATACTGACCACACCATTGCGCGCAAAGTCTTGCTCTACATGGAATTCGTCTACCAGGCTTGCCAGCTCCTGTTTACTTACTTTTCTCTCGCCAATTTCTACCTCACATTTTACTTTGTCGCTGGTGGTTTGACGGAGAAGGAGGTCGATCCATTTGGGCACAATATCGGAACAGTCATCTTCATTATCCTACGGTACACTTGTGTCTTGCTGATTGCTACCCAATTCATCTTGTCCCTGGGCAATCGACCACAGGGCGCAAAGAAGATGTATTTAGCCAGCATGATCATCTACGCCGTAATCATGGCATACACGACATTTGCGGTCATCTATATTGTGATACGGCAACTGACAGACAAGACTAATTTGCACAAGTTCAACATTGGTAACAATGTCTTTACCAATTTGATCGTGTCGCTGACCTCTACCGTCGGTTTATACATTCTCATGTCACTGGTCTACTTGGATCCCTGGCACATGATGACGTCGTCTTTGCAATACTTTATGCTTTTGCCCAGCTACATTTGTACGCTGCAAGTGTACGCCTTTTGCAACACGCACGACATTACATGGGGTACCAAGGGCGACAATGTTATCAAGACGGATCTCGGCGGTGCCGTTGGCAAGGGTCAAACGGTCGAGCTGGAGATGCCCAGTGAACAGCTCGACATTGACAGTGGCTACGATGAGGCGCTCCGCAACCTCCGCGACCGTGTCGCCGTGGCGAAGCCCAGCATTAGCGACTCACAGCTTCAAGAGGACTATTACAAGAGCGTACGCACGTACATGGTGGTGACGTGGATGGTGGCCAACGGTATCCTCGCCATGGCCGTGTCGGAAATCTACAGCAACAAAGGCATTGGCGACAACTTTTACCTCCGCTTCATCCTCTGGAGCGTGGCCGCGCTCGCCGTTTTCCGTGCCCTCGGATCCACCACCTTTGCCATTATCAACCTCGTCAACACCGTCGTCGAGGGTCGCATACGCATGAGCCTCAAGGCGCCCAAGTGGATGGGCGGCTTGGGCGACAAGATGAGCGAGGCGGCTAGCAGCGTCGGCAGCAGCTTGAAGCGCTGATGAGTTGTCAAAAAAGAATTGCTACGGTAAAAACTAACAGCTTTTTCTGCATTGTTTTTTTGCGTTTTCTTTATTTACTTCATTGGTCGCCGACCATCTACTTGGGTCGTTGTGCATTACTGGGCTGGTGTTTTGTGAAATTTCTCTCTCTATTTAGGGGTCGGTTTGCGTTGTTGTTGCTGTACATGTTGGACAAGAAGAACCTCGACGGTGATGAAGACTCTTGCGTCATGATCAAGATTATTCCAGAGGAGCACTTCTTATAATGTAGGAAATGAGTTCTGAATGATATAAAAAAGTTGCATCAATTTCTATGCTCGCCAATCTTCTTAAACAAGTTGTATTTGATGGAAAATACTGACGACAAATTTTGAACATTTTTCCATTATTCGATTTAATTTTCGTTGCTAACAAGTAACAAATGCAGAAAAAAACATCAAGTTCAAGTGAAGAAGAACCCAACATGTCTACTCGTACGCCGACTGCTACCGTTTCTTTTCGACATCCCAATCTCTATATAAAAACAAAGACAAAAAAAAACCCATCCTTTCATTACCATGATCAGCATGCATCGACTTGATTCCCAATGCAGAAAAATGCTACTCCTCATCCTCATCCTCCTCCGCAACGCCGTCGTGGAAGTTTTGCCCGTCCGTCGTGGCCTTGATGATGCCGACACGAATGCAAAAGTCGCCGAAACGCTCGCCGTCTTCGCGCTCCGCCGCGTAGCGCTTCAGCAAGGGCTTCATAATGGCCAGGATCTCGTCCTCCTTGATGCTGGCGCGGTAGAGCTTGTTGAGGCGCTGGCCGTGGTAGCCGCCGCCGAGGTACATGTTGTAGGCGCCAAAGGCCTTGCCGACAAAGGCGACCTCGGCGAGCCAGGGGCGGGCGCAGCCGTTGGGGCAGCCCGTCATGCGCATGACAATCGAGTCTTGGCGGAGGCCGGCCTCCTCGAGGCAGCCCTCGAGCTTGGTGATGAGCACGGGCAGGTAGCGCTCCGACTCGGCCATGGCGAGGCCGCAGGTGGGGAAAGCGACGCAGGCGGAGGAGCTGAGACGCAGGCCGGAGAATTGCACGTTGTCGAGCTTGTACGACTTCATGAGGGCCTGGAGGGACGCGAGGTCATCGTCGTGGACGTTGCTGAGGATCAGGTGCTGGTTGCCGGTGAGGCGGAACTCGCCCTTGTGCACCTTGGCAATCTCGCGCAGACCCGTCTTCATCTGGAACTCGGGCGTGTCCTCGATGCGGCCGTTTTCAATGAAGAAAGTAAAGTGGTTCAAGCCCGTCTCGTCCTTGACCCAGCCGAATGTGTCGACGTTGGATTTGAACTCGAAGGGTTGCTCAGCCTCGAATTTCTGGCCCCAGAGCTCCTCGACCTTGCCGCGGAACACATCGACGCCCATGTCGTCAATTGTGTACTTGAGACGAGCGTGCTTGCGGTTCTTGCGGTCACCGTGGTCACGCTGTACGAGCATAATCTTCTCGCACGCGATGTGAACATCCTCGACCTTGCAGTAGCCAAACATTCTGCCAGTCTGGGGGTACGTCTTCTTGTTGTTATGTGTGGCACCCATGCCTCCACCGGCAAGCACGTTGAAACCTGCGAGGTTACCATCCTTGCCCTTGATAGCAATCAGGCCGATATCATGCGCGTAGACGTCCGTGTCGTTGTGAGGAGGAATGGCAATGGTAATCTTGAACTTTCTGGGGAGGTAGGTAGGTCCGTACAGGGGCTCGAAGTCTTGGATGGCCTCACCAGCGACCTGCGTCTTCTTGTCGTCCTCGTCCTTGATCCAAATCTCGTGGTAGGCATTGGTCGATGGCAGCAGATGGTCGCTGATCTTCTGGGAGCTGGCAAAGACCTGGCGATGGTACTTGGACTGCGTGGGCAGGGAGCTGCACATGACGTTGCGGTTGACATCACCACAGGCAGCAATGGTGGTCATCAAAGCACGGTTGATGGCCTGCATGGCAGGCTTGAGCTTGCCTTTGACGATGCCGTGGAACTGAAAGGTCTGACGCGTGGTGAGCTTCATCGTCTCGTTGCCAAGTTGGTTGGCAATGTCATCCATCTGAACCCACTGCTTGGGAGTCGAAACACCACCAGGCAAACGGCATCGAATCATGAAGGAGTAGGCAGGCTCGAGACCTTGAGCTTTTCTCTCGTCGCGGACATCACGGTCATCCTGCATGTAGGTACCGTGGAACTTGGTGAGCTGCTGATCGGCAGCAGAGATGGCGCCGGTGGTAGTATCTGCGAGACCCTCGAGAATGGTACCACGAAGGAAGTTGGAAGCCAGCTTGATGTCCTCGTTGGTAATGGGCGGGGGCTCATCGGGAAGGCCATCGACGTTGTCCACGCCCAAAGCCTGCCAGATCTTGGGCTCCCACTCGGCATAACCCGTCTGGTAGGCATCAGGGTCCTGGTCATCACCAAGGCCAGTATCAGCCAGACGCTTACCGCCGAGATTAGTCAGAACGCGGTCAAGATCCTTCGCAGGTTTGTTGTAGTAGATCTTGTCCTCCTTGCGGGGCCAGTAGTGGCTATCACCGAGACCAAAGATGGAGTAGTTGACAGTGGCCAGATCCAGATCAGTGTTGTCCTTGACGGCTTCCCAGAAGGGGAGACCGTTCTGAGGAAACTCTCCCTGGCCAGCAGTAGAGGTGAGGAAGACAATGTTCTCCTCCGTAGGAAGATCCTCGACAGGGTAGTCCTCCATGGCCAGAACAGTCGTCTTGAGGCCACGAGCACGGCCTCTGTTCCCAAGTCTCTTGGCTAGAGATGTCGCGTTGCCGTTGTCGGAGGCGTAGAGAATGGTAAGGGGTGCTCCCAGAAGACCCTCGAGGAGTTGGTTGTAAGCATCCTTGGCCTTGCGCTTCTGCTGAGCGCGCACCTCGGTACCAAAGTCATGGGCCAGACTAGCAGCAAATTGGGGCTCCTTGTTCATGAGCTGAGTGAGCTGGTTGTCGCGAGCAAGGAAAGTCTTGAGCTCCTTCTTGATGAGCTCCGAGTCGAGCGAGAAGTTGGGCTCTCCCTTCTTTTCGTTCTCGGGATTCCATCGGTACAGGGGCCAGTATCCCACATCGACAGCCTTCTTGGTCTCTTGCAAGACGGTGAGCGGGGAGTCGGACTCGCCAAAGTAAGGGAGGTAAGCCAGAACAACAGAGGGACCGTCAAATTTGTCAGCCTCGAGCATGGCCTGGAGGACCTGGGTATAAGAGCTGTAGACAGCAGTGGAGGCGACGTAGACGTTGCCAAAGTTCATAGCGTAAAGACCGATATCCTTCTTTCTGCGGTTGGCGTCGGCGTTAGACTTTTCGGAGTAGGGCGTAGAGTCAATGATGAGCATGTTGACGTTCTCACCAGAAGCGAGAACATGGTGCACACCAGAATTGCCCAGATCATAGGACCAGGCGTCGGAGCCCACGAGCCACAGTGATTCTTTGCGGAAGAGGCCCTGCTTCTTGAGTAGCTTCTGGGAAAGAGGCGAGCCGTCTGTTTGGAGGCGAGAGATGACATCGTCAGCAATCTCGGTGGATTTGGACAGGTCATCCGAGGCGACAGCCCACTTGGCGAGCCAGTTTTTGGGCCCATCAGTGATGAACTGGTTGCTTTTGGCGGCCTCCTTGACTTCGCTGACAAATTCTTTGCGCAGGTCCTTGCGAGCAATGAGGGAGCCGAAACCGAATTCGGGGGTCGCAGCGACCGTGGAAGAGATGCCGGTGTTTTGTGATCGGAGGGCGTTGGCGATGTATGTGCGCTTGCCAAACAGCTGGTCGAGGATTTTGGAGTAGGCGGTTTCGAGGGCAGGCATGGACAGGTCATAGTCGCTGCGCTCAGCAGGGGCGTCACGTACGCCAACCTCGAGGTTCTGGAGGGGCGCCTCCGAGGTGAGGTTCTGGAGAATGCCGCGGAGGGCCTGGTCAACAGCTGCGGCGGCAATATAGCCAAGCTGGTGGCCAACAATGGTTTGAACGCCTCCGGGACCGCTCCTGACGGAGGAGACGACATCGATCAGCAGGGGACCCCATTTGGTGGTCTTGCGGTGAATCTGCTCGAGCACGGCGATGCGCTTGATGGTCCTGGGAAGAGCATCAACCAGCTTGGAGCCGAGCCAAGGGCGGTAGAGACGAGGAGTGACGATGCCGGTGTTGGCAAAGATCTCGTTGGGCTTGGCGCTGTCAATGACTTGAGCAAAGGTGCCGGCATCGGAGCCAAAGATGAAGAGGCAGTTTTGGGCATTTTCCGGGCCGGTGTACTCGAAAGCGCTGTATTGGCGGCCAACGGCAGAGTTGAGGCTCGCCCAGATGCGAGTGGCGCATGTGTAGATGTCCTCGGAGGTGACGGGGGGCGGGGCCGACTCGACGGTAGTGGCGACAGAGGAGGGCGCGCCGGGGGTACCATTCTCACTGTCTTGGCTAGACTTGACAGAGGTGCCAGCAGACGTCAACTTGGAGGCGTCAGCGCTCGGGGGAGGGCGTAGGTTCGCGACGCTGTCGCTGGTGGTGCCGTTAGGAGCGACTTCTGGGTGGTCTGACGAGACAGCAACGTGGCCGTCGTCGGCGTATAAGCCAGTGGCAGCGATGGAGCCGGACTGAAAGCGGCGCACGCTGTCTAGATCGAGGAGGTTTCCCACGACGGTGGGGTCCTCGACAGCAATGGGTTCGTCCTTGGACGAGGTGTCGGGGGCGAAGAAGTGAATGACACCCTTGCCGGTGCGGATGGCGAGGGCGTGGGCGGTAGCGGCCATGTCCTGAGCATCCTGGAGGGTCTCGGACTGGACAAAGGTCCAGCCGACATTGCGAATGGCGGTGATGACGGAGTAGTCGGCAAAGTTGCGGGGCTGGAGGGCGACGTGGAGGACTACGGGATAGTTTGCCAGCTTGTAGAGGTGTGAGATGGCGGGAAGGAGGACGGAGGAGGGCGTGGTGACGGAGACGAGCTTGCCGGCGCGGATCGGGGTGAAGACGGAGAGCAGCGGGTCAGCATTGTGGCGGACAGAGATGATCTGAGCAAGTTAGTCATGAATATGGTTCTACTTGTTCGATTGAGGGCTCTGAAGATGTATTTTTTGAGAGAAATGATGGGTTGTCGGATCATCGGGTGACGTGCTTCGGGTCGTCGTGCTATGCTTGGGAAGCGGAAAAAGTGGTGGGCAGCGGCATGCGCGGTGGTGGGCAAACGGGCACCAAGACTTACATCCGGGACAGCGCCAGCGCCGGTAGCGACGAGGCCGCGGTCCTTGCGAGCCGCATATCGCTTGAGATGGGAAGAGAATTCGGAATCGGCGACGAGTGAGGGCTGGACAGAGACGACGACGTCGGAGGCGAGGTATGCGATTCTGGCGACTGTTGCTGTTTGTGAGCATTGCGTGCGGCCTTGCGGGGAGCAGAGAGCAGCGAAAACGTACCAGCCTCTTGGGGCGTGCGCACCTTGTGCTGGGCAGCCTCCATGGTTTGTGCAGGTTGTAGCGTCCCTCAGCAACAACACGCCAAACGTTTGGAAATGGGGAGGGAAAGAGGAATTGAAGAGGGTTTAAAAAAAGAAAAAGGGAGAAAGAAAGAGAAGAAGGAGAGAAAAAAAACAGGGGACTGGTCATGGAAATCAGACTTTCTGGAACGGCGGACGGCTGGCAGGCACATGGCGAGCTTGTGGCCGTGTCTGCGCGCGCGCCCACCAAAAAGGCTTGATGGCTTCTGGTGACCTTTGTTAGCATCTTGGGGCAATCAATGCTGAAGTGGAGGCCACTGAATGCCCTCGCCGCCACCAGTCTGGAGGGATGTTTCAGTGGAGGGCACAGCGCCGAAACCGCCTCGTCTCCCTCTGTAAATACAGTTGCACTACACTGTTACAGGAGCTGTGCAGAGCAAGCCAAGTGCAGCAAAACCCGCTAGCCTCGCCTTGTCGCCGCTTGTGGAGTCCCCCCTCCAGACCTCCCGCCCAGTAGGCCGCCAGATGAATGCCCATTCCCCGCAGGTCAGCCAGTTTTCTCTCAATTGCGTGATCGCCTAGTGCAATGTTCGTGCTTGGGAAGAGGTAACTAATAAAGTCACAGAAAAAAAAACACACGACACGGCTAGGCATCGGTCCGGCCACTCTGCCTGCCATGCAATCGTGCTTTTGAATCAAGTCATGTTTGTCTTGCTAGTTGGTCCAACTTTCTCTAACTTAGTACCTGCCCGCAGTCAACGACTGTCCCATCTGAGGCCTCTCTTGGCCCCGATCTACATTGCCGCTTTTGCATTACAAATGGCGCATCCTCATTCGTCAACCTAAAATATACTCCTACAGCAACCTTTTGTTGGTATGGTTCGTACTGTTAGTCATGTGTAGCGACATGCGCTTAAGTTACCAAGAGAAGAAAAGAAAAACTATTGCTTATTATTTTTATACCAGCATTCTATTTCTTCCAGTAATGATTCCCATCACATCCTCCACCTATTCTCTTTTCCCCCGACCCCGTCCCGAATTCGGCTACATACTCCTCCCCGACCTTCCGACATTCCCTCAACCACCGACGAACCGAGCGACCACGTCTCAGCCATCACCAAAAAAATCAAACGCCATCGCTCTCCGAACGCCGGCAAGCCCCACCACCGCCCCCAATACATATCCGTCACACGCAACCACGGCTTATTTTGCCCGCCATTTTCTCTTCTCTGAGCGCTTTTCCCCCCAGATATTAAGATGATGAGCCCCAGGGTCGATATGGCGTCATCTAACCCTGGTTCGCCCTGCATGTCACTCTTCGCTCTTGCCTTGCACGACGCATCGACGACAACATGACAACTCACAGTTGCTTTATTATTCGTACATCCACACCACTGGTATGGTACATCACCTCATCTTCTCATAATAAAATATACATTATCTATTCTTTGTCGCATGCTTCAACTGAACAATGCCAAGAATCAACAAACGAAAAACGGACTATACACGCCTCCCAAATGATTAGCAACGTGCCGCCTCCGGAAACAAAAGCACCAACACCGTTTATGATTGTCAGCCAGATGCACTCAAGCACCCAGCCCGCGTTGAATCATCTCTAGCTGCATACTGCAGTGTCAAGAAGACTCGTATCTTACATTGCCAGCTGCGGTGGCAATGATTCCACTACCTGGCAGCCACGCCTGAATAGCAGTCCCAGCTCGCCCGGCCAGCTAGACCTCACCCGCCAGCGTACCCGGCTCGTTTGCCTTGCGCGCCCTGTTGGTGTTGCCCGACCATCCATTGTCCTCGAGGTGCCCGAGCCAGTACGTGCGGCCAAACGACACCATCACCCGGCCCAACCGGCCTCGCCGGCCCTCCCCGTCCGGCAGGTCCAGCGCAAACGGGCCGTCGTAGTCGTCCACACCAGGGCCTTCCATAATCATGAGCTGCATGTACTTTTGCAGCGCCTGCCGCGCGTACGACATCACCACCAGGCTAAAGTAGACGCGAATGAGCGTCACCGCCACGATGAAGATCATGCTCATAGCCGTCTCCTGTGGCACCACCTTGCCGTGGATCGCGCTCTCCTTCTTCAGGCCCTGGATGCTCTCCATAACCGTATTCGTCAGGCCCGATGGCCGCGTGTCCGACTCGGTCGCCGTGCTGTGAAAGTACCAGTCAAGCCCAAATGCCGCCGTGTACGCCGCGTTGATGCAAGCGTCCAGTATGTACACCCACGCCAGCGCCAGGCACTCAAACGGGCTCTGTCGGCGGATGTGCGGGATCAGAAAGATGAGAAGGCCGAGAACCCCGATCGAGTACACATATGTTGATAGTTGCAGCAGAGACAGCTGGTACCCGGTGAGGATGGCGAGCAGCCCGTACACCCCCGTCACCTTGTTGAAGACGAGTGCGAGCGAGATGAGCTCCGTCCCCGTCTGCAGGCTGATGCAGCCAAACAGCGTCTATACGCGTTAGAGAATGGTTAGCAAACAAAACGTTGCTCGTGTGACCAAGCCCCCTCTCCGTGCAACAGGTTTCCGGCGCCTGGCCGCTGCGTTGCGCAAGCGCCGAGGGGGAGGGGCGCTGAATGGAGTCAACATACCGTCGGCTGCGGCACACGCAGATATAATCGTGTAAACTTGGACATGGTGGTAGCAGTGCGAGTGTGACTTGCAATAGTGTATTCCAAAAAGGTCAACCCAAAAGGGGAGAGTGTAATAATAAGAGTATGACCGGAGAAAAAAAAGAGGCGGAACCTGGCCCAGAGTCGGGAGTGCGCTCCATGGATCTGACATCAAATTAGGCCCACTTGGTCCGTGGCTGCCGAGATCAAAACTGCAAAAACACGTAAAGAAGTCACGTGCCTAGTCAGGTGAAGCCGCGTAATGACGACTTGATTGGGCCGGGCCAGTTTCGGTGGGGGGTGGAAGTTTCGGTGGTCACGAGGCGCAGTAATCATCGACGATCGACCGAAAGTGCTCCTTCTCGGCGTTGTTCTCAACGGCCACGAACGGCCCAGCTGGACGGGGTGTTCCAGCATTCTTTCACGACTTTTGCGAGAGCCATACCTGTCGAGCCGAATAACTTCTGTCTCGAGGAACCAATAGAGGCTTTCAAGCGACTTCACTTTGTGATGATCCCGCGATTATCTGTTTCCACGGCTTCGAACAGCGATAGCCAGCACGGGTGATTTTGCGCCTCTCGATAGTCGCGTGGCGCCTCTGACATCGAGTCACGGCCGTCTAACTACCGTTTATTCATCATGGCCCCCATAGCTTCAGTAAGCTATCTCGTGAGCCACTTTCAAGGCTTCCATCAAAGGCATCAGGATCGTGCAATGGCGTCACAAGCCATACACGCGGCCAGCTCTGGCAATACTCTGCTTAATGTGACTGGATCTCTTTATAAAATATTCTGTTAAACTGTCTCCAGTCATGAGTGGAAAACGCGACTCGACCGTCTCAATCGTCCACCATTTGTGTATCCATGTATGCCAAAATGGTATTAGTTTATATGTATAAAGATCATAGGCTCGTACTTTTTTCTTCGGGACAAGTAAAATCAGCTCTATGCTCTGATGCGCCAGTATGCACAGCTCTACCCCGGTAACGGCTGGTTAAGTCGCTGCGACCCTAGACGGCGCGCAAACTTAGGCTGATAAAGAATTCGATTGGCTGAACCGTTCAGCACGAGCAGCCCTCCTGAGCCTGCTGGGTAGTGTTGGTCTTCACATCGATTACTGCTACAGCGTTAGAATGTCTGCTTCGGAGATGCGATTGGGAAAACGTACTTTGGCTTGAGGCCTGAGCAGCAGCATCTGTACCCTCCATTCCAGGTAAGGACTGTGCTATCCTCTTGAACAGGTTCTTGACGTTATGGCCCAGCTTGGCACTCGTCTCGACAAACATCAGATTGTTCTTCTTTGCCTCGTCTTCTCCTTGTTGCGTCGTGACCTCGCGCTTATCGTTCAGATCGGTCTTGTTGCCAACCAGGACAATAATGACATCGTTGCCTCGCTCAGCTCGAACATCGTCGATCCATTTTTTTGTGTTTTGAAATGACTTGGCATCTATTACATTGTCGTCAGCCACTGGCCGGCTCTCAAAGTTGTTGTGATTATCTTACTTGACACATCGTAGACAACGACAGCGACACTAGAATCACGGATATAGGAGGGGATTAAGCTTCGGAATCGTTCTTGGCCAGCCGTGTCCCAGAGCTGCAGTCGTACGGTCCTATCCTCGAGGTACATGGTCTGGCAGACGAAACTTGTCAATAGTCGGTCGTTGACGATGGCTGTTGCGGCGCGGGTTGTCCCTCACCTTTGAGAAGAAGTCGATACCGACGGTAGCCTGGTACATGTTGTCGAAGCAGTCGTACATGAATCTCGTAATCAGAGCCGTCTTGCCGACTGTCGTATGCCAAGTTAGCCACAGGGGATGCCCTCTGACCGCACCCATGATCAGCGCGCCAACTTACCACTCTGCTCGCCGAGAAACACCAGCCTGAGGTAATTAGCACATGAAAGATAACAGCGACATCGACCAAACGCACTTGAACTTCTTCAAGGGGTTGTTGTAGGAGCCGCCCGCCTGCGCCATGTTGGAATTCGGGTGCCTGATTCGCCGAGGCAAGGAGGAGAGCTTGAGCGGGAGTCGCCTGGTTCGCCAGCTATCGCACAGGTGAGGCAAAAGGGGCAGGTATAAGAGATGATACTGCCAGACCAAGTAAAATTGTACGATGCAGGTTAAAGTCGACGGTGGCGGAGTTGACTGCGGAGAGAACGGAGGTAAACTCCAACTGCTGGCTCGCCTGGCTGACTGTTGCACTGGATCGGTAGGAGCAGCCCGAAGTCTGGACCTGGAGAGGACAGCCAGCATTTGCGACCAGGCCCCCTAATAAGAGGTAGGTACCTAGAAAAGAGACCTACTGTACCTAACGAACTAGGTACCAGTTGGACCGACTCATTCTGCTATCCGGATTGGCCACGTGATAACAAATATGGACCCTTATTCGGTACATTGATTCAAGTGTGTTTAACATAGAAATTGAAGTATCATAAGAGTGACGCAGTTGTAAATTCAACTGTTCAAAACTACTTGGATCGACTCTTTATTTTATCTTTCCCAACTTCTTTTCTGCTGTTCTTTATCCTCTCATACCTCTTTGCTAATTCTCTTCGAGAATCCTTTAGGCAAGCCAGCTGGTGATTCTTCAAGGCTCTCCAGTACGCGGTGCCTAAAGAAAGATGGCTCTGGCAGAAGCAGCCTTGAGGAACTTCTTATCCATGCAAGCGACAATGGGGTCAAAGTTGCTAAGGGGGCCCAGCTTGGACACCTCAAACCCGCACTGCGCAACCTGGATACGGCAGTCGGCCTCCGTCAAGCCGTACTTGTTGGGCTTGTCCGCGGGCGCGCAAAGTGCGTCCTCCATCTCCTTGGGGCTCGGCTGGCCGGTTACCGCGGCCGGCGCAGGAGCAACCGTGGACGGGGCAGCGGACTTCTTCAGACGCTCCTGCAGCTCATTCAGCGCGGCCATCTGCTCGGCCGTCTCGACGTGGTTCTTGCTGTAGTCGCTGTTGGTAAAGGCCAGGGCCTCGCCGCGCTCGTGCTGCGCCTGGATCTGCAGGGCCGACACCATGGTGCCGGTGCGGCCCCAGCCGAAGCCGCACCATACCAAGGTGCCGTTGCGGTGGGCGACGAAGGCCTCCCAGCCCTTTTGGAAGTCCTCGGGCGTGGGCACCTCGAAGTCCTCGACGGGGCGCGGCGTGTAGGCGATGCCCGCAGCCGACAGGGACTCCTTCATGTGCGCGGCGTTGGCGTCGCTGTTGAGGCTGATGACGTGCTGGATGCCGGCCTTTTGAAAAAGGCAATCGTCTCGGGGGTGATTTTCTGGCTCTTGTCGTTGCCGCTGTAAAAGGGTGCGCCGGAGCGGGCGAGCATGTCGCCGGGGGACATGGAGGCCTTGACAATTTCGAATCGCTCAATGCCGCCTTCCTTTGCGCCGCGGCGAGGGAGCTCTACATTTTGGTTAGTCCACCGGGTGATCATGTCGCATGCGATATCAGAGTGCGTCCTACCTTGGTTTGCTCGGCCTGTGAAGGCATGGACTGCTGCAGCCGCCCCAACAAGGGCAAGGAGTGCCTTTTGAATAAACATGGTGTTTAATAAATGGAAGTATAAAGTATAAAGGAAGGATGAGTTGAATGATTTGTAGCTGAGTCTCTATGTTTGATGTGCTGATGAAAGCTGCTAGGAGGTTGACTAGTCCACCTTTATATATCCTGCTGTTCCTAACGGATGCGTGCTGATCACAGCCACCAGACTGCGCAAACCACAAGTCATTGACTTATAAGCATAAGTCTAATTTCTCTGCGGCTCTCTACTATGCCCTGGTCTTGAGCTTCTTCAGAGGGGACTCACGACTCGCAGGTCAACTTACACATGATTCTCGTCATTTTCAAACAGCCCCCAACTAGTACCGAACAAAGCAACTACAGTTTAGTCAGTCTAGTCTTCAAGGCGAAATGAGAGAGTGGGTATCGTGGGTATCCCCAACGTTGTTATACCCTGTCGCTGATGAGTCGTCGGCACTCGGAACCAACTCCGGGACCAACCTACGCCTCGCATCCACAGTGAGTCGTGAGTTGTCCGTATTACTCGTCGAATCCCAAGGGTAAGGGTATTCCGTTTTCTTCTTGACGCCACATTGGCTTATTTTCCATGGCAAATGGATGTCCAGTATACTCATACATCACATGGCTCGAGCAGTCATATCAAGTGTTGCGAAGCGAAGGAGTACCAAAAGACGGGAACACAGCGCCGCATGATCGGATCGAATGTTGCTCACCGAGTGGAGCGCTCACCAGGTATCTACGGATAGCAATACCCAGCTAACGAGTTGTACCAGCCGATTGGTGAGTTAAAGGGACAAAACTTAACCCACACCTTATTATGCGTGGCTACGAAACTGTATCCTTATACAAATTACAAGTCAATACATTGTTCGCCTTTGCAATATATATGCTGCCATAGCTAGTATAGCCAGTGGGACTTTTATGAAGTACGGAGAAACTGAAACGTTATTACACAACAGAGCCTCAAAGGGCCGGGACAGGGATCTGGCATTAACTCGGAAGCAACCCCAAGCGTATTTAGCCTGCAGGGCCTTGTTCCCTGCCGTCTCGATTTCGGGTCGTGCAATCCATGGCTATGCAAGACTTGGCGAGAAGAAAAGACCCTTCAGTCCCAACTCTCGGTACATCCATAGCTGACTAGGTGGCTGTGCCGCATGGGCTTCGGAGCCGCGGCGGCTTGGCTGGCGGCAAATTTGGCCGTGATCGCGTGACAAGGATTCTGAGCACCCACAGGGTTCTAGAATTTATTTACAATATCTGGCTAAGAATATTGAAATCCATCTCTGGATTTCACTGCCTACATATATACTAATAATTTGTAGACCGAATTGGATTGCCCGACATGACCTGGCTAACACTGGCGATTCTCAAATCAGTACCTGGAAGCATGGAGATCATGCATCTACAGATGCTCCTAAGGGCCTGGGGGTGGGGAGGGGGGGGTTGCGCCATGCTTCATGCGCAGTAGTCGTGGGTATCAATAATAAAGAATATAAGAGACGCTGATTCACGCTCAGCCTGACTCAAGTGGTATTATCGCAAGTGGAATCGTGCTTGAAGTCCTTCTGGATCCAAACGCAGCGGCGGCAACCAGCAGGGGTTGGCGGAAGGTCACGCCAGTGCCTCGCGGTCCGCTGTTGTAGCTACGGCGGATCGTGACCTGTGCGGCTTTAGCCGATGGAATCATAATTCCGCGCCCAGGTGCCGCGTCCTCTACAGAGTCCGGTTCGTGTCATGGTCACCAGCGACGTCCCGTGAATCATGGCCCATGGGTGACGGCCCTGCAAGTTAAGCTCGGCACTGTCGTGAGGCATGGTAGAGGTGGGGGGCTTGATGGCCGGCGTGTCTCTGTTGGGGATACTTTGGTTGAGATGAGCTAGATTGTTGTCTGTTGACGCCGTGTTACTTTGATGAAAGGCTACGTATTGTGCGACGGGTGGGAGCATCCTTTACGGGGGCCGTCTTCGTCGCCGTCTTCGTCACTGTCCATGGGTCTATCTCAATGTCGAATCACATCGGTATCCCACAAACCTGCACTGCAATACTTTGACTGCAATACAAAAACCCTTCATTTGCTCAGACATGTTTGCGCTCGAGTCTATAACACCGGTTGGGCTAGGGCGGATATACATTCAACCGGACATACTAGATCGTGTTGGCGTTATTTATGGCCCGGTGATATTGAAACTGTTGGGCTTAATTCCGTCCTGCAAAGGAATGGTTGCTAGCCAAACCCCGAATAATGCAAGTCAGATAGAGTAGTTAGTTCAGTCAGCATCGGCGACGATATCGCATGCCTTGATACAGTAGTCACTGCTGACATATCATTTGAGTGGGCATATAAATTTGATGGATGCACAGCAAGTCAATTTCCTGTGACTTATCAAGGAAAGCTACCACCATCTGCACGTTGCGAAAACAGATGCTCCGCGGACAAACTCCAAGAGCAGAGTCAAGACAAGAGAGAGCAATGGCATAGATACACAACAGAGTCGTCAACGATGCCGGCTTCCTCCACGTCTTCTAGCACTCATGTTTCGGATCCCGAGCGCTTTTTTGCATAAAAAAAGATGGACAGAGCAGACCTGAATATCCCAAAGGGATTCCCGCAAGCCAAGCAATAAGGAGGTAGGGATCCAGTAGTTTCCACAAGAAGCAACTCGCGCAGCAGTTGTATTAAGATAGACTCAACCGCAAGCATGCAAACCTGCATAGTATTAGAACATGCATGAGCTCTGGGTCTCGAGTGAATCCACAAGGCTTATTTGATACAACCGTGTCTAATAGTACCCCGACTGAAAAGGTACTGTTGAATGGAAGCCGAAAACACACGATGCTTCGTTGGCGACCATGATGTTTCTCTCGAAGTTTTTTATGTTTGCCCAGAAAGACTATTCTGACCACATGAGCGATATAGCGCCCAACATGACAGTTTTATTTTTGGTAACTACTAGTCTGTTGCTCGCTGCAGGTACCCGGTTCGATTCGATTCGATTCCTCCAGATAGTGCTAGATACTGCTTCGCTTCGCAACCCCACCAACAAAGCAAAAAAATAAGTACCCCTCCATCGTCATACCTAGCCTCCTCCTCCCAAGTCCTTCCTCTTCCTCGACGCCCCAGCAGCGACTCGCAGTCCATCCGGAACCCCTCTTCCTCTTCCAAACCCAACAAGCCACACACCCGCAGTCCAACCGCCCGCCGGCAATGTCCAGCTCCCTCTTCGGGCTCATCCCCGCCGGGCTGCCGCTCATCACGGAGCCCACCTCGGTGCCGTCACCCACGTCGCTGCTGTACGCGCTGCCCTCGCAGCGGCCGTTTTCCCACCTCGTGCTGTTTCTCCTGCCGGGCGTCGCCCTGCCCGCCGGCACCGCCGCCGCCATCTACATCGCCACCGCCGCCCAGGTCGCCGCCGCCACGGAGCAGGCAGCGCCGCCACCCTTTCGATTCCTCGGCGCCATCGGGCCCGGCAAGGAGAGCGCCATGTTCAAGGTCGGCGGTGGAGGCTCCGAGGCCCAGACGAGTAGCCTGGTCATTGGCCTGTCGATTGAGCCCGAGGACGAGGTGGCGCGCAAGCTGCAGGAGCTCGCCGCCGCCGCGGGCCAGACCGGTGCGTCGCCGTCCCAGCCGTCGACGGTGGTGCTGGCGCAGCGCATCATACAAAACGCCTTCAACTTCCTCACCGGCTTCAGCGGCACCACTGCAGTGATGGGCGGCGTCGAGGTGGTGCCGCTCAAGGCCTTTCAGGAGTGGTGGCGCAAGTTTGAGAATCGCGTGCGCAACGATCCCAGCTTCTTGGAGAGGCAATCCGATTAAGCCTACGCGCACCGCTTTCTCGCTCTTTTCTCTTTTTTTGCATCGCGTTAGGTTTCTCTTTTTTTTTCAGCTGGGTGATATTTCACCGCTGTTTTTCGTCTTTTTTGGGAGTTTCTGGGCGTTTTTGTTGGACGAATATCTGGGAATGTTTGCGACAGAGCAGCTTTTTTGGTCGCTGTCTTTGCATTGAATAATACGGCCATGTGTACCTAACTAGAACTTTGGAATTCCCCATGCGCCCATTTGCGCACCCGAATATACATGTATAGAAACCCAAAACATATCAAACAATTAGTTACCGACAGTCGTCCTCCCCGAAAAAACGAGTATCCCTCAAATCAGGGGGACCCAACACCATTCCCATAGAACACCGTTCTCATACAGCCACATTAAGAATATCCAAATGAGCACAACATTTTGTCCTGCTCTATTATCCATTAAAATAACGCCAACGCTCGGATGTAGAAAAAGCAAGATAATTCGTCAGACACTTCATCGAAATCAAACAGCCAGAGGGCTCTTCATTCGCGTGGGGCTAACATTGCGACTGCGCCGTCCAGCATTCAGCATCTGCAGGCTCGGCCCAAGGTGTTCACGGCTCTCGGTACGCACCACCAGTCCCGTCCGATCCATGGCCGACGGTATGCGGAAGTCCTCGAATCGCTCCAGGTTCAGCTTGGGCGTCCCGAGCCCGGAGCTTCTGCCGCCCTTGGAGCCCTCTGTGCTGTCAGAGTGGTCGTTTTCGTCCGAGTCTATGCCACCCAGTTCGAATTCGGCAGCATCGCCCTCTTCCAACACACGCTCGTAGGAACCGTTTGAGCGTCCCAGAAGCATATTGATGATCCCGCGAGAGCCCTTGCCGTTTTTGCGCGAGCGACGTCCAAAGGCAAGAAACTTGTGCCGTCGCTCGGGCTTCCGGAGCCAGTATCCCACGACCAGGACGAGTACTAGGAGTGTCAGGAAGGGTATGAATGATCCTGATGATCGGTGTACATCATCGTCGTCATCGTCATCGCTGCCCCCCAGCTTCGGGCCGGTAGGGATTGGCACAGATCCAGCATGCTCAAAGTCGGAAGGAACACCAGAGGCAATATTGCTGCCAAACCCGACAGGGAGTTTTGAATCTCTGGCCGGAATTTGGCCAGTAGCATAAAGAACCATCTTTCCGAGCGTCCAGCTCACTTCCATATCGTGGATGGTATCAACTGGCTGGAATGGGTCGCGAAAGCCCTTTTCATCGGCGCCACTACGAGAACCATTGACTGAGCCCTCGATGCCAATTCTCGGAATCCCGATACCATCGTGAAGCATGTTGATGAGCCAAGACGCTTTGAAACAGGCCTGCTGAGCGTCGGCCATTTTCTCCTCGGCGGTTTTCTTGCGGCCGACAACGTCGCTCTTGATCGCTGACCAGTTTCTTGCGCAGTATTCGAGCACCTTTTTCTGGTATGTGGCAAGATCGTAGGCAACGTCCTCCTTTCCAAAGACACCATGGGTCGTGTGCCAGTACTCTGACACACCCACAAAGTGATTGATGTCAAAATCGATGGCAGGAGCGTGCTGGCCATTGAGTAAACAAGGCGAGTCCTCACATGGCTTTTCTTTTCCTAGCAGTGGATATGTTCTGCGCACACATTCATCAAATTTTCCGGTGCCCAGCAGCAACTGCTGCTCGTCGCTCGCTGCGGACTCCACTACGGCTCCCCTGAGTGTCGTTCGCAAGCCTTTGGGGAGGCAGGGGTCAGGAATTTCGTGGACGTTGGTTTCGTATTCATCCGTTAATTTCTCGACAAAGCGCTCTCGAGCTTTGTTGGCACCATAGCCAAGCCACGTGGAGGTAAACACTTTGTACTCGACCGAGGATCCGTCGAGCTTCCGCATGCGAACGAGTTTCAGGTCATCAGCATGCTTCTTTGTTTCGGTCGCGTTGGGCGCAAAGGCGATTTGCGCCGAGGCGCCGCCCATGTCGAGGAAGCCATATGTATGGTGTCCTTTGCTGTGTTTGTGCTCGTCAGGTCGTTCGAAGCCCCCGAGGAGGTAGTTGGCCGCAATCCAGCCGTAGAGGCCCTCGGTCTCACCAGGAATCACCTGGACGTGCGCGTCGCAATCCGGCAGCTGGAACTTCGTATTGGTCTTAAAATAAGAGCAGACGGCTCCTAGCAGGGCCTTTTGTTTGTGTTCGGGTAGGAATCGCACGCCGGCCGTGGCCATGAGGAAAATGGGTGTCTCGGGTATTTTGTGCGAGGGGACCTTGCTTATAGCCACGTCGACAAGCTCCTGCAGATGGTCATGGCCGACCGAGTCCACAGCGTCGGCAAAGGTGGAGATGCCCGGATGAATTTTGTGATTCTTCTTGAGCTCAATCTTGGGCAGCGAGCGTACTTCGTCGTCATCATTGTCATATTTGTGTTTCGGAGGTGCTGAAGGGTTCCTCCACTTGTAGACGTAGACGCGCGTCCCCGAGGAACCAGCATCGAGAACTACACCGTACTGGGCTGCGATTGCGGCAACTCAAGAGTTAGGGTAATGATCTTGACATGGAGCGGACAATTACACAGAGGCGCAAGGGGAACATACAGTTCTTGTGGTTACCCATGGCGTAGATTGTACTATAGTGGCATGGGCGGAATGCTGGTACCGCGTCGCCGTGGCTCCGGAGCTGTCGGGTTCTGTTGGATCTATAGATCAAATGCTTTTCCCAACGAGACTGCGGTTTTTATCGGCAGTGTCTATGCCGCGGGGAGGCAAATTCGTATCGAGTCGTCGGTCAGGGGCGTCAAGGGCTGATGATTGATGATTGATGGCGACACAACCAGCGCAGCGACCCAAGGTACTTCCAGGGGGCGCAATCGCAGCGAGTGCAGGGCGATGCTTTTTTTTTCTTCAAAACGTAGAACGAGTGTTACCGCAAATGGCGTAAGTGAGAGTCGCAGCCTGGCGAGCAAACAAGATGAAGAACGAACGAATGAAGCGATTGGGCCGTTTGGAGGTGGAGGGGGGGAAATTGGTTGCGTATAGGTAGATAAGACGACCTACCTATTTTTCTTTGGCCACTAGCACCGATCAACACCAAGCCACCAAGCTACCACACCAATTTGTTAGTACGAGTACCCGCTTACGTATTCCTCGAGGCGCTAAAAGCACTAGGCTAGTCAACACGGGTGATGCGCACAGTAGTTTCCGTAAATCAACTAGTACATTTTCCATGTTCGTTCTGACGCAATCTTTATTTCCCCAACTACAGTATTGCATCGAATCTCACAGTTACTTGCAATGGAGCCCAGATTCTTTAGTTGCTCAGTACCAGATTGCGAAAGGCCAGGCACGGTGGATTGTGGCCGTAAGGCCACTGACCGCAGCAGTGCTGGTTGCCATGGAGCCAGTTCCGTTACACTCAGGTTCTACAAATTAATAATACATAACCCGAATTTTCTCATTTTCCTCTCGTTGCTTGCCATGCTAACCAACATTCTACTCACAACTCTACACTCGCTTCAACCTCACGCGAGACTCTCATCATGATCGGCCCTGCATGGCGACTCTGGGCAGGGAGCGGCAGCCTCATGAATGGTGGCCCCTACACATGGCACATTACCGATTTTGATCAGCGAAGGCACTTTTCCGTGACCTATTGCCCATCTTCTCCCGTCGAGGACCCCGAAGGAACGGAGGATGTTTGTATGGCAATGCTTCGCAGGCACATCGACGATCTTGGGCCGGAAGTTTTAGGACTTCGCTTCTCCGACCCTGACGGGCCCATCACGACATCTACAGACAGAAATGACGACGTGACATATTATAACAACTGCCAGTCCTTATCAGCGTTGAAAATTCCCTTTTCCATCAAGACTGTCAGCCTTAGTAGCTTGGTCGAGATCGGCCGAATGGGCCCGCAGGTGGATTTAGTCTCCTATCAAGGACACCCGACAGTGAATGGCGTCACAGTTACAAAGGTTGCCTTTAAATACTGGTTTATGGAAAATGGCATGTTTCGAAAGTGGTACGAACTCCAATGCTGGGCTCGACTACCCCGCGACCATCCACACATTGTCCCTTTTGACGCCGTCGTGCTGGACGATATCAGAGGGGGCGTCGTCGGGTTCACAAGCCTCTTCATCTCAGGCGGCACTCTTTGGGACAATAACGCTACAATCCGGCCTTTCCGTCTACAGTGGCTACAACAACTTTTATCAGTCATTGATGATCTTAACTACCATTATGGTATTATGCATCAAGATGTCGCTGCCCGCAACCTACTTATTGACGACAAGGAAGATTTACGTATCTTTGACTTCAACTATTCTATCATGATCAAAGAGCACTACACACCAGATCGTGATGATATGAAAGGCGTTATCTTTACCTTGTATGAAATAATCACCCTTGATGGGCATTTTCGAGAAGTACCTCACGAGGAGCAAGACGCTGAGGCTTTGCTGCGGCTTGAGTGGGTGAAGCACCCGGACGTCAGACTTGACAGTAGTGTGCAGGCTTTCCGGGAAGTGCTGGATGCATGGGTTGCCAAGAGAAGAACACGCGAATTCAGCGTTGTTGACACATGTATACATTGGCCGTGGATGCCAGAGGAGCCACCGTCAGCGCGAGTACCAGTCTATGGCTCCTCTGACGCAGCCTCCCCAGCCACGGAAACGAGGTCCGTCGCAGTTTTGAGTCGTCGCGCACTGTTGAAAATGAATGAGCCTTTCTTCAACTGGGAGCGTCCAGCAAGCTATCGTCTCAAAGACATGCCAGAAAAATCCGGCGCTAAGTGAGGAAGTCTACGTATTGGTCAGGGGCGAGAGCTACGGATCTCCGACACGCTGCGAGCGCCAACAAATAGACGAACAAGTTGGATGAATTGTCAAATTCATGTCAAGATCTATAGATTAGTCTAGCTTATACAACATTTATTCATACTCCAAAGTAGAGCGCAATTCTCTCAACAGCCCGGTTTGCAAAGGTGGTGGCTTCGCCTCTTACGCGACTTACACAATTAGCGTGACGAATGACGGGCAAATCGTTCGTGTCCGCAAACCTAAAAATCGATAACCCGATGATTGCTGTAGTCAAAGTCGCTGTGAAAACGTACTTGTGTCTCCTTTGTAACTGGCGCATAGAGATGGTGAGGCCAATGGAGATACCTTTAGAGATTGGCGCGCCTCAAATACCACGACCTTTTGCGGCGGCAATTGCGGTAGGCGCTACAGAAGAAGCTCTGCCGACTTACAAGCTCGTAAAGAAGCTCACTAGTCAACGGCCGAGCTTGTCCACTTGCCCTTGCCTAGCCGACCGCATTTCTAGCTTCATGCCGAGCCCAGTTGCCGCCGGAGGGCTCCCTGCACTACGTCCAAGTTATGAACAGCACTACTACAATGTGTACATGCAATTCAGAAATAGTAATAAAAAACGGGCAAAATTATGTTTGATATACTCGCCTACATGTTTCGGATACCCATGAAGCCATCCGCGACATGTTGCGGCCCGCCGTTCCCCATCGGCTGACTGATCTTGATGCCCGAACTGAGACCCCCAATATGCTTCCCGGTACTACTCAACTCGGCATGTCTTCTCCGTTCTGCACTGTTCGGGACATGCCCACCCATGCCCAGTCCGCGCTCGCCGTCCAGTACCCCGCGAGCCCCAAATCGTGAATAGTTTCCCGGCGCATTCGACGAGTGGCCTGGAGAGAGTAAGAAAAGGGCACGGTTAGCCTCTGCTCAGGATTTACGCCGCAAGGGTATGCACAGTACCTGTTATAGAACCGTCTCGTCGCCAGGGCCCGGAGTTCTTGTTCATCAAGCCGCGAGTGCCGCCGTCGGATGCCTGTTCCGGATCGGCTGCCGTCCTATACCCGCGGAACCCTACGACACTGCCCGGTCGTGGATTCACACCGCTGTACGACACCGGCTGGGGCGGCGCAAAATGTCTCGACGACTGCTGCTGCTGCTGCTGTTGCTGCTGAAATCTAGAATCAATCGCGTCTGTCGCAGCCCGCTGAATGTGGCCCATCTCCACCGTGTGCCGCAGCTTGTCGTGCAGCTCCTGCGTTTGCAGCAGCTGCCTGCTCTTTTCCTTGTACGCCTTGGAGAGGTCCTCATTATGCTTCCTTGCCTTGTCGTTTTCCGCCGCCAGGCTACCCATCTTGCGCTGCAGTGTTTCAATCTGCGCATTGGCCTCGCTGACCGTCTGCTCGAGGCGGCCGCTGAGCGTCGCGTACTTTTCCGTCAGCGTCTTGTAGAGGTACTGCTGGTAGTATATGTTTTGCGTCGTCTGGTACGCCCAGAAGCTGAGCGCGCGCCCGGCACACTCCATGATGATGCTGGGCGACAGCCCGCTGAGGATGCTCGTCTTGTACGCCTCGGACGGCTTGAGGTTCGAGATGACGGCGTCGTCGGGGCTGCCGAGCTGGGTATCGCAGGCTGGGCATGGGACGCGGTTCTGTCGGTCCTGACCCGAGAGGCAGAAGCGGTTGGTGCACTCCAGGCAGAAAATATGGCTGCATTGGCGTCGATCAGTGTCTGTGGCCGATCAAACAGGCTGCGCATTGCATACCTGCATGTTGTGACTAGCGCACGATCGCCGAGCTCAGCTCGGCATTTTAGATTGTTGCAAGTCAGTGGAAGATCCATAATGCCATATGCGTTTGTCTGCGATAGTGTGCTTGACAACAGATGGCTGCTGATGCGCTTGCACTGTCATGCAAGAGGGTCCTCCTGGCAGCCCGTAGAATCGCACCTCCTATGTACGTCTACCTCGAGCCGACACGCACTACTTCGCTCATGTACAAACTTCAATAACAGGTTGGTAATGCTAGCAAAGCGCACGCTGCTTCCGCAATGAGTTCTCTCTATTCTTTACCTGAAGTTTGAATCTATTCTCACCTATGTTCGCAGTACCTGGCAGCGGCTTTCAATACCGTCAAAAATACAGGTATTATCTACCGGGATGTATTGTTTGGTTACAACCTTGATCACCTCCTGGGCCACCATACCTCCAAGGGCAGCTGAAATGTTGTGCAATTCGCCTCCTGCAGCACGTGCTACTTCTTCAGCGACTTGCATAGTTCTCTCATGGCCGCGTAGTGTGGGTGCGTGCGCGTAGATGGCGTCTTGCATCTCCTCCGCAGAAGGCGCAGATAAGTTTGGAGTGAGACTAAGCGCGAGATAGATGGATATCAAGGACGGCTGCATTTCGGGGCCAGCCAAAGCGGCGATTTCGTCCAGGCTGAGTTCATTCGCTAGGTACTCTCATTAGCCGGAGTTTGCTTGGTAATAACCGGATTTTCACTTACCGACAATATCTCCCATGTTTGGAGCACTTTGAGCAGTATTTATGAGTTTGATGAACCGTGCGTTTTTGCAAAACTGCTCAACCTCAGCGGGGTCTATTACACAATCGCTGGCGAGGCTCTGAGCAATACTCAGAACTTCGCTGGCATCTTGGCGAGCTTTGCTCTTGTATATACTTTGGAGTTGAATGTAGACGCTCGACTGTGCCTTCATATCAGGCAGTCCACCAGTCAAAGGCAGTTGGCCATGTCTTTGATAGAAGTTCGACACGGCTTCTGCGATAATCCAAAAAGAGGATTTGCTCTGCAAGGGCGTCAGCAGAGTCCGTGCGACATGTGAGACGCTTCTTACCCTTTTGCTGCTGTCGTATTCAAAAATTTGGCGTAGAGAGCTAGGGAGAGATTGCGCGGTAACGTGCTTCATAACAGCACCGACCGCCTCTTCAAAGTTCTCCTCACCCCCCTCTGGATTGTCCCTTCGTGTGCCGTCTGCCACAAGATTTCGGAAGGCGATCTTGTCAGAGTAGGCCGTAGGAAGCGCGCCATTGTGACTTTGCTTCCAAATCTCTAGGTAGTGCAGCAAAATGGCCACAAGAGGCAGATGCCCATGGACGTGGTTGTCCAAGCTGTCGATAGCCGTTGTCAATTCTTGCGCAAATTGCGACAGCTCTGGCCATGGAGTAAGTAGTCGGAGATCGGCTGTTGACGTCTCGTCAGGATGAGTGTCTACAATGGGGAAGACACCAGGAAAGGTAACACGAAAGTAACCGTAGAAGCCCACGGAGCGAATGGCCACCAAGGGAATGCTATGCAGGCGACCGTATTCTTCTATCAGCTGTATTGACTCGACCGGCAAGGGTAGGGTGTACAGGATAATTGTATATGGAGTCGAGTTCGAGTTGGTAAGGACCGCTCCGAGGTCCAACGTGCCCTGATCTGGTCGTTAGGCATGCGAGAGAAGGAGAGCGCAGGTTGATGTAGCGGCTTACAGGCGACTTGGGATACCATGCCCCTGCGACTTCGGGATTGAGCTCCAGAAGATATTCAGTGGTACACTGGGCGCGTGGCCTGCCACGACTTGACTCGTCTAAGAAGAAGTTGACGCCTAGATCGGCGTCTTGTACGGCGGCATCGTCTGCGATAGCGAATTGGCCAATACCTGCAACAAGACGATATTAGTTGCCGCGAGTGCAATGGTCTCAAAACCGCCAGAGTGTACCTGGCAGGACAAGGTTCTTGAGCGTTTCGACGCCAACGGTACCCGAGCCAGAGTTGACAAGGAGGATGTTGGATGACTCGAGAGCGGCCTGACCCGATGCAGCCCACAAACGAAGCTGCCTATCGTATTTTCTCTCTTTATCCGTCGGACCCCCTTGCTGAGGCGCCGACTGTGACATGTTGAGGTGAGATGGGTCGGTATCAAGACGGATGGGTGCTGCGATGGAAGCTCAAGCTGGCGCTGGTGCATGGCGACAAGCTACTTGTGGACCCCACCAACCCAATCTGGTGGTACAGTGCCAGCCTTGCCCGGTGATGCAGATCTTGACGTGTTCGCACGGTGTTGTGTTACTGTGTGTTTGTACGGAGTATGCATACGCGATTTGTGCAAACTATTTGACTAGCAACTGCTGTAAATTCCCAAATCAATAGAAGTATGAGCTGGGGATTCAGGCAACAGGGTGGTGATTGCGAACAGGGCAGTCACTGCAAAGGGTGCAATAGTGAACTACTGGAAAATGATAATGATTGAATTTACGCGCAGTAAAGTGCTTGGCAGTCCACCATTGACTCAGTTATTATGCACCATGCTACTAGCCCCAGGAATGAGCCTCAACGTCAAGCCCCTGTTTTGCGACACTGCCCCTCGTCATAATTTTCATCCAAAGTCACGCAGACTTGGGATTAGCAAGTAATATTGGAGACTTGCTGTGCGACACGACATTTTACCGACTTGCAGATGACAAGCCACTCATATCTCTCCGTTTAGCGAGGCCATGCAGCCATGACCTGTGACGGGGGCCCCAGACTCAGCCCGAAATTACGTGAAGCGCATCTGCTTCCGCCTTTGAGCCGAAACAGGACGAATCACCATCAGATGAAATCTGCAGGAGACTTGTTCTCTCCGCCTCATCTACCAGTACAGATTATGTACTACAACGTTGCAAGGCGTCGGTGGTGTTGGGCAACAGGGGGAGAAGTGCCGCTTGTACTCGTCCAACCCGTCGTACATGACCCATGATGAACTTGACAGGCTCGAGACACCAAATCGGAGCTGTAGTTGTCATTCCACAAAGCACAGTGACAACACCATATCCCAGCATGTAGCCGATATCTTATGCCAGTAAGACGGGATGGATGGCAAAAGCAGCCATCGTGACGTGCGTTGCGCGCACCGGCCCAGAGACAACGCCCGCCGCCCATCATGGCCACCACCCACCACCGCCACAACATGGATGCAACACGCAGACAAAGGAACCCATCTTACTATGTAGGGAAAAGGGACTGCGGTTTATTTCCGGGTGCAAATTGCTTTCGCCCTGTGACGCGTACTGCGTACTGGTAATCCCAATATTCTCTGCTCGGGACAGTCCCGCCGTGGACCGTCAAGTCACGCTTCCGACACCTGTCCAGTACCTCAGTGCAATGCCCTCGACCTGCAGCATCGTGCCTAGAACCACGACCGGCAGTATCCATATCCCTCGACGACTGGCACCTTGAACACTCTCTACCGAAGATTCGGCGCGATTTCCGTCTCTTCTCGCCGTGCTATAGCCATAGCTGTGGCGCTCGCTCACCACCCGTTGCCTGCCCGCCGGCCGCCCGCTGCCGACAGGCATCACCAGCGTGACAAATATTGCCGGCCACTGACATGCAAACGACCCGTCATCAGATTGATCCAGTCGTCTTCTATTCTTTCCTCATTGACCCCCTCTGCTTCTCATCGCTCTTGAAAGAACGTGTGCTCTACAGTCACAAGTCGAGTCGCCAAATTCGGCAAACGCAGCTGGAGAGTACTTTCCCTCTCCTCTTTATGCGTTTCCTCTTCTCCCACCACTTGCTCTTCCATCAGGACTTTACGGCAAACAACGCCACTGTGTCATTCTTCTTTTGAAATCCACCGACAACTGATAGCCCGTATCAAAATGGGCCTCACGCAAGTCACAGAGGTTCCCGTCGATTGCCCCTCCGATGAACAACCACAGCCTCCTCGACAGACATCTGCTGCCCGATTCTGGCTCCTGAGTGTTGGGTAAGGTCGTTTGCTTGCTCAACAAACCCCCCCTAACAGACCTCTGTAGTATCTGTATCGGATTGTTTCTATCCATCATCGATTCCTCCATTGTGGCGACAGCTTTGTACACAATAGGTACCGAATTCCATGACCTTCCCAACGTCAACTGGATAGCTCTCGCCTACACATTGGCCTACCTCGGATGCGCCGTTGCATTCGCGCGTCTCTCCGATGTCATTGGACGCCGCAATGCATTCTATCTAGCATATTTTCTCTTTCTTTCCTTTTCCATGGGGAGCGGCTTCGCACAAAACATTCAACAGATCATCGCTCTCCGAACTCTTCAGGGCATAGGAGGCTCCGGTTAGTTGGCGTCTCACCTATCGCGGCTGCTGTTCATACTTGCTCATTCTTTCCAGGCTTGTACTCGTTGACCATGATCATTCTTCCAGAGATGTGCCCTCCCAGCCATCTCAAGTTCATTGGTTCCTTAATCGGCATCGTCATTACTATCTCTGGCGTTCTGGGACCCGTTCTGGGTGGTCTGCTTACCCAGTTCACTGGGTGGCGATGGATATTCTGGATCAAGTGAGTAGAAGCTCTGGCAGCTCCGAGGACCACTTGCGAAATTCCGTGCTGACTTGAGTAGTGGCCCCATTTCTGCGATTTCCGCGGGCATCCTTTGGCTCTGTTGGCCAAGTGAAGAACACTACATCCCTGCGAAGCGCCTGCTGTGGAAGAATTTTGACTACTTCGGCACATTTCTCATTATTGCCGCCGCAGTTCTTGTTGTCTTCGCTTTTCAAAAGGCTGGGACTCATGAACTCGACACATTTAATCGAGCCGCTTTTATTGCCCCGATTACTATTGGCTTGCTTTGTTGGATTGCTGTGTTTGGTTGGGCATTCCTTGCGCACAAAGGCAAATTGAAACCAGACCTTGTGCCAGCCCTTCCTTTCGATCTGTTTCGAAATCGCTTCTACACTTCTGCGGCACTCACCACATTGCTTATCGGCTTTCCGTATTTGCAAATCATCTTTACATTCCCGACTCGCGCTCAGATTGTAAGTGGCAAATCGGTCCTAGTCAGTGGGCTGGAACTGCTTCCTATGATCGGAGGTTCTGCTCTTGGGAGTGTCCTCGGTGGAATGATTAATGGGAAAAAGAATTTTCTTTTTGAAACTATCGCCACTGGATGCTGCCTCACTCTGCTTGGATGCGGGTTGCTATCTACAGTGCATGGCAAGGCAGATGATGCCAAAGCGCTAGGTTTCCTGGTATTTGCTGGGCTGGGATTCGGACTATCTACTGCCGCAGCCACTATGTTGGTGAGCTTTGAAGCTTCGATTGCAAACGCCGGTACTAGGCACCATCCCCCATTCAATTTGATCATGCTAACTTTTTGTCCATAGCCCCGGCCCACGGTATCCTGGCCCAGATGAGAATCCTTGGTGGAAGCTTAGGTATCGCTACAGCTTCAATAATTCTTCGCAACAAGCTTAAAATGACCGGCATGATGTCTCGAGGTGGTGGCAAACTGACCACTGACGAGCTGAAGGGCGGCCCTAACCACGATATTGAAAGGGCGTACTCGGCAGCTTTCCGCACCGATATGACCATATCCACAATTATATGCGGAATTGCGGTACTAGTATCTATTCTAGGTTTCCGGCGAACACGTGTGGATATGAATGAGCAGCGTGCCAAACTGTTTCGCGAGGAACAGGTACGACGCGCAGCTGTCAATGTCTCGTCCAACGAGAACATGGACAGCACGAGAAAGTAGGCCCCCCCAGGCCCCCCCCAGGCCCCCCCAGGTTCGGGTGCCAGATATGTGTGACGAATGGCTTGGAAATATTAAGATGCCCTGAAGATACGGATGTTGATTGAACTGGTCCTGCAATAGTTGGATAAGGGTTGCGCAGGGTGTACATCGCTTCCATTGTTGTTCCTTGTTTCGGAGTTGAGTAATATATAATAAGTAGCGTTTACATTTGGTCACTATTGTGGCCAAAATAGCGTGTTCAAACAACCTGAACTGGTCTAAAGCTATTGTATTTGTCTTCGGCCGCCTCGCCGTCCATGATGCCGTGTATGTAGGCTTCGCCAATGAAGGTATATTGACCTGGCTGGCTCGTGGGGCGAAGAATGTACGGCGTGCGCCCACCAGCAAATAGCCACACTTGGTCGCCTGCTTGCGTGACACGCGGTACCAGGCCGAGATAACCCTTGGTCGTGGACACGACGCGACGCAACGGCCATACGCACCACATGAAGTATTCAAATGAGTTGACGCCACTCCTCCCTTCCTCTTCTTCTTCCGCCTCCTCTTCTTCCTCCTCTTCCTCCTTCTCATCTTTTCCTTGTCCGTCTTTTTTATCTTCTTCTTCGCCAGTTTCCTCCTCACTTCCCTCAGGCGTCGCCACAATTTCCGCCGAGCTGTCACTGTCTTGCCCTTGCTCGTCAGCATCCCCGCGCTGATCCTCCTTGCGGCTGTCAACGTCACTGCTTGCTTCCGCTCCCGCTCGTTCAGCACCTTTTGATTCACCGGCCTTTTCTGCCCTCTCTTGTCCAGCCCCTTCTCCTTCAGCCCTTCCTTCGCTCTCGTCCTCGTCGCCCCTCTCCCCTTCACCGTCGCCCTCTGTTTTCTCCTCCGCCTCTTCTCCCTCGTCGTTGCTCACCTTGGCATTCTTCACGGCTGCCAAAACATCGTCAATATCGGGCAACGAGCCGGACGTGTCTTGACCAAACACCTCCCGCAGCCAGGCAGCTGTATCGGGGGCGAGATTGCCATCGTCATCGCAGAGCTCGTGCTTCGCCAGCTCGCCGGGCAGAGTGTCCTTGATGTAGTCGGCAAAGTCCTCCCCCACAGGATCCTCGGCGTAGCTGTAGGCCGTGAGGGGAAAGGCCCGCTTAAGATAGCAGTTGGCGCTCAGGACCTGCCACAGGGCCTCGACGCGGTCGCAGCCCGTCGGATAGATGGGATCGATGGTAGCCATGATCTTCAGCCACTCTAGGACGTTGGGCGTGCCGCAGTAGCAGTGGGACTGATCGCGACGCTGTGTCTCCACGTTGGTAATCGTGTCGACCATGAGAGCGTCGAGCCACAGGATATCAGAGTCAAATGGGTAGATGTGTGGCACGCTTGAACCGCCGGCGCGGAACTTTGTGCTAAAGAGGCGCCGGGTGGCAAGCGGCCAGTGAAACGACGGCACCCAGGAAGGCAAATCGTCCGGCCGTGGCAGCAGATTATGGGTGTCGGCAAACGGACGCAACCAGCAATAACCGTCATGGTACTCGCTAATGTCTTGTATAAAAGACAGAGCCTCGAGAGGCTCAAAGTCTTCAATCTCTCCACTCCTCCAGTCCTGGTATCGATTGTCGCCCCTTGCTTGGATATATGCCTTGCCGACTTGAGTGAACACCTCGGTGACAGTTTTGTGATAGTCTGGAACAATAGGTTCCTCGCCAGGGACGGGCTGCGCGATGCCGAGGAGCGCAAAGATTTTGTCGCGAGGATCGGTTGCGGCAAAATTCCAAGTCAGGGCAATGAGGGTCGCAAGAGGCAGTTTTGAATGCCACCAGCTATCTTCCATGGCGACAAAATCGGGATTGCTCTCTCGGAGGGACTGTAGCTGTGCCGTGACAATGCTGTTCTCGAGCTTTGTGCGCCGCGAGTGCAGTCTTACATCGGCTAGCGACCATGCCAGCGTGCCCATGTCGCCGTAGCGGTATTTGATCACTTTCATGTTGTAGTCCGAGGCGACGTATTCGAAATCGATGGCGGATTGGAAAACTTGGAACAGTGCGGCCCATGGAAGATCGTCGCCTCCAAACATGATTCGCACGTCTCGGGCCAAGGCAACTTCTTGTAGGACCCAAATTCGATGGAAGTAGGATCTACGAACAAACTCCAGCACGATTCGTATACTTTCAGAAGAGAGAATAGTTCCGTTCTGAACTTCTTCATCGTCCTCATCGCTTTCGCCATTCTTCCGACGTCGGTGCCAAGCTTCCCATGAGCGTGTGAAGCATTCGGCCGAGGAGGACAGAATAGTAGGCAAAGAGTGATACAACTCGGCTCCGGCTTCTGAGTCGAAACCGCCGAGCCAAATGATGACGGACTGAGCTTGTCCGTATATTTGTGTCATCATGGACACCTGGATGTTTCTCTCGAGCACATCGTTCTGGTTAACGCAGATTGCGTCGATCCAAATGGGCTTGGATCGGTGGTGTCGTACTACAGCACCGGAGACTGTCGCAGATGTATCTGATGTATTCTCCAAAATGCGGGCAATCTCTTGGTAGCGCCTCCGTTTGCGCTGCACGCAGCAATCCAAGGGTGTGCGATCGGTACTGTCGACTGCGGTACGATCCGCGCCATGGGCGAGCAAAAGCTCGACAATATCCACATGGCCGTTTTCTGCAGCATAATGCAGAGCCGTCTCGCCGAAGCAGTCGACGTTGAGCACATTGGCACCATGCCGAATGCAATCCTCCACATCGATGTATCTGCCCTCCTCGGCAGCCTGAATTATCCTCGTCTTGTTGTAAGGCTCAAAGCGCGAGTCAACTTCGGCATCGTCAGACCACTCATCCACCCTGAGCTGGCACAGACTATTGTAGAGATTTTTTGTTATGAAAAATAAGCGCCCATTGACAGAAATGGGCCACTGGTTGTGCGGAGCGTATGGGTCGTCGGTGCCATCCTTGCTCTGGTCCAGAGGGTTTGGGTTACCCCAGGTGTAGGAGAGGCAGTTGAAATTAGGCTTGTCCTTGAGATCGACGGTATACAGCTTGCAGGACAGCAGCGTATGGCCGCAGAGTGTAGGAGCTGCCTTTGCCAGCGGATTGCGCACCGTCAAGAGGCGAATACTGGTGGGCGTCGGCAGCGGGTCGTAGGGAAAGGTGGGAAAAGTGAAGGTTGACATGCTGAGCCGAGTGTGGCAAGCGATGCCTCTATTCGAATGAAATTCATGGCGACAAAGAAAAATCAGAGGCAAGATGCTGGAAATAAATAAGCGGCGACTGCAAGTTGCAGCAAGGCTAAACCGGGCTGGGGGAAGAGGCCGGCTTGTCGCACCGCCACAGTCGAGGCTGCAAACGAGGCGGCTGAGACGTGGCTAGGCGTTTTGGGAGAGCAATTTGTGCCTAATGGCGGGTATTTCTACTATTAGAAGCAGGAAATCCGAGAAGGTGTCAGATCTTGGGGCTCAGGGGATGTGATAAGAAGGGATCGGAGCACAAGTTTCGGCAGAGGCGAGGCGATGGGTGATTGAGTGATGGTGTTGAGCCAATGTCGTTGGCGGCGCCACAGCTGCGCGAGGCGGCGGCCTCTCTCGGGTACCTAGTTAGTACCAAATCTATGAACACAAGTCCACATAGCTATTGAACTGTTAGACAAAGGGAAGTTGAAAATTGTTGACAAATGGTGGCCCCGATCTTCCTGTCTCGATATCCGCGCGTATCTTTGCTCATGATGAGTCGTTCCGTGTTCGGTGTACTAACTGGTTCTTACCAATTGTGTCTCTACAGTCTCAGAGGACCCTAGACTAAAGAGAGCTTCGATCCAACCGCCACTTCATAGTATTCCAACCTCGTTGACAACTTACCTGGTCAACTCGAGTCCTTTTCTCTTTGAAAGTAACTGGACTACGTGCTGCAAGCTGCTGTAACTATCCCCGAAAAATTGAAATTGCGGTGCTTCGAAAGCTACCCCAGGCTTCACTAAGTAGGCTCTGGAACCACCCACGCACACGACTCCACACAACGGCAGCGACCGGACGGGCGAACATTTATCGCATCGTCCACTGACCAATCGTCTCAAACCCGCAAGCCGACCATCTATCCTTCATGAATATCTCTTGTCGTCCCGTCCACCACCTCTCCTCTCTCGCCCGCGTCTCCCGCACCATCAGCACCGCCATCGGCCCCGTCTCGTCATCGCGCTGCCCACTGTCGACATCCTCGTCCCCGCCGCCGCCAACCCCGCGAACCACCACCGGCCTCCTCCTGCACGCCCGAGCGACACGGCCCGCCGCACCCCTCCTCTTCCCAGCCGATCGCCGCCGACCTTCCTACCGCCGACGGCAACCCAACAACAATCGCACAATGGCCACTTCCCAAGCCGTCACCGCCAGCGCCGGCCAGCGCCTCGCCGGCAAGACCATCCTGATCACCGGCGCCTCCGCCGGCATCGGCCAGGCCTGCGCGCTCGAGTTCGCCCTCGCCCAGCCGCACGACCTGCGCCTCATCCTCGCCGCGCGCCGCATCGACACCATCCGCGAAATTGCCGCCGCCATCACCCAGCAGGTCGGCGACGGCGTCAAGATCCTGCCGCTACAGCTCGACGTCAGCAAGCCCGACGAGGTGCGCGCCTTTGTGGGCCAGCTGCCAGACGAATTTAAGAACATCGACGTTCTGATCAACAATGCGTAAGCGAGCTGCCCCCCAAGGGTCTAAGTTAGGGAAGCCGTTTTATAGAAACAAAGCTGATAACCCCAAAAGCGGCGGCGTCCGTGGCGTCGAGACGGCCGGCAACATTGCCGAGGCCGACATCAACATCATGTTCGACACAAACGTCACCGGCCTCATCAATGTCACCCAGGCCGTCCTGCCCATCTTCTTTGCCCGCCCAGATGGCGGAGCCGGCGATATTGTCAACATTGGCTCCATCGCTGGTCGCGAGCCCTACGCCGGCGGCTCCATCTACTGTGCGACCAAGGCCGCTGTACGCAGCTTCACCGACAGCTTGCGCCGTGAGACCATCAGCACCAAGATTCGCGTCATGGAGGTGGACCCTGGCGCGGTCGAGACCGTACGAACTTCTCCCATGACGGCTACTAGAGCCAACGAACAACGGTCAAACGGCTAACCGCTCGTCTTAGGAATTCTCCGTTGTTCGCTTCCGTGGCGACAAGGCCAAGGCTGATGCTACCTACGCGTAAGTGCATTCCTGTCCAGCGCCGGTTCGCGGCGGCTATCAACCTCGATTTGCCGGTTGCTAACATCAAAACAAGTGGCATGGAGCCTCTGACGCCCCAGGACATTGCCGAGGTCATCGTCTTCAATGTCACCCGTCGCCAGAACGTTGTTGTTGCCGATTCTCTCATTTTCCCTACGGTTCAGGTAAGCAAAATGCTCGCACCCCTCCCCATTGCACGCTAGCTAACAGAAGATGTAGGCTGGTGTTGGTCCTGCCAATATGTATCGCAAGACCGCCTGAGTCGACCTGGCAAAAACAGACCAAAGACAAAAGGGGGAAGAGTAGAACATGCGGCAGCAAAAAATAGACATGTAAAAGACGCTTTTCTTTTCGATATGACCTATTTACTTAAATACAGCTATCTATGAACAACAAATTGTCACATATTAAACAGATAATACAGTTGAAATGTTCGAAAAATTCTCTTGCCCCTCACCCACGCGCCCGAGGGCGAAGCCATCAAGATGACCAGAGTTAGGGGCCTTCTAAGAACGAGAGTTCAATCTACCGATGTTCCGTTAAGAGCCCATTCTGAGATGAATCGGGCCCTTGCTGCCGTAAGTGGCAGCATCACCGGGGAGTGTACGCATGTGCGTTTGTTTGGGGCTTCTGGGCTCTCGTCAGACCTTCTTTCAGAAAGCTACGCAAAGAAGACCGCGAGACTCGGAGAAACCCTCTTCACATGAAAGTCACAGGAGTTGGCAATGGAGGGGGACTGGGAAACAATTCATGTTTGCCATGCTACCTGCTGCTTGCTCATGAAGAAATCATAGTAAGCAAACCAAAGAACAAGCAGTTATTGCAATTTACCTTCCAGAGACGCCACGCTAGCGTAAAATAAGAAATCAAGATATGAAGTAATCGTCTTGTCAAATGAATGCGAGACAATCGTTGTGCAAATGCGTCCAGACATTTTGCTGTTAAGCAGAGCAACCTAGTCTGTGTGTTGGTAAAGAGGCGAGATTGACTCTCCATAGTGGTTGCGCCGGATAGACTCCGAAAGCAGAATCGACAGGTCGAGAATGACCAGCTTGGTGACGCCCTTAACGCGATCATGGCTGATGGGGAAACTGTTGGTCACGACAATTGAGTCGATGCACTCGCACGCCTGCAGTCGCTCCAGACAGTCCGCCCCAAATACGCCGTGCGTGGCAATGCAGTACACCTTCTTGGCTCGGCCACGCTTGACGACTGTCTCTGCCGCAGCAATCCAAGACCCAGGCTTATCAATCATGTCATCTACTAGGAAGACCGTTTTGTTCTTCACGTCACCGACAAGGGTAATCATGTGTTCGGTCTTGGTATCCTGGTAGACGTTGTCCTCTTCATCGGAGCTGGCAGTGGGATCACTGCTGCCACCCAGAGCTTGCTTCTCAGGGACGAAGAAGGAAGAGGCACGTGACATCGCCATGGGGTCTTCCTCAGTATCGCTCTGTTCTTGTTCTGGAGACGGGAAATCGTCTTCAACCACGTGTCCATGAACTAGTCTGCCGCGAGTGACCTCCTGAGGCCGATGATCGTCATAGCCATCCTCGTCCTGGGCAGTTTGGCCTGTCGAGTTTGAAGACGGTGTGGTGCTGCCATTCCGGGTTGGCGTTACGCCTTCGCTCGCCAACCTGGCCATGGCAGCGTGCGACCGTTTAGGGGAACCTTGCGAGTCGGCTGAGATGACAGCCTGCTTGGCTTGGGCCTGCTGAGAGGCAAACACTTCTTCCGCATCGCGGTTAGGACGAATGCTGGCCGAAGTGGATGTTTCCAGCGCCGGCGTGCGATCCTCCCTATCATAGTGATTCATGATAATGCTTTGGGACATGTTGGTGGTTCGCTTTCGGTCTGTAGTCACCATGCCGAAGTTGAGCTTGAGTGCATCAGCCAAAGATGTAACACGCTTCGTGCCACCGGCATTCTTGGATACAACAACGGCCTCCTTCCACTGGGGCACGTTGCGGCGGATCCACCGGGCAATGATGGGCTCCGCATGCAAATTGTCAACCGGGCATTTGAAAAAGCCCTGCATCTGAGATGCGTGCAAATCAACCGTGATAACGTGCTTGACGCCTGCAACGTGAAGCAGGTTGGCCAGCATGCGAGCGGTGATGGCACCTCGGTGCGACTTCTTCTTCGACTGACGGCTGTAGGGAAAGTATGGGAGAACCGCTGCAAACAAGTGAATGTCGTTAGCAAACGCGAACCCCGCAGATTGCAGATTGTCTTGCAGCAATGACTCAGCCCATACCTGTGATCTTGTTGGCTGAGCCGCCCTTACAGGCATTGATCATGATTAGCAGCTCCATGATGGAGTCGTTGATCCTGGGGCTGCCCGACTGGACGACAAAAACATCCTTCTCACGGACGCTCGTGAGAATCCGCACACTTGTCTCGCCCTTGGTACCAAGAGGTTAGCCTCGCCACACGAGCTGTCGGCGGTGGAAGCCGCCGGGCCAGGGGGCAGCTCACATTGGAGAATTGGGTCAGCTCAGCGTCGGCCGGTCGCATGCCCAGGTTCTCACATATCTGCTTTGTGAGAACCGGGCACGAATTGCCCGCAAAGATGAGCGTGTTACGCATTGTCTTTGATATCAAATTCACGCCATAGGTGGCATGGACCGACACGAGAAGCTGGGATGGAGGCAAGAAAAGTGGTGTTCTGGTTTTTTTTTCTCGCCAATAAAGCTTTTCCAGCCAGCGGGGACAGAATACTGTGCGAAAATGAAAGAAACACGTTGGTAATATTGGTGTTATGGGGCGGACAGGCGATTCTCCAGCCAGCTGCAATCTCGCTATAGCGTCCAATATACAGTGCGAACTAGCCCCCGCTATTGGTGGGACTCTGGCTCACGAACCATGCAGGCCAGAGGCCGTGGCTTGCTGGACAAAGCACAATTATGACACCACGATTCAGCTGCTTTGTGAGAGGACGACTGGACTATTGACTGGGAATCCCGAAATACCCTTCTCTTGTGCAACCTCCCCTTGAGTCCAAAACATACACGACAGTGTCATGCGGCCTCAGTAGGTGCCAGCCAACGCTGCCTATGCCGGCTCGCCCTCCCTCATTCGCCACCGACAACTCGGCTGCACAGCCCGCTTGAAGCTGAGAGCAGCGCCGCATAGCTATCCTTGTTGCCTTGTTAGCCTCACCATGGGTATCCCACATCTCATATCGACGCTCGAGCCGTACGCCCAGCATGTGGCGTTGGAGCGTGTAAATGTTGTGGTGGACGGGCCTGGGCTGGCGCATCACATCTTGCATGTGTGCCGCCTCAATGGCGTCGAGCATCCTTCCTATCGCTTGCTGGGTGAAACAGCTGTAGATTGGCTTGACCAACTAGTTTTCCAGAGGGCAGACATGTAAGGCGTCCCACTGGCCTCACTGCACAGAGGCCCCAGATCCTATCCCAGCTGTACTGACTCTGCAATGTAGAAACATGATTTTCTTTGATGGATATTTACCGAAGAGCAAGCTCCCAGTTCGCATGCAGAGAGCTGTCAAAAGCACCTCTCAACTTGCTTCATTCTATGGCTACAATGGCCGTGGTTGTCCGAGATGTCACATTTTCGAGCCCGCCGAGTCGGTCACGATCGACCCGTTCAAGAGTGGGAGACTAGAAATCAAGCCGCTCGAAGCGCCAAGCTTCCTGGTACCTGCAGTGATTGAGGGACTGCAGCGCTCCAAAAGGTACAAGCCCATTGTAAAGGTTGTTCCCGGGGAGGCGGACGGCTATTGCGCAATGGCTGCTGCAGACATTGGTGGTGTCGTGATCACGTCCGACTCAGACCTCCTGGTGCACGATCTCGGCGCTGGTGGCGTCGTGCTGCTGCGAGATATGTACAAAGACGACGAGGGCGTGGTGTGCGCTGCCGTGTACCGCACACGGGATATTTTTCGCGCCCTCGGCCTCTCTGGCATCGCCGACATTCGTCGCTTTGCCTACGAGCGTTTGTGCTCGGTGCACACCAGTACCACGATGCTGGTACGGGCTTGTTCAGAGCCTGTCAAGGACGAGCAGGCCTTCAAGGAGTTTTGCGCGCAGTACGAAGAAGAAGAACGCGCCGTGATTCCCACATTCAACCTGGGAGACAAACTTATGCTACATGGGCTCGACCCGCGCTGGTCGGAGCTGCTACTACAACTGTCGCAAAGCCGGTCCAATACGACGCCATATGCATTTCGCATGTTCCTCCCAGTCCTCATTGACAGCACAGAAAAGGGCACGGCCTGGGAAAACAGCAGGGGCATCCGGCAACTGGCGTACTCGCTTGCACGCAACATGTTGGTCCCCGGCAGCTCTGGCGCTGTACACGAATACCGCAGGGTCCAGACACCCGACCAAAGCGGCCGCCAGGTGGCTATGCTCTCGCAATCGGCCATCCACACCGAAGTTGCACACCTAGCAGGTACTCTAAACAAGCTTGCCAGGAGCCGGTCGGACAAGCGAGACGCCATGTACTGGCTGCTGGCGTACATGACTCTCGACATTCACGGATCCGAGGCGGATGGGAGATCACCCTTTGCTGTAGACATGCTGCAGCGCGCAGAATGGCCAGACGACAAGACGAAGACAATCTCGTGGCGCTTTGTCCATTTTGTGGCTCAACTGCAGGCGGCGTACTACTCCCTACGGATGCTCAAGCAGATTGTACACGTCAGCATGCTAGACGCGCAAAGAGTGGCTGGCTCGTCCTTTACGAAGCTGGCCCACGCGCTACGCAAGCTGCCACTGTTGGAAGAATCACCAAACGCGAGAAGCGTCTGTGAATTGCTCCGTACTGCCCCAGCGGCCGAAACTGGAGGCATATTGAGTCAATCTTTCGAGCTACCAGACCCACAGGCCGAGTACAAGATCATACCTAGTAAGCGGTGCAAGAAGCAGAAAAGTGATAGCGCCGTCTCAAAGAAATCAACGAAAGGCTTAGCAACGAGTAACATGTTCGGATTGTTACCTGTCGAATAAATAGGTGTAATCGCTCAAAATTAGGCAACGCTACCAACCGCTGTATATAGAGATACCCCGAACACATTTACACCATACTCCATGCATGCATAACACGCCCTTGTGTACATACCCCTTCATGCTCGACACATACCATTGTGTACACGGCCCTTGACGCTCATAAAGAAGAGCTTAGGATTACAACCAAAAAGAAGAAGAGCCCGTAGGTTGCTACTTCAGTTTATCTCTCCATCTCCCACCCACATACTTCACGGAGAGACCGTTTAAAGTTGACGCCTTCCTGGGTAACATCCTCTAACAAGTCATCGTGAGGCATGCCTTGCCCAGCTGCCTGGATAATTCTCCAGGCTCTGCGGAACTCATCCCGAATTGACACGATACCGTTGTGTGTGACGGTACGGGCAACATTGTGCTCAATCTCAAAGGGGTCCTCAATGGCGAACAGATATCGAAGTCTTACCTCCTTAACGGGAACCGCACTTTTAGGAGTTGTCCTTGCTTCATCAGGAGGCGTGCTACTTAGCGTGCCCTCCGTAGTGTTTGTTGGCGGCTTCACCGACGGTTCGTTTGGATCTTGCGCTTGATAAACAGTTTTTGCTCCAGTCCAGCCCTTTTCCTGCTTTGACAGGAGGCCGCCAGACGAGCGCAAGCTCAGAACCTCTCGACCCCAGTCGAATCCTCGCATCGGCCTAGTGCTCAAGGTGCCACCCTGCGCGAAATACTCGAAAAACCCACGCAATAGATAGCCAATAGTTTGCGAGTTTTGGTTTATCCCGTTGGAGCCGGCCAGCCGCATAATAGCTATTTCGTTGCGCCAAAATCTCACGTTATATCCTTTGCAGATTTGAGGGTCATCCGTCTCGGAGATAGGGATGAGTTGCAGGTTTGGGCAGACATATGGTGAAGCCACGTTGACAAGGTAATGTAGCACCATCAACACGTAGCCGTAGCTGGAGAGTGTCCCCCGATATCCAGAATTGATGCCACGGACCTTGGCCCAATGTTTGATAAATAATACCATTGGTCGCACTCGCATGTCTGTATGGGAATAACAACGAAGCAGAAGCGTGTTTTCCAATGCGAGGTGCGCCGAAAAATTGAGATCGCACTGAACCCCAGCACCGCGCTCGGGAAACTCGAGGGGGTCGTGATATCTGTCATGGGGTTGGTTTGGTGCCACTGTTTGGGGGTCTGGAATGGATTCGAGCCTGCGGAATAATGCATCTACTTCATCGTTGGCGATTGGAACAACGAGAGCGAGTGGCCCGCGTTGACCCACAGGTTCCCTCAAAGGGCCACGCAAAATCTCGATGCCACGGCTTACATCTTCGGCAACCGCGCCATCGTAGATTCTCTTGTTTAGAGCCCGTTCGAGATCCGCAGCTAGTTGCAAACACCTGTGCTTGGAGCTAACAACACCCAGATCGAGAGTACCAGTACTGGATTGCCACGACTTGACATCATTGCGAACATCCTCGTAGCAAATGCCAGCAATGTATTTATCGATGACCTCGCGCTGGACTTGACTGCTTCCGTCCAGATGCCCGGATATCTGAAGATGCTTGGTGATGGTCAACATTCGTTCGAGGTACTGCGTGACAGATTCTTGTTGGCTCTGCTCAAATAGTAAAAGCTGGAACGATGGTAGCTTTTTGAGTTTCTCTAAAGCGATTTGTAGCTCCTTGGTGTACCGGAGGGGATCCTGGCCGAAATTCTCCTCGGCTTGTAGACGGTACCAGAAGTCAATACAGGGTCCGTGGAGAGGATCAAGTCGAGCGAGAACAGTGGAAATGGGCCAATTCTGCCACATTTGTATAATTTCTTCACCCTCGACTTGGGTAGATACTCCAAGTAGCGAGCGATTGTGTGGGGTACCGGAATCTAGCTTGAATGCAAGTGAGGGATACTTGATCAAACTTTGACGCAGCATTGCGTCTGCAAGACCGTGCACGAAGGCTCGACAAACGAGATTCAAGACATTCCAGTCATGATGTGTGAATTCTCTCCAGTTGGATAACGTGACATCACGTCCGCCTGCCTTGCGCAGTACGCGTTTTGCCAATCCATAGTAGCTGGTGAGATTATGCTTGGATGTTTGCCGGATATGAAAGTCATGCAGCTGCCCATCTTCATCCAGAACCTGAAACGTGGAAAAGTCAACAGCATTGTTGCCTTGCTCGGATTGAGGTGTAGATTCCTCGATTTTGACACAATTGCTTTTGTCGGCAACGTGCTCATCCTCATCCTGAGATTCATTGTGATCCTGGTCCATGCCAGCTTCCCATTTCGCTCGGTTCGCAAGTAGATCTTTTAGCAGAGGCTCTGGCGGTGATTCACATAACTTGATGATCGGGACTCTGGTACGACTGAGGAGACGAGCGCCAATGCCAACGTCCAAGAATGCCTTCTCAATGAGTCTGGGAATCGGAGATCCAGGAGCGTCCGGCTGAAGATCTGAAAGGGGGGACAGCAGACCAAGGTCCATGTCAGAGGCTTTAGTTGCGAACCCAGAGGCTAAGCTCCCGAAGCACCTAAGCTCCACGGATGGCGGCGGAAAATCTGGGTTTTCATTGGTATTCCACTCGTGCTCTGTAATAACCTGGCGACAGATTCCCTCAATACGGTGGCGAAAGGTTTCTTTTTCCGCAATGTCGGACCTAGCAATTTCGGAGCTGGCTAATGTTTTGGAGCACAAGTTGTCGAGGAGCGTAGACTGGCTGATGATCTCCTCTCGTGTGACCTGCGGTCTGCCATGGCGATTACCGTGGATGCCAGGGTTATGACGCGGGCGGTTTTCAAATTGGCTATTTTGATGCTGCGGCAAATAGCCAGGATGACCGGGGCCACTCTGCGGGACCAGGTTGCTATTTCGAGGGACCCCAAGGCCGTTAGTCCAAGAAACATGGTCCTGCTGCTGGCGCGATCTGGAGTGGTCTGTGTGAGGATGCGACATTGTGTATTGGTGGCGTGGAAACGGCGCAGATGGACCTGCTCGATTCGGTCCATGGTTGAGTGCTTGCCAATTGTATGATGGATTCGAGATACGAGTGTCGACATCCACAGAGAGTTGGGAGCTCATCTGTCTTCTTTGAGCCTGGTTTGGCCGTTTTCGAGTTGGCGGCTTCTGTTGAAAGTGGTCTGCGTTCCCATAGTGCACTGCCGCATTCTGGATCGGAGCCGCCGCATTCTGGATTGGAGCCGCCGCTGACTGAATTGGTCCAAAGCCAGGCGGCGCCACGAACATTGGTCCGCTAGAAGCAGCAGCAGCAGCATGTTGTGGCCAGGGTGAGGTTCGCGACTGCGCACTCGGCTCGCCCGAAGAGTTCAGCATGAGATTGTCGAATTCAATTTCTAATCCAGCAGCGACGCCGTTGCTCCTCGACTCTGTGGGACGGTTACCTGGACGGTAAGACATTGCGACGATGAGGCGCGACAGGTCCGAGGTACCTCAAAGGGAGAATGTCTGTTTGAGTCCACGGTACATGTAAGGCTTGAGTTGTTCGGGAAGCTTGCAGCTTTTATGTAGGTTCTTGCGAGTCATCAGCTTCCGGCTTGATGTGAGAGCTCAAAAAGTTGGAGCAAGGGGAGTGTCCAAGTCCACGAGTGACGAAGAGTGGATCAAGTCTCGTCGAAGGATGTCATCAAGCCAGCCGCGGCGGTAAGACTTCACCAGATGAAAGGGCGCCACAAGACACTCTGATGAATGTTGCTGCTGAAAGGATAAAGGATGAAGACCGACGAGGAAGAAATGCGGCGACAAAGCGAGCTAGAGATAGCTGATGCCCCACTGCATAGGTAGCTCTTGCAAAACTAATCGAGGAGACGAAGTAGTAACGCGTCGAAGAATGGATTAAACAAGTGATGGATCGAGTGATTTTCCAAGAATTTTTTGTTTGGTGAATGTTTGTTTGCCCGGGATGCAGCTGGCCTAGGTAGCAGCCAGCGATACGAGTGTAACACGATATTGTAGGTCATTCGGAGGATATTCTGTTACTCGAGCGCGTCTCGGGGCAATGGGGATGGATGCAGATTGAAGTGAATCAAGCGTGGAGAATGGTCATGACACTGGACAAGCGACAGGTGCCACCCGTTGCAATGGTTGCAATGAAGAGGTAACTAGATCGCGAGACTTGACCAGGTGAATGCGCAGCTTGTAATGCGGTACTTATCACAATGCGAAAATCAACTGCAAACGAAAGTATCCCTACCCTACCTGTAAAAGTACCAGATTGGTGATGCGCTAACGTACCCCCCAATAGCCCTGTAGTTTAGTGGGGAGTCTGCCAGTCAGGGCGATCCTTAGAAAATCCATGCTGCCTCGCAGCTTTTTACTTGCAGGTTTTAGCTGACAGCTGCCTGACATAGAAGTTATCTTGTGAGAATTAACCTACAGATTAGGAGTTGTTTAGATCTTCACTTTAGGGACACCTAGGTATGGACACCGGTCGCTCAATGCTGGCCGCTGTGCGACGCCTCTTTTTTTTTCAGCGCAGCGCAAGGGAATTGTTAGCGAGGCTCCCTAAATGACCTACAGTGGGGTTGTAGGTACTTTTATTACTGCCAGGCGGTGTTACAAAGCTCGCCAGCAGCCGCGCTGGCCATTGGCTGCGGACCCCATCGTCATTGTTCCTTGCAACACAGCAATCTCCAGGCAGCCACTCCTTGAACCTTCATCCACCACGACCCGGACAACTCGCGCGGCCTTGATCCATCACGCAGAGATTTACGAGGCATATCTCGTGCGGCTCGATTGCTGCCGTACTTTTGCCACATCGCGCAGGCGGTGCAACGCTACCACGCGCCCACTGCGGGTTCATGCGTGAGCTTCTGATTCTGGCTGCCGCACTGCGCATCCGCGAAACGACGCACGTTGTGCCTCATTCCATCGGCATCTCCAGGTTGTACAATTAGAATCGCAGTCGAAATGAGTACTCCTCCGACCCAGAACATGAACGGCAAACCCAAGAGGAAGCCGAATCCTCTGCGCCCAATGCGCCCGAGGCCTCGTCAGGTCCCTTCTGCGGCTGCCAACCGACCAGACCAGAAGTCCTCATCAGCCTCAGCGGCTGCTGGGCCATCGCGATCGAACGCGGCGAATGGAGGCAAGCAGAGCCTCGATGAACTGCGCAAACAATATGGTGGTTGGTCAGAGCCGCCGCCACCGTATAAATATACCGACATCCCAATTATGACAACGAAGAAGGCACTGCTTGATGGCATTCGCTATCATCTCATGAAGCTATCTTCAACCAAAGCCGACGGGGGACCTATCGATCCGACCGACCAGGAAGAGTTTGCCAGACCCGTTACTCTGCATCGGCGAGATGCTCGCTTGCCACCCCCCGGCAGAACAGTCAAGGAGGAAGCTCCCCAGCGCCTCCCCGTGGATGAGCAAGAACGAGAGAGACTAGTACAGATCAAGGCAGACAAGGAGGTGCAGCGCGCCATCAACCAAGCCAAGATTGCGCCTGTCGCCAAAGAAGTCGTGCCCAAAAAGCCAAAGAAGCAAAAGGAAGAGCGGACAGTGTTCAACAGAGGGCCCCGTACCGTTGCAGCCAAAAAAGAATCCGATTTGCGTTATGAAGAAGCCTTGCCATGGCATCTCGAGGACGTGGACGGCAAAAACGTCTGGGTTGGTTCGTACGTTGCTGCTCTCTCAGAATCCAACGTTGCATTTGTCATCGATCAGTCCGTCTTCCGCATGATACCTCTGGAGAAGTGGTATCGCTTCACATCAAAGCCGCAATTCCAAGCTTTTACCATTGACCAGGCTGAAGAGTACATGAACAGAAAGATTGACGTTGGTCGCTGGGTAATGAAGGATGAAGAGAAGAAGTCTGGTCAAGAGGATTTGCAAGCTACGCGACGAATGCTATATGGGTCGGGTATGATCAAGACTGAGAGCGATACCTTTAAAGCGGCATCCCGTGCAGAAAAGATGGAGCATGATGAGATCGACATGTCTGGAGACGAGTTCCAGGATGACGATGAAGCGCCCATGTTTGAACGCAATGATGACGACGATACGAAAGATTCCAAGGACAGAATCCGCCGCGAACAGCTCGGTGCCAACCTGTTTGGCGATGGTGATGAAGGCCAGGTCGACCAAGAGCTCCAGCAGCAGCTGAAAGAGGAACTTGAACGCCAAAAATTTGGCAAAGCCACTCGTAAGGCTCTCATTAAAAGAGATCGCGAAGATATCTACGAGAGTGACAAATCTGAAGACAACCCTTGGAGCAGCTCCGTGAGGATACCCCACCAATTGCTATCATATTATCAATATACTGACGTGATGCAGTCTGATGAAGAGTCTTCGGACGAAGAGAATGAAGAGAAGAAGGAAGATGAAAAAAAAGACGGTGAAAAGAAGGACGAGAAGGACAAGGACGACAAAGATGAAAAGAATAAGATAAAGGCCGCAAGCGCACAAGGTAAACATAAGCCTGCGGACAAAAAGAGCAAGTCCCTGAAGCGTGCAGGGTCTCCGGCGCTATCCGAATCTAGTGGGAACGAATCGTCGCGCAAGAAGATGAAGAAGACTGCAGTAACGGCACCTGGTAGTCGCGCTGGAACGCCAATTCCTGGTGCTGTCCGCAAGAAGAAGCTGGGTGCTGGATCTACTAGTGATGGCGAAGCTACAGCGGGCGAAATGTCAGACGGTGCTGGACCCAGAAAGAAGATCAAACTTGTTGCAAGCGCCAAGGGAACACCGTCCGCATCTCGGGCCGGCAGCCCTGTCCCAGCCGGTAAGTCTTTGCTCTCATGCAACTTGTCTTCATCTAAGAACACCTTATCTCATGCTAACCGATTACAACAGGTGCATCACCGCCACCCTCATCTGCAGGGATCGAACCATGGGAGATTCTGGAAAAGATTCCCGACGGCGGCATCAGCATTGTGGAGCTTATCAAGCCCTTTCAGTCGCGCGTCGGCACCAAGCCCGGCCAGATGGCCAAGGGTGACTGGATCAAGCTCGTCACTCGACTGTGCGAATACGGACCCGAAAAGCTACTGCGCAAGCGCAAATAGAGAGAGCTTCCAGTTAACTATGCGCACATGCAAGAGCTTGCCGCCGTGACACGGGCAATGGCGTTGTGGTAACTGGATTTCAGTTTACTATTCTCGCATCTTGAGTTCCGGACGCCGTCAAAGACACAGGCGCTAGTGTAGAATTAATACATGCTTTATTATATTTTTCCACAATGCTGTGGTGGCGTTGTTGGCCAGATGGATTGGAACGCCCTCATCCAACTGGCGGCGGGTATCTATGGTTCATATTCTTGCCTACTCATCCATCTGCCATGCGTAGTCGAGTCCCTCGTTCCTCTTCATCCTGTTCAGGGCTTTGAAGCGCTCCGCCTCAAACCCTGTGCCCCTGTCCACGCCGTCCCAGCGGTACCCCGGCTTGATGCCGTACCTATTCGGCGGCGCCGCGCCTGCGTACACGGGCCGTCGTTTTGACTTGCCCTTTTTGCCCGCGTCATCCCTGCCGCCGCCGCTCATGAACTGCATCATGGGATCGTTCCACCGCTCCTGCGCCTTGAGCTCCTGATTCATCGCCTCGTCATCCGCGCCCCGCGCCAGCGGCATCAGCTTGGCATCCTCCAGCAGCTCGCGCCGCTGTCGGGCCTCCTCCTGCTGCACCTCGCCCTTGAGCGCCTCCTTGGCGAGCCGCTCCTTGTCCTCGGCCTCGGCGGCCATCCGGCGCGCCTCGGCGCGGCGCATGGAAATGTCGATGCGCCGGCCGGTGGCGTCGCGGTACACCGTCTCCTCCTCCTGGGCGGTCGCGCGGTGCCGCTCAAACTCGGCGCGCTCCTCACGTTGCCGCCGGCGCAGCTGCGCCGACACCGTGGCCGCGGACTGCAGGCCGGCGTGTGTGCCGTCGCTCATCTTGACGGTGCTGTGGTGGTCGTCGTCGTCCGCCACCAGCGGCATCTCTTCGTCTTCGGCACGGGCAGCGGCGGACTCGGCGGCGGCGGAGGCGAGGATGGCGTCGGCGGCGGCCGTGTCGTCTGTGTCCTTGGTTGCGTCGCCGCCGCCCAGGGGTTTCCAGTTGTTCTTCTTTGCTCGTCGAAACTCGGCCGATGCGCCCGTCACGGTGACGGGGCCGTCGTCGGCATCGTCATCGCCGTGTGTTTTTTGGCCCCAAGTGCCATCGTCGTCGTCTGTTATGAGCAGGCCGCCGGCTGCGGCTTGCTTGCGCTTCTTCTTCTTTGGTTTCGCGTCGGCGACGAGGTATTTCGAGGCGAGGTAATTGGACAAGTCTGAAGGCATTACTGAAAGAGTAAGATGCAGCGACGACAGTAGCGACTTTGAGTGATTGCTCGGTACAAAAAAGGATAAAGCTGTGGCGCTATCGACAAGGCAGCTCTAATTATGCAGCTATCGAGAAATCTCAGCCGCGGCTCTGCCCCGCTAGAGTAATGTGGGATGGCGTTGGGAGACAGCTCGCTCAGGAACGTGTTCCTAGTTAATAAAGATCGCTGGGAACAAGAGACAAGCCGATCGCGCACCGCTCCATGACATCTTTTGCATAATTTTTCGCTACGAAAATAATATGCCGAGTCGGCTGCAACAAAGGAATAGCGCGCAACCTTTGTTCTCCTCGTCACGCCACATGAATTGCCCAACCGCACTGCGAAGCTCGGCCCGGACGTAGCGCCGCCAAATTCGCCTGCCATGGCGCAACCCCGACGCGATGAGCCGCCCACGGCGCCAATCAAGGCACTCCCGATGGCTGCCTCTGTGATTCATGTCCCCAAGAGGGGACAGGTTCTGTCCGCGGGCAACCCCCTTTCCATGTCGCAGAGCGACGTCTCGCTGCCCTTTCGCAGGAGCAACCCCTCGGCCGCCTCGCTCTACGCCTCGACGCTCTCACCGCCCGGCTCCCGATCCATGTCTCCGTCCGGCCGCGGCTCGCCGTCGCAATACCTTGCCAACACCGTCTTCGACGTCAGCCAGGGACGCGGTCTCCCTGAAAATGCGGCCGATAGCCCTGGGGAGCCCCTCAGTCTGGTCCTAAGGGCCTTTGTCCCGCACGTGGCTGTGTATCCCTCGGCAGATACTGAAGCGCTGGTTCGCGAAAAGGGTTTCAAAAATGGTCTATGGGAGCTTCTTCGGCCCTTTGGGGAGAGAATACAAGGCAAGGTTAATGTGCGCGATAGCAATGGGGTGAGCCGTGTCGCAGAGGACTTCTCCATCCGCTTTACAAAGTTCGGAGACAACATAGAGCACCCAGACCCCGCCATTTCTGGTCCGCGGCCGTCTTCGATGGATGAGAAAAACGGTCGACAATCGGCGTCAGCCCGGGACAAAACTATATTGTCAGATGTTGAAGCGATAGTCGACAAGCACCTGACTTTTGCAGAGCAAGCTTTCCAAGCGTCCCCCAACCACGACATTTTGAGACGGCAAGGACTCGATGTGGAAACAGCGTCCCCTTACTACGCTTTATATCTCCGCCGACTACTATCCGGCCTCCCAATAACACCACACGAAACCTTTGCGCACCCAGTCGCCTGCGTCGTTGCGATTAGTTCACGCAACGAAACCCCCATCGAGGAACTGCGCCGACTGTACGCTGAAACGAACCTGGGAGACCACAGATTGCCTCCCTGGGTTGATGGGGAATATTTACGCTATTACGTGCTCGTTCACGATGAAGAAAACGGAGACATTACAAGGTCTATGGCACTGTTTGAACAGATGAAACGACACCTTGGCCTGCATTGCCACCTCCTACGACTTCGATCCAGCCAAAGCGCCGAAACAGACGACGACAGCATTCCATTACCCCGGAGTGATTGGATGACTGCCGCGGAAGAGCTTCACAACATTAAGCGCAGTGAGGATGACGAGGATTTCGACGACCCATCTCAGTACATATTCGAATCTGATGCGACCGCTATTCGCACTTTGATCAAGGAAATGGTCACACAGTCCATTGTTCCCACCATGGAAAGACATATGTCTGTATGGAACGATCAGGTGGCATCTCGACGAAGGGGTATTACCGGAAAATTTATGAACCTGTCGCGTAAATGGACTGGATTTGGCGGAGGCGGTCGAACATCTGTCGGTGGCGGTGCTAGCAATAAGGATATATATGACCCTGCTGGCTTCTACCATGCGACTGCTGCAGAAGCCATCATGCGGAAATTGGCCGACTTTGCCTTCATGTTGCGAGACTGGAAACTGGCATATTCAACATACGACTTGCTGCGACCAGATTTCAGCGAAGCAAAGGCATGGAAATACTATGCCGCAGCCAACGAAATGGCCGCTATCAGCATGCTCATGATGCCCCAACAACTGACGTCGAAAACGCGGACAGAAACTATTGACCAAATGCTCGAGTCGGCTTTCTATTCATACCAGACCCGATGCAGCAGCCCATACGGCGCTCTACGGAGTCTCACACTAGGCCTTGAGCTATTACGCCTACGAGGGGGCTCCAATGTCGATGACGCCGGGCGATGGGGCCTGCGACTACTGGAGTCGCGCATCCCGGGCCGCATCGGTGACGCTCTCACCAAAGAACGTCTCGCCATCTGCTACGCCTCTAAGACAGGCATTGGCAGCTGGCACTGGGGCAGCCGCCGCCGGAAGTCGGCTGCCTGGGCCGTTTTGGCCGCCGAGGCGTGGGCGGAGCAGTCCAAGTACATTCCTGCGCAGCGCTGCCTCAGCGAGGCGCAAAAGACATACCGTCCGCGGACGGCGGCCGAGGGGGCGACGACGCATTTTGCCACAGCCATGGCCTACGTGGACGGCCTGCAGCGGGAGATTGCGGACAGGCTCGGCCACGCAGACGACACGGCGGACGAATCGGCGCTGGAGGAGTCGCAGAGCGAGATTGAGGAAGAGAGCGAGGCGCTGACGGATGAACGCGCTCGAAGACCTAGCATGCTTGCGCGTGGCGGTTTAGAAACAGAACCTCTTCACATGGAGCAGTTGGAGGGCGAAGTGCCTGATGCTGCGCATCAGCAAGACTTTGACTAAGCAGCGCAATATTTCGGGGGAGTGCTGGCGCATTGGTATAGATGGGAAATAGTTCCTACGGTCTCGGCATTTGCATAATAATCTTATAAACGTATTCCTTTTAAAGTCCTTGTTTTATAAATGTCTGCATCCGCGCTCGATAAACGGCGCGATACTGATGTATAAGAGTATCAAAGTCGAGTCGAGGGAGATTAGACCCAGAAAACATGGCCACGAGGGCAAATTGTTATTGACATGAAAGGGGCACACGAGCCCCCAAAGTACTATGGAGAGACTACAATCTAAATAATCCCAACTCATGTTTTCACACGCAAAGTCGCCCAGCATTCACCCAACTTCTTCAAGGCGCTCCCGCCTGCTTGCCCTCGACCTTGACGCCGAGGGCTGCATACACAGCGCGGCCGTAGGCGAGCGTGTTGGGGTTACCTATCGTGCCGGCGTTGATCCACATCTTATTCATGGTGTACGAAAACGTCATGCGGCGCTCGGTATCGGCAGCGACCATGGAGCCGCCCCAGCCGCTCCAGTAGCAGATGCGGCCGCGCGGCAGGATCTCGTTGACGGCCGAGTCGCCGGCGAGGCAGATGCCGTAGCCGATGCCGAACTGGACGTTCCTGTGGAGCACCATGTCGACGCCGTGCGACTGCTGCTCAAAGATGAGGTCGATGGTCTTGGGCGACAGCAGGCGCACGCCGTCGACCTCGCCGCCGAGCGCAATCGCCGACATGATCTTGGCGAGGGCGCGGGCGTTGCTGTGCCCGTTGGCGGCGCCAATCTCGGCGCGGCGCCAGCCGGCGGACATGGCGCTGCTGGCGTCGGGCGCCGGGTTGAGCAGCGTCTTGGCCGTGATTTCAGGCGCGCCCGGCGGCAGCGCCATGCTGCCGCGGCCGCCCGTGTCGAGCGTGGCCACGCGCGGCCAGTCGTGCTCGGCGGCGCCGAGCTGGAAGTCGACGTTGAGCGGGCCGGCAATCTCGGCGGCGATGAACTGCCGCATCGTCTGGCCGCCGGTGACGCGCACGACGAGCTCGCCGAGCAGGAAGCCCATGGTCAGGCTGTGGTAGCCCGAGGCGGTGCCGGGCTCCCACCAGGGCGCCTGCGCGGCGAGCAGCCGCGTCGCCTTTTCGCGGTCGTACAGGTCGTCGCGCGCCAGCGGCGCCTCCCAGCCGCTCACGCCCGACGTGTGCGAGAGCAGGTGGCGCACCTTGACGTGCGCCTTGCCGTTGGCGGCGAACTCGGGCCAGTAGGCGGCGACGTTTTCGTGCACGTCGAGCAGCCCGCGGTCGACGAGCATGAGGATGGCAAGGGAGATGATGGTCTTGCTCGAGGACCACACGTTGACAATCGTGTCCTCTTGCCACGGCTCGGTGCGCTCGGTGCTGGTGTGGCCGCCCCAGAGGTCGACGACGGTCTTGCCGTCAATGTTGACCGTGATGGAGGCGCCCAGGTCGTCGCCCGAGTCGAGGCGCTGCTGGAAGATGTTGCGAAGCTCCGCAAAGCGGTCGTCGTTGGTGCCCTGAACCTGTGCCATGTTGGGAAACGAGCTGACGAGAAGGGTGATGAAAGAGGTGTGAGTGAAGGGGGAATGGGGATGAGTCCTTGTCAGGAGCCTGGCGATGTGGCAGTCTTTATAAGTCGCGCTGACTCGGCTCGTGGGCCAGGGACCGGACACTTGGTGTTCGTCAATCAACGCCGCGGCACCAGTAACATCTCTTTCCCCACACACAGGAAGGCTGTGTGTGAATTGAATGCGTCGGCAATCAATCCGTAGTCGGTGAATGCAACCCGTCGAGCTAAAGCCAGTTGTAGCTGGCCATCGTGTGCCAGACTTGCCAGTAAAGCAAGGTCCCGGTTCAGTGACGCGTACTCGCAGATCCGCGGGAAAAGAGGCAGTCTCCCAGCACGCAAAGAAGAGAGCAGTTCGGACTTGAACAAAGGTCCGCAGCCTCGGTGGAAAGCGGAGAGGTGGATAATGCGCTGGCCGCCACCAACTCGGAACGGGACGCCGGACTTTAATAACGATTGCTGAGGGCTCGGAGTCTTGGTGGGCGGGCTTTCAAGCCCCAACCAATGATTATACTTTGTAATAATTAGTTTGCTTCACAGCCCCCCCGCCTCTCCATCCAAAGAACCTTGTTAGCTCTTCAACAACCTCTAGCCCGAATCGTCTGAGATCCGTGTGCCGAAGCAAAGCAACAGCAGCCACCCGCACTCGTCGCCATCCTCATGCAAAAGAAGCAAATCAACCTCCTCCGCGGCTGGCCCGCCCCGGAGCTGCTCCCCGCCGCGCAGCTCGCGGCCGCCTGCCAGCGGCTGCTGGGCAGGGACCAGCCCGCCGTGTACACGCCGCTGCTCGAGTACGGCGCCGACGAGGGGTACGCGCCGCTGCGCCGCGGCCTGGCCGCCTGGCTCGGCCGCCACTACCGCGTGCCTCCGGACCCCGCACGGCTCTGTATCACCGGCGGCGCCAGTCAGAACCTCGCCTGCGTCCTGCAGAGCTTCAGCGACGCCCACGCCACCCGCGCCATCTGGGCCGTCGCCCCCGTCTACCACCTCGCCGTCCCCATCTTCCGCGACGCCGGCTTCGGCGCCGGCCGCGTGCGCGCCACGCCCGAGGACGAAGACGGCGTCGACGTCGACGCTCTGGAAAGTAAGATTTTGGCCTTGGAGCGGGAAGAGGAGGGGAAAGATTTTGGCAAGGTTCGTTCATTGAATCCTTTTATTTTATTTTTTTTCTTTTCGCTTCGGGTTTTCTTGACTGACAGAGTTCTCGGCAGCCCACCAAGCTGCCTGACCCCAAACGCAAGTTCTACCGGCACTTGATCTACGTCGTGCCGACGTGCGCCAACCCCTCGGGTAAATCCATGCCTATTGCTCGCCGCGAGGCTCTGGTGAATCTGGCGCGCAAGTACGACGCCCTCGTTATCTGTGATGACGTCTATGATTTCCTGCAATGGCCGCTGGACGGGCCCGTTTCCGTCGAGCGCCCGCCCGAGATGAACCTGCCGCGCCTCTGCGACATTGACCTCGCCATGCCGCGCGCCGCCAACGACCCCGACGGCTTCCACCACACGGTCAGCAACGGCTCCTTTAGCAAAATCTCCGGCCCCGGCGTCCGCACCGGCTGGGCGGAAGCCTCGCCGGCCTTTATCGCCGGCCTCGCCAGCACGGGCTCGACAAAGTCCGGCGGCGCGCCGAGCCAGCTGTGCGCCGGCATGCTCTCCGACCTAGTTGACAGCGGCGCCTTGGAGCGCAACATTGAGCAGGTCCTGCGGCCCGCTCTGCAGCGGCGCCACCGCCGGCTCCTCGACGCCGTGCGCAGACACCTGGCGCCGCACGGCGTCACGCGCCGCGAGTCTAGCCTGACCGGCGCCCAGTCCTTTGGCGGCTACTTCTTGTGGTTGCAGCTGAAGCCGGGCTTCTCGGCCGATCTGGTCGCGCGCGTGGCCAGTGAGGAGGAGAATGTCATCATCGGCCACGGCAACATGTTCACCGTGCACGAGGAGAAGAGCAAGACGCTCTTTGACCATCATTTTCGGCTGTGCTTCTCGTGGTTGCCCGAGGATGAATTGGAAGAGGGCGTCAAGAGGCTAGAAAAAGTATTGGTGCGGATCGAACAGGACAAGGAGCACTACAAGGCTCTTGAAAAAACGCTACTCGGCAAAAGTGACGACAAGAAGCAATTTGTATAGATGGGACTTGCCTTCACTAGGATAAAGAGAGCTGAAAGGGGAAGAAATGAAAAGCCAAATTGATTTCATTATTACACATGCGCCGGCTATTTCTTCCCGAAGAACGACATGATGTTTCCTTGATAGCCTTTACCTGCTGACGGTTTCTTTGGTTTTGCAGCAGAAGACGCGGGTGTAGAGCTTGTTTTTTCCTTCTTCGTCGACGCAGGCGTCTCGTCCTCCGAAAATGACTCCCATGCGGCCTCTTGGATGGTAACTGGTTCTCTGTTAGAATCTTGACTGTGGATGTATCATAAGTCAGTAGCTTACCCATATAACCTTGGTCGTCCAAGATTCGCTTCTTCTTCATCACGCGGCGCTTACCACGCCGACGGCCATTCGATGAGGTAGCGGCGACCTCCTCTGGCTCTTTCTTTTCTTCCTTGACCGGCTCTGGTTCGGGTTCGGGTTCAGGTTCGGGCTCTTCCATCTCGGCATCTTCTGGCTCGTTTTCTTCCTCCTCCTCCTCCTCATCCTCCTCTTCCTCCTCATCGTCCTCGTCCATCATACGTCGCAGGTCGTCTGTGCGTTTTCTCTTTGCTTGCCGCAAGGAATCCGTCTCAGCAACAGTCTTCTTGGGAGCAGGCATATCGTCAGCATCAGCTTCGCCATCATCGCTAAGAGCCATGGTTGCATCCTCTTCCTTCTTCACAGCCGGTTTGGGCTTTGGCGGCCTAGACGCCGCCTTGGCAAAGGACTGCATGATACCGCCGGCGCTACCCTTTTTGGGGGGCGGCGCGCTCTTTGTGGAGCTGGATGACGGGGTCTCTCGCTTTACTGCCGCGCTCGGGGCTGGTTCCTTCTTCACGGGAGCTGGAGCAGGAGTGGGATTTGCGACAGGTTTTGCGGTAGGTTCTGTCTTTTTAGCGACGATTGGTGCAGGGGGCGGCGCAGGGACACCCTTTTTGCGTTCTCTCCGCCGGGTGTGAGGATTGTAGATGGTACCGTATTTCTTAGACAGGGTGGCAGCATCCTCGCTTGTAGAGTACTCAGAAATGGATTTAGCCACATCGGCCAACAATACATAGTCTTTTTGCGGGTTGGGGGCCAAGCTGTAAATATGGATGGCTATGACTTTGCTGTATTGCGAGAGCGTTCCTTGAGCAATCGTGAGCAAGGCGAGGGCAAGAACCGATCAATTCACGCGCACCTTTGAGTTTGTCATCACTGACAAGAGTCATTGTCATTGTAGGGACCTTGTCAGTGAGATCATCGGGCTGAGAGTTGTCCATCTCAACATCCATATCGGGCTGCGGTAGGGCATCCTTGACTCCAGAGACCAAGTAGGTGGCATGGACGGAATCAGGACGCAGCGCATTCTGGTAGTTATAGTAGTCAAAGAGCATTCTGACTGGAGTAAGTAATCAAATCAGAGATATTAAAGCCTTGCACATACTCCTTTGCCGTGTTCACATGTACCTCCAATGCGCGGCTCAGTATGCGATAGGTAATCTATGCTCCAGTTAATGGGGAAATCTGGTAGTTGCAAATACACGACGTACTGGACGCTCCTCGCTCAGTATGCGATCGGCAAGAAATTTGTTGTGCTCTTCCATCTTAAAGTCGAATGAAAATTCAGGGTCGTGTAAAGTAGCAGCAATTGGGGTCTGCCGCGACAAGCTGACAGGTTTGTTCAACGGATCAGAAAGAGACGCGTGAAGTGTAACGCGTCCGCACGTGACACTATCGCATTCTGCCACTGAAAAGGCCGCTGTATAAGGCCGCTATAAGAGACGCCAAGCTCGCAAACAAGGACCGTTTTGGTCGGCTAACAGTGAGCATGCTCCGCTAAATATCCGCCACTACAGTGGATCGATTTACCAGTAAAGTGCCCACTTACGCGACGCGAATTGTCATGTCGTCAATCGAGCTCAACCGCCCGTCGGCCTTTAAACCACCTCAAATCGGCCTTGCGCAGCCTGCGAATATCTTGGGCAGCTCTCGGACTCTCGGAGTAAGCAGTAGCCGATACTGCGTAAAACGCCACCCAAGGACCCTCTGTGCCCGGGATATTATCGAGATCTTCTCATTCACGGCGCCGCGAGCCATGCCCGTCGACGACGTCGCAGATTCGACCGATTGGCTCTCGACGCCGCTCTCCCGGCTGGCCGCGGTCGAATCGGCCCTGCGATGCGAGGTTTGCAAAGACTTTTACCGGACGCCCATGATCACGTCCTGCGCGCACACGTTCTGCTCGATATGCATCCGCCGGGCACTCTCCAACGACAGCAAGTGCCCGCTGTGCCGCGCCACGGACCAGGAGCTCAAGCTGCGGAGCAACTGGTCCATGGAGCAGACCGTCGCCGCATTCTCAGAAGCGAGAGAGGACGCACTCGCGTTTGCGCGCCGCGCCAGCGTCGAGAAGAAGCAGCCGACAAAACGGAGGGCCGACGACGACGGTGGGAATGCACAGCCCGAGTCGCACTCCAAACGCCTACGGACCTCGGCCAGGCTGAGCGGCCGTGCCGAGGTGACACCACCTGCGCCGAGTATGGATGTAGTCGAGGATTCAGAGGACGAGGATTTCGAACCAGACAATAGTACGTTGATCCCCCACCGTCGTGCCGCAACTAAGGGCTAACCAGAGGGTTCGCAGACGACGGACTGGTGCCCTGTCCCATGTGCCAACGGCGCATGAAAGAATGGCAAGTCTTTGCCCACCTCGAGTCGTGCCCCGGCCCCGACGCCAACACGATCCCACGAAAACCCACGAGCAACGACGCCCCGCCGCCGCCGCCGACCGGCCAGATGCAGCGCCGGCAGCAAACGACGCTCGAGCGGCTCCCATCCCTCAGCTACTCCATGTTCAAGGAGTCGGCGCTGCGCAAGAAACTCGCCGACATGGGCATCGCGCACCAGGGGCCGCGGCCGCTCCTGGAGCGGCGCCACCGGGAGTGGCTCACGATCTGGAACGCCAACTGCGACGCCGCGCGCCCACGACGGCGCGTCGAGCTGCTGCGCGATCTCGACGTGTGGGAGCGCACACAGGGCGGCAAGGGCCGGGCCGTGCCTGCGGCGGCAGCGGTCATCAAGGACAAGGCGTTTGACGGCGCGGCGTGGGCGGCGGCCCACGAGGGCTCGTTTCAGGAGCTGATTGCGGACGCGCGCCGGAGCAGGCGCGCGGCGCAGACCAAGACAGAGGAGGCCGGAGAGGCGGCGGAGGAGCAAGAGGCGGAGAACAAAGCCAGGCAGGGTGGGGAGAGCGCAGATGAGCGGCATCGGGAAGAGGTTCCCGCGTCACCAGTCCGCGACACGGCGGATGCTGACATGTCCACCGCAGACGAAGAGGAAGAAAAGCAGGCGGCGCCACCGTCCAGTCAAGCCAATGCAGTCCTGCAAGAGCAGTATTTATAACCCGACTTACTACACTCGGCTGGGACGGCAAGCATATTAGGAGTGGCGGGTGGTATTTGGGTTTCTGCATACAAATGGGCCGGAGTTTTTGGTTGGCGGGGCTTCGAAGACGACAGGACTTGAAGCTGCAAACTATTAGCAGCAGCAGTATATAAATGATTGCATGATATGAATATAGCATTAATATTACAGCCTGTGCAAGTCTCGTCCAGAGATAGCACCTGTTTATATATGGAATCTCACACAGTATCTGCCTATCTACTCCGCCAGCGACAGCTTCCCAATGCCCGTCTCCGACGTGGGCGACTTTTCCCTCGTAGGCTGCTTCTCCGGCTCCTCCGCCGGCACCTCGGGCAGCGCATCCATCCTATCCCTGTCCTTGTCCGCGCTCTTGGCCTGCTCCGTCTCCGCGGCCTCGCGCTCCATGGCCGCCAGCTCCTCGTCGATCTCGCCCTCGTCCACCGGCGTGCCCGTAGACTCGGCCAGGAGCGCCGCGAGCTCTTCCGTGTCCGCCACGCGCTCGCGCAGCTCGTCCATGACGGCATCCACCCTCTCCGGCGCGCCGGCCTGCGCATTGAGGCTCCGCAGCACGCCGCTCGACGCCTCCAGCGCGCGCACAATGTCCACATTGTCCGCCGCCTGCTCCATCTTGTCCGCCGTCGCCTCGAGCTGGCTGAGGGTCGCGTAGCGCGTCGCGAGGGTCTGCTCGGCCGCCTTTTTCTGGCGCAGCGCGGCGAGCGCCGACACCTTGTTGTTGCGCGCGAGGGCGCGCTTGGCGTCGGCGGCGAGCTCGTCGATGCGCGCGCTCAGCAGGTCGGCCTGGTGCTTGACCCTGAGCGTGACATCCTTGAGCGAGGCAATGGCGCGGTCGTCGTCTGTGATGCCCGTCTCGGTCCGCTCCCCGTCGACGCCGCCCTTGACGCGGACGATGCGACCGTCGTATTCCACGAGGCCCTTGTCGCGGGACAGGTAGCGCAGCAGCACGTCAACGTCGGCCCCGGAGAGCCGCTGCCCGGGGACGAGGTCCGCGCCAAACGTGCTGTGGAACTGCGCCTTGGTGAAGACGCGGTCAAACTTGGACGTGTGCTCGGCCATGATGTCGCAAAACTGCTTCGTTGCCGCCTCGACATTGGCCAACAGCACGTACCGGCCCGCGGGCAGCGTGTCGTCGCCGCGGGCCGGGTCCACGAGGCCCATCTGCCGCAGCGTCCAGCCGACGACGGCCCACGGCACGCCGGTCCAGCTGCGCGTGAAAACGCTCTGCTGCGCCTGCAGGAACGCCGGCACGGGGAACATGGCGCGGGCGGAGACGGACTCACGCACCACGGTGCCCAGGGCCAGCGGCTGCCCAAACTGCCGGCTCTCGAGCCGCCGCAGCAGCGAGTTGTCCAGATCGAGTATGAAAAGGTTCGCGTTGGCGCCTTGGGAGAGGAGGCCGCGGCTCGCCAGTAGCGACAGCGCGTGCCGCCATGCTGTCACGTTGGCGCTGTAGCCATCGGGGTTCAGCGTTCGCTGTGGTCGAAAGTCGGCGTATAGGGCGGGCAGTCTGGCTCTGAAAGAACAGGAGCAGGATTAGCACGAGTTAATTGCAGGGGTACAAGTAGCGTAGTGCAGAGGGAAAGCAGGCAACGTACTTGCGAAAAGCGGCGTCATTCTGGGCGAGAAAGTCGGCAAGCTCGCCCATAGTGGCGAGGTGGCTGTCGCGTTCAAACAAACTGCTTCAGGTGGGAGGAAGCAGCTGAGAGCAAGTCAAATAAACGGATCGATCATCTAAAAGTCTCAAGTAGCCGGGCGCAGGTATCTTCACAGCCACCGGTGAGGCAGCGGTGACATGTTTGTTCAGTGAACGTGGTGTCTCCCATGGGTTGCAGTGCCGCGTTCCATTTTGGGGGGTTCGCGCACTGTGGATGTGCCTCTCCCGCCGCACATTAACCCTCGAGTTTGTCTCACTTATTGAACTACCTAGTTACCAAGCACTTTCAGTAAATTATTTCAGACAGGTATTATAGAAGGTATATACACAGTTGAATTCAATCTATATATTTGTGGTGCAAATACGTCGTCAACTTCCGCTAAGCAATCGCCGTTTGCTTGACTGCAACATGTAAGAGTATTGTAGCCGTCCATCTTACTTTTGAGTGTAGTGTTTCGATCACAGAGTGGGTATTAGCACAAACAGTAGGTAGAGAATTATAGGATATGTCATTCAAGTCGTTTCTATTCTAGCAATTTTTATGCTTTTCCTGAAGCTGTACCGATATGGTAGGGCTCTGCACCAGGTCCAAAGATGAGGTGTGGTTTGCGCTTGGCCAAGTCGAGAATGGTGACGGCAAAGACGCCGTTGGCCCAAGCAAACCAGCTCCGCGTGTATTGGGCAATGTAGTTGACGTCGACACTTTCGTGGACAAGGCCTTTAGGAGACGCGCTCAGGACCATGTTGATGCACTCCATAATCTCTTCGTCGTCGTCGGATGTCTGGGCTTGGACCAGCAAGCTCATGGGCCAGGCATTCTTCAAGCCGATATGGGGGCCTGTCAAAATATGTTAGAGACGCTATTATTGACTGCGATGACGGTGTGTTTGTTCTTACCTCCAATACCCTTAAACTTCTTTCCTGTAAGGTAGTATGGGTTTCCTTTTTTGGTCAGAAGCATCTTGCGTGTATTCTGGTAAACAGTGTCGTTGACCTCGACAAAGCCCATCAGAGGCAAAGCCAGTAGCGAAGGGTAGTTCGCATCATCCATGATGATGGACGAGCCAAAGCCATCCACCTCGTACGCAAAGACCTTGCCAAAGGTCTTGTGCTCAACGATGCCGTGCTCCATGACACCTTTGCGCATCGTCTTACTCCAGTTGTCCAGTTCCGCTCCAACCTTGGCGCCCTTGCCACTCTTGCTCAGCATCGCCGCAGCACGTCCCAGTTCCACCGACATCATGGCGTTGGCCGGGATGAAGAAGCCGAGAATCGTGGCGTCGTCGCTGGGGCGAAACGCGGAGCGCACGAGGCCGGTGCCGTCGTTGAGGGGGTTGCCCACGCCGGCCAGGTTGAGGGTCTCGGTGCCCGTATTGGTCGTGCGCTGAAAGGTGTACCTGTTGCGCACATACTTGCCGTCGTTGTCAAATGTCGGCTGCGACTGCTCCCGCAGGACGCCGAGGACGGCCGCGACCGCCAACAGCCACCGGTTGGTGACAAATTCGGTCGAGCCCGTGTGTTCGTAAAAGTCGTTGCCAAGCTTTAGAAAGTGTGCGAGCGAGTCGAGCTCGTACTTGCACTCGAAAACGGCGCTAGGCTCATAGGCCGGGTAGACAACGTCCTCCTGGCCGTTGGCCGTGACGGGCAGGTCGCTGATGGGCGGCGGCTGAAAGGCGTTGCAGTACGGTGCGGCAATGACGTACTCAGACTGGGTGTTGATGGCGCCGAGTATGAGAGTAAAGAGGGCCGGGTCCTGGGCGGCGAGCTCCTGGTACGGGCGTAGCTGGTTGGTCGAGTCACGCAGCCACTCGGCAATAATGTCGCCGGTGATGACGAAGCTCTGCGGCCCGTGCCAGGCGTCCTCGTCGGCGGCCCAGTCCGAGCCCGTCAGTCGGACGAAAGCCTGGTCTTTTTCCTTACTGTGGAACTTGACCGTCGTGTCCGTGGTCGAGGGAAAGGCGTTTTCGAAGAGCCGGGCCAGGTCCGCGTCCGTCATGCGTGAGGTGACATCGTGGATGACAGCCTCAATGGCATCCGAGTGAAACGTACGGCATTCGGCGGTTGGTCGTTGGAAGGGCAGCTGCAGCTTGCCGGTGCTCAGAGGGCGACTGTCCACGGGTTAGCTGCGTGCCAACGACGAGCTGTCGCGAGCTGCTCGCCTTCCTCCTCGCGTCTTGAACCGCGCACCGCATGTATAGAGACGTACTGTGGAAAGGTGGCGTAGCTGGCATAGTTGGGACAGGCCGCCTTATTAAGGGGCGCTTGTTTTTGCTTGTCGGCGGCGTCGACACGAATTGCAATAACGGCGACCAGCAAACCGGCGAGCCACCGCGCAGCCATGGTGCTGGTTGAAAACGGGAGGAAGTCGGCGGCGTTATCTTCGGCAGCAGAGGATATATTAGGCAATAACTGTGCGAAGCGGAAACTTTGCCGACTGGCGTCTGTGATTGCGGTGTCAAGGTTTGAAGAAATCAACAGCAACTGGACTTTAATCGGCAAGGAGATCTTGGAAGTCGCAGCCAAATAAGTTGATTACCTAGGCGAGGCTGCGTGGCTTCAGTAGCGCGTCATAGTGGGCAGCCGTTGCACTAGCTGACCTACCCGGTATTAGCAGCTGTCGGGGACCAAACATCGCAGCAGGTGGTACTATGTGGATAGTTTACATAAATCCAGCTCATGATATATTGACAGTTTCGAAATATACTTGCCGGATATTTGATATTGGTCTCGTTACAGCAACGGAGGAAAAGGAGAAACCTGAAAGGCTGAAAGAATACCTATGTAGCTGGCAGAGCGCGAACTATTGCGTCGCTGCCATCACTACTCGTATCCTTGATTGAAATGGGTATCATCATATATTCATCATATGCTAAGAACTCAATCGCCTGCTATAAATTGAGAGGTCGCGCCTGCGTTTACCATCCCCATGTGCGGCTAGATGCTGTAAACACGGGCGGTTTCCACTGCACCTTGGCGGGATCCAGCGTCCGTCTTGGTTTGAGCAGTCGCTTCTCTCGTTGTTGAACCAACTTCTCCGGAATGACAATCTTGTGGTCGCTTTTGTGGTACACTTGCATCTTCATGGCCTGCAGCGTATGCTCCACGTCCACAGTCGTCATCGCTAGTGCCGATGAAATCGCCTCAATCGTTACCTTTTCGCCACGCTCACACGCGCCGACCAACAAGTCCAAAATATTTTCGGCCCAGTACTGACGATAGCTCAAAAGTCCCAGATCAGAGAGCGGTTTCTCGGGCGAACCCAGCTTGCCTTCAATCTTGGATAGCTCATAGGAGAACTGGATGAGCAGTCGGCCGTAACCCTTGCGTTGGTATTGGGGTAGTGTCAGAATACACGCAACATTGTAGGCATCCGCGCTTTCCTTCTCTTTAGAAAAGTATCCGACAAAGGGAAAGCCCTTTTCGGTCCGCGCAGCCATGACATAAAACAAGAATGGGTCGACATCGTAGTACAACGTCTTGTGATCCAAAAACATTTTCGAGACTAGACACAGGTTTCGGCACCATGTTCGTTGGCGTCTGCCATCAATCTCGAAAAATGACACGTATTCATCTCTGTATATTTCGTTTCCAGGTGGATGCTGCAGCGTGCACTTGCGGCGATGGCGGTTGAACGAGAAGTCGTCTCCATAGTAGCTCAGGCAAAACTCGCAGATGAATATAATATCTTCGCCACTAAACGACTCTGGATATGGCGAAAAGTACCAGGGGAACAGGTCGTATTTTCCAAACTGGACTTTGGATATATTTCGAATGCGCGAGACTTCGGTCGGGTTCTGCGTCATGGAGCCAGATGTTCTGAGCTTTTCAATCTCATCCTCGCGGCTAAACTCCTCCTTCTCCTCTTCTTTTTCGTCGATATCCATATCTTCGCCACCTGCTGGCGTCGGTGCGGGGGTTGTGCCCGGTCCGGTGCTGTCAACCGCCTGCATATCGGCATCTGGGCCGACCGATGCAGACTTGCGCTGCGATTCGACAAAGTCGCTCCATGGATGGGGTGTCGTCACTTCTGATTTTATCGAATCCTCTCGCTTTCCAGGTCGCTTTTGATTCTTCTTGGCTATGGCCGCCTTCTTGATCGCGCCCGAGGGTACCTTTTTCTTATTGCCCTCCTTGGGCTTGTCTTTGTCCGGGTTCGGCCACTCGACTTCCTGGGTCAGGTCGATGCGCGCCAGGGGCACCCATTCGTCGAGACGTTTGTTGAAGTTGTCGAAGTTGCAGTAGAATTGTTTGCCGCTCTTGGTCTGCTTGATGCTCAGAATCTCGGCGCGACGCGGCTGGCCGTCCTTTTTGACCCAGGCAATGACACCCGTAGCGAGGGTGTCGGGCGTGGCAAAGGATTTGAGGCGCGGCACATCAGCGCCGACGGCAGGCTCGCCGTTGGATGGGCCCGCAGTCATGGTGGCAAAAAGCGGTTGGCGCGCGGATAAAAGTGATGATAATGATGGCTACGATGTGATGCGCGTGTGATGGAAACGAGATGAAGAGGATGACTTTCTGGGTGCTGCATAGCGGCAGAAAATGTATTTAAGTGGCGGCTGGCGACGAGTTGAGCAGGCGGTGGCAAGGCACCCCTCCACCAGTGACCGAAGGTAAACTGGCACGCGCCAACCTTCTGCAACAACTCACCTTTACTTTGTTGAAATCTCACCGGTGTAAATGTTCCGACTCCAAATTAAATAATAAATGTCCCTTGCCAAAAGCCTCTCGCTGAACTCAATCCAGATTTCTCGTTGTTATCACCACCCTGTGCGATGGCGCGGAATGGCTCGAAACCCTGTGTGCTTCTCTCAGTCCAAAGAAATTTTGCTTGTCGTAAATGATGAAGAATATATTGACGGGCATTTTTTTCTTTTGTCGGAAATTGACAGACTTGGAACAAAGTACGAGAAAGGTTCCTTCGAAGACGCTCGTGTAAGTCAACTGCCGTCAATCGGATGAGTGGCCCACTTTGGCTGGCGCGCCGCCCGAAACTGAGATTTTATGAATTCTAATATATGAACCATATGCAATGCAGGTTTGGCAAACTACCATCACCCGCAGAGTAAACTTTCCAAAACAGCACCATGCATTAACAGCCCGATATTTCATCATGGCCAGCTTATCATCCAACTGGAAGAAACTCCAGGCAAAGCTCAAGGCCGAATCAGCGTCCAAGCCCAGCGCAAAGCGCAAAGCCGACGACGAAACCAGCGCTCCTACCAAGGCCAAGAAGCCGAAGAGCAGCGGCGTCAGCAATTCGGGCACCACAGCAATCAAGGGACCGCGGGAATCGATCCCCAAAAGAGTCGGTGGCATCGGCGGCGGCAAGATGGGTGCCGCGCAGAGCACGCTCGCCCGGGGTGAGCAAAAGCACGGCGTGAGCCCCTCTGCCGCCCTCTGGGGTCCCTCCGCCGGCGGCATCTCCCCCGAGGCCCTCGCCGAGGCGTACCAGCTCGGCGCCCGCGACAGCTCCATGGTGCTGTCGACGCGCGACGACGAGGTCAACCGGGGCCTGACGCCCGGCCTTGAGCTGGGCAAGTACGTCGCCATCGACTGCGAAATGGTCGGCGTCGGCCCCGGCGGGCACGCCTCGGCGCTCGCCCGCGTCAGCCTCGTCGACTTTCACGGCCGCCAAGTCTACGACTCGTACGTGCGGCCGCGGCAGCCCGTCACAGACTGGCGCACGCCCGTCAGCGGCATCGCCCCGCGCGACATGCGAGGCGCGCGCACCTTTGCGACTGTCCAGCAGGATGTGGCCGCGCTTCTCGACGGCCGCGTCCTCATCGGCCACGACGTCCGGCATGACTTGGAGGCGCTGCAGCTGAGCCACCCGCCGCGCGACGTCCGCGACACCGTCAGACACGGCGGCTTCAAGCGGCACGCACACGGGCGCAAGCCGGCGCTGCGCGTGCTTGCGCAGATGCTGCTGAATGTGGAGATACAGGACGGCGCGCACTCGAGTCTGGAGGATGCGCGCGTGACGATGCTGCTGTTTAGGAGGAACAAGTCCGAGTTTGACGTGGATCACGCCAATCGGTATACGCCAAGGCCGGAGCCAGCGGTGCCAGGCAGCTCGAATACGAAAAAGGCGAAAAAGAAGAAGCGGTAGAAAATGTTGTTTCTTGTCTTGCCAGAATCTATTACAGCGCAGACAGATCGTGTATATACGTAAGCTGCATCTCGATACCCTAAAATGCATTAAATAGATAAACACTATATGGAAAAAGAAATGTGCCAAAATGCAGTCGCTGTCGATCGGCCGTTACAGGGGAATGCCCTCCATGAATTCGAGTGTTCGCTCACGTCCTACAGTGATGATGACGTCGCCAAGAGTCTTTGAAATGAAACCTGCCTCGCAGTAGGTGAAGTAGTACTGCCAACAGTTAGCACCCGCTACGTCGTGCATGGGTTATGATTGTCCCGCTCACCTCCCACTTGCGCTTGAAAACATTGACGGCTTCCTTCGTCATGTCAGGATGCTGCCTCAGAAGAGCCGGGCGGATCTTGCTTTCAAAGGTGCCCATAAATTGCTCGCGCCATAAACGCAACGTCCTGGCATAATGACCTCCAATGTTTTCAATGTTTTCGGTGACGAGTGTGCCTTTGGATTGTGTAGTTATGTGGTTGAGCAGCTCCGTCGTGGAAGGGAGATAGCCGCCTGGGAAAATGTAATGCGAAATGAAGCTATAGAAATATGAGCGATGAGCGTAATACAGCAAGCATAAAAAGGCGGGCTTACTCTTCCGTTTTCGCATATGCATCGCTTCGGCCTTCGGGCATTGTGATGCACTGGAACATGGCGACACCACCGTCTTCCTTGAGAAGCCTGTCAATGCAGCCAAAGTATGTCGCTAGGTACTCCCTCCCAACGGCCTCGAGCATCTCAATCGATACAATCTTATCGAAGCGTTTTCCTTCGGGCAGCTCGAGCTCTCTGTAGTCACACAATAGCACCGTGATGCGGTCCCGCAACCCGGCAGCCTCTATCCGGTCTTCCGCGAGTGATTTCTGTTCTTTAGATAGCGTTAGGCTGGTCACACGACATCCTGTCTTAGACACAGCCTCGATTGCGAATGACCCCCATCCGGTGCCAATCTCCAAGACATGGTCGTCAGATTTTATCTTGCAGCCGTCCACGAAACGCTGCAGTTTTCGGAGCTGCGCACTTTCGAGGGACTCGTTGCTGTCCGTCTTTTTTATATCATGCAGTCGGTCCCACACAGCGCAGGAGTAGGTCATGTCGGGGGAGAGAAAGGCGGCAAACATGTCGTTGCTGATATCATAGTGTGCCGAGATGTTGAGGAGCGCGCTACCGAGCGCGTTATTAGCACGAGCGACGGCCGAAATGGCGGCCGAGATACTTGATATCCAAGTCGCGCCGTTTCCTAATTGATCTCGGTTCATGATAAAAAGCTGTACGTCATTAGCTGCTGTGCGGGCCCAAAATGAATACGTCTCATACTTGGAAGAAGGACGTCAAATCCTGGCACTCAAAATCGCCGAGCATATAAGCTTCGGAAAACCCCATGTCGCCAAACAGAAACGAGCGCATCCAAAAGGCGTCATTCTTGATAATCACCTCGACTCGAGGCACTGTCGTGACACGGCGAGTTGCGCTGGCCTCGACATTGGACAAATCCGCGCTGCCGTCGAGCTTCTGGCCAAAGACATGGCGAGTGCCCGCGGGTTCGTCGACCAGCAGCAGCGTGCCAATCTCAATCCTGGATAGGACAGAGAGCAGTGTCGGACGTGCGAGGGCGAGGGCCGGCGTCCATGTAACACCACCAATGACACCTCGAACGGCTTCCGCGGCGCGGGTTGCCGGAGTTGTGATGGCAGCAGGCAGTGAGGGAAACGAGACCATTGTTTCTTCAACGGCAATCGCAGCACAGAACAAACCAGGGTCTCCTTAGCGACTACTCTTGTTTACGAAAGGGCACAGAAACACAAGTCCTGGAAGTGGGAGGTGGACGACGGTTAATATACTGGGCCAGTGAACGGTTCCGACACATTGGAACAAAGTCACCGGAGGAGGGGGGGTGGTGGGAACCCTGCTTGCTTGGGAGGGGAAACCGGTTTGGACACAGGCCCTCAACGATCCCCGGAGAAAATTGGCCATGATACGAATAGGGTAACGCATCGCCAAAGCGCGGATGTTCTTTGCATAGGATGGCTGCGGTAGCGATGTGGGCTTTGGCTGGCACAGGCTGCGATCGGGAAGAAGGTCGCCCCAATCGCCCGGCGGGACCGCTGTAAGCCGAGTGGAGGAATCAACAGCGACCTTACCAGACAAGGAAAAGAGAAGTGGGAAAGGATGGGGTTCTAGTGGCTAAAATTGATTCCAAAGCGTCATGGAAAGACGGCAATGCAAGGAGAAAAAAAGTATCCGTACCGGCGAATTGATAGTTAGTGGCGGCTGGGCGGAATTTTTGTGATTCGCTCAACAGGCTGACGACAAGGCTTTGGTGCGACCCCCAACCGCCTCAGGCAGTCTGGCTCCTGACGTCTTGCAGGGAACTCGCTACCCTGGTATCAGACATTGGGCGCCGTCATTTTGGTCGGCCGGAACAGTGCTCGTCCCTGAAACTGTCCATGTTACCGGGTGATACCATTCGTAAACGAGCCGCCGTCATAGCGTCCGAGCTGATGTCAAGCTCTGGGCAAGACCCCGCGGGTTACGATTCGTTCCTGAAACGGAGACCTGGACGCATCTGCTGGATTCGGGTTGATTGGCTCTGCCGTCGCAGTATCGGCCTGGTTTGCCGAGAGCATGCTGTTTGTTGTCCGGGAGAGTCCATTGCGTAGGAGTCGGGGTCGCAGGACAGAGAGGCTGGCGACATCGGTGTGACGGGCGAGCGTTATTATCATCTTGTACAGCACACAAGCCTGAGCACAAAAAGCCACTCAAAAAAGAAGTTCGAGACAGTAAGCTGCAGACAGGCAGGCCGCAGGCAAACCGAAAGAAATGATGTTACAAGGATTCGAGTGGCTTCTCCGTCGAGTTTGTTGAAGGTATTTGAGAAAATCCCATCATTGGGTGGCCTGCGCCACAGGTAACTTAGTAGTGGGGTCGACAGGTTGTCGGCCAAAACGCGCTGGTCTGGCGCGTCCCGCAGATGCAACGACAATCTGGGAAACTGGCCATAATTAATGATACACCTGACTCGTTTCAAAATGAGCACTCCTCCGATGTTATCCGTCCAAGAAGGCGGCGAATTGAAAAAGCAGACAGCCAATCTGCTACCCTGTCGCATCCATCACGATGGCTTGGTTGATCCGGTCGGCGCATACTGGAAGCCAACAGACAGCACAGGTAACTACTTTGCTCACTGCCACAACAATTCCGAAAAAAGAGCGAAAAAAAAAACAATACAGACATCAACTTACGCACCACTACTCCTATAGATAATAGCAAAGAAGCATACTTTCGCGGCCGAAAACTGCACGGCAAAACGTTGTCACTACCTCGAGGCTACCGCGGCCTGATCGTCGAGCGCACCGCCGACGCGTTGAAAACCGAAAGACAGCTGCCTACCGACAACCAAGAAAGAAACAACGATGACGCTGTTCCCATGGAGACCGTGGGCACGATGCGGGCAACGGGCGAGTTTGATGAGATGGTGATCTGGTCCCACGAGTCCATGGCCTCTGCGGCGGCAGACCCCTATGTACGAAGCGTCGAGGAGTGGTTACAAGTATCTGGAAAGGTAAATATTGTATTTATCCCCGCATGGCGCTGTTGCGATGGGCATCTAACACCGGAACAGATTCACGGCTTCGAAGACGACGACAACGACAAGACAAAATGAGAGCGATCCTTTTGATATACATGATAAAAAAGAGCTATACAGAACTCCGTGCTGCTTCCTGAGTAGAAGGTGATGCCGGGTTATCTGCAGAATCGGAGTCCCAGCTTATGATCTGGCTACCTAGTTTACATGTGCACAGGCGATTTCGTTTGGGGTACATGGTGCAGCTGTCGCCTTACTACCACGCCAGCCTCTAGAGTTGCCATAGCCGCCGTGTAAATATGCGCAAGAAGGAATTGCGATACCCGACAATCACTATACAGACATTATCACCATTATTATAGACATTATTACAGCAATGTTATTGCCATTGCCGCGGTACTCTACAGGGCGATCCATCGCCAATTGGGCACTCTGGCGTTCTGCGACAGCGGCCGAATAGCAACAATGAGATCCATGATTTGATTTCATGGACAAAAGATACTCGACGCAATACTTTCCTTGCAAACTGAACCTCTTTGACGCTCATACCACCCTTTACCGATGCTGTCGTGCCCCACGTTTTCTGCCCTTGTCCAAATCAATTAAAGTCGCGTCCATCACTGCCCCTCGAACGCGTCTCTGACGCGTTTCCGCGTAAAGTGCTTCTCACTGTCCCACCCTCCACCACTCCTCACCCCATCACATTTCACACAACTCGCATTAGCTTCCCTGGCTTCTTCCCCCAGAAATCGTCTACGACCCTTGGTATATCTCACCACCAGTCAGCTTGCTGATATTTTTCATTTGCGCCTTGCTTGCATATAATCCCATCACAACCCGACAGACGCAGCGCTTACCGCTCACCCAAGTACGCACACCATGGTGCTCTCGAGCGAAGCCGGCTACATGATGTCGGACGCGCCGTCCGTTGCAGCGAACCGGCGAAATCAGAGCCTCCCGACGTCCGCGCGCGCGCGCCCTCTCGGACCGGCGTCGCCGGGCTTCGGCGCGCCCAGCGACGATGGCACCGAGGGCTTCGCCGACGACCAGATGCCGCGCACCGCCCGCAGCAACGGCCAGGGCCACATCCCACGCGTGCAGGACCGCATTGGCGTCCTCGTCCAGGATGCATTTGCCAGTTTCGTCGAAAGGTCAGAATTATTACCCAAACTCACATTTCTTGAGCGTATTGATACTGACAAACGGCTGACATAGGTTCGTGGAAGAGCCCGTCCTTTCTGGCGCCCCGGCCTCCAGCGCCGTCACCACCGATAAACACTACATTACGCAAATAAGAAACATGCGCACATACTCGCTGTCAACCTTTTACCTCGACTTTAAGCACCTTGCGTCATGGGAAAATGGCAGTTTGGCCGACGGTGTCATCCGCCAGTACTACCGCTTTCTGCCCTTCATCACAGCCGCCCTCAACGAGCTCATCGCCAAGTACGAGCCTCAATATTACCGCGACCACCGCCAAGCCACCTCCCGATCCAGCGCCGTTTCCACCTCGGCGGCGAGCCAGCTGGGCTCTGACAGCCAGTCCAACACCACGCACCGCTTGAACGAGCACCAACAGACCGACAAGCTCTTCTCCGTCGCCTTTTACAATCTGCCGCTCGTCTCGCGCGTCCGCAGCCTCCGCGCCGCCAATATTGGCCAGCTTCTCTCCATATCCGGTACCGTCACTCGCACCTCGGAAGTCCGCCCTGAGCTGTCGCTCGCCACCTTCTTCTGCCAGGCCTGTCGCGCCATCGTGCAAAACGTCGAGCAGACGTTTCGCTATACGGAACCCACACAGTGCCCCAACGTCACTTGCCAAAACCGCGTGGCCTGGCAGCTGGATATTCGCCGCAGTACCTTTGTTGACTGGCAAAAGGTGCGCATTCAGGAAAACAGCGCCGAGATCCCCACGGGCTCCATGCCCCGTACCATGGATGTCATTCTCCGTGGCGAAATCGTCGACCGCGCAAAGGCTGGTGAAAAGTGCATCTTTACCGGCACCTTGATCGTTGTCCCCGACGTGAGCCAGCTGGGGCTTCCAGGCCTAAAGCCCAGTGCGGTGCGTGACGACCGTAATGCACCTCGAGGCAGCGAGGCTGGTGGTGCTGGCATCAGCGGTCTCAAGTCTCTTGGTGTCCGCGATCTCACGTACAGACTGGCTTTCCTCGCCTGCATGGTGAGTGCCGATACCACTTCGGCTGGCCGGTCTGCCGCTGCCGGCGCTGCGGACGCCATCGCCGCCATTACCCAGAACAAAGACCCGGACGACGAGCAAAGCGTCGAAGACGCTCAAGCTACTGTTCTGGCATCCATGAACCCCTCCGAAATCGAAGATCTCCGAGCCATGGTGCACGGCGACCACATATACTCCCGTTTAGTGCAGTCCATTGCACCCATGGTGTATGGCCATGAAGTCGTCAAGAAAGGTCTCCTGCTGCAGCTCATGTCTGGTGTCCACAAGACCACAGCCGAAGGCATGCAACTCCGCGGCGACATCAACATCTGCATTGTCGGCGACCCGTCCACCTCCAAGTCCCAGTTCCTCAAGTACATCTGCTCCTTTGCCCCACGCGCCGTCTACACGTCTGGCAAGGCCTCATCAGCCGCCGGTCTGACGGCTGCCGTGATCAAGGACGAAGAGACGGGCGAGTTTACCATTGAAGCCGGTGCGCTCATGCTCGCTGATAATGGCATCTGCGCCATTGACGAGTTTGACAAGATGGACATTGGCGACCAGGTAGCCATCCACGAGGCCATGGAGCAGCAGACCATTTCCATTGCCAAGGCCGGCATCCAGGCGACGCTCAACGCGCGCACCAGCATCCTCGCAGCCGCCAACCCCGTCGGCGGCCGCTACGACCGCAAGGCCACACTGCGCTCCAACATCAACATGTCGGCGCCCATCATGTCGCGCTTCGACCTCTTCTTCGTCGTTCTCGACGAGTGCAACGAGCAGGTCGACCGCCACCTGGCCAACCACATTGTCAACATCCACCAGAACCGCGACGAGGCCGTGGCGCCCGAATTCAGTACCGAGGAGCTTCAGCGCTACATTCGTTTCGCGCGCACCTTTCGGCCCGAGTTCACCGAAGAGTCCAAAGAGGTGCTCGTCGAAAAGTACCGCGCGCTGCGCCAGGACGACGCCCAGGGCGGCATCGGCAAGAACTCGTACCGCATCACGGTGCGTCAGCTAGAGAGCCTGATTCGCCTCTCCGAGGCCATTGCCAAGGTCAACTGCGTCGAGAACATCAGTCCCGAAATGGTTGTCGAGGCGTACAACCTGCTCCGCCAGAGCATCATCTCCGTCGAGCACGACGACGTCGAGATGGACGGCGGCGAGGACGAGGAGCAGCCGCCCGAGAGCGGCGACACTCTCCGTCGCGCCGCCGCCGCCGCCTCCGGCATGGATGTCGAGAATGACAACGATTACGATGCCGACGCTGCTATGCAGGAGAGCATCGCCGCCGCCGCCGATGCCGCCGATGCCGACGCCACTGCCACCACCACCTCTACGTCGACCCGCACCAAGCGCAAAATCACCTACGAAAAGTACATCAAAATGGTCAACCTCTTTGTGCAGCGCGTCAACTCGGACGAGAGCGGCAGCGGCGACGGCGTCCCCGGCGCGGACCTCGTCACCTGGTACCTCGAGCAGGTCGAGGCCGAGCTCGCTGGCGAGGACGACTACCACACCGAACAGGCCCTCGCCACCATGGTCCTCAAGAAGATGGTCCGCGAGAACATTCTCATGGCCCTCCGCGGCGAGGCGCTCGCCGACGCCGGCTCTACCGCCACGTCATCGGCCGTCGACGACAACATTGTCTATGTCCTCCACCCCAATTGCGCCGTGGAGGACTTTTAAGGTGGCCGTGGGTGCGGCAGTGGGAGTACGAGCGAGGTATTATGAGTCTTGATTTTTGCATGTGTTCTTTTTGTAATTTTGGTGGTGAATGGTTTTCTTCGGTTTGTTTACGGATTATGACATGCGGCGAGGGCGGTTCTGGGAAACTTTGTTTGTGATGGATGCATGTGATGTGAGAACATACGGACCTATCTTTTAACAACCAATGGTTCAAGTACAAGTTGATGGCGTTGGTGAAATTTCTTTACAATTGTAACAAGACAAAAACTATTCTTCCTCATGCTTCTTCTCCTGCAATGTCGCGTCTGTGTCTGTGTGTCTACGTGTCCATGTTAATCGAACCGACATCACAAGCAACAAGGGGGATTGACGAGAGTCGTAGCTTTCTTTCCTCGCCCCCCCGTTATGCGCTTCTCGTTCTTCCCAGCTCGCCCGCGAGGCGGCAAGTCGTTTGTTATAGTTTCAAAGCTCCCGCAATGCATCCATCCATCTGCCTTGCCCCCCCTCCCAGCTCCAGCCTAAGCTCTAACCCCCCAAGCAATATCCAGGTTCTTCAAGGACACGCTGATTGTGTCAGAGAGAAAAAAGTTCGAGGAATCAAGCAAAAAAATAGTCTTGTCCTGTTCCGGTTCACATAATTATCAAGGCGAGGAACAACACATCAAAACTCTTTAGAAAGTAAAAAAGACATAGAAAAAATAGAACATGTCCTATCGCATTCAGGTTTGCGAAAACAAAAAGCGCCACGCCCGAATTGATAACTTCAAGACGGAATAACGGGCGGCTAGCGCTCAGTGCAAGCTAAAAAACCGACACAATTGATCCATTTCGAACGAATGAGCACATGTTCATAGTACTCCAAAGTTGTACATATCTGCTGGCGAATCTCCGTGCGATAGCAGCATCGTTTCGCAGCCGGGTGCGGGTTGTAATCATGGTTTGGGGTTAAGTTCTGTGGCACTATTTTGTACAGACACCATGTCCCATGACAAATAATGTCTGCCATTGAATGCACAGAATTTAGGCTCAAAGAGCTATCAGCCGGACAGTTCACTAAGCTGAGAGCTGCGTTTGAGCCTGAGGTCGGGCCGCATTGCGGTTCCAGTTGTCGGAAGCCTTTCCGCGGTAACCTCCACGGCTGCCACGGCTGTGGCTTGTTGGCGAGTCTCCGTGAGCATTTGATACGTCTCGCTTGCCGCCTCGCCCACCGCCACGATGGCGAGGAGACGGTCTGCCGTTACCGCGGCCGCCACGGGATGCAGTTTGGAGAACAGCGACGGTCTTTTGCTCCCGCATGCCTGGAAGATGAACACGGATCATGGCAGAGTTACCAGAGTGCTCATCAGAGATCCGAAATGGCTCCATAATAGAGGCATGAACAAGATACCGCTTAGGTAGAGGCTTGAACTGAATCACGACGGGTTGCCAGGCAGCATCAGGAGTTTGGCTTGGAAATCGAATAATGGGCAGAGATCCCATCTCCTGCTCCTCAAAGCATTCTTCGGCCATAGGCTTGGATTCGGCAGGCTTTGAAGCAAATACGGCTCGCTGGGGTTGACGTGGACTCCCGGGAAGGACCACTGTTGCTGCAGTTCCTGGTCCGTTGTGCTCATAGCCAGACCGGCTAGCAACATTCACAGTGTAGAGTCCAATAGTTGGCTTCGGAGGCGAAGCCTTATGCAGTAGGCTGTTGATACGGTCCTGCCACTGTTCTTGGGAGCTCTCCGCACTTCGTTGAGACTGATGGCCATACGGCTGAGGTCCTCGGCCGTTGATCTGTCCTTTGTTTCCCCACGCGGACTGCGGTCGGTTGAGTGGCGTCTGGTGGTGGGTGATGAGTGGCGGAAGTTTCACGACAGGCTGTGGCTTTGGTAGCGAAACATGAGGACGTTTGGCATCGCCCTCATATGCAGGATGACCCTCCATTGTAGGTGGGGGAGCCGACGGCGAAGACGGCCTGATTGTATCTGGGGGCGAGTCAAGGCGCTGCTCCTTCGCGGGGAAGAAGCGAGAGGTTCGCGGTTGTGAGGAGGCGTTCGCGTTTTGCGTAAGCATATGGGGTGGCGCGGATCCAATGACGCCCGCAGGAGCCGCGGGTCCTGGCTGTTTCGTATGGCGCGGGTCAGGTTTCCAGGTACTGGAGGTATGCATCTGCACTTCGGTGGCATTCGTCAATTGGCGTGTGCCATCGCCAGGTGCATGTACTTGTCGCCAAGTTTCTTTGATCACAGGCTGAGCATCATCTGCTGAAATACCCCGTTCCGCTAGCTGGCGATCCATGTTGGCATGCTCGGCCAATCTGGCAGCACTCAGCTTCTTGTCGTTATCGGCAACAGCACTAACCCATTTACTAGCAAGATCGCTTCCAGAGGTCTCGTATCTCGAAGTCCGGGATCCGATGGGCGCTGCTTGCATCACCGCAGGTAATGACAGTGGCTGCGGGCCATTTGTAGGCTGAATTGCTGTGCCCGTCGCGCCAGGGATCCGGCCCAAGTCCGGATTGAATGTTCCATTACCAAGACCACGGTCGTTATCTGGAGAACCCCAGACATTCCTGCCTAGGCCATTATGTCCAGCTGCCCAAGTAGTCAATCTGTCTGGACGGGGGCTGGTACCAACCCATGGTTCGGCAGGTTGCTGTTCCTGATTCTGCGACAGACGTCTCGCTGTCGCGTCTTTAGTGGTACTACTTGAATGATGAGGGGGCTGCCCATCAATCGACCCTTCACGACGATGAATTTGGGTTGGCCTCGCATCGTCACGACTGGCATTGTCCTTCTTCTCGTTCTTCTTTTCCGGTGCTGGGCCAAGCGCCTCGAGCTTCTTCTGGATACGTTCTTTGCGCGCCGCTTCTTCCAGGGCAACTTCCTCTTGCCGACGTGCTCGGGCAAGCTCGATGCGCTCCTTCATGAGCTTCTTCTGGTACTCAATATCATCCTCCTCTGGCATAGGGTGCCCTGTTTGGGTTACGTCCGGGATTTCCAAGTTATTCCAAGGACCATGCTGGCGATTAGGGCCGTTCGCGTTTTGCTGAAGATAGCGACCTTCATTTGAGCCAGAGAAGGAAGGCCGGCGGGGGCCATGTTCGTCTGCAGGGTGGTGTTGAGATCCCTCAGCACCGCGAGGGCCACGCTGGAGAAGGCCACTGCCACCGCTGACGGTAGAGGATGCTCTTCTTCGGTTGAAAGACGATTCTTGGTTAGTTCGGCTAGTTTGGAAAGCACTGGATGGCTCTGGGTGATCCATGGCTTGCCGCTGGAGAACGGCAGGCTGTCTACCGGAATGGTCGGAAAGCATGGATCCGCGGCGGTCTGGTACAGGTTCAAGTCGTCCAGAGTGAGAGTTGTAGAGCTCGCGCCCACCGTTGCCGCCGTGGCCATCTCTCCATGAAGTACGATTAAAATCATCTGCGGCGATCTCTTTGGGTGGGTAGCCCATCGTCTTCAGCGGTGACGGCTCTTTGTAAGAGCCTCGAGGTGAGCCTGTCGATTCACTCCAAGGCTGCGGGGGCCGCTCAACCGGGGGGAGCTGGGCCCAAGGAGATTTGGCGAGAGCAGGTGGCTGTGGCGGCTTCGCAACGAGAGCAGGGCGGTCTTGACTGGCGCCTTTAAGCACAAGACCTTTTCCGGAAGGTAGACCAGTATATTTTGGTGCAGAGTACTCCGGTTGGGGGGCTTGTCCTGGTATCTCATGCTTCTGATGAAATACATCCTGTGAGGCATGAAGGGCATCTTCAGGAGGTGGGTGTTCATCGGGATGTGGCAGCTTCGTTTTTGTTCCGTCCCCCCACGTGATTGCCTCTGGAGCCCAGTCTTCGTCATCATCGTCAATATCTGCCCATTTGTTCTGCCCTTGCGCATCGTCTTCATTAAGGCGACTAGCCATATGAATTCCGTACTTCTTGAGCTCTTCGTCGGTGAACTTCTTGGGCTCTGGCGCTGTTTCTGGGGTTAGTAACTGACGAAACGCTAGATTTAGATAATGCGTAGTGCCAGTGTTACGTACGTCGGTTCTTGTTCCATACTGCGTTCGCATCTGGCACAGACCCTGGCTTGCCGCCATTCACGGTAGCAAAACGCGGCATCGAATCTCTAGCGCCGGTGCCAGCTTTGACGACAAGCCTGGGTCGAGACGCCGATAGTGTTGATGACCCGGGAGGTGGTGTACTTGAGCCGCCCGAGGGTCGTTCTGTCGTCTTTGAGGCTATAGTCGAGCTGTTCGCCTTGGCGGCCAGAAATGTCCTGTTGACGGAGACGGCCTTGAACGTGGCAGGTTTCCTGGCGGCAGAGCCGGTCCGGCTGTGGCTCTTGTCGCCATCCTTTGCTCGTGACGCTTCCGTATCGGAACCGCCGCTAACACTGACGTCGGTGGAATGTAGTTGCTCTTCGACACTGGTGATGCGCTTATTGGCTATGTCCTCAACGTTGTGGAAACTGCCGTTTAAAGTAGAGTAGTCGACGCCATTCTGGGCACCGTTGGAGAGCTAGACGAGAAAAATGGTGGGTTAGCATTTGTGCAGCGTGTCGTGATGGCCAAGGCTGCTGCCAGCTGTTTGGAGAAAACGCATCGCTGGCGCAAACCGCGAACGGGCGCCGTGCCGTGGCCATGGGCAGCACTCACGTTGCTCAGTTGGTGCGGAACAGAAACTTCAGCTAGCTTGTGAAATACGGGCTCTGTGGCCATCATCCGTCTTGGATACAGGCGTGCGCCGCTCGCGAGGGGGACGACGACTGTAGGCCAGGTCGTCGGTCGACAGAAGCTGCTCAGCTACGCAGACAGTGCAACGGCAGAAACTGAGGCGTGGAGGCGGGGGGCGAGAGGGTTTGCCGGTCGGAGATGACTGCTTGTTATTCCGAAGATGCGAATTAAAAGCTGTGAGACGATGGAAGACGATTATGAGTGGCAGAGCGGTGCCTCGAGTCGAGAGCCTCGAATTGGTCCGGGTATGGGGATGTCGCCAGGTGTGACTAAGGCAGGGTGAGATAACTATGGCTTGCAAGAGGTTCCTGCTTTTACTTGCGGCTGGACGCTGGGGGCTGCCTGGACGAATCCGGGTTAGCGTTGATTCTTAGCTGCTTCAAACCGCCGCCCAAAGCATCGTTTGGTGGCAGTCAGGTGACACCATAGTACCGCCTTTTTCACGCCCTAAAGCCGCGACTTTTACGTTTGCAATACTCGCGGTACTTTGGAGAAGAGATAACTGAGTACAGTTTGATAGAGGTCTTAATGGTTCTAGGATCGTTGCGCGGCGCATTAATACATACGGCTCATTCCGGACAACTCACATACGTGCCTAGGCCTAGGTCGTACATATGACCCACTCACTGTACGTGAGTGAAGGTATAATTTTCCCCTACCACAGCACTGTCAGGCTGCTACTATTACGTGTTAAAAAAAAAAGTTTTTTTTTCTTTTGCAAGCCGTGTTAGATACCTGACAGCGTTGTGATCAGGGAAAATCAGATGTTGAACGGAAAATGTGTCCAGTGCTCTGTCAAAAAACAGGCCTCCGTGCAGACCTAGGTGCTAAGGTACAGCGACTCTAGCAGACACTCGTACCTGGAAGTACACTGCCATGCGCCTTGTTTGAAGTGCAACTCTGCATTAATAACAGCAGCATTCAATACATGCCTCCAACCCCCCCCCCAAATACTCTTTTTATAATGCATTGTGACTCTTGTAATCTCCCTCTCCTTTCCCGCCTTCCCGCGGCACGTTCGCGAATCATTGCCATACTTTACCAAATACATTGTGAAGCATGTCCTGTGCTGCGTCAGCCGCCAACTTATCTCTTCTCCATCCATACCTCTTTTCAGCCCAGCCGATAATACGTCTCTGCCAGAAAAACTCACGTTTGCTTTATTGCTTTTTTACCATGAGCGGTGTATTATGCGCGCCTGTCATGGCCCATTTATTGTCCAAATATTGCGGCCCAACAGTGGCGTCAGTGATCAATGCCCAGCCCACGCAGAGATGCGGTCCTCGGTCGCCCACGGCGACATATAGACACATATGTCAACTCCAAACTTGATTCGATTTCTCAGTTCAACATTGTCCCTCACGGCTGGCTTACCATCGCAATGCAAGTGCACCCAATCCCTTTCCAAGACGAATTCCGACATCCCGTCTGGCTCTCCATAGCATGTACGCACGAATCAACCCACGGCAGTGTCCAAATGTTTTCAATAATGTCTGAGTTGTTACAAAAGGAAGTACAGGTGTGGCATGACAACACCCTCTAAGAGTCTATTTACACAGCCCTTCCGTTGTCACCGAATGTTCTTCGCCTTACCAAATGAGCTCTTTAGTGAGCGTTGTTCTTGTGGTGACCTGCCCGTCATCAGTTAGCCATACTTTGTCTCATCCGTTGTTACCAATCCGGTTTCAAAGTGGTCTTACGCAAGTGGAAGTAGTAGTTCTGGGCATAACCAATGCCGACGAGGAAGACAATGGCGTGGATGATAGCTAGCCACATGTCAGCAACCGTTGTCCAACACAGCGCACCAGCACTTCTCGCAAGAAGCTCAAGTTTTGGGGCAGATAATCCATACGGGTAGCAGAGGCCTTCTTGCCAAAGTAGCGGGCCTGGTAGCGACCGAGAAGACCCTTGGCCTTGGCCTCAGGGGCGACACCACGAGGAAGCTTCTCGTAGAAGCTGACGACACGCTGCATGCGCAGAGCGTCGGGGGCACCACCAATAGCCTAATAATTTCCTCATGTCAGCGTTGTCTGTTCGATGTCGAGGGCGTGCTGCGCGGCGGCGTCTTCGGCGCGTCTCGGCGATAGGTCCATGGATCATTGCGCGGCGTTTCGCCTCGCCAGCGTCGCCAGAAAGTCGTCGCTAGTAGGAGGATCGAGTTCGTACCTTGGGAGAGGCGACCTGTGGCGAATTCGGTTAGCAATTGGCTCTCGAGACAAGTTCCCGGGACATCACGGGGGTCCGGCGAAAATTGGGCGTTGGCGTACCTTGGGGGGGATGAGGGTGGAAAGACCACGGCGGGTGACGAAGCTCATGATGTCGGTGGTTGGCTGAATCTTGCGTACGGTGCAATATATTTGAATTTCTGCGGCCACCGGTCGTACGGACTGCTCAATTTCAGATGGCTTTGCGAATTGAAGGTGGTGGTGCTGCCATAGCAGACTAAAGCGTTGCCGTTCCGAAAAGCACTCGTCCCGGCAAAACGTCGCTCCGTTGTGAGCCAATCAGCACCCACCCTTTGCTGCTTGGCGCCGCCAAACCTGGAACTGTGCTCCAGTCTTCATCAACGCTGAACTGCTGCTCGTCGCAAGTGACAAAAACACTCTTTCGTTGTCAATTGAGCGGCAACCACAATCCACCATGACTACTCTCCGATCTCAGGGCGTTGCCCGCATTCTGCGAAGCGCCACCGTGCCGCGTCTGGCCGTTCCCACCCAGCGCTTCCAGAGCTCCATCGCGAAGCACAGCGAGCATGAGGTTATCGGGACGCCGAGCACCGCCAACCAGCCCGACTTCGATACCCTCCACGACAAGGCCACCTCGTAAGTGGCTTCGAACCCCCTTCAAATTGAAGATGCACAATGATGCTAAACGATGCCGCAGGACCTTTACCCCCGTGCCCCGGTCCGTTCAGGACGGCACCGACGACCTTCGCTCCGCCGCTGTCACCTCTGGTGCTCCCATGGAGCTTCAGGCTCGCACCGTCAGGTAGGACTCGCGGAATTATACTTCCACCTAACTAGAGAATACTCTTCTAACTTCCTGCAGAATATACAAAGAAACAAAGGCCGCCACACAGTCCGGAACCTGGAGGGGCCACGATTGGCGCATGGACTGGGACATTCTTCCCAAAGGCCACCGCTGGGAGAACCCTCTGATGGGATGGCAGTCGTCTGGAGACTACATGCAGGGCACACATCTCAGCTTCGAGTCCAAAGAGGACGCTATCCACTTCGCCGAGAAGCAGGGCTACGAATTCTTTGTACAGGAACCCAACACCCGCAAGTTCACTCCCAAGGTCTACGCCAACAACTTCCTGTATAGCGCCCGCAAGCTCAAGCATATCCGCACAAAATAAGCTGCGGCGGCCTCTCTACTTAGAAGACTTTGTAAATATCTCATTTGTTTAAATCAACTGTTCTTTCCACACGCATGTTCTATAAGGGTGCAGCTCCCTTGGTCATCGACTCAATCTTTGAGAGGAGTAGCGGACAAGTGATCAAAATAATGCATAATACAATATTGGTATATGTATATATATTGCCGGTTTGGCAATGAGGTATCAATGGTTTGAAAACATGTTGCAACTCTAGCCAGCACGGACCACCGTGGGACCAACCCAAAACTCCAAACCAAGCCCCACGCAAAAAGAAAAAGAACAACTACACTTGGATCGCAGATCCAATTAAACAAAAGAACGCCCATCCAGTTCATAATCATGTTCATCATACCGTCACCATAGGTTCGTGCCCATTTTCAGGGTTGATTCGGCGTTGGGGAGCATCATCAGTAGTCAGGCCAAGTTCAAGTCGTTCAGGCAGAGGACAGGCGCGACTCCGAGCGGCAGACTCTGCCCACGCTCGCATTTTAACAAGCCGACGAATCGCCGCCTCGCGCTTCATTGATTGCCGTTCCAGGATCGCACGGTTGACACTGTCAGCTACAACTCGGCGAAGCTCGGGATTCAGCAGTGCGGCTAGTTGTGGCTCGAGAGCCTCCGGCGGAAACAACAGAAGAGCCATGGTTTTCTCAAGCTCCTCGAGAAACTTGGGATTTGTAGGAGCCCGGGGCCCTAGGTGCTCTGTGGCGAACTGCAGCGCTGGGCTGATGTCAGCTCCCGTGGCGTAGCAGGCCCTGATCAACTCGACAAGCTGCAGACGCAGGAGTGAGAAATGTAAGGATTTCTCCGAATCGAGAATCTTCATTTGCTGGTTAGCGTTGGTTTAACAAGGAGAATGAGAACATCAGCGTTGGGTGAGGGTGGGATGTCATGAAAGAAGTGGTTGTGTATCATCACGGACCGATGCCGGACCATATGCGTGGTGCATGTATAACTCTTGTTTTAATCATGTGGAGGGATGAAAGTCAAAATGCAATATGGCCTACCTCGGGGTCGAGTTCATTGAGCATCTCAATGGCAGATTGGATGTTTCCGCCATGAATGCAGTTTTGGATTTCCTGCCGGGAACGAATGAAAGATTCGTCTTGTTGAGGCTGCAGATTCGCTTCTTTGGAAAATTTTGCTGCAGCATTGGGATAGCCTTCCACCGTCAGGTAGTCTAGAATCAAAGCATTGATAACACTGATGATGGCCTTGTTAGCAAGCGTCACTTAGTAGGGGGCAAGATGATGGATGGTGGAATAGTGTCGCCTGTCAGACAAGAAGAATGATATCAGTTTCTCCGCATTATTATCTAGGAGAGATTCCCATTTGATAAAATCATCATACAAGGCAAATGTGTTCGGTGGGGTTGAAGGCATAAAAAGTGTTTGGTTTACCTCTTTGACGACTTGGTTTCGTCGACGCGTCTTTCGAAGGAATGCTTTGCCAAAGTGGCACCAGAAACAGAAGGATTCTAGCGGAAGCGTTGTCAGTCAATGTCCAGCACATGTCTGCGGAGACTCTCGTACCATGGTGACGAATGCTATTGACGGGTTGGGAGAAATGTAGGGAACGCGCGGCAGTCCTCACAAGGCCAGCTGGCGAGGTCGCACGGTACTACCGTGTTTGCATGTGTCAAAGCCGAAGAGGGAGATTCTGCAGCACGCAGCTGTCCTCTCAAGTGGCGTGGGCGCTTGGGAGCAAAGAACTGAGTGGTTCGTGGAAGTGAAAAGCTAGTTGAGAAGAGAAGTGAGGAAGCGGCGCAAAGTGGATGGAAGCAATGAAAAACCCGGAAGGCAGGTTAAAGCGTTCCGTGATGGAAGGGCAAGACCCACAGTTTACCGAACCTCCCTACCCCTTTGGTAGGTACCTAGGAGCTAGGAGTGGAGTGAACTGGTGCGGCGACTCAAACTCTCAAACTACTTCATTGCAGGTAATAATACTACACGCATGAACAATGTAGATGTCGATCGCAGTAAGAGCCTACATCGTGTCTCAGACCGAGTTCCCACAGATGTTCATGTTCCGTGCTTAGGCCAAATCGCTGCTTAGCCTGGGTTACCGTGACGTGACGAGATCACCAGTACCTCACGTCATCTGCTATCAAGGACTGATTGCACTGCCGACAAGGTGTTGGGCTGCTCTTGAACAGTGCAATTATCATATGCGAAAGAGGCATGCTTCGGAGACCAATCGCTGATCAGGAAATGCATGCGCCCCATATCCTGCTACCTGCAGAATAAGAAAAGAAGAACAAAGCCTCGAGAGGCAGAGCTTGCGTCGTACTGCAAAATTATGAGTTGCTGGAGATGCCGGTGGAGAGAACAGGCACAACAGGGTTGGTCAATAACCTACCTGATGAAGAGGTAGACGCTGCTGCGCCCTCAGCCTTATTGGGCAAAGGCGTAAGTTTAGGGCTGAATCAGTGAGGCTTGGAACGAGCAACTCAACTAAAATCGCCCAGAACTACAGCAGTTTGGTCCGCCAGCCTGCTGTCAAGCGAACCTCGGCGGAACGCGTGTCAAGTCTACATGGGCCAACCCGCGGCACGTTGTCCTGATAACGGGATTTTCGTTATTGCGTTATTTCGTTAAAAAGCACCTAGGCAGTAGGTCTGCCGGTACAACCCCCACACAAATTATACGTAAGAAGTACCGTCTTCCCTAATAGCGTCTATCATGTGGATATTAAAGCTGAATCCTCTAGCAGGTTCCCAGCAGTACGTGGTCCCTCCATGCTACCTAATTCTGGATACAATCTAAGAACAGCAGCTAGCTGGAACTTTGCAGCCTTGATATTTTCTTCCGTCCGTGGGCAATGCAACCTGACAAAGTTTTTATGAATATCTTTGAAGTGGAAGGCTGACTGGAAAAACAATCTCTTCTCGGAGCCGGTTAGCAATGTTGACACTACCGGAGGCAGTTGCTGGGAGAGCTCTCTGCTCTTGATTGCATTTTCAAGGAACAGACGGTCCTCCGCAAAGCTGTCACCATCCACCACACCATCATTTTTCCACCCTGGGATGTCGGCGATAAACCAGGGATGATGTATAATAACTGGAAGCGGGGCAAGATACATCCAATCCCAATCTACCACGCTTTCAGCCCAACCCTTAATTAGTATATGAAATGCTAAGCATGAGAAGAGGTGTAGTAGTATACTTACCCAGTTAAGTGGAAGTCATGGCTTTTCATAATATTATATGCATTCAGGTCTCCATGAGCAAAGCCGATGCCAGAGTAGGAATCAAACTGTTCGGCATACTTTGGAATCATAGATCGCATGATCAGGTAGTCAATAGCATCCCCCCACTTTGCAGTTCCGGCGAGAGTTCGTCGGAGACCACGGTCTAGGCTGTCTGTGAGCCACTCAGAATATAGTGGTTGTGCTGACGTGGAGGCAGGCGGAGCTGGAACAGTCCACAGTTGCAATAGGAACTCTGCAAGGTCATCTAGAAGCCTTTGCCGTTTGATCAGAGGAGTGAGAAAATTCCAGACAGCCAGTGGTGCACCATCGACCCATTCTGAATATGTAACAGGGTGATCATCTCGGAAATATATATCTGGCGCTTTAATATTTGGACGATGTTGCTTAACATGCTGGAAGTTTTTGACGGCGCGCAGCTCATGCTTCCAGCTGCTGATATCTTGACTTGTCCGGGCAGCCCAAATGACAGAGTCTTCAAAAACAATTTTGGACACCGTATGCGAACGGCCTGAATGGGGATCTTCGTCTGCCAATGAGCATGGAACTCCAGACCGAAGGCGGCTGGCTTCAGTTAGAATATCAAATGAGCTGAGCATGGCGAGGCTTTGTGTGATATTCGAAACGTTAGAATTTGTATTGAGGATGCTTGAGAGGGGAACTCGCTGGCATGATGAAGGCAAGTGCACGTGATGCGCCTAACTGGAAATGTGTGTCGTTGGTTGTCGAAAAACCACGTTGTACAAGTCCCATTCTGGAGATATTCGGGAGGAATCTGCGTGGTGAGATGGACGTTATTGTTATTGGAGCAGGTACCAACGAACCTCATTACTTGAATTCACATTTCCTTCAGTACACTCAGGTTTCCTGGCCAGATAGCCGTCGAAAGCCGACCGAATTATCGAGCCGGTGAAGTTTCACAGCATCAAAGAATGTTGTGACAGAATTAGGACCTTATCCTGCTTCTTGTTGGGTTAGGTTTCGAGGCTAGCTCGGCGTTGATCGGTTAGAGATCAAACTTTGCCCCGCCATCATCGTCCTTGTGGCCCCCCCCTCACAGCACTAACTGACCTTATTCAGACAGCTTGTCTTGGTCCATTGCAAAGAGCATTTATCGTGACAGTGAAGCCGAATGAAGTTAATTAGCACTTCTACTATCCAAAGACTATGCTTACACATCACTACAACCATCAAATTTGTTACCAGCGGGATACAGGGCTATTCCCTGAAGCATGAAAGGTTGAGGGCGTCGAAAATAGGGTAGCGGACTGCGTGCCTGCCAAAGTCGACGATGGCGTGTTAATTACTCACAGGACTACGTACATATCTCTTAGGGTGCATTAAAACATCTTATCGTAGTAAGATTGGCCCAGCCTTCAGCTCTTACTGACAGGAAACCGTATCGCCAGTCAGGCCACCTGCCGATGGTCATGCCGAGGCACTACATGTGCGGTACGGTACGTACACACCCGAGCGAATGCGACTTTTACGCGCGGCAACACGTATGCCTCGGAGACGAAACCAAATCATACTAGAATTGTAAGATTACGGCAAGGAGATTTGTTTTCTCACAATCACACTAGTTACGAATTTCCGCAACCTGCCTATGGATATAAGGCCCCAGGGTCACCCGGCAGGACTTGTGTTGTAGGTTTCTGGCTTATTTAACAAAGACACCCTCGCCTACATATTCCCTTCCTTAGGAGGAAAGATATATTTTATCTGAGTACCCTCCTTCCTTGAACCTACATACACGCCGGCACGATGAGTGTGCAGCGAAACCCAAAGGACTCTATAGCGTCCACCTGGCGGCAGAAAGACCACTCTGAATGGAACATTGTTCATTGGCTTTACGAGATCTTCCGCCTCCATCATGTCGACCTCGGAAAGGAAGTGCCTGTACACCCCAAGACCGACAAGGTGCCGTACATGAGCGACTGGCATCAGCACCGTTGGATCCTTGCGCATGCCTTTGCGCCGATTTTGCTACACCACCTGTATTCCGTCTATACGGGTCACAATTTGAACGCCTGGCAGGCAATGGTGTTTTACAGCCTCGCCTTCAAGCTGAACGCTATCCGCGAGCTGCATATTCTGCGTCACATCGGCGGGCAGATTGGCTTTCTCGACGGTGACGTCCATGAGCGCGACGGTGTGCCCGACAACAGTGTCTTCAAAGTGTTTCGATCGCTCGTGTCGACGTCCACTGTCCGGCCAGTCTTCACAGTCTTCTTGGCCTACCGTGTGAGCCAAGCTCCAGCATCGATACAGCTATACATGTTACCCCTCGAGACCGGTCTTTATGCGATCATCCTCGACTTTTGGTTCTACTGGTACCACCGACTGATGCACGACGTGGACGGGCTCTGGCAGTACCATCGCACTCATCACTTGACCAAGCACCCGAATCCGCTTCTCACGTTGTTTGCGGATACGGAGCAGGAAATCTTCGACATTGCTGGTATCCCATTGCTGACCTACTTTACCATGAAGTTGATGGGGTTTCCGATGGGATTCTACGAGTGGTGGGTATGTCACCAATACATTGTCTGGGCCGAGTTAGCTGGTCACAGTGGTCTTCGGATGGCTGCCACACCACCGAATCCGTTCAACTGGCTGCTGCGCATATTCTCAGCGGAGCTCATCATCGAAGACCACGATCTGCATCACCGCAAGGGATGGAAGTCCAGCGCCAACTACGGCAAGCAGACCAGATTATGGGACCGTGTTTTTGGAACATGCCGTGACCGCGTCGAGTGTTACGCCGAGAATATTGAATGGAATACACAAGTTTCAGTGCCCATTTTTTAGACGAGGCCAGCCTACATATGGCCGGGGGCGGAGCAATAGACGCCGCGTGAGCTTGCGCGCCAGGGCCGTGCCGGATAGACAAGTTGGAGCCGCTTCCGCTGCAAGCGGTCACACAATTAGAGAATAAGGCAAATAGACGGATAAATGGAAATTTTAACAGAAAGATTGAATAAGAAGTAATTAGGATAATAAACATCTTCAGTACCATCAAAATATACTGGATCAACCAATGCAAGACTCAAGACATATCACAAGTTGTTGACCATGGTTACAAGTGATAATAGCGTTCGAGGTTTGTTCTCTGCTGGTTGACGTAAAAAGAAGTACATCACGAATAAACGTGCCAGGAACTAGTTATCGCCCTAAGCCCTAGGTAGTCGCAATGCGGCAGGGATGTGCAAGAACATGAAGACATGTGACATGACTCATTAGACTGACGTGGATGATGCAGACATGTGATACGACTCCAGGGACTCCCGCAGAATGATATAAGGCATGCATCGAATGACGCGGCACCAATCTCCTTTGCGACGATTGCCAGGCGCATACGTAGGGCTGTACGCATGCGTCTGTGCACCTCAACAGTTTTCGAGGTCAGAAGTGAGGCCACTCGAGGAATGACGATAGCATATGTATGTGTGTTTATTAGTATATAGTCTGTGTATTGCACGTATGTTTGCCACTAGTAGTTGCTTCACACAATCAAGACCTTTACAACTTCTCAAGAGCTTCAAGACTACGCAGCAAACGACTCTATAATCTCTATCAAAATGAACGCAATTACTCAAGCAATTCTGAACAAGAGCAAATTGGAGATTGATCTGATCAAAATAACTAATGCCACCGAAAAGTAAGCTGCTGAAATTCCTAAAACCGAAATAGACTAACCCGACTGTAGCTCTTTTTTGATGAGTTTGCAAGGCAAAGCTACCAAGATCGGTATCGCAACGGCTACAATTTCGGCAATGACAGTGGACCTCGTCGGACCGTGTGGTGCATTTGGACGCTTGGATGTGCCCGCCATCAAGATGGGTTCTTTGGGTGCTGAAATCACCATTGTCGAGCAACTGATCAGCATTGTCGACATGGAAGCATTCAAAGCCTTTGTTGCCGCGATCATGAAAGACGAAGATTTGACCCTACGACTGGAAAACGGGCACACAACAGTCAAGGCTATGGGAATGAAGTCTGCTATTGTTTACCACAAGGTTCTTCATCTCAAGGGACTGAAATCACTACAGGCAACCCTCCTCAAGACGGAAAATGCCGCGGATGGCATGAAAAGCATCATCTCCATGGTGAATCCGTCTCAATTTGAAGTTGATCTGGGTACTGTGATATACGAGGTCCAGGACAAAAATGGACATCGGATTGGAGAGCAAAAAGGAGCCACATATGTACAGCGAGGGTCATCGAGCCTGGCTCTGCATGGCACTGTCACGGGGGAAGTGTTGAGCGGCGGCACAAGATTCGTGGGAGTTGATGTCGAAGAGAAGAATTGGTTGAAGGAGATTATGGGAAGCATCGAGGTAGTAGTTACTGTTTAGAGATGACGATAATGGCATTAAATGTAGAATCAAGAGCAATGAGTATATTTTGAGAAGAATTGACAGAAAGCAGATTGCGGGAAGCATCGAGGTAGTAGTTACTGTTCATAGATCACGATAGTGCCATTAACCGTAGAATCAAGAGCAATGAGCATATTTTGATATGAATTGACTGAAGCAGATTGTGGGAAGCATCGAGGTTGTAGTCACTGTTTAGAAATGAGGATGAAGGTATTTGAATGCCCACTCAAGAATGGTGAGGATATTGAGAGAAATGTTAGCTGGAGCATATGATAGGCAGTATTGAGATAGTAGTCACTTTGTAGAAACAATGGCAATGTAAGTATAATGCATAATCGATGAGGGTAACTATATTCAGAAACTATATAGGCATACTACCCATACATTTGTTAAGTCTGGACCATCACCTGCTACTAAATATTTTCTTTGCTCGCCTAAACTAGGCATATCGGAATGAGGGACTAACAACTCGCATCTTCACCTTTACCAGGGCAGCTTGGACCCAGTAGGGCAAGCCTTGGTGGTGGTGGTGACAGTAACGGGGGGAGTCTTCGTGCAAGTAGGAGTGGGAGTGCAGTCCTTGGTGTCGGTGGAGGTGACAGTAACCGTGGAGGCAGCAGGGCAGGTGCCGTTGCCAGGACCAGGAGCAGTGGTGGTAGGGCCGGGGCCAGCAGAGGTGGTGGCAGGGATGGTGGGAACGGTGGTGGTGGCAGGCTTGGTGGTGGTGGGAGCGGCAGTCGTGGTGGCCGGCTTGGTAGAAGTAGGAGCCACGGAAGTGGTAGGGGCGGCAGAAGAAGAAGCAGGAGCGGAAGTAGAGCCACCGCCACCGTTCTGGCAGTTGGCAGCGCTGAAGAGGTCGACAGCGTCGGCAAGATCCTTCTGGAGAGGGGCGACGAGACCCTGAGCGATGGACTGGGCGGCGGTGGGAACCTTGGAGACGACGGACTTGATCAGAGCGTCCGAGGCGGACTGGAGATCGGCGACCTGGAGACGGGTGACATCGCACATGCCAGCGGCGGCAATGGCGGCCTTCTTGTCCTTCATGGTGGCGAGGAGAGCGTCACCCTTGGTCTGAAGGTCCTTGGCAGGACCGGTCAGGCCGAGGGCGTCGGTGAGACTCAGGGCAGGCAGGGGTTGGATTTTGGCATCGCCGTCCTTGAGGCCCTGGATGGCCTTGTTGGAGGCATCGAGGAGAGCGGTCGGGTCGCCGCTGAAGCCCTTAGCGGCAGTGTTTAGGCCATCGAGATCAGCACCGACAGCAGTGAGGACTCCGGTGATGGTGGCCAGGTCGCGGCGGACAACACTGGCGGCAACGGCGGTTGCCAGGTAGGCGAGGGCAAGGAACTTCATTGTGGAATAGAAGAGAGAGACGTTTTCTAGTAAAGAGAAAGATGTGATGAGTAGAAGTGTGATCTGCGGAACTGCCAGAGAGAGTGCTGCTGCTGCTGTCTCAAATGTAAAACCAGCCAGGCGTGTGTCTTGTTATATACCCAGTTTCCCATGAGGCGGAGACATGGAGCACATTCACATGTGCGCTCATTCCACAGCCGAGAGGCGAAGGAAGAAAAACAGCTCAGTTACGGTAAGCTGAACTCAGACAAGCATTGTCAAAGTGTTGATCGTACATACAATGGCCTTGTTCTCGACCAAGGCACGTTCCTCCTGGTGTGCTGTTGGTGGCTTCAGCGTGGCTGATCGGCAGTTCACAGCACCCATCACCGTATCCCCCCCAACCTGACGAGTAGCGCAGTACCTTGCAGAATGCGGGGGAGATGGGGAAATTCACGGGGTAACAGCCACATATGATCAGCCGTGCGGGCGGCGGGCAGAAGCGCGGCCCTCCGGAGCGCACGGAACCTGCTGGACGCACGTTTCCTTGCTGCCCGTGTCGAATGGGGCGGATGAATAAAAAAAACTAAGACAAACAGGCTGTAGCTGACCGGAGCAAGGCCAATTGATATTTTGTGGCGTCAATGGCGGGGGTTGCCGCTGCCCATGTATGTACATATGTATGCGCACAGATGCCTTCTTCGTGGCTAGCACATATGCGACATGGAGCGTTTGATCGCCGAGGCACCATGGGGTGGACGCAGCGTGCCATTTTGCCCATCCAGGCATGGATTCTGTGATTTGACCAAAAGTGTCTCTTCTTTTGGCCTCATCTTGGACCTCATATGCCAGGACAGGACGAGTTGTGGTCGCAAGCGGATGGGACTTGTTTGACAACTCACCCGCACTAAGACAGAATCACAACAGCATGACCTTGAATTGCATCGTTACAATGTACTGCGCAAAGATTGACTATAAATACTCTCCATCTTCGCGTATAACAAAACTCTAATCTACTGTAGAAGCCAATCATCCCCGCACTCGTATCTACAATATACCCTCTTTAACACACACACACACACAACACACACATAAAAAATGCTTCTATCCAACCTTGTCGCGCCCATGGCCCTGGCCGCCACCGTCTTGGCTGACGGTGCGGCCATCAACGCGGCCCTGAAGACGGTGGACGGCAGCATCAACTCGCTCACGGCCACGCTCAACAGCTTCTCGGGTGATATCTTTGGCGCCATCCCCGTCCTCTTCTCCGGCATTTCGCTCAAGTCCAACATTGACAAGGGCACCAAGGTCGCCAACGCCTCGCAGCCGCTCACCTCGGACGACTCTCTCAGCCTGGCCGACACGGTCAACACCATCATCGCCGACGCCTCAAAGTCCATTGACGCCTTCATCGCCGTCAAGCCCAAGTTTGACAAGCTCCTCATCGTCACGCCCATTGCTTCGGGCCAGATCAAGGGCCTTAGGACGTCCACCGTCGCCCTGGGCAAGGCCATCATCGCCAAGGTCCCGGCCGACTTCACCGACGTCGCTACCCAGCTCGTCAGCCAGATCCTCGCCCAGTTTGACAGAGGTGTTGCCGCATATGGTGGCACCACCGCTGCCCCGGCCTTCCGTCGGTCCACTCGCCTGGAACGATTCCTTTGAGGAGGATTGGTCGTAGGAGCTTGATTGTTCTTGGCTTGGAGTTTAACTGCTACTACTCAATTTGTCAATATAGCTAGCTTCAATGAAATAAATTGTGAAATACCCATTGTGTACCTCGCTAATGTAGACAGGAGTGTGGAGAGGGGGGCGTGATGACCACAACTGAGATATGCCTGCTATATTGGCTGCGTCTTGTATCCTTGTTGCACATCGGGTAACCACCGCAAGAAGGTAATCATTAATCTCCAACTGCGCTATAAATGTATTAATTTCACATGGTAGCTTGATAACGACACGCCCAAAAAGAAAACGGTCGTATATAGCAAAGAGCACTACCACACAGGGTTAGGGTCAGGGTTAGAAAACTCGGGGCCACAAAGAATTGTCTTATTTTCTAACTTGTGTTTTTGTACGCCACGAGAAAAAACTTGCTCAATACTGTAGTTTGTTTGTACGTAGTCATTGAAGGACCGCCCACCACTGTCCTCAGCTGCTTGCGTAGACTTGGATTGTCTCGTAGAAATGAAACTCCAACGAGGAAAGAAGAAGAGGGGCGACATCCTGCACCGTCTTGACAAATTTCCCCGTCAGTGCCGCGCCGAATCCCATGGTAGAATTCTGCAGACCTTGCAGTTCATCGTGCACAAGCCCGGTGATGGCGCTCCCGCCCAGCTTGTCGAACACGTCGCGCTTCGCGGCAACCTTTCCAAGCACGGCATACGTCACATCAGTGATGCCCACGACAGAGTATGCGACGGCGGAAGACTGCTCGTCGTCAAAAGCCGCAGAGTTCTTGACCGAGTCTGTGACGGTCTGGAGATCGGTCTGCAGCTGCGTGGCCTGGTTCTGGAAATCCACGGCGGCTTGGGCGTCGTCGGGGCCCTGGATCTTGTCCAGAGCGGCGCTCATTGCAGAGAGCTCAGTCGAGATGGACGATATGGAGTCGATGATGCTGCCTCCGTCGCGCTGCCAAAGATGGCCGAGGGCCGGTGCGACGAGTAGTGGTATGAGTGTGTGAATTCGCATTGTGGTAGTAGTATGGCGGCTTGGATGTTCAATTGATGCTGGGCAGAAGTTTCGTCAACGTTCAATTAGTAGAATTGAAGCAAATTTGAAGAATGAAGCGCGTTTCTTGAGAGAATGGTAGGCAGCCTATTGAGTCCTAGTTTTCTGATACAGCGGCGAGTTGGTGTACATGAGCGCGGTCAGGCACGGCCTCGGCTCCGACTGGAGATGTTGCGATGGCTTGGGAGAGCGACTGACAAGAAAGCACACGTCGAAAAAATACTACTATTACATACGATGGATTATCGACTGCAGGAATTCATTTAATGAGATTCACACCAGCCCGCACATATGCTGCAGTGGACTCATGACAGATGAGCGCGGCCATGATTACGACTTAGACCGTAACTAGTACATGTGAGTTTCGGTCGGCATCCATGATGCTGATCCCCCCCCCCACTCACACCCGCCAAGGGAATTCCCCGTCATTGAAGGGAAAGGGCTGATGGAAGAAGTTGGGGAAGCAGCGCAACCCCAGGTTTGCGAATCGATCATTCTGACGATGCTGGTCAGTTGCGGAGGCATCGGTGAGCAAGATGGCCTCCCTCGGTCGCTCGCTGGAGCATGTCAAGATCTACACAGTCCATGCCACGCTCTCAAAGCCGGGGGTTGGACCTAAAAAGAACTAGTGCGCTTATGAAACACGCTGGGGAAATGGGGAAATAGTGTAAAGCGGTTGGATTGTCGCCCTGGGACTGTCATGAATTGAGAGTAGTGACAGCGTCCAGCAATTCGCCATGTACCAAAGTCAATTAAGTGAAGACGCCAAAATATGTAATAATTGATTTTTTTAATCGCACAACTAATACAGATAATAAAGTGACTTTTCTTTGCGTAGATGGTCAAAAGCCACCCCCTTGATTAGATCACGGCCACACTGCGCCACATGCAGGCACAAACAGGGAGCTCCCAACCACGGTGTTGCTGTAGGATACGTGCGCATTATTGACGAGAGTGGTGCCAAAGTCTTGACCGGCGTTGCATTTCTATAATTCGCCCTGTTAGCTTCCTCTGCTGACAGACGGCACCGCTGAATGGAGCGAGCGAGGATATTTACCGGCGAGTCAATGTCGCATTTCCACGTCGACGCTGCAGTGTTGTTCGTCTCCTCGCTCTGATAGTATTCAGGGGAGTGGTGGACGTAGCCGAGGACCGTCGGTGGGATCTGCGGGATCCCATCCGTGAAATGCGTCACGCGGTAGTACTGCTCATCCGGCACCACCGAGCTCGCGTACTGGGCCCAGGCCGCATTGCCGTTGCGTGGCTCGCCAAAGGTGAAGACTTCGGAGACTTGGAAGCCCAGCCCAGCAAAGGAAGGCGCCGCGATGGCGGAGATGCCTCCGCCGAGAGAATGGCCCGTGACGACCAATCGCCAGTCGGCTTCGCAGAGCAGACCCTGAAGAGCAGTCGCAAGAGGTTTCATGATGGCGGTGTAGCATCTTTGAAAGCCGTCGTGTACCTATAAAAAAAAGAAGAAAAAAAAAAGGTCTTGGTCAGGACATGATTTGCGTCATCCTTGCCACCATGTACCACCTACCTTGCAGTCAGAGCAACTCGTGCCCGGGACGCTGAGCGGCACAAGAGCAAAGGCAAGGTCCGCGTCGAGCTCCCGCGGCGACGAGGTGCCGCGAAAGGCGACAATGATTTCCTTTGCCTTTTCGTCCCGGAAAATGGCGGCGCGGGTGCCCGTGTCGGCGTCGTCGAAGCTCTGCACAATGCTGGAGCCAAAGGGCGGCGTCGGACAGTCCTCCTGGTACGACGCGGCGGAAAAGGCCGCGTACCGTACCATCTTGTCAAACACATCCGATGAAACTTTTGGAATTGTAGTTTAGATTAATGTCTTGGCTTGGGGCGACACGAATTGCAACGACGTACCTGGCGTCTGCGCGTAGGCGACCGCATGGACGAGGCCAATAGAAGCCAATAGAAACCAACGCATTTTGAAGAGTGTACTAATTTGTACAAGTGAAGCAGTTGGGTGTCAAAGGTTGGTGTGCAAACTGGCCATGTTCACCATCTACCGCTGCTGAGTTTTGTGGTTTATTAAAGGACCAATCTCGAATGGACCGTCTTGTTTCCACTGCAAGGCAACTACAATCAGGCACATGGCATCAGACTATTCTGATGAGGAAAAATTAGTCCCGCCTCGGTACGTATGTATGTATCTGATTTCTGATGGCACATATGTAGACGTAGGCGACTCGAATGGAACCAGTGGAGTCGTGGGCTAGACTCGAGTGCAGGAACAACCCATTGACTTGGTTTAATTCAAGCTGGTCCGCTAGTTGGTGAATGCCATCATCTGGTTTACAGGAGCAAAAATACCATCTTACATCAAAAAGAAAGAAAAAAAGAAATGCGGTTCCTGGGACTCTTCAGCCTTCTGGGCCTCGTGGCCGCCGCCAACGCCGCCGACTTCCAAACCGTGCGGGACGACATCGCCAACATCAGCTCCATCCTCCAAACGCTCGACAACAACGCCAAGGGCATCCAGCCCGGCTCGCTGGGCATCGCGCGGTCGCTGCAGCTCGAGGTCGACTCGGTGCGGGTGCACAAGCTGCTGCTCAGCACGACGAAGGACACGCAGGCCGCCGCCCCGTTTGGCGACCACTCCATTGACATTGGCGGCGACTTTCTGAACCTGCAGCCCGTCATCAACCGCGTGCTGGTCACAATCACCAACCTCGAGGGCACGCTGCGCGAGCTGCGCCTCGTCGTGCTCGCGTGCGTCTACCAGCTGAGGCAGGATGCGCATGTGCTGGGAAACGAGGTCGCCGGCAAGCTGAGTGCCGACTTTCAAGATGTCACCCAGCAGGTGCTCACGGAAATTGACGACGCGTTCAACAATGCCATTGCAGCCTATGGCGGGAAGTGTAAGTACAAGATGGCTGCTCGGTCCTCCTTGTGCCCCAGCGCTGACCTGCAATAGAAACCTGAGGGGCTGAGGAGAATATAGCAGCTTCAATATACTACAAGGTTTATATTTTATAGACATGACGGAAAAGAATTGAATTGTGAGATAGTGAAACGTACGAATTACTACTACATACACACGTCTGGGTTAGTGTTGCTGCGCGCTAGCCTGACCCTTACCCTAATTCAGTTTAACCCTAACCCGTACTCTCCAGGAAGGGGAGGAGCTTTTTAAATGGCCACCAGCTTCATTGCATAAAATAAAAACCGGATTTACCTGACTTTCAAAATTGGAATTTTCTATGCAAAAAATAAATACATAGAACAAAATGGCCAATTGCAAATGGCCAAAGGCAGCCGTCATAACCCTCTCGATGGGTACAGCGCTGACTGGCCTTGCTCAGCTCATGCAAAATCGCGAATCCCAGTCACTGTCCAAGCCTCACTTTCTTGGGAGTCCAGGCCAACGTCTTCTCCAGCTTGGTCCCCACTTGTAGATGATGGGAATAAAGAGAATGAAGCCGCCGAGGATTCCGGCATACATGACGAAAGTCTTCATGTAGCCCAGCTCGGCAACCCACTCCGAGACTCGGAAGGAGAGCACAAAAGCCACCACCAGGCGGAACGATGCAATGTTGACCAGTGCCGGCCCAGTGAGATGCGGGTAGGATTCGAGCACATAGACAATACCAATCGTGTTTGTGGCAAGAAAGGCAAACGAAATCATACCAAGCCCAAGGAGGAACAGCATCCAATGATACTTGGCAGGGTTATCACCCGAGATGGCAAAGAGGATGCACCCGCCAAGACCGACAACGCACGGAATGATCAAGTTGAGAGCCTGGAACTCGGGGTTTCGCTTGCCGTTCTTGCGTGCCAGCCAATTAGCCACCTGATCAGCGCCCCAGCCAGAGATGAGGAAGGACGCGCCGGCGGCGACAATGAGCGGGAACAGACAGAAGCCGAGGTGAAAAAAGTTCCAGCTCCAGGGATCGGCGAGAAGCTGCGGAGCTGCCGTGTACCCAGCAGCGAGGGCCATGGCGATGACAGCCGAGTTGAGCAGCGTGACGAAGAGCATGTGCGGGTAGAAAAAGGTCCGGAGACATGACCACAGCGCATCGACGCCGCTTCGCCAGTCAACCTTGCACTGAACGAGCTTGATGTCGTCCTTGAAGGAGCGGGGGGGATAGCTGACGTGGTCAATATCGGGCCGGGTTTGGCCCGGTCGAAGAGGCACGGCGGGAATGCCCTCTGAATAGTTTGTTAGAGTACACTGGTGGAAAATGGTGGTGCCGGAAAAGACTTACGGTTCTCATCCTCCGAACGGTCAAACTTGGTCTCGGGCAAGAAGAAGAAGAGGCAAACCCAAAAGACAAGACCAGCACCGGCCGTCGCAAAGTAAATGACTCTCCAGTCGGCGTAGCCAATAATGTACGGTGCTGCCACGCCGAGCGCAACGATGATCAAACCCTACCAACGGAACAACATTAGCTCCCGATGATAGACAGGTAGGCTGGTAAGCGGTCCAAGACTTACCTGTGTAGCAAAGACGACGCTGATGGCGGCGTTGCGCTGGTGGAAGAAGATGATGTCCTGCAAGATGAATGGGATGAGACTCTCAATCGTCCCGGCACCCACGGCTTGAATACAACGGCAGACAAGGTGCGTCGCCAACGAGGTGCTGAAGCCGGATCCTACGCAGCCCGCGATGGCCACGACGCCGGTAACGAGCAAAACATTGCGACGTCCGGTCGCAATTGCCAGCGGGATGAGGATGATGTTGGTCGCGCCCATCATCAAGATGGGAAGCGAAGCTAGTAGGTAAATCTTCCAGATGGGGGGGCCAGGAAACTCGGCGAGGATGGTGAGCGCGTTGATGCCCTCGGGCAGATGCACCTTGGTCAGCAGCTTGGGATCGATGCCGGCGTACTGAAAGCTAAAGACGGGCAGCATGGCACCGAGGACCAGCTCGGCGGCAGCGGCCATGGCGCCAAACAGGCACAAGGAGCTGAGAGCCGCCAACTTTCGCCATGTGTGCAGGTTGAGAGGATCTAGAAGGCAGTGTCAGCTCTGATCTGGAGAGAGAAAAGAGGCTGTCCTTGGATAGAGAGAAAGAGGGGCAAGTTCTCGATTTGCCAAACATACCTCGAGGATCCGCCGTGGGCATGGGAATGAGCCGCAGCTGGTTTCCGTTTCCAGTTGCATCGTTGTCTTTCTTATTCTCGCCAGAGGAACGGACTTCGAGCAGCTCAACCATGGTCGTGGATGTCGTCTGAGGGCTCAGCCTCTCGTTGGAGGAGAAGAGCTTCATGGTTCAAGGTAACTAGGCCACAACCAATGTCTTGGGAAAGAATGGTTGAGTGCAGGGGGCTTGCCTGTGATTTAGGGGCGATGAAGATTCATAAAAGAGAGGATAGAAACTGGGGAAATATGTGGCTGATTGGGTAGGAACGGTGAACCGTGCACATGTATAAGTCGAGGGTGGAGGGAGGGGGGGAGAAGATCTGCAAATCGTGGGACTGTCCAAGTCAAAGATATGGCGATTGGGTGAGGGCCAAGGTTTCAGTCGAGTCTGAGAAGATAAAAAACTGCCAAAGCACCCTTTGCAGCCGCGGCTTTATGCGGCGGGGAAGGAGGAAGAGTTGAGCCTCTTGCAGGTGAAAGATTGGTCATGCGGGAGAAAGAGCGGTTGCGGCTCCCTCGTGGAAGAGAAGGGGAAGAAAAGCTGGGGAAGAAGGGGCGGGCACATGCTAGGAATAGTAGTTTAACAGGGTTACTGGGCCGTTCATCACATGCGGATATTGCTTGTCTCTCTTGGCCGGCGGGACGAGTCCTCGGCTGGCTTGATCAGCCACATATGTAGCCAGGTTTGGTGCGCCATCGCGCCCAACATAGTTAAAGCGCGGGACAGATTGCTCGTGCGAATGGAACGGATGACGGCCAAAACGAAGAGACTGTAGGATCTTGGCAACTTGTATTCGCATTAGCCTTTTTCGTCTTGATCGTTTCAGGAGATGCCACGGCTTCTTCACTCCGATTGAACTGTGCGATATCACCGGCCGCCGAATCCTTTCTTCAAGAACTACGTGCTTCCTCGTCTAGCTCGGCCATACCAACCTTTTCAACCCATTTTCTGTTTCTCATCATGCGGCTCTCTCTTACCTTCTGCGCCGCCCTCGCCGGCGTCGCCTTTGCCTCGCCCTCGTCCTCCTCGACGGCGCACCTGGCCGCGCGCGACTTTGCCACAGTCGCGGCCGTGCTGGCCAACGTGACGGACAGCGTGCAGGGCCTGTCCAAGGTCGCCGACACGGGGACGGCCGACCCGGCGACGCTGCTGGCGGCGTCGGACCGCATCGTGCAGGCCATCAAGTACGGCACCATGACGGTCAACGCGACCAGCAACCTGACCTTTATCGAGACGGTGCACCTCATTGCGCCCGTCCACAAGCTGTCGTCGCTGTCGTCGGGCCTCACCGCCAACATGGGCAAGCTCAAGGGCTCGATCCAGCAGCAGAACCTGTGCGAGGTCGTGCGCCTGCAGGTCGGCATCATCAACAACGGCTCATCCGGGCTCATCGCCGCCATCAACGGCAGGGTCCCGGGCGCCGCCCTCGACATCTCCCAGGCCCTCTCCCAGGGCATCACCGACGCGCTGACGGGCATCCAAAACGACTTTTCGCCGGAGAATTGTGTCAATGGCCGCAATGAGACGACGAGCACGTCCGCCGCCGCGCATCTGGGGCTTGGGCCTTGTAGCGCTCTTGTCGCGACATGTCTTGGTCTCGTGGCCGCATTGACAGTCTTTTGATGACGCTTTGCAAAATTGGACGGCATTTTTTTTGGTCTTTTTTGGTCTTTCTTTTTTCCCGACCCAGGCATGTTGACTTTATCAAGAGTTCTCTCAGTTCAGGGGCTTCTTTGTACGTTTCTAGGGATCAACCACAGGCAGTATTTACTTTGAGCAACGCGTCAAATTTTATGCAAATGGGCCAATCTCTTTTGTGCGCTATACACATCTCACGCTAGCAACTCAGCTGCGACTGCTAGGCTTGCTATCCCCTTATTAGGGTTAACAGAGCTGTACCCATGACGTGTGATGCCTGATGGCAGAGACCAATCTCCTACAAAGACCCCAACTAGTTAATTCTCCAAACAGAATATATCCAAGTAAGCTATTTCGAGTAGCGTATGTACACGGGTAGCGGATTGCGGGGGTATCGTCAGATTACAAGTACAAATTACTCATCTTCCCGCAGACAGCACAAGCTTCGACCCAGCGCCTTCCCCAGTGCAAATCAGAGTCATTGTTACTCGGGCAGGCACAGCGGAAGGATCCTTCCGTGCCTCGAGCCTCAATAACCCCGCACATGTGGACTCAAGCCTCCCGAGGCGCGTTAGGGGGGGAAGGTGTGGCTTCTCGGCAGACGACAACTACCACCAGTACATGTGCGCTCTTGAGGCTAGCCAGCTCACGAAGGATCCGCCAGCTCGCGAAGGATCCGTGTCTCCATATGCAACGGCCAAGGGTCAGGGCACATGTCGGATGGCATGTCAACCTGGGTTGGGGAAAGCTTAACTGTACAAGGGGCTCCTGGGGCTCCTCCTACGGAAGACTTGCCCGGATGCACTGGCCTCGGCCGTGCGCTGTGTTGAAGTACCCCGGTGGACTCATTGGACTCATAACTACTGCATATATCCCCCGCACCAGGGGGCAGACGAGATGTTACATGGCGTCGGGGCTAGACTCGAGTGGGAGGGTGTGGCTTTAACAAGACAGGGCTGCGCGCTTCGGCGTGGAACCATGATTAATTAGTACATACCAAGCATACCAAGCCTGTCAACATCTTCATCTTCTCCAACACACACATGTAGCGCTAAAACACCTCAAGCGTCCCGGATATTGACACGATCATGGATCTACAGGTGGCAGATTTGATTGATGCGATCGTGCTGCTCTAGTTCCTTTGAGCCGAAATCATCATGCTACGATGACGATGGTTGAGTGCGGCCGCCATGTCGCATCATCTCAGAGGCCTTGTCCTGGCAGCGAGCGCCACCGTCATTGCAGCAGTGGTCCATTGTATGTAACCGCACAAACGTTGGCGCCACCATGTCCTGCCGAGTACGAAGGAATGGAACCTTCAAACAAGGCACTGCCAGCTCAAAGTGTTTGACTACTCGAGTCCAAGTTTAAATTGCGACAACCCCCTGGCCACCTGTAATGGCGTAATCGCGCAACCGGGAAGCCTAGAACACCGCGGTACGGGGCATGTTATAGTATAGTATGTTGTCAAAAACCCCGAGTACAGTCCTTGATTGGTTCTGTTAGTTTCAGTGAAGAAACAGGCTCGTCAATCCACCTCGTGTCCGTCCGCGGGGCCGTTCGTCTCAGGCAGCGGCGGCGTTGCCTTGACTGACAGTTTCTTCATGCAGGCATGTAGGCTATTACGCACCAGTCATGCATGGATGTGCTCATTTCTTTTCCGGTGGCTTGTATCCGTACATGCGGCTCAGCTGCAAGTTGCTGCGTGGCCAACCTTTGTCCATCGGGCCGCAAAGCCATCATTGCAAAAACTTAATACTCTGCTGAGCCTCAGAAAGCACATGTAATCTCAAAGTAGCTAAATATGGAAAACAACTAGCATCTCGTAGCAATTTAGCCAGGGGGTGGCGGCGATTTTCATCTGAATGTATCACCAGTACCTCATGGAGACATGGGTGGCGGCCTCGGCAACATCGACTACATATGTCAATCGCGACAGAGGGACCGAGCCTGTCTAGCTCGCTTGTAGCCGATCCCTTCATTAAACCTTGTTGAACAAAAAACCAAAACGAAGACCAAGTTGGATAAATAAAGCAGCATCAGAGCCAAACCTGCCGTTCCTTCTTCATCCACGCAACTTGTCTTCTCTTGCAAACTCAGTCGTTTCAGTCGCAACCAGGCAACTTTTACACCAATTCCGACTTGTTCAGTCTTACACATTATACCCCTTCTCTTTCTTCTCCCGCCAAAATGAAGTACTCCCTCATTGCCTGCGCCATCACTGGCGCCCTGGCCATCAACATCGCCCCTCGTGACGCCTCCACCGTGACCGCCATCCTCAGCGACGTCCAGAAGAACCTCGAGGCGCTCGACTCGACCGTCACAGGCTACACGGGCGACAAGGCGGCGCTGCTCAAGGCGTCCAACGACCTCATCGCCACGCTCAAGGACGGCAAGACCAAGGTCGACGCTTCGGCCGAGCTCGACCTCAACGGCGCCGTCACGCTGACGACGCCCGTCCAGGCCCTCACCAAGAGCGGCCAGACCCTGACGGCGGACCTCAAGGCGTTCCGCTCCACCGTCGAGAAGGAGGGCGAGTGCGTGCTCGTCCGCACCCAGGTCGGCAATGTCAACTCGGCCTCCCAGGACCTCATCAAGTCCGTCATCGCCAAGGTGCCCCAGGAGGCCCAGACAATTGCCTCGCAGCTCGTCGGCGACCTCACAAAGGTTCTCCAGGAGAGCGTCGACGAGTTCAGCGAGGCCAACTGCAAGGACAGCGCCAGCGGCGGTGGCAGCAGCTCCTCCGCTGCCGCCGGCTCGTCCTCCGCGCCGGCTACCAGCGCTGCCACCAGCGCTGCCACCAGCGCCGCTTCGAGCGCCGCCTCCACCTCCGCGCCGGCCTCGTCCTCGGCCGCTACGGCTTCCCACACCAGTGCTTCGGCCAGCGCCTCGGCCTCTAGCACGCACACCTCCGGCTCTCCCAGCTCTTCGGTCCCCGTTGTCGCTGGTGCCGCTGCCATTGCGCCCCTCGGTGCCGCTGCCATGGCCGTTGCCGCTCTTTTGCTGTAAGTTCGCGACATGAGTCGGCTTCACTGTCCACGCGGAGAGTCTTGAGAGAAAAGTACATGGTATAGAGGGAGCATCAGTTGAACGTTTACTTCTCTTCTGCCAAAAGGGCTATTACACGGAACTGGGACAAGGGCAAAACTGTATCAACATTGGGCAGAACCACAATTGGCATATATATTGTCACGCGCATGTTTTAGCAGCCGCTTCCTGTATAGTTATCGCTGTGGCTATCCAATAGTTTGAGTAGCATTTCAGTTAATTTAATTGTGTCTCATTTTACTACGAATTAGTGAAGGCTGCTATTTTGACAACAAGAATTGATCAAATAACAACAAGCTAAACCTAATTAGATATTTATAATAACCTCTTCTAGTGTTTTCCTGCTATCAACGCCCTCAACACCTCCCTTAAGAGCCTTAAGAGCGCCGCAAGGTAGGCACTAGGCAGCCTCTTAGCCAGCGATGCAGAGCTCAGCGATTCAGACGATACAGGCGATACGGGCGATACAGGCGATACAATAGGTGTTATTATCGCAAATTTAGGGGCATTATCGCAAATTCAGGATCACAGTATAAACAATGTCTTTAGCCGTAAAGGACATTGAAGAAAGCACCAATGTCGTGACGCGGACACATGATACATTCACCGACATGTCTGGCACTAGGAGACTGCCATATATCTCCCTCTACTAGTGGATGATTCAGACTTTCACGATTTATTTTTACTATGTTGTCAACTAGGTAAGCTTGTGAACCAATGCTACTCTCGCAACCCAGTCGTCAACCAAGCCTACTCTCGACAAGCCGGCATTCGCTGCTCGACCTAGGCGTTGGTGCAGTTCTCCGCGGAAAAGGCCGTCTGCGCATCCGCAAGAACGTCGTTGATGCCCTGTGCCTGCTGCGCGGCAATGTCCTGCGCCTCTGGGGGCACCTTGGACACGGTAGCGTCAATCAGCTGCTTGCTCGCGGCGCTGATGTCGGCGATCTGGCCGCTGACGATCTCGCAGAGGCCGGCCTGCTGGATGACGTCCTTTTTGGCCTTGAGGTCGTCGACGAGCGTCTGGGCGTGCTGCTTGAGCGAGTCGACGGGCGGCAGGAGGTCGAGGGACTCTTCGAGGGTGAGGTCGGCCGTGCCCTGCACCGTGGTGGTGCCCTGGCCGATGGTGGCCACGAGCTGGTTGGAGGCGTCGAGGACCGGGGCCGGGTCCGTGGTCCAGCCCTGCACGGCGGTGTCCAGCCCGTCAATGTCGTTCTGCACGGCCGTCAGCACGGCAATGACGGGCGCGGCGTCGCGCTGGGCGACGAGTCCGTGGGCGCCGGTCAGGGCCGTGAGGAGGACGAGGGAGGCGGCGAGATGCATGTTGATACTGGGGATATTTTTTTAAGGGAAGCACGAGCAGATGCGCGTAAAAGTGAGATGAGATTGATGGGAATGAGGAGGAGTGTCTGGCTTGATGATTCAACATGTTGATTTGGACTGCCGGGCAGTTGGCCATTTTATATCACGAATTCTGTCATTCTCGATCACGCGGACGGAGAACTCTTGGCTGCCGAATTATCACTATAGGATGCATCTCATAATTTCCTTTCAACTATTAGACTAGACACAGAATGCTACGCTGGGTGAGGCCATTTTTCATGTTCGAAATGCAACGCTGAGTGAGGTTCTCGTCATCTCCGGAGCACTATCAAGATGTGACGTGTCCAAGAATCCGGGGTATATCAGAAAGATCAGCAAAAAAAACAAGTGCCGACAACTCGTCAACACTCGTGATCAGAACAAAACATACCGAGATCCGGTCAATGAACCCACGAGGGTTGACTTGTTGTGTCCGGCCACCGCATCGTGGTTGAGCCGCGTTGCAGCCAAGACAGGACCACTCTGAAACAAGACGCATCCTCATCCGTCATTTCGCCTGGAAACAAGAACAATAGGGATTGGAAGAAAAAACTACAATTCCAAATGAACCCACACCACAACCCCGCAAAATGTCTGATCCTCAGCAGGCAGGTGAGACATTGAGGGGTGAAGAGGGGGGAGGGGGGTGGATTCGGCCGCCTGTGTGTTTCTTTTTGTTTTTTCCCCTCATCCAGTCTTCGCCGAGCACATATGTGCTTTCTTTTCTTGAGCCTCTCGCGGCAAGTTTTGCTTGCGGCTCCCCCGGACGGTGTGTGGCACCAAAGGGAGGGGTGAGAGTACACGAGAACCTGACTAGAGATTTCGTCTGGATAGGCAACTATTCCCAGTAATTCTTGGAGATTTACTAACTACACAACTCAACACTCCCCCTCCCCCCCCCCCTCTCCCGGTCACCACCATCCACCATCGGCTTTTGTGGCTTGGCGCACCCAACAGTCGTCGCCTTGTCAAAGCACCAACAAGTGGCGCTCGGCCGGTTTTTTTTCCCTCTCCCTGCCCTAGAAACAACGAACAGGTGACTACTGGGTACGGAAGAGAAACTCAGAAACTCAGCCCACTATTACTCTACGGGATCAACCGCCTTGGATAAACGCATTGTTTACGGATACATACTCAATCGACAGTCCAAGCGCCTCCCCCCGCCGTGGCAAGCCATGTGTTCCTGACTATCGTTTTGGTCGGAAGACGGCGGCGGGGGCTTCCTTTGGTCTCAGGTTCATCGGAGGCTCCAAAGGTTTTCTTGGCCAAGCGCCCCCAAAACGTGTGAGCAACATGCCCTAGGCTGATGGTTCATTTTGGGCAAAAATAGAAACAATTGAATATAGAGTTTAGAATATCGTCTTATCATTACAATCTGTTCATCTCCCGTGATGCCGCCAATGCTGGGGCCCTGTCCTCATTTTGCTTGTTCACCCGTTTTTAGGGCATCCAGCTCTGCTTGCAACGACGCGTTCTTCTCCAACAGCGTAGTTAAAAATTCCACCCCCTTGAACAAAATCCTAGATCGTGACCATGTTCCTCCCCGAAGCTCCGGGACGAGCTCTGTAAGATCATTGAATCCATCTCGTATGAGCCCGCGCCGTTTCTTCTCGTGCCGGATGTGGTTGCTGCGCTTCTGTTCAATCGTGAGCTTCTTGCGTTGCCCCTTTGGTTCTCGTCTCGACATCAGAGGTCTGGCAACGGAAGCTGCAGGACTGTCTGTGTAAACCTTCTTGGGTATGTTTCGTCTGCTTCGGCCGCTGGGTCCCTTTCTGACAGAGGACGCCGGGCTGCGGGCTTGGCTGGACCTGGCTCCCGGAGATGTTGCGTCCTCGGCATCGCCATCCTGTTCTTCCTCTTCCTCCTCTTCCTCCTCCTCTTCTTCTTCCTCCTCCTCCTCTTCCTCCTCCTCGGGCATTAATTGGAGTCTGAACTGCGTAAGCTGCCGTACGCCAACCCGACGACGCGCAGTTCTCGTCTCCGCGTCAAACATGGCGTCACTCCCCCACTGCACCGTATTTTCACTAAAGCTTCGAGCTGGTGATCCCTTTGTGGGCGGGTACACCCACTCCATGAATGTGTTTTCATTGTTGTTGATATGGCGGTTGCGGAGCATCTCCTCCTTGAAGTCGAGTGATGTCTGGTGAAGCAGATGAGAGGGTGGACTGCCATCGGCATTCCCTAGCTGTCCGACGACAGCTGATACGTCAGACTTGAGTAAAGAATGCGGCGGGATCGGGTAGAAACCCGGGTTTTGGCCGACGTCGGATGGTGCCTCGATGTATTTTTGGGAAGCACATGAGTTGGCGTCAAACTTCTGGTTGTTGAGACTCATTTCGTAGTAGAGGCCGTGGGCTTCGTAAGGATCTTGAACAAAAGCAATGAAAGGTGTGCCACGATCATCAACTAGTGTAATGGGCAAGGGGTTGGGGCCGTTATCAGGACACGGCATTACGGTGCAAGATGGTGGCCAGCCTATCTGGCCAAACTGAGTGGTTGATGAGTACATGTCAGCTGCGGCTGGTCAGCGTGGATTCATGGCACTGAGTCGAGATGCATTTTGCAGGTTGGGGTATGCAGGCGGTGAGACCAACAAGAGTTAAGCAAAACGTACCTAGTTGCATATGACCTGTAGAGAAGGTATGTAGTAGAGGGGGATGTGATATGGGATATGGGATATAGGATATGGGATATGCGACAACCACATGTACGCACAGTAATAAGTCAAGTCTTTTTCTCGGGGGCGGTTCCGAGCAGCGAGTGATTGGCGATCCCGAGGGCTTTATCTTTCCAGCCAACAGGTAGGTCCACGACTGGTATAGGAGACGAGCAAGAGCGTGCAGAGTGTCGTGGAAACGCTACTGGTACTCCATGAGGCCGGCCACTGCCGCGTGGAAAAGAAGTATTTGTTTGAAGAAAGACTTTATTGGCAGGCGGGGAAGAGTGTCTCGAACAGGGCAGCTGTTACCCTGCCGGTTTGTGAGATGGCGGCAGCGATCATTGCCGTTCCAGGCTTCCCGCTGTCTCTGTTTGAGGCGTCAGTTGACCCACGGTTGCACATTGGGTCCCCAGAATAGCATTTGGATAAGTTTTTTGTCAGAGGGAGTAATAAAAAGCCGTAGTCAAAGCTCACGGGCGCGCGGGGGCGAACCGGTGGAGAGTCGTTCCAATGGGCGGCCAATATGGCGAGGTCGTGATGGCGCCTCACATGCGGCGCAACGCTCACTCTCTCTCCCTCTCTGCTTCACCTGTCATCGCAGATGGAGGCAAAAAACCTGGAGGAATTACGCGGGGCACTAGCGGCGCCTCTGCTCAATCGTGCGACCGACCGAGAAGCGAGAAACGACGAAACGAAAGCCTCCCCCCTCATCAGCGCATTTGGGCGGTAGATCCCTGCAAGTGCAATGTAACCAACTAGGTTCTCAGGTGGCCAGCTGGGTTTTTTCTGCCACAACCTGTTTTCCCGTCAATAGACTCGTCCCCTTTTGATCTCAATATCCACTTGAGGAGCGACAGTAAAAACGGTCCTTTCCTGTCCAGTCCAGTCTAACTAGCTAGGTAGCTAGCATTGACGCCACTAGGTTGGAGAAACTGTGCGGGACAGGAGGGTTGGGTGTTGGATTTCCCAGGGCTACCCCTCCCAGCAAGGGTGTTTCTTTAGTTATTAGCCTGAGTCCTGATCCTGATGATCCTGATTGCCTCTAACCCCAAGTCTGTCAACAACTTCTCCTCCCAGTATGTACGCATACCCTACCCCCATGAGATTTCCGCCCCGCGCCTTGCTAGGAGCGGGACTTGTCTCTCTCTAATTAGGCCGAATGAGCAACTTCTTCAGCCGGTCCGAGTTCTTCAAACCCCACCTTGCAAATCTGTTTGCCCAGTTTACCCCTTGTCAAGCTGCATTGTTGATCTCCGGCAGAACCTGAAGCCTCTGTAGCGTGGCATGGCAAGGCTCAATTGAACTGGGACGACAACCCAGGCCTGCAGGGTACGGCAGCCTATAGGTGAGTTATCGCTAAAACGCATTTTACATACTTATATCGGGGTTTACACACTAGGTATACACTAAGAGCGTATATAATTATTTTTAGTATATTAATATCTATATTTATATAATATAGAATATAATTTAAGGCTATATATACTATTTACTAGTAGAATTATATTTTATAAATTTATAACTCTTTTTATTATACTAATTATTATTATAAATATAGTATTATTAGTTATTATAACTTTTATAGCTTAGTTTAATAATATTAAAGAGTTAATAGTTTAAGTATTTATAAAGACTAATATTCTTATAAATAAATAACTTAATATTATATATAAATAGTCTATATTTATATACTTACTTTAACTAAATTTAATACTAATATATAGTTATAAATAAGGCTAATTATTAAATTTATTATATATTTAAAATATTAAAGTAATAATTATTTATATTTATAGTAAAGAATATAAGATAGTTTATTTAAAGTATTAAAATTATAATTATATCTTTATTAGTTATATATAGCTTTAAAGGCTAGCTAAGAATATATATATAAACTATATATACTTTTTTTAAGTATATTAATATTTTTTAAAAGGTATTATATAATATTACTTATATATATTATTAACTAATAATAATTATAACTAAACTATACTTTCCTATTATATAAAAGGATATACTAAATATAGTAAGTATATATAATATTATATAAATATAATAGTAATAAATTATTATAATATTTATTAAATAGGTAAGGATTTAAATAAAATATAGCTAAATATATATTTAAGTATACTTATTAGTACTTTATTAAATATTATAACTAGATATAAGTAATAATAGTTTATATATAAAAGAAAAAACTTTATATAACCCTTTTTCCTTAATTAATATTAATACTTATTATAATAAAGAAATACTACCTAAAGATAGGTATATAGTATTAAGAGTTAGTATAATAATATCTAGACTAAGATATATATCTTTATTACTATTTAATATTATATTTATCTATATAAGAATTACTACTACCTATAGAAGAAACTATTTAAAGGCCTTTTTTAAGTAATTATAATATTTTAAATATAAAGTTAATTATAATTAATAATAAAGACCTTATTATACTTAACTTAATAAATAATATAAATATACCTTTAACTTAAATTATACTTTAAAGCCTTTTTATTAATAGTTAGGTTATAATATAAAGTACTATTTTAAATAGTATATAAGTAAGATAAACTAGTTTTATTATAACTTAGCTAAAAATAAATAATAAAGGTATTATATTTATACTTTAACTATTTAATACTATAATTAAAAATAGATATATTAAGAATATTCTAATACCTTAAATAATATCTAGTCTAAACTATATTAGTAAATATATATTATAATAATATATTTATTTATAGTTTAAATACTAGTTATATAGAGATATACTATTATTAATTATATTAAATAGTATTAATCTTATATTATTAGTATTACTAAATAAAGAGTAGGAAGTTAAGGCTATAATTATCTTAAAATCCCTTTTAAATATTATTAATTACTATACTAGTATTTAATAAATAATAATAATTAAAAGGCTTTTAATAGTATTTAGGTATAATTAATTAGATAAGAAGATTATAATTAATCTTTTAATAATATATCTAGATAATTAAAAGTAACTAATAATAGGTTTATATATAGTAAAGAAGGTTTATATTAATTTATAAGCTTTATCTTATAAAATAAAGCTATTAATAAAGAAAGTAATAATTTAAAGGCTAAATATATTAGATTTAAAGCTTAATATTAAGTAAGAGATTATATAAGCTCCCTTTATTACTAATAATTTACCTAGCTTAGTAAAGCTTATAGATAAAGTAGCTAGTAAGATAAAGAGTAATATTACTAATATTATTATATAAGAGGATATACTAGTAATATTAAAGGATAAAAGGGTTTTTTTAATTTATATAAAGAAGTAAATATTAAAAGGATAAATATTATATATTATTATTTATTTTATATTTTATATTTTAAATATAAAAATAGGGAAAAAAAATAAAAATAAAGAAAATAAAAAAAGGAGGTTATTCCCCTATAATAAACTCTTAGATTATATTAATAGTAATATCCTTATATAATAATAATTTATTAAGCCTTATATAAATATTAATAACTAGCTCTAATAAGGCTAATCTAGAAAGAGTTCTTTTAGCTTAATACTAATTAAGTTACTTATATAAGTATAAGTAAATAAGAAAAAAAGGTATTTTTAGGTTACCTACCTCTAGTAGACTATTAAACTTATACTAAATAATCCTATTATAAATCTAATATATAACTTATAGTAAGTATATATTAATAGTATTATTTAATATCTTAAAGATAGAGTTTAATACTTCTATATTATTAATAATAATAGATAGCTCTAAAGCCAGAAGAATAATCTCCTATTACCTAGTATATCTAGCACTTACCTATACTATATAACTAGATAGAAGTTATATAATATAATAACTTTACCTTTTACCCTATATATACCTTATTAGGATTAATAGGTTATAAGCCTAATAATACTTATATTATAAAAGTTATTAATAAAATAAAAGAAAGTATTAATTTCTTACTAAATTTACCTACTATCTATATAAGCTAATATTTACTATAAAACTTAAGAAATTTATAACTCCTTATATATAGGAAGAAGAAAGACTCTAAACTCTAGCTAATTTAAAGTATATTTAATAAGTCTATCTACTATAAAAATTCTATATAAAGAAAAAGAAATTCTATTACTATACCTTACTTAGTAATTTATATATAGACTCTATATACTTATCTTATATATATTATAATATAAATTTACTTAATATAGTTATAGCCTTTAAATAAATATACTTATTAGATTATTTACTATAATTTATAGTCTTAAATATACCTATTAGATTACTTACTATAATCTATAGTCTTAACTATTATAAAAGGTATATAATAACTATATACTTAGTAAGAAGAATTTCTTATTATTTACTTAAATACTTTTTACCTTTAAATAAATATAAAATACTTAGTTTAAAAAAAAAGACTATATACTTAGCCTATTATCCTTCTTATTATTTTAAAGTTCTACTCCCTTAGTAGGTAGTATTATTAATAACTTAATTCCTATATATAAGCTAAGCCTTATTACCTACTCTATTATCTAGTATTATATTCTTAATACTAAAGAAGGTACTAAATATCTTAAAGCTTAAATCTAAAAGTAGTTAAGTTAAATAAAAGCTAAAGATAATTAATATACTAAGACTTAGTAATCTTAATAGATTACTATTAAAAGGCTAAGGAAATAACTCTATCCTAACTAAGGCTTATAGTAATAAGACTATAAAGAATCTTATTTAAGAATAGATATAGGACTAAGTCTATACTATTATTTTTATTAATATAAGCCTTAAAGAATATATTTATAGTCTTATTAAAGATAAAGTTATAATATTAAATATAATTATAGT